CTGATCACATCGCCTTGCCTCTCCAGTTTGATCTGGTTGAGTATGACCTTGTTCAGGGCCGTGCCGATGCAGTACTCGGGGTTGCGGAGGATGTGCTCCCTGAAGAGTCCCATTCCGGTAGCGTATGTGGTCGGCAGCTTGTGGTCGGCGCAGAATATGCGGTTCTAAAGTGAAGCTGTCAGCTCTCTCTCCGGGCACCCACTGACCCCCGCCGCTCGCCCCCGCCGCCCCCGGCGACACCAAACACACGCAAGTAGATGCTCACCATGTACATCAGCACATCCGTGATCATGCTCATGCAGAGCTGATGATCGTTCCAGACGGCCTGCAGCTGTTCCAGAAACGTCGTTCCACCGCTGCGCTTCTCAATTGTCGCATCTCCGACCATGTTTCCTCCGGTGACGATGATACTCGGAACGAGGGGCTTGACGTCACGCACGGCTACATGCTGGAGGTGCTCGGTAACCAGCTCCTTGACCTGTCGGTAAAGCCGCTCGCCGTGCTTCTTCAACACCAGCTTGTACGCATTCCGGTACAGAGCTTCGAACGACAGGGTCGACGCGTTCTTGTTGTGGATCTCGTTGAGTGATTGCGATAGGATTTCCCAGACTTCGTTGAAGTCTACTTGGTCTGTAACCAGGCCCTAGTGCAAAGGTAAATGTCAGAAAGGTTGAGAAAAGGGCGGAACACAAAAAAGAGTTTATGCGGGGGAGTGCGTGGGTGGTACGTGGTGGGTGAGTGGGGCAACTTACGCGGCGGGGAGGACGTATCCTGCCGCGGTTTCTGTTGGACATCATATTGCTGGCTGGCTGCGGGATTGGGAGAGAAGTTTGTGGAGAGAGCTAAAGAATAGTGTTCACGATAAAATAAGGTGGGGAAGTACAGCGGAGATCCCGTGGGTGTGGAGTGTTGTCGAGGAAGCACGGTTCAGCTGATGGTTGGAGGTGGTGCTGTAATGGGTTGTTGTGGCTGTCGAGATTGTTCTTGAGCTTTGCTCTAAGGTTGAAGCAGGGCAGCGGCGGCTGTTTTGGACAAGAAGGAGAAATGGCTAGTGCCAAGCCCGAGAAGTAGTTCTGAGTTGTCCCCCCGCCTTTAAGCTGTCCCTCCATTCAACTGCTCCAATCGACGACATTTTGTGGTCAGCGGCTCTTTCTCGAGACAACCCTACAGCATTTCGAGATCCAATGAAGCCAGGATTGATATCTTTCGAGAATCACGGTCTGTTTGGCTCGGCGAAAGTTTGGAGTGGCACGAACACTATCGACGTGGTGACGCTATCATCTACCCTACAACAAAGAGAAACAGAGTCAAGAGGTGGCAAGCAAGAAACAGAAACAGCGAAACAGACGAGATGAGGCACGAGAGTACAGGTATGATGTAGTTCGGGCACCGGATACGTAGTCAGCATCCATGAGACCACGCACGGTCCACCAATTGCCTCTCCGTCTGCTGACATTGGCTAGACCGAGTACCTATCAGGTGCGGGGTCTACGGATCACATCGAAATTGCACGATAGCCAATGAAGTTGCAGGAAACCATTTGTATTCAAGTCATATGTATTTCTAGCATTGAATCCCATTCGGACATGACAGAGAAGGACAACACAGACAAAAGCAAAAGCAAAGCAATCATCTCAAATTCATACCACATTACCGGACAAACCCTCCGCATTTACATCTGCGCGGCGAGATATATCAGTTGTATGTTCATCTAGGTATCTGGATGGCAGGTAGGTACTCACGCTGGTGTCCAACACATATCGGCCGGCGATCTGGTTGGCCTGCATGAGCTCGTAAATCTTGGGCAATTCCGACATCTTGACCACCTTGAAGGGTGCCGAGATCAATCCGCGAGCGAAGAAGTCGATAGCCTCCTGGGTGTCCAGTCTGTTACCGACGTAGCTGCCCTTGATGGTCAACATTCGCACGACCGTGGGGAACACGGACGCCGAGATCTTGGCGCCGGCCGGCAAGCCGACACAGACGACGGCACCTCGGCTTCGGCAGTACTGTGAGACATTATGTTAGTCATCGGGAATTCGGTGGTGGTGGTGGTGGGGGAGCGCGGGGATGAACAAACCTCAGTAGCCTGCTGGAAGGGCTTCTCGGAAACAGCCAACAGAATGACAGCGTGTGCACCCAGACCGCCAGTGTTGTTCTTGACGGACTCGACGACGTCCTCCTTCATGAAGTCGACAAAGACCTCGGCACCGAGCTGCTGAGTGCAGATCTGCTTCTTCTCATCACCCGAGTCCACAGCAATGGTTCGGAATCCCATCGCCTTTGCGTACTGCAGGGCAAGTGTTCCGAGACCTCCTCCGGCACCGGTGATGACGACGGTGTTACCGGGCTTCGCGCCAGACTCTTTCAGCGCCTTGTACACGGTGATACCACCGCAGAGAATGGGCGCCATGGCGTCGAGAGGGAGGTGCTTGGGAATGCGTGCGGCATGGCCGGCGTTGACGACGGCGTACTGCTGGAAGGTTCCGTCGCGAGTGTAGCCGGAGAGGACGGCGTCACCGCAGAGGGGCTCATCAGAGGCCATACCTGTTCACCCCCACCATATTATTAGGGATCTGCAGTCAATCGAACTTGAGGGAGGCGGAGGGTTCCGGATAAAGAAGCTGGTTGCACGTACAGAAATCACATGCGCCGCAAGAGCTGTTTAGCCACTTGATGCCGGCATGATCGCCAACCTTCAAGTCCTTGACGAGTTCTCCGACCTGGACAATCACACCGGCTCCTTCGTGGCCTCCAACGAGGGGAAGCTTGGTGTCAAGAGGCCAATCGCCCTTCCATGCGTGGAGGTCGGTATGGCACACTGTAGTAGAACCTGTCAGCTCCGTGGCTCCCTGTGAACCCAACTAGAGAAGCAATTCTAACCTCCAGTGTACTTGATGTTGATCAAAACCTCATCGGGTCCTGGGGTTGGCACGGGGATCTGCTTGAGTTCGATAGGACCGCCGCTCTTCTCGAAGACCTGCGCCCACTGCATCTTGGGGATTTCGACAGCCATTGTGTGAGGTGTTTTTGGTGGATTGTGAGAGGAAGAGGAGGAGGAAGATGTAGTTTTTGGTATTGCGGAGATTGCTGAAGCTCGGATTCTCTGATGGTCTGGATGGGGATGGCGAGATGGAGAGGAAAGATATCAGCTCATAGGGGCGAACCGAGGAGGTTCTTATACCTCTGGCCCTTTCAGATAGCTGCGTGAGCTCGATATTTCGGAGCTGCGTCGTCATTGACCTATTTGTGGTTCCACCCCAGTTTACGCGGGGTGAAACGTCACTATTGGATGTTTTTTTCTCTCATCCTATGCTTCCGGATCTCTCGGGACCCTTCACGCCGAGCAAGCAAAGATCAGCCGGCGGTCTCTCGATCCCTTTCCACCACCACCAACAACACCGTTCGCCCGCATGGGAAAGGCCCAACACCGTTCGCACGACTACTTTTTTGGCTCCGCCTCGTACACGCAGCCCCTAGGACGAGATGATTGATTCCTCCGAAACATCCCCCCCCGCATCTCTTCGTGGATCCAAGCCATCTACGTTCTGGGGATCTCGTACATACGGACAGATGGAAAGATCGCATGCAAGGCACTGCGGGCGTTTGGCGGGGGGGAAGGGAGAGACAGCATGGATTGGGGGCTGCAAAGATGGCGGGGGTGGGGGATACACAGCATCTCCAGTGTCCAATGCCCACAGCACAATGGCGTGAAAGATGCGGGTAGGCTACTTTATCTCAAGCGCTCTTCCCTTCGCCCTACGAATCCGGAGTGTGGGGTGCATAAGTGTACATTTGGCGGTCCATCAGCTAGCATGGTGTAACTAGTGCCCTTCGCACGGACGGATGCAACCAACCCCCCAGTGACGTTGCACATACGAGCCGGATCCCCGATCCCCGATGCTCAACGAGGGCGGGGGGATACAACGGATGGATGACCGGTTGTTGGGTCTGTTATTTTGTTCGAGCGTTGTTTTCTGGGAGTCGAGCGAGAGAGCTCTGGTGAGTGATAGTCTTCCGATCGTTAGCAGGGCTCGGTTTTAGCGGGCCGTGGGGGGTGGGGGGTGGAACAACCACGATACGGACACGAGACTTCTTTGGTGGCGGATTCGGCGGGACCTGGAGCTACCGACTGCGCCGAATCGACCGGCTGATTCCGGTGGTTCCGCCAAGCTTGCCGGCGTGGCGGGATCGAAGTGTGTTACCATGATAGTGCCAAGTGGGGTGCTTCTTGGGGCCAGAACCGTGGCTATCTTTCCGCAGACCTACTATGGAGTAGAGTACCGTACCGAGTTGGGTGCCTGGCATCGTACGTTGCTGAAGATTTCTGGTTTACACACCCAGCTATGAGATAGGAGCAATTAAGGATGACCGTCTCGGTAATGTCGCCGCTGCATTGAGGAACCCCCAACCAAGAGTGAGAGGGGAGATGTGAATGATGCTGGGGGTTGTGGTCTGACTTTCTTTCGATGCCGACTACTAGCCATGGGAGAAGAGATTAAGGCGAGACGTGATCGTAGCTGGGCCCCCGGTGAGCTTTTAGCTATCTGCAACTCACTGCATCTGTTATCCGCTAGAATCTGGCAAAAGCCGCGAAGCTACTTTGTGTACATGCTAGCAATGTTTGAGGTGTTGATCTCCCCACACGTACGCGTGTATCACGGTAGTGGGCCGGTAGGTAGCTGTGTGAGTAACTAATGGATGCGCCGCGGTGAGAACGCCGAACCATTAGGTGGAATCGCATGCGAAACCGACCGAGCCGGACGGATTTCGGCCTTTCCTAAGGCCCGCCGCCGTCGTCGACGCCACCGCTCATTCTCGTTCTCGGTCCCGTTCTTAGTTCCAAACCATCAGATCGATCCTAGAGTTCGTGTGTGCGTTCTTCTCCTTCGGTGAGCGCCATTCGCGGCCTCTCGATCACCGGCGATGCGTCAGCTAGAGTACGTACCGTACATACAGACCAAGGACCTCCACCGACGACGACGCCCATAGGTACATAGTCCTCGTATCCCATTGCTTTTCCTCCTCCTTCTGAGACATATAGGTATCGCGGACGGACGGACGGACGGATAATCCAGCCCAGGCATCGACGGAGCAGCGGAATCACTAACTGCATACATACTCTACTCTACATACATGCATTCACGAATGTCGTCCGGCGGCGGAGTGACCGCGCATGCAGGTGTGTATGCACCCCACCTCCAACTACTCTAGGTAGCTCTGCGAACACTGGACGAGCCTGGCTTGACCAGTACCCAGTCGGTGCCTGGGATCTGCAGCAGATCCCTCCCTCCCCCCCAGACTCCTATGGTTGGGGACGCCTATACCCGATGGAAAAACACCACCAACTTTGACACCTATCTTCTTCACCAAAAAGTTTTTTTTGAACAAAAACTCTTTATTAATCGATAGAGAATCGGATGGCCGTAATTTAAATAACGTCCGATTAATTTTAAGACGCATGGTTGTGGAGAAGAAGAATTTACAAAATAAATCATTTTGTTTGGAGGCCAACCCAATGTCCCTCCCCTGTCATCACCCAATTCACCCATGTTTGCACTGAATTTGCCCATTCTGGGCCCATGGACAGCCAAATCGGGCAAGCCAAGAACCATTTTAGGCTGAAAATTAGACGAAATAGGCATAAAATGGAATTCAAAATGCCTATTTTTGCTAAAAGAAAATCTCAAAAATCGCTATTTATTACCCATTTTGTAATTAATTCGATTTTTCCACTAATGTCCCATCCCATCGGCTCTAGGAGTCCCCAACCATAGCGCTGCCGAGTTGGTTGTCAGGACTCAGATTACTAGGCGGACGAGTGGGAGTTCGTGAGTTGCGCGCGCTGGACTTTATTTTCTGACGAATCCTCGCTACTACTCTACATACCCAGTTACGGTACTACGGGAGAGCCCATCCCGGTATTTATTGTACAGTACAGTACAATACAAAGAATCCGGAGAGCCAATCGTACGTGCAGCTGGACAAATGTGTTTCTCCCTTTCTGCGCGCGCGGAATCGAGCCGAGTGCGAGAGACGGCGCTAAATAACTACCCCTCCGGATCGAAGCGTTAGTTGTGTATGTACGACTGGCATTCTGGCTTGCTGTTGGAGGTTGAGGCGTCAGCTTCAGGCGGGTGGAGAAGCTTGCGGAGAAGCTTGCGGAGAAGATGGGGGAGGATTGCCGAGTTGTGGAGCGGAGTGGCCGAATGCTGGAATGGATAACTACCGGTACTTATGAAGGAGTGGGCGTGAGTGATAGAAGAACGGTGGCTTCGGTATATATGACAGATGAGTTTGGGCTTATGCTGGACGGTGTACTGGTATAACTAGTATAAGTACCCTATGATTGCGCAAGCAAGCACTTAGGTATTTGACTGTGATGTCCAGTCCTCTAAACGCGGGAATGGCCATTGACCAAGTCTGGTGAGAATCGATCCCTCCCCCTCCCCAAAACCCACGGCTCCCTCGAGTGAGTGTACGGTGCAATACGGTACCGCTTGCTGGGAACCTCCAGGCATCTCCAGCTACCTACCATACTCCGGGCCTTCTCCAGAGTCCAGGCACAAGTTACAACCCAACTCTATATTATGGAAGCGGCTGCTTATCTCTGTCTCTCTCGTGTCGACTCAGCCTGGCACGCACATGGAATTTCGCATCGCAGTTTCACGCCGGGATGGACTCTCAGATCGCACGCAAAGGAAGGGAGACGAAATTTCTATTGCGCCCGGGAAAGCATAGTGCCGGTACCTTGAGTACTCTACCTGTCAGTCGGAATCCGGTCGTGAACTAGGACATAGATAGACAAGGAATGAAGAGTTTCGTCACCAGGGTCCGGGGCTTTTGTTTTATAGTAGTTAACTATCGTATGTAGTAGGGTGTGGACATCGCATTGGCAAAACTCCGTGGGCACTTGGGAATCCCTTATGCACTCCTATATTACGGTCGGAGCGTGCGTTTGCCACAGTTCTGGAAGCGAAAAGAACGCTGGTGTAAGTACTATAATGTGCAGGGCTGGTGGGGCTTTCTGGTTTTCCTATGATGGCAGGTGGGGGAGCTGGGGGGAGTTTAGGGTTGCGGTTGCGGTTGCTGGGTTTCATAGGCGCCAGCCACATGGGTCAGTCGTCGTTTGAAGACGACCATTCTGAAACGCTCTCTGTTTTGACCCCGACGACGTCGATACATTCTTACCTAAGTACCCATCTACATACACCATCTACTTACTCCCCGTCCTTTGCCTTCACGATGGGGTTTCTCTGCAAAAAAAAAACCAACACTTATCTTGTACCTCGCACTCGGCAGAGCTGCAACGCCGCAAGCAAGCAAGCCGGTGCGTTTCAGAAGCAGTATGCTCATACCTCTCTGATACGGTATGCTGCCGTGCTACAAGCCCGGGGCCTTGGTATCTTTGCCCAATGCTACCCACAATCCTGCCAATAGTTACGCCGTGTGAGGTTCCAACTTCTCATATCAATGCAGTTATACCGCTATCCGCCCAGCAAATGCATGTGTGAGGGGATAGTCCGAAGTCGTCCTCGGATTCTGAAGCTCGCAGGCGTTTTGAAGTGCTCTTTGACGTGATGCATTTTCCCGTGGAGCTTCCCTACTTTACGCAGGCTGCCTCCTGCTCGTCCTCCTGCTCTTTCAGTTCTCCATCCTCACTTTCTGCTCGATATCTTTCTCTTCTTATAAGCAGAACACCCGGTGTGTGTGCGTGTTTACGTTCGGTCCTTTTCGTTTCGACTGCACTTTCCATACCTTCTCTCTGTAATACTTAGGACGGGCTCCTACATTCAACACTTCCGCAGGCCGAATAATAATACCCTTTGCTTTTCCACTACCTGACGACCGGGCCGGACTTAATATCCCCCATTCTTTGTGAGTCCTCCCTCATCCTCCTTCAAGAAGACGGAGATTAACGGTTATGGTGGTGGTGTTGGTTGTAGATACTTCACCCTCCCGGCGAGGTACACCGTACATAAACCGAAATGATGCCATCAAGATATACGAAAGGATGTTCACGAACCGGGCTCCTGGCAATACTTGCACTCCACTTATTGGGCGGATTCACACATGTCCATGCGTCACCGTATGGACCAGTATACCAAGATGCTCCGGCGCCGGAACATGTCTCCTCGACAGCGGCGGCGGTGGTGGTTGAACACCCGGCTTCGACGGCGCCGATGGTACATGAGACCACAACGGCGGCGGCGGAGATGGTGCATGATACTGTAACGACGACGGCGATGGTCCATGAGACCGCGACGGAAGCGGCGGTGTCGGTGTCGGTGGTGGTTTCGACGGAGACGGAGACGGTCCACGCGGTGGAAACGGTCCATCAGGTCGAGACGGTACACGTGGTGGAATCAGTCCCGGTCACTGAGCGAGTAACGGAGCATGTCACGATACACATGACGGAGACGGTTCAGCAGCATGTGACGGAGCTCATGACGGTGAGGATCCTTCGAGATTGGAGTCGATGATGGGGACTAATCGGATGTACATACATAGGTGGTTGAGACGTTGCCGCCCGTCCATGTTACGATGCTCGTTACGAAGATGGTGACGGAAGTGTCGATGCACGTGGTTCCCACAACCGTTGTCGAACTGCAGACCGAGATCATGGTGGTCAGTTGTTCCGCCCCTGCGGCGTGGGATATGGCTAACGAGTGATAGCACACCGCCGTTCTCACCAGCATCGTCCCCACGACGATCGTGCACACCATGCCTCCGGTTGTCGAGACGGTGATGGAGCAAGTCACGGCCACTGAGACACTGATCCACACGCAAGTCCAGCAGGTCGTGTCGACGAAGATACAACTGTCGCATATCGTGCAGACGATGTTCCAGACGGAGACGCAGGTACAGGTACACGAAACCACTGCCACGGCGACGCAGGTTGTACACAGCGTCGCAACCGAGACAGTTCAGAACGTCCTGACCGCCACCGAAACTGCAACCGCTACGGCGACGCAAGTGGTCCACAGCATCGCGACGGAACTCAAGACCGCTACCGAAACGGTCCAGAACGTCCTGACCGCAACGGAAACCACCGTCTCGGTGGCAACGGAAGTCGTTCACAGCATCCAGACAGAAACTATCCATCAAGTTGTCGAAAGCGTCCGCACCGAGACGGCGACCGCAACTGCAACTCAAACTGCAGTCCATGTTTCCGTCCAGACTGAAGTGATAAACAATATTCTCACGCAGACGCAAACCGCTGTACACGTTTCCGTCCAGACTGAAGTGGTCAATAACATCCTCACGCAGACGGCCACTGCCACTCAAACCGTCCACAATATCCTCACGGAGACGATTAATAATGTCCAAACGGAGGTGCTGCATAGTGTTTCCACTGCCACTGCCACTGCAACTGCAACTGCTACAGAGACAGTGCATAACATCCTCACCGAGACTGTCAACAACGTGCAGACGGAGGTGCTTGAGAGTATTCTTACACGGACTGCCACTGCAACAGAGACAGTCCACAATATCCTCACCGAGACCGTCAACAACGTTCAAACTGAGATACTCGAGAGCATCCTCACACAGACCGCCACAGCTACTGCCACCGAGACTGTCCACGCCATCCAAACCGAAACGGCCACTGCCACTGCCACCGAGGTGATCCATAGCATCTCAACCCTCATCTCGACCCAGCTTCTCGCTGGTACCCCCGCCCCGCCCACATCCGCCGTACATGTAACCTCGACCGTGACCGTCTGTACAGTCTGCACCACCACCTCAATGGCACACACCGTGACCGTCACGCCCCCCGCCGCCGACACCTCCATGGTCCACACCATCACTGCGGCGCCTTCAACATCCGCACCCCCCGCCGCCGCAACAACAACCCACACCGTAACCGTTGGCGGCACCTCAGGGCTAATCTACACACCCTCGTCCCTTACCGCCTCTGTGGGCGATGTAGTCCACTTTATGTTCTACTCACAGAACCACACCGTAACGCAATCGACCTTTGCCCTCCCCTGCGTCGCAGACTCCTCCAACGTCGGCTCCGGCTTCCAGCCCAACACGGACAACGCGCTCATGCCGCCGCCAACATGGGACTACACGGTTGAGACCGCCGACGCTACATGGTGGTTCTGCGCACAGAGCACGCACTGCGGCAAGGGCATGGTATTTGCGATCAATCCGACGGCAGAGAAGACGTACGAGGCGTTCAAAAACGCTGCTGTGGCGCAGAACGGTAGTGCAGAGGCGTGGCCGAGTTACCGGCCCACCACTATGTTGACGTTGACACGGAGTGCGAGCGAGACGAGGTCCGAGGATCCGGCTATGTCTACTTCGACGGAGGCAGCCACAGCTACACCGATAATGACAATGACAATGACCTCCGCTACCTCCGCCGCCGCCGCCGCAACAGAGGCGACGACAACGGTCACTTCCTCTGCCACGGCTACAACTAGCACGACCGTTACCTCTCCCCCCCCCTCCCCCGTGGCTACAACTCCGGCCGAGGAGGCTGCCCCGCCGCCGCCGCTGGCAACCGCCCTCCCGGCCGTCACAGACTCAAAACCCGTACTGGACCTGGGAGACTACCCGACCTCCCTGTTGACCAACGGGCTGGTGATTCATATACCCGCGCCTACTGCCACGGCCTAAGTATTTGGCTGGCAGTTGTTTACTTCCTTCTCTTTGTTGTGCGCAAAATATAATTATTATTAGTATGGGTTGATATGTATGACGAAATGTGGCGTGCTGCGTGCGCGCTTCTACTTGATGTATCTCCTTTTGTTTATGAGTGTGGGGTAGTTATAGGTACTATTAGCATGGGAGAGTTGGCGAATTAGAATACAGTCCATCATTCACAAGCTATCTCCTAGGTATCCGATATAGATATACCGAGCGTAGGATCACTTCCAAAATTCATTCCATTCATCCGCGAATCATCATCACACATTATAAATCCTACTCTCCCATATGTCTATACCACGCCCGTAATCCTCCTAACCGTCCTCCTCGCGCCATCACCATGTACCCTGACGGCGCCCTCTGCCTCCGCGGCCCTCAGGGCCTCGGCAAACTCCATATTCTCCACGGTAACGCCACTCTGCTCCTGAATCTTGCTCAGCAGCTCATTATACCTGATGCTTCCGCCAGAGCCCATGCTCTCATCAAGGAGCTTGATGATAGCCGATTTAAGATCCGACTTCCTGCGACGCTCGGAGCCCGATATACCGGCAAGGAGGTCCATATCGATGCGACCCGTGACCGGATCGGTGGCGGACTCCTTGATGGCCGACTTGATGAGGCGCACGGCCTCCTTGACGTCGTCGACAGTGACGGTTTCCGACAGGCGCATCTTAGCGTGGGCCTCCGCGAGGCGGATCATGCTCTCGAGCTGGCGGGTGGTGGCAGTGATGCGGCGCTCCGCGGCGCGCACGTCTTCGCCCAGCTTGCGCAGCGCGACGTACGCGGTCACGAGCTCGTCGCCCGCCTCGGCTGTGAGCTTCGGGTGGATGTTTTGGCGCGCGTACGAGATGTACGCCGTGAGGGTCTCGACAGGGATCACTTCGGCTTCCGTGGCGTGCACGGGCCGGTCCTCGAGGTACATTCCGACCAGGTGCCGCGCCAGCTTGCGGTCTGTAGCTTCGTCGACGCGGTCGAGCACGAGGTATACCAGATCGAAACGGGAGAGGAGCGTGGGCGGGAGGTCGATATTCTGGGGAACCGGAAGGTTGGGGTTGTACTTGGAGCCGATGGGGTTGGCGGAGGCGAGAATGGAAGTGCGCGCGTTGAGAGTGGTGATGATACCGGCTTTGGCGATGGAGACAGTTTGCTGCTCCATCACTTCGTGAAGAACGGACCGCGTCGAATCGGACATCTTGTCGAATTCGTCGATGCAGCAGACTCCGCCGTCGGAAAGGACCAGAGCTCCGGACTCCAGGACCAGTTGACGGGTCTCGGGGTCACGAGTGACATAGGCCGTAAGACCGACCGCGGAGGATCCCTTACCGGATGTGTAGATTCCTCTAGGGGCGATCTTGTGAACGTATTGCAAGAGCTGGGATTTAGAGGTAGATGGGTCACCGCACAGCAGGACATTGATGTCACCTCTGTATCGTGGCGCTCCGCCCTTTTCGAATGTCTTGTTCGTACCGCCAAAGAGCTGCAGCAGGACACCCTTCTTCACGTCGTCAAGCTCGTAAATGCTGGGCGCCAAAGAGCGAGAAAGAAGCTCGTAAATGTCATAACGCGCACCGAGGGCCTTAATCTTGCTCACTTCATCATCTGTGAGTTTTCGGACCTCATCCACATCCGCCATGACCGCATTCGCAACCTCAGCCTCCAAGGTCGAGGTATCTTGTCCCATGCGGCGCTTGTCGACCTTCTGGATGTGTAGTACGTCGACGTACGTCTTGAACAGATTCTTGATGGACCGCTGGCGAGGATTCACCCGCACTGGGATGGACCTGAAGATTCCCGTGACTTCGATCCGATCTCCAGCCCTGGCAACATCGCAAAGCTCATCGTAGCAGCAGAGGGAAACAGCGTGAGGTGTCTGTCCGTCTGGGATATTGTCTGGAGTCTCCTGGAGCTTTATAACCTGCTTGTCCTGGAAATCGGAGCGGTTGTGCACGATTTGCATGGAATTGGGCGTCTTGCAGACCTCTCTGGGGCACTCGGTGGGTTCCGCGATCTTGCCGCGGTCAATCTCGACGGTCACGGTATGGCCACAGACATGACAACGGAAGAACGCTTTGGACATGTCCGGAATGATTGACGAAACTCGGATCACCAGACCCTTGATGCAGACAACCTTGTCGATATCTTAGAACTAGTCAGTTACCATTTCTCCATACATTGCGGACGGACACGACATACCAGAAGGATTGAGGTCCCTCATGTTGATGCTCTTATCGCAATTAAACGGCCTTGCCTTGTAATTTCTACCCAAGCACTTGTCGTATTCCTCATCGGTTGCTCCGATCCTCACAAGATACTCCAACATCTCATCTTTGACGGCCGTATCCATGATGGGAATGCACTCCTGGGGGTATGCATGCAGTTGGTGATAGAACTTCTTGGTGGGCGGGAAAGCCTTCAAATTCTGCACATCCAAGTTCAAACATGTTGTCTCCAGATCTCTCATTTGCTTCATCATATCCTGATAAACCAACTCTTCGCCCTGGCCGGGGTGAATAAACTCATTCTCCTGGCGCATGCGGTACTTGCGTTTAAACTCGTGCAAGAATTTGCGGAATGCTAGGGTGCACTCCTCGACCGAGACGTTTGTACCCCAGATCAACCGTTTGGGTCCGTCCGGAAGTTCAGAGGTAGGTCCGGCGCTGTAGGTAGGGGCGTCGGAGAGTAGGTCGGCGGCCGCATCACTGCCCATCGGTACACCGTTCTCGTCGACGTACAGGAGGCGACGGTGGCTGGGGGTAGACCTCAGATCGGAAAACTGGAGATCTCCTCGGCGAGAGCGCGCGGGAGTTGTTCCGAAGGCAGCTCCTCCACGGCTGTAACAGGTCATCAGCATCGCAATACGACACCAGTCTCTCAATGTTTCACGTACCTCGAGCGAATGGCGCTGGCACTTGAGCCCGGAAGGCCAGAAGATCTCGGGGTTCGTCCATCCCTTGGGGGAGACGAAGATGCATATCTCAGTGGCGAGGAATCTCGGAAAGCATCCGAATTTTGCGGTAAAGGGGTGGATGCCGGTGCGGCGGCCGGTGAGCTTTGCCTTCCTCGGTCTGACGACGGAACTGGCGACGATGTGAGTCCTTCGGGGAAGAGCGGAGACGTTCCCCTCACTGAAGACCCCGCCGGGGGCGCAAGAGGAGCATTCCGTCCAGTACGAGAAGCACGGGGAGTGGATTGCTGGGAGGATGGTGGCTGGTTCGAGGGCTGACGGGAACTGCGTCTTGAAGACATTGCTGCGGCAGACACGGAGCTGGGCTAGGAATTGATATTCGTATTTGGTGTCTGTGCGCGTATGAGTGTTGATGATGACAGTTTGATGGAGGGGTATCAAGTGGGTATCTCAATGGTAAAACGGAAAGGCAGCACCGACAACAAATACATGCGGAGCGCGTCGCCTTGGCAAGCAAGGGACCGCGTAAAGCACAAAAAAATCGCGCCCCACGGAGCATCACTCGAGGCGTTTGCCGCAAACTCTGTGGATAAAAGGCCGGTCGCGGTGGCCACTCGCGTAATTTATGATTCTTCCATGGCACCAAGTAAACTCTGGCCGTGAGTGGGGGCCATGTGCAAGGTGAGTGAGCAGCAATGAAGCAGAGCCGCTCTGTGTCTTAAAATTTTTTTTACTTTGTTAAACTGCCCAACGCCCACCACGAACATCACAATCACCGCTTCCCAACACCACACATTCACAATGGCTCGGAAATCCAAAGTCAAGAAGAACCAGACCGACGCGACTACGGCCGTCCTCGCTACGGCCGATATATTGCCCACAAACAGTGAAGATGCGCCGCCGCCAATGGACGCGGAGGAGGAAGAGCTCGAAAGGCTTGTCTTCGGCGATGTCGCAGGTTTCAAGTCTGGGTTAAAGGTGCTCGATTACGAGTCAGAGGAGGACGGTGAGCTGTTGGATGCGAACGTCCGTGGTGGAAATTCTGCTAGTAAGGGACAGGACATTTCTGCTCTTCTGGACGATCAGGTAGGTTGTACTTCTTTCCGGGACTGGGACGGAGGCTTATGCAGATTTTATAGTTGTTTTTTGTTGATGCGGGCAACGATATGGCGCTCACGCGCCGAGACACGGACGGAGATGTGGAGATGGTATCAATAGGCAGCGGCGCACAAGCAGTTCCCGAAGAAGCCGACGAACCACCAGCATGGGAGGACAGCGACGACGAAAAGATGATGATCTCACTTGCATCGCACGCCCGCAATCGCAAGCTTCGCGATACGGAAGCCGACGATTTCGTGACCGGCAAAGAGTACTCACAACGCCTCCGGCGGCAATTCGAGCGCATTTACCCAGTGCCAAAATGGGCCCGCCCGCCCAAGGCTGACACCAAGCGTCGTCGGCTTTCAGACAGCGAGGAGTCAGAATCAGACTTGGAAATAGATATTGATGCCGACAGCACTACCTCTCTCTCTGCGCCTCCGCTCGCGGCGCTCCTCTCCTCCTCCGCGGACCTGACCCTCTCCAAGCTGTCGCAGAAAGCACACAAGCTCCGGCCAGAGGTTATCGATATCGCCCGCCTCGTAGACGCCAATGTCGCCGCGCCCTCCAAGTCCGCGATTCAATGCCTCTCTTTCCACCCTACCCACCCGCTTCTCCTCACCTCCGGTCTCGACTCCACCATGCGCCTTTACCACATCGACGGCAAAATCAACCCCCTCGCCTCCTCCCTTCACATCCGTCAGTCCGCTCTACAAACCGCACTGATCCACCCCTCCGGTACCCGCATTGTCGCCGCCGGTCGCAGAAGATACTTCCACTCGTGGGACCTGGAGTCTGGAACTGTGGAACGAGTGACCCGAGTTTACGGACACGAGGGCAACCTGCACAGCATGGAGCGCTTCAACCTCTCGCCGGATGGAAAACACATCTCGTTCATTGGCTCCAAGGGCACGGTCCAGATTCTCGATGCGGTCTCGAGCCAGTGGATAGCCACCGCCAACGTCGAGGGACTAGTCGCCGACATCTCCTGGCACCCCAGCGGTGAGACTCTTTCCATCGCCAACACTGTCGGAGAGGTCTATGAGTACTCACTCCCCACTCGCTCGTTCTCCGCCGTCTGGCGCGACGAGGGTGGTGTTTCCACCACTTGCATCTCCAACTCCCCCCTCGGGGCCCGCTTCGTAGCAGTTGGTAGCGCCTCAGGTGTGGTGAATATCTACGACCGCCGCGTTTCCTTTGGCGGGAAGGGCCCGGGTGCGCTGGGAACAGCGACAGATCCGAAGCCTGTCAAGACGGTGGAGAGTCTAGTGACCAGTATTAGCACACTTGAGTTCTCGCGTGATGGTCAAGTGCTCTGCATTGCTAGTAAGAACAAGAAGGATGCGCTGAGACTGGTCCATCTGCCTAGCTGCACGATCTATAAGAACTGGCCGACGTCTGCAACGCCGCTAGGGAAGGTTACTGCTGTCAAATGGAGTGGTGGGAGTGGAGGAATGGTTATGGCCGTGGGCAATGAGCAAGGCAAAGTCAGGCTATTTGAAGTTAGGGGATCATAGAAGATGTAATTGTCAATTCCATAGCCCTCTGTCCGTAGTTATATACCTGTAAATATTCCACCAAAAGCACTCCTTCTTCACCTACCTCACTAGTGTGGCACCACCCTGCATCAACATCACGCCCAAACGCGTCTCCCCAACTCACGACCACCAACCAAACCACACGCACATCATGTCCTCCCCTCCACTCACGGTCCATCCATTATACAACACGACCTACACCCTACACGCCCTCACATCCCTCTACAAATTTCCCGCCCTCACCGCAGCAGCCCTAAAACCGCACTCCCGTCGCCTCCTCCAGCGCCTCCGCGGCGACTCCCTCCGCGGCGTGACCCTCCCAACGAACACCACAGACCCCTCCCTCTCGCGCGCGGGCAAGCTCCTCTCAGTCACCTGGCTGCCGCTGCACCCCGAGCCCCCGGCAACCCGCGGCGTTCACATAGAACTCACCTATGAGTCGGCCTCCTACACCGCGCTCCTAATCGGCAGCGACAGCGGCCCCGCAGAGCCCGAAGGCTTCATGCGGCTCCCGCTGCTGATGAGCCGCATGCCCTCGCTGCTGCGCGAAACGCTGCTGTCGTATCTCACCACCACGTTCGATATCCTCGTGCTACCTGTCGCGCTGGAGGACGAGCTGCTGCGGCGCGCACTGGACATGTATGTGGACTGCCTTGAGGGCGGCGGCGGGAAGAGTGTCGTTATGGCATTTGCTCCGACGGAGGGGGAAGGGTTGAAGAGGGTGGAGATCACGATTGAGGCTGCGGATGTGGGCGGTTTTTGGCAGAGGAGGGGGGAGGGCGGGTTTTTGGAGGCGCTGGGGAGACATTGTCTCGATGCTATGGGCTTGAGGTTGGAGGAAGTTGCATTGGTGAAGGTTGCGACAGGCGGGTTTGTACTGGCAGCTGAGGGGAAAGGGAAGTTCTTTGAGGGGGAGGCGGGGAGTGAGGTTTTGGGTGTGGTGTTGGCGGCGGCAGGGAGGGAACCAAGATGACGGCTAGTACTAAACTACGGACGATATATCTGGAGACAGGCGAATGGCGTTCCATGCAATACCGTTTATACAAGGCACAAAGATCGCACGAGATGATAGCGATGAAGTATTCAGTAAGTAAGCAGTATCATTCAGCGGCCACAGGACTTTTGCCTAGAAGCCGAACAGGAAAAAGCACAAATCCGCGATACCAAGGTAACAAAGGTTCGAAGGACAGAAAAGCAGCAAGCAAAGCAATCGTAAAGATCAAACGCCGTGGAAATCACAACAAAGCCCTCCCTCCCAATGCTTCAAAGCAGTCTGAACAGGAAATGCCGAATTGCCGAATTGGTTCCAAAGAAAGAGACGAGCACGGACGAACGCAGGGCCGAAATGAAACAACGACTATGACTCGTCAAAAGGCAACGGGTCGTGCGTCGAGGGCGAAGCGGTAATAGCCGGTTAGTCGATACCATGCTGTCTCTTCGCCTTTTCTAGGTTCTCTTGACGTCTCTGGAGGTCACCTTCCGCGCGGGCCATCTTCTCGGGCTGGTGATATAATACTGTTCAGACGAAGAGTAGTCAGCAACCACGATCATCAACGGAGCAAAGAAGATGAGCCGAACTAACCAACGAGGTAGCGATTCTGGAAATTAAAACCGTTGAGCTTGTCGCAAGCGGTTTTTGCGTCCATTACGTCCTCATAGACGACGAATGCAGTTCCCTTAGTGTTGTTGGCTATGCCTTGGCGGATTTGTCTACGCGTGAGAGTCAGTCACGGCCCATCTTGTGGAGGAGTTTATGCGTTGCCATTCACCATCCACATCGCGGAGTGGAATGAAAGTCGGGTACGTACCGGATAGGACCGAACTTGCCGAAGAGATCAAAGAGTTCCTCGGAAGAGACGTTGTAGCTGTAGACAATTAGCCGTGAGACTCGACGACAATGGAGGACGTGATCTGCATCGCTACTGAGGGGACGGGACACGACGACGGCAGGATGTATGTGCGACACGCGTATCATCCGAGATGACACAGTGCTTGGATGGCGGGAAGAGAAGCGCGACAGACGGACAGACGGACAAACGGACCTCAGGTTCTTGACAAAGAGAGCTCTCTGGACTTCGGGCGCAAGTTTGCCCCTGTTCATATCTCGGCGATGCTGGTAATAGAAGGTTGCAAAGGAAAATGGTTGGAGTTGTAGTACGGGAAGTGTGTTGTGGGGATGTGGGATGTGGGGAGGAGAACCCTTGTGCGAAGGTTGTTGAGTTGGGGAAGATTGGAGCGAATGGATGGCGAAGGAGACACGGGAAGTTGATCGGAGGAATGGTGTTGCGAGTCAGTCTAGATCAAATCAGATCGATCGTCAGATAATCACGTGGCCTGATGCGGGAATTTTCAAATGTGTCAGGGCATGCGATGGCTGCTACACGGATAGTTACGTCATCGTGGGGGAGCTGCATAGCCGTCGGCAGGTCACGAAACGGACAAGATGGTTAACGAGAACGAGAGCTTAACAGGTCCTTCATAAAGCACACCAAGATCCCTTTCTTTTACATTGAAGCCACTTAACGAAACCGATCTGCTTATTCTTGCCCGTTGACCTACTCCTTTTACTAGTTATCGCCTTAGAATTAGCATCATCTATCTCAAAGTACTCTATTGGTACCTACTCTGCGCGCATTTACCAGTTGCTTCTTCCCAGATACTCGTTCAGCGATGACAGATACATTACCAGAACCAGCCCCGTTGGCTTCAGCTGCGCAACAATGCTCACCCGAATCGGAGAAGGATAAGGCGGAGGAGGAGCGACGGGCCCGAGCTGCAATGAGCATACAGGTACGGCATGCTCTTGGTGAAGCTCCGGCCAGAGCTAAATGAAGGGACTAGAGACACTATCGTGGGCATAAAGAACGACGAGAGATGAATGGCATGTGTCTGACGCCAGATCAGCGTTGGACTGAGGTTATTGCTTCGCTCTCCTGATATTCCGGGACTGTTGGTAACAGCTATTCCTTGAGCAGGCAGTGGCAGATGCTCGTTGGCGGACGACTGCAGACGTCCCTTCCCATGGCAGTGAGACCGAGCAGAAACCGGGGAAGTATGCTTGGAATAAGGCGGTGAAAGTCGCCATGAGGGTTGGTCCAGAGGTCAACAGCCTTGGGTGGTCCTAATGAGTCTCATTCCGGCAGGTTCAACACGACGACCCGGACCACGATCAGAAGAGTGGCGATGAACGGGAAGAAGAGCATGACGGGAAGAGAATTGTCAAGCGGCGGAAGGAAGAACAAAATATGACGACAATGGACATGCAGTAAGTCCTCCTTCGGTCGTCGGCAATCCACCTACTGAGCAGTTGTCAACAGATATTTTTTGGAAATGGTTGACGGTGGGTGATCTCTACCCCAGTACCTAGTTTAGCGATAGCCTTCTAACCATTGTTCTATCATGATTAGTGAAGGTGGGCAATATCCGGTCTTGTCGTGAGCAACCACTCATGTAGATTCAGCATCGACATGGCCATAACCTCCGGGCATATCATGAGTTCTGGAGGCAGCAAGACACCAAAGAGAATTTTTTCCGTTGGTTAGATTACGGCGAGGGCAGGAAAGTAAACCTCAATGCAGTCCCTCGAGAAACATTAGAACGTGAGAAAGTTCGTTACCTCTCACTGGAGGAAAGACAAGCATATCTAGTCAAAGTTGACGAGGTATGTTACCAACTTCCCGTCAGAGGACTCATATTGACGAACATGAAAGGATGGCCGTCTTTGCTGGGCCAAGAACGGCCAGAGAATCGACACCACAGCTGAATATTCTGACAGCAGACAAGGTGATTGATACTTCCTAGCCTCCTACAGAATGACCATGTTGAACAACCATAGGTATCGTTCCTTCGGATCACCCAGAAGCGTTCCACCATTATCATCCGGACAGAGATGAAGCTATGTGTCGATCATCCAGCTCTTCGTCTTCGTCTTCGATCTCGTCATCATCATCCGAGTCCGAGTTATCGGACGAGAATGATCCAGCAGATTCAAATCTAGGGAAGAACTTCCACGTATCATCAGCGGTGATATTCAACCGGCTCCTCCGCAAGACCATAAGGAAAAATACTTGGATCTTCGTAGCCGACACCTCCCTACGACTGTACTATCCCGATTCCGATCCCCTCAATATCTAGGTTATCAATCATCTGACCGCCCTATAGGTACGTCGGAATAAAACAATCAGGCACCTTCCAACACTCGAGCTTCCTCCATGGCGCACGAGTCCGAGCCGCGGGACTAATCAAGATCAAGGACGGCAAGGTGCGAAGCCTTAGCCCACTATCCGGTCACTACCGGCCGGCGCCCTCGCAGTTCCGAAGTTTCTTAAAGTCTCTCCAAGATACTGGAGTGGATCTGAGTGGTATTGCCATTACGAGGAGTTATGCCATTCTAGTCGGTCTGGAGGCGTACAGCAATTATAAGAAGGGCAAGAAGAAGATTAAGAGTGTGTCGAAGAAGGTGGTGGATAAGGCGACGCCGTCAAGTCATGGTCACGGCCATGGTGGAAAGGGGGAGAAGAAAAGCGGTGGGATAGTGTCTGGTGAGGAGCAAGCAATGGGAGAAGGAGAAACACAGTGTCAAGCAGATGCCTATAAACCGCCGGATGAATTGCATGGACCCAGAGAGGACGATAAACTTGTTGAGAGGCTTTTGCATGGCGTAAGTAGAGTTCCACTGAACATGGCTTTAGAACACACGTAAGCTGACATGTGAACAGTCAAGAGAGCCCAAAGTTGAACCTGCCTGATTGATGTTGTATTTCTGCTCGATATCTGTTCTTTTTCTTTGGCTGTACTGGGGACTGTATACTTTTTAGATCTATTGAATAGTGTATGATACGGCGATGACAATGAGTGTCCTGCCAACTCCGTTTCGATCACTGTGAATCATTCGTTGTTGTTGTTGTTTTCGGATGTCACTGGAACACGGATCACGGAACACGTGAAGGGAGCACGGTGTCTTGGAAGTTGGGGGTTGTAGCCACCGCGTTATTCGCGTCTTCCCGATCCCTGCATGACCAATCTAGCCGGACATGACCCACGACTCAACTCCCCCCGTTTCACGACCGACGACTCCACCTTACACGACTCACCACTCACGGCCGACGACTCACCACTCACGGCCGACGACTCTACCACGTACAAATCACGGCCGGCGACTCAACCCACACTTTATGCGCCTAACGGCTTTATCCCATCATGACCTCTCGCCGGCGTGCCCCATCCACGAAGCAGCCCCCGCCCGTCACGTCCTTCTCACCGACCGGTGAAGAATACGATGCCTCTACGTTCGGTGGTATCGGCGACTACATGCGGCGGAAGCGGATCAAGCTCCAGAATCAAGACTCGCTCAGGCGCAACGACACGATCCCGCAGATCTTCACAGGCCATGTCATGGCCGTCCTTGGCTATACAAATCCGAACCCGAGTATCCTTCGGCAGATCGTCGTTATGCATGGCGGGGTCTGGCGGGATTTTAAGGATGGCGGGTTGACGATGGTTCTTGCGACTGCATTGCCGATCAAGAAGGAGGAGGAACTGATGGGGAGGTATAAATTTGCTACGCCGGATTGGGTGCTCGAGTGTGTTAAGCAGCAAAAGATTGTGGCATGGTCGAATTATAGCCTATCAAGGAGGAGTGAGGGACAGACCACATTGGGATTTGCCCGGAAGTCGCAGACGCCGAAGGTGAACTCGAGTTCGGCCTACCGGGAGGAGCTGGTGAAGTTCGCGCTCGATATTATCAAGACGACCCCGCAGAAAGGTCCGGAGTGGGAGATTCCGGATTCAGATCATGAGGGTGGCCTCGAAAATGAGCGGGAGGGACTGGAGCACGGGAGTGCATATTCAGGTCAACTACCGGAACCATTACACGGAAAGGGAGATCGGGCGCCGCCATCTGGACAGACGCCGGCGAAGGAGCATTCCGAGGATTTCGAGGAAGATTACTTTGATGACATCGATGAGGATACACTGTGGATGGAGGATCCGGACGGGCAAATAGCACCACCTAGCCATCAGCCGACGACGAGGCACAAACGTAACTTTTCGGAAATGGAGGAGGAGGAAGATGAAGAGGAGGCAGACGTTGTATGCCTTATACCAATAGGAGACACTATTGGGGTTGCAGATGCACCGCTCAGCGATCCTCCTCGACCACCATCCCTTAAACCTGAGCCCGAGTCCGAGTCCGAGTCCGAGTCCGAGCTTGAATGTTCACGACCTCCGCCTGTAGATAAGATCAACGGCGCGGACGCCTACACCGTAGAAGCACTCATAGGAGAGAAGAAGACGGGCAAGAGCAAGCGCACCAGGATAAAATTCCTGGTCAAGTGGCAGGGCTACGATGAGAGCGAGGCTACATGGGAGTGGGCGGATACTCTGCGAGCTGATCTAGGTTCCGATGTAGTAGACGAAATGCTGGAGAAATATCGACAGACGAAGACTCCCAAAAGATCTCAGTCGGCGAAGCGGAAACGGGCCAGCACCCAGAAAACGTCACAGAGATCGAAGAAGCGGGCGACATCGACGCAGAAAACTCCCACTAGATCGCAGCAGAAGATGATCTTTTCACAGATTACGAAGCCGTCAAGCCAGAGCTCGAATAAGGAGAGCATTAGAAACAAGACGGCTCCTAAGGAACCGGCGATTCAGCCCTCTCGACATACGGCGGTGCAGAAGATCGTTCAAGAGACACTGGTTCCGTCCCCTCCAAGCCCGGTGATAGAAGAGCCTCTTCAACCTCCAGCAGCGGAAGAAAAGGTGTTACCAACCGGGTTTAGCTTCATGAGTTTTTCGACCGTGTGTCTTTCGGACTCCGGAAGCAGTCAAGGTAGGCATTTACAGACTGTAGAAGATATCTCGCCAGATTTCCCATCCACGAAAGGCTATTTTTCCGATGGCAAACTGCCAGCTGTTGTCGGTGATATGGCGGACGAAGACGAGGAAGCAAGGCTTCTACTGTCCTACCAAGTCGTCGAAGCGGCAACGGCGAAAGAAGAGTCAGCAGAGTTCGCGCAACTTTCCCAGGCTACGGAGGTGACGGTGGAAGATGGAGCAGCTGATCCGCCGACGTCCTATCAAGCCCCTGCCGTTACTGAAAATGAGGTCATCAAAGACGGCCCAACGGAGCTTCTGCAGCTTTACCAAGCTATTGAAGATGCGACGATGGACGAGGAGGAAGCCTCGAAACCTCCAGAGTCCTACCAGATGCCAGCCATCGCCGAAGAAGTGATTCCAGAAGGAGAAGCATCCAAGCTCCTATTGTCTTACCAAGAGCCCGTCCTCGGGAATGAGGTAGCGTGGGAAGGAAAGAACGAAGCAGATATTCCGCCTTCCTACCAGGTGCCTGTGATTGCTGAAGCAGCAGAGTGTTCGCTCGCTCTCGAGCGGCAAGGTACCCAAGAATTGCTGGAGATACCGGACTCCATCTCGAGAGTAAACCTTACGAGTGGCATTCTATCACAAGAAGAACAAAAAACACCTCCCTCGTCGCCTCTTTCTGCGAAGACTCCCAAACAAGCAAGCCAGAAGTGCCCAGCCCCCACCGAATCACCTCATCTGCCCTCAAAGCAGATGAAGTATGCAGATGCGGATATTTCCCCAGAAAAGACGCCGGTTCTTGCCGTTTCCCTTAAAGCCCCGTCCGGCGTAGACAGAACGGTCATGATGAGGGAAGCCAGAACCCCCGAAGAGTTCAACGAAGCCTTCCTTTCAGACCCTCGAGTCCGCAACGCGTCGGTTCTCAACCCGGATTTCCTTGCTACATTTTTCAAGGAATCTCGTCTGCATTACCTCTCGACATCGAAAGCCGAACTTCGCTCCAGATTGCAAAAATTGGAACAGAAATTTCCCCGGCCAACGCCTCCGAAGAACAGAGCTACTAGATATGTCATGCACGTAGATTTCGACTGCTTCTTCGCCGCAGTATCTACACGTGACCTTCCAGACCTGAAGGATAAACCGGTCGCCATATGCCACGGACGGACGGAGAAAAGTATGACATCGGAGATTGCATCTTGCAACTATGCGGCCAGGGCATTCGGCGTCAAGAACGGCATGTGGATGGCCAAAGCCAAGGAGTTGTGTCCGGATATCGTCACTCTTGGGTACGAGCTTGAGAAGTACGCGGAGGCAAGCGAGGCGTTTTATGAAGTTATTCTGTCACTCGGCGGTGAGCGGCTTCAAGCGGTTTCCGTGGACGAAGCGTTGGTGGACATCTCGAATCTCGTGTGCAATGAGGGCTTTGCCGATTTAGAAAGAGAAGAAATCAAGGCCCAAGAACTCGCCCAGAAGATCCGCGATGAGTGTCGGAGAAGGACTAGGTGTGATGTTTCAGTCGGCATTGGCACAAACGTTCTCATGGCTCGGCTTGCCATGAGGAAGGCAAAACCTGCCGGCCAATACATCATCCGAAATTCCGAGATTCAAGATTTCCTAGACAGCTTAGACGTTCGAGCATTCCCAGGGATAGGGCGCCATACGACTGAGAAAATCACCGAAACATTCAAGTCGGATTCGGTACTTGAGTTGAGGAAGATCCCCAAGGACCGGTTACAACAGGCGCTGGGTTCTAAAACCGGAATCAAGGTACATGAGCTCTGTCGCGGCATCGATAATACGCTCGTTGGCGCGGCCGAGACACCGAGGGAGAGCATATCCATCGCTGTCAACTGGGGAGTTCGGTTTACGAATAAGGAACAAGCCGAAGAGTTCCTCCATCGACTTACCCGTGCCGTCGAAGAGAGGATGAAGAGTGAAGGAGTCAAGGGCCGGTCATTGACCTTCAAGGTTGCTAAAAGGGCTGCAAATGTGCCATTCGAGACCGAAAAGTTCCTTGGATGCGGACGGACCGAAGATATAAACAAGACATTTCTGTTCAGTGTTTCAACCTCCGATGCCTCGCTCATTGCCAAGAAATGCATAGAGCTCCTCCGAGGATTCTCAGTTTCTCCTGGCGATATCCGTGGATTCGCGGTGGGAATGAAAGGGCTTGAAGATGCGGCCCACGATGGCGGACAGCAGCAATTGCAATTCCTGAAGCAACACGCGATGGCAGGGGAAAGACCCAAAATTTCCGCACCACCTCTTCCAGAGTTGAAGCCTGCGGCACCCGTTACGATGAAAGCTTACGTCAGGCCGAAAGTTACGACATTATTTGATCTCTTTGGGAAAAATAGTAACAATAAGAAGCCTCAGCCGGTGATCAGGGATTCACCGATAAACCAACGAACACTGCCTGAACCAACAGTGCCTGTGCTGATGCCACCGGCCGTTTTGCGAGAACCACCACCATCACTACTACTACTATCACCACCACCTCCACCACCACCGCGTCCATCAACGTTGCAAGACAAGGCTTGTGGGTTTTCAGGCATGGCTCCTCCTCCTTTTGTGCGACCGGCACCACTGGGTAGCATTACCAATCGCACACCTGCAACAAATACGTTGGAGGGCGAGGAGTCTCCCTTTGAAAATCCTCCAAATCCACAGCATGCCGAGGTGAGAACTCATACTAGGATGGTGCCCCAACGTAATACCACTCCCCAGGTTCCCCTCATTTCTGTAACGTCTTCGACCCAGTACGCCATTCCGAATGAATCACAATTTGACATGTCCTGTTTTGAGCATCTTACCTCTTCAATTCAAGGGAAAATACTGGAAAAAGTCAAAGCAAAAGAACCACAAGATGCAGATCCACCACCGGATTCACAGTGGGCTCCGGAAACCTGGAATTCCCTCTCACCGGCGACACGGAAACAAATCAGGGCGGAGGACGAAGCAGCAGAGCGGAGACGGGCACAGGTACAGGCACCGGCACGGAGAAATATAGGCTATTCCGAGGATAAGCAGCGAATCAATTCCGTCTTCAATCGTGGTCTACCAGGGCTGGAGCAAAATCCGTCGCTATCCAAGCAGGGTGTGTCGAAACTTGCCATTAATACCACTCGGATCCCTCGCAACGTCGGTAAAGGCCGAAGAAAAGCTGTTTTCAAGCGACCGCCGCCGCCGGTTAGACAGGCCCCTCCTGAAGATCATCCTGACTGGTTTTACGAATCCAAGGCGATCGGCGGCGAGGGATATCTAGAGGACTTCGCAGACATACCCAAGGCTGAGCGAGCTCTACACATTGCCAACGTTAAGTACGTGCGCAAAGCTGCTGAGGAAAAGGAGGCAGCCAAAGCACAGGAAGAAGTGATGGAAGCGCTGCAAAGAGAAGACAGAGTACAGGCGCGCACCCCTGCGATTGTGATCAAGACGGTGCGAAAGCCGCCAGTGCTGTCTCTCTCCGTTGGAGCGGCCGTGAGGAGCACGGATTTTGATGCGGTGCGGATGACGATCAGTGCTTGGCTACGTGCTGTAGATGAAGATCTTTTGGAAGTGGAGGCTAGAGATGAAGATCTGAAGAAGCTTTGTGTGTTTTTGGAAAAGGTGGTGGTGGAGGAACGGCAGATGGATAAGGCCGTGAGGATTGTTCGGTGGTTTCCGACCATTCGTGTGAGCGACGTATTTCAGCAGCGTTTGATTTTTGGCGTTTTGGAGGGTACGGTTCGCAAGATAGCGAAAAGTCAACGTATTCACGGTTTGCAGTTTTGATACCATAGCTGGTTTTGGGTATGGGATTGGATTAGATCTCGGTTTTGGGCTTGTTTTGGGGGCGGGGGGAGTTTTTTTGGCTTATGTTTTTGCTCGCACTTTTGTAGATGAACTTGCTCCTGATGAGGATCACGCCCACTTATAGTATGTATTGAGTACTCTGGACGTGCTACAAGGCAGCTGTATAATTGAATGACGTTTGAGCTTCGACACTCCAATCAAGTTTCAACCCTTCCAATCCCGACTCATCTCCAGGTGTCTCCACGCAATCGACCGTCTAAATCTACCAAACACCCACAGCGCATTTTCCGGAAATTCAGACTTATACCGGTCAGCGATGCGGACAGAAAAATTCAAAGCAATAGGGATTTTATACATATGGATCAGCACTCGTGCACCATGAATATATCGCCGCACAGGGGGACAGCTGAGGAGGAGTAGGGAGCGGCTACGCCACGCAAGTGCCTGCACCTGCCTGCCTGCCGCGGCCGCCGGACGGTTCGAAAAGCAAACCCCGGTATTGAACAAGCCTCGCTTAGAGCTTATTCATTCTTCCGGTGGGCGATGGTGGCGGCGGGGGAGGAACCGGGGTACCAGGCTTATCCGAGATTGAACGCCGCCTTTCGAACGAGCGGGGTTGTGGGGCGGCGGCCATGGGTTCGATTCGAGGACGATTCGGGAGTTTTGAGGATGGTATGTTGGATGGTATGTACTGCGGGCGGGAACAGAGGGATCTTATGGGAACATTATATAGGTCCGATACCGGTAGCCCACACGCTCCATGTGCATACACCCCCAGGACCGGTCCGGGGATAATCAGTATGTAGTCTATCTATTCCACCACCGCGAGTCCAGACCGATATTGATCGGCGGACCGGCAGGAACAGAAATAGAATTAGAAATAGACGCGAGAGACCTCATCTTCCACTGTTCTACATATTCTAGTTCGGGTGGCCGAGTCCACGGCAGCCATCCTGCCCCGACCAACCATCTGCAATATCGCAATCGCAATCAGGTCATCTAAAGGCAGCAAAAGCCACGCGGCGCCAACCATTCGTGTCGTGTATATAAAATCCCCCGGCTCGTATGCGTGCCAACAGGAATTAGAGTGAACGTGCAAGTTGCTAATTTCTAATAGGCCTTAATTCGATCTGCCTGAGCTCACTTGAATTGCTTCGGACGGTATAAAACTCTACAGACCAGAAGGGAAAATTAAAAAGGAAAAAAAGACTCATTGCCTGCGCGGAATTTCAAAGACATTTCCAATCCTCTCGACCAATGAATCTGAATGGCAAACACTCCTCAACTTTCCATTATCCAGCGGAAATGATGAAGTGTCGCTCGCTGACTGCAGTTAATACTTCGATCTGATCTGGCCCGGCAGCCAATGCATCGGGATGACATCTGCCGCGCTGTTTTTTATTTATTTTCCACGGCGATGCGCTGTCGCGAGACACTATGCGCATCTGCCTGCCTTCCGGATATTCCCTGCCTGTATCGTCCAGTCACGATGGCGATGAAGGGATGGATAGGGGAGAGGGGGTGGGGTGCCATGTGGGCTGATGGCCCGTTTGAATTTCACCGGGGTATGTAGTGTGCAGTCCGCGCAAACCACTCCACTGCGTATGCGGAAAATGCTTCCGTCCGCATCCCGTCCCGTAGCGGCGGCCCAGTGTTTGTTCGAGAGGTATCGCTGGAAATCTCGAGACATCGCCCGGATCCGTCTGCTGGGTTTCGTTAGAGTGTTGTGATCGTGTGGAGACGATGCTCCGATCTCCAGGCCATCCGAGGTTGACTCTAATATATATAGTAGTAGTAGTAGTTCTCAGCAAACAATCGCTTCGTCTGGCTCTTGTCCGGACTCGGGGGTCCGAACTCCTCGGCTTTCCCAACTTCACCTAGCCTCTCCATTCCGTAACTCCTCGTAGCCAGTCGGTAGTTTGACTCGTGATGTTTGCCGCGCAGTTATGAGAGCCTGCCAGGTACTGGTAGATTTTGGAAATCGAGAGTCGTGCGCATGTCTGATCGGCAAGCGAGTGACTCTTCGCGTGAAACTACTCGTCAGCCATAGCAGCACCCACGAGGTGCCACCTCATGGTTTTTCAGAATGAAGCCGCTGCTACCCCACAAATCATAGCAGTTTCTTCCCCCCTCACCCCTAAGGATCATATCACCCAAGGAAGCCGTGTAATCCGTTGCCCGGCAGCTTTCACCGGCGGGCAACTACCCTCTCTGTACCCTTCTCCCCGACCCAGCTTCGCGGCTGCTATCCTTGCTTTTTCTGCCTTTGTTTCCCATCTTTCCGGGAGCTCATAAATGATCTCGTCTGGGTGGCCTCGCGCTTCGAGCCCTGCATCTGCCGCCCGCTCAAGCTATGTATCGTTCGCTACGGCCTGCTCGCTCGCGTTGGAGAGCGCACTGGCAGCCTCCGCGGCCCTTTCCTCCCTGGCCACTAGATGGCCAACACCAGTGTTGCACGGGAGTTCGGGATCGCTGGGCTGCATCGTGGAGTCCGCCAATAGTCCGCCGATCCTCCTCCGGTGGTGGTGTCGCCGATGTCGTTCGTCATCAGTTGCTCAATCCTTTGGCGCGACGTCGTCTGCTCTGTCCCCTTAAAGAAAGGGATGCGGAGTTGAGGCGAGAGGAGGTGGAGGAGGGCGCTGAGGTTGAGGAGCCGGGATCTCTCCCGCTGTTCCTCCCCACACCTTCTTTCATAGCATCACCTGAAGAAGAGGCAGGGGCCGAGGCGGAGTAGCAGGGAGCAGAAGTTGCTTGGTGACAAAGGTAAACTTGCACGGCGGCGCGGGCCAAGCAGAGAAAGGTGAGTAACGAGGATGTCGTGTGGGATCATTACGCCAGAAGACCCATCGCCTGCTTTACAACAAGATTCGAGTCCCTTACGAAGACTGACAGCCAGCCAAAGGTGCGGCTTGGATAGACACACGAGCATACTTTTTACAATTACAGGTAGGGATCGTTATTATCGAGTGATATCACATGTTTAAGCTGAATGGTTGAGACTGAAGCTGACTTCTATCCGTTCTATAATGGAGCGAAATCACAATTTTTCAATGCGTGTGAACATGGCCTTATTGTCAAATGGGGGTTCTTATACGCGAATGAGTAACTACAAACCCCGGCAGTACTTGCAGAGGAACATATGCTCAAGAGCTGTCACTATCTCGTGAATCACATGAAGGGAATCAAACCTCGTAAATCGTATGAAGGTATCATTGTCGTTTCTCAAAGAGTCATGGGATTCTTTAATGTACAGAATCTCATCTCGGCTATGCAGCGTGAGTAGTGATGCTCGAGTAATGGTGCTCATTTACGAGCATCAGCCTGGACAAGTCCCAAGTGCAAGACTGGAATCTCCTTCGCAACCATGACATTCCTGACCTCCTTCCAGGTACGCTGGTTGAATTTGGCTCCCCATCTTCCCATTCTCTCCGACTTCCACCAGGTCGGCCGCTTGAGCGAATCATCCATCTTGAACCCAACGACCTTCTCCAAAACTTCCAGCTCCAACGCCACGATGTTTGACTCCAACTCCACCAAGTGGGTATCCTCCTGGGCCCACAGAGGGTAAACCTTCGAAGTCGAGAACCGCACCGAAAATCGCCTGCAAACGTATTCAAGGAGAAGTCCGGTGATCCCCTGCCTCAGGAACTCGTCGCGTACGGCACCTCAGGTCACCGGGTTCAAGATCCACTTGAAGGAGTCCATAGTTTCCTCGTCCCACCATTGAGGCCGTTCGGTGTAGTAGACGGCGATTCCCTGCATCCAGACCGGTGGGGCGCACGCATAGTCGGTGAGAAATCTCTCCACCATGGCAAGACTAGTGCTCGCAAAGACGGTGTTCTGATAGAATGGCCTGTTTCGATGACTCAATTTATGGTTGGTGGCTGGCAGGCGCAGGGGGATCGCAAACTTCATGTCGGGAGGGGGCTTCGTCAACCTGGACTGATCGAGCTGGTACAGGGAACGCTGATCTGAGGACGCGTCTGAGTAGCCGTAAATCCACTTTTCGAAACTGTTGAGCTTGCGGTCGGGCGACATGGTGCTGGGTCGGCGATTGTTGATAGTGTCTTCGTGGTGTGCGCCGGTGGAAGTTGTGGTAATGTGAGGTGGGGAATTGAGTCCTTGTCGGGAAGGGGGGCAACAACGGGATACTGTGGGTGTGCGAAGTGAAGCGTTATGAAGGAATCGCACATAGCGGATTGTCGAACTTGCCCTAACCAACAACTGGTGACGCTTGCTTGTGAATTCACCAAGCCCTAGCCACACTCACATTCGGGTTGCATACATATTTAGGCCTTCACCGACATGGAAAGCAGAGTGGGATAGGTACCGTATCATACAGCGTATCGCGAGCAGATACTCTCCACTGAAAACTGCGTGAGAGCTTGCAATTCCGCACCGGAAGAGATCACTGTACCGATTATATCTCTGTCACGGTGCGCAGCGTGGTCATCTAGACTTCACGATACTAAAGGCAAAGTACTCTCCGTCGCTAGGGATTTTCCAGCGAACAGTACTCCAAAGAATGCACGCGTAAGCCCCACGGTGTGGTTTAAACATAACTGATCACTCAGGCTCCTCATCCGTGGAGGAGGAGGAGGCAAACACGGACAGCGTCGCCGGATGTCTCCGCAGGAATGCAGAGAATATGTACGCCATCACGGATGTGTACAAGCTGAATACCAGTATGATGAAACAAAACCCACAAAAGCCGCCGGATGTTAAAGTTTTGGTGGTGGATATGCGTGATGATATTCGACCGAACGATATATCTAAGATGAAGTCTAGCTAGTGGGCAGGATAAGACCCTTTTATAGGTGTCAACACAGCAGATCATTAATCGTACAGAAAAGAGAGCAATCAACTGTTATAACATGAGAAATGAGCAATCCACAAGTCGGCCGTGAGAAGAAACAAACACATGACAAACAGTGAAACAAACGCGTGACAAGGAAACCAGCAAACGAGTGATATCTGTGAAGGATGAATCAGACAAACATGAGACAATCAACACCGGATGTCTCACTCGGTTGAATGATCTGTCATGATTCATAAAGGTCGGAAACAGCATGTACCTGTGAAAATAAAACCAAAAAAAAGCCACCGGGAATCCCACCGACCAGATAAATGTACGCCAACAAGCCAAATTCCCCCCCCTCCCATGTCCTAGCTCAATGAATCATACAAACAGCTCCCTCCCACACCTAATGCCTCTTAACCTCTCTCATACCTCCTGTGACAAACTCCTTAACCTCATCTGCCACTCCGCCCTCCATCAACATCCAACCACAGAGCAGCAGGTAAAGCACAGCAGTGATGAGGAAGACCACACCACCCTCTATATCCGGCACCAGCAGACACGTCAGGAGGGACCCGTCGGCGTATATCATCATCCCGACCACTTTGTTTCCGCGTTAGCATCTTTCCAACAAAGAAGAAACGACGGAAGGGGGGGGGGGGGGGGCTACAAGCACAAGTCCGGACACTCCTGATCCTGTTCGTGGCGCCCCACCAGTAGAAGACGACGAGCATGTACATCGTCAGGCCGAGCCCGATCTCGTGCGAGTGCGATGGCCACGGCATCTTCAGGCCCGTGAGCTCCGCTAGCTGCGGGACCGGCGGAAGAGTGAACAGGCACACGGGGCTGAAGATCGTGAGGGTTGCGAGAACGGCATTGATTATGCATAGGGCGTAGAGGTGCGTTGTGAAGCCCATTGTTGAGGTGATGATTGGTCTGTATGTATGTATGTATGTGTGATACAACGAGGAATGTTTCTGAGGTTTGGGAAACCGGCAGCTCCGGATGAGAGATGTAAAGTGGGATGGCGGCCGATAGTGGTGGGGGGATGTGGAGCGAAGAAAGGTTATATATCTCAGCCTTCGGGCAAGCTGGCCTCTACTATTTCGGTGGTGATTCGGACATACCGCAACGTCGATTAGCCCGTGTCGGTGAAATAGATGCGCCAATAAGTATCTTCCAACCTATCCAGACAGCGGATGACTCTGCTGTGGAACAAAAAGAAGAAGAAAACATGCGTTTTCTTCGATGGTCTTCAGCCGCACGCACTTTGATTGGTTTGCTATATACGCACCCTGACGATGTATGTGCGTGAGGCATCTGCGGGGGAAAAGCCACCAGCTCGAGAGGCGATTGAAGCTCATTCCCGTCGTCATCCCACTTCCACCCGACGATCCGGGACCAAGGCCACAACGCTGCAGCAGCCAGCAGCAGGAGTGTTCCGGGCTATGTATAGTTACCCAAGATCTTCGCTGGGTATTCGTCTGTTTGTGAGTGGCTTGTATGTACTCGCGTATCACACGTGCAGGACATGCAGCCCGCCGCTGGGACTTCCCGGGCTGTCGCAGAAATAGAATTCTGACATGTCAAAGTGCAGCTTGGTAACTTTGGTTGGATATGTAGATACTGGATTACTCTATGTACCTAGAGTCTATATACGTACCGATTTCACACTGCACAGCCACCATCAGCCATGAGTGATCTCTCGATATGCTGCACGGCCTAGGTGACCCAACGCACGGGCCAGCGGCAACCTCCGTCTACCGCGTAGGTACTCTACTTGAGCATAGTAGCACGAGCTCGACCCCGCTTCATGGGCCATTTCACGCCCGCATTCCGTCTCCTCGGCCGCTACAACCTCCTCGCTCTCTCCGTACGTCGGTTGTCACGTCCTAGTACTCGGTCCGCAGCCACTATGTCTCCAGGAAACCGCAGTGCGCCGTCGATTCCCGTTTCCGCCGCGGAAGCGGTGAAGGAGGAGACGCATCTCATCGTTGGTCGATATCCCCCGCTGCTGCTGGTGCTGCTGCCGGATGGTTCGCGAGCCGGGCTGACAGCGGTGTGTGCATTCAAGGTGGCCTCAAGATCGTCGACCGTTGGTTTCAGGTTCCGGTGGATTACTCGTGCCCGGACGGCGAGAAAATCCGCGTATTCGCGCGCAGTGCTATCAACAATAAGGATAACGACGGTGGGGTGACCGGCGGGAAGCAACCTATATGTCTGTCTGCGCTCCCCGGATGAGGCGAGATGAAATTCGCATGGAACTGATCTGGGTCCGGCGCGTGTCGGGGATAGGTGTCTATCTTCAGGGTTGGTTTATCCCTCACCCCCCAGTCAGAGGTAGTTAGCCGTATTGAATGGAGATGCGAGATTAGGTGGTCCCGGATTCGAGTGCTCTCCACCGAAATCACATCCTCTCACCGAGTTCTACTTGGGAAAGGGCTACCAGATGTTGTACATCGACCAGCGGGGAACCGGGTTGAGCTCGCCGATCGATGCCGATGTCTGGATGAAAGGCTGCACGGTTGCTGAGAAGGTTCAGCGTCTGAAGATGCTGAGGGCGGATAACATTGGTATGCACCGTGTGCTTGTCCCCCTGAGTGGATCTGGCTGATGGGGGTGTAGTCCGCGACTGTGAGGCCATCAGGAAAACCATGCTGGACGACAAAGAGAAGGAGGAGGAGCGTAAGTGGACGGTGCATGGCCAGAGCTTTGGCGGATTCTGCGCGGTCACGTATCTGAGCTTCTAGTACGTTGCCCATCAAGCTGGGACGAAACTCGCTGACACGGCCCGTTGTAGCCCAGAGGGTTTGAAGGAGGGTACGTTCTTTCCACTTGCACCCCCGTAGTCCTACCTTGTACTGACAGCTGTGCCGATGAAGTGTTCACCACTGGTGGAATGCCACCTCTCGTCAACAACCCCGATGCTGTCTATGACCGTACCTACCGCAAGCTCCAGGAACGCAATGCAGTCTACTACAGGAAGTATCCACAGGATGTCAAGGCAGTTCGACGGATCGTGGCCTACCTCAAGCGGGACCCAGTCGTTTTGCCCAGCGGTGGAACGCTAACGGAAGGCCGTTTCCGCGACCTGGGCCTGGCTTTCGGAGGCCATGGTGGGATTGACACGATACACCGTATGTGTCTCGATCGGATTGGTGGACCGACCGACCGACTGACTGAATAGGCATCGTCCAACGCGCCGTCAACGATCTGGATTGCTACGACGGTTTCACCTACAAGCTGAAGCAAATGATTGAATCCCAGCAGTCATTCGATGTCAACCCCATCTACGCCCTTCTCCACGAAGCGTGTTACTGTCAAGGGTGAGTCGTCTTCCCCCCCCCCCCCCCTTCCGCGCCATCCCGCTGACGCAGTACTGTACACAGCGAGCCCTCCGGCTGGTCTGCCGCGCGCCGCCTCCCCCCATCCCTCCAATCCTCAAGCGACGAGGACCCGATCCTGTTCACGGGGGAAATGATATATCCCTACATGTTCACGGACTACTCTGAGCTCTCCAAGTTCCACGAGCTAGCCGACCCGCTCGCCTACGAGAAGGCGTGGCCCGCCCTCTACGACGTGGACCAGCTCAAGAGGAACGAGGTTCCCGTGTTCGCGGCAAACTTCATCGACGACATGTACGTCGCCTACGACCTTAGCCGCGAGACCGTCGCCACCATCCAGGGCGCCCGCAGCTTCGACACGAACGTGCTGCACCATAACGCCGTTAGGGCTAAGACTTGGGCCGTCATGGGTGAGCTGTGGAAGTTGAGGAGCGGGGAGGTCGATTAGAGAACGGATGAATGCAATAGTAAAGTTTTTTTTCAGGGGTTTTTTTTTCGGATGCGGCGTGACATCGTAGGATCGAGTGAAAAGCGGCGTTGGGGTGAGATATGTATCGACCTGGACTCTCGTGGGAGTCGTTAACTGACGATTTCGCAGGAAGAAGAAGAGGAAGGATCACCCGTATGTATGTAGGGTCAGGGATAAGGCCTACCAACGGGCTCCGCCGATATTTATCTTTAGGCATAAATGTATCTGGCACCTGCTCCAAAGTCCAGAGTAGATTTCGAGATCCAGGCAACCATGTCTGTGCATGCAGCAGCACTTTCCATGCAAGGCGTCGGGTGAATAGCAGCAGCAGCCAGCAGCAGCAGGAGACCAAGAGTGATGTATGTAGAAGGTTCGTTTCCCCGCCCGTAAGTTGACCTCGAGTGACATGTTTCCTCTACCAGTTAGCGCTGAGGTCAGAAGAACCTTCCCTTATAGTATTAGGTAACGAGACTTAGAGGTGCAGACTCCACTCACAGGGTCATAGGTGTAGTCGAATAGCCACGTGAAGCTGGAGTAGGTACGTATGTGTGTAGGTAGAGCAGGTAGAGTAGCAGAATTCTGAGAGTGAATGGGACCGATGAGAAGGGGCGCCACTGGCACCTTGTCGATGACTCAAGACTCGGGAGTCGATGGAGGATGACCGATGACATGCTCAGCTCGGGATACAAATAGTTCTCGGAGGACCCGAGCGGCAATGATGCTTTCGCGAAGACTTGAACGGTCGAACCGAGCGGCGGTAACTAAGTAGATACTAGTAAATAAGTTGTAGGGTGGAATTCAAGGCTGAGGCTTGAATGTATTTATGTATATATCTTGGTATGCACCGCCTCTTTGATCTTCTTCGGTCTACCGTAGATAGTACTAGTACTAGTAGTATGATATCTGGCACGCAAGTTCTTCGGACTTCCTCGTCGCTATCATACATAGACTCAGGACTCAAGGGCTCTAATTGCCCACTGCGAAACCGCGAAATATCAAACGAGTTCAACGAGCGCCAAATTCCAAATTCCAATGGCGCCGCAACAACCTCGCAACCTCGCAGCCTACCGGTACTATCATAGCCGCCACGAGCCCCTACGTACGCACACAAAGGTGCTGCGTCTTTTCGGAAAGAAAAAAACATCCGTAGCCGTAGCCGCGCCGCGCAGCCGCTGCAGTCAACGGGACGCGATGCCTACACACCTGCCTACCTGCCCAGGTAGAGTAGAGTAGAGTGCTCTACATACCCGCACAAGCGCTCGAGCGGCCGATGACGTCGTAACCTGGGGGCACGCTGTATGTAGATGAGGGGGAATGTGGGCGCTTGTCGGCCTCGCTGCACGAGGGCGGGTTTGGGCTGGGGTTTGGTCGCGGTTCCACTGTCCAGACTCCGCTGTCCACTATCCGCGACTCCGCGACTCCGCGACTCCACACCTTCCGTCGTCGGACGTGCAGGACCAGAGGTATCCTGAAATAACCCCACCTTCCAAGGCTCCCCTCCCCACATCCTCACCCGGAGGCCGGAGCCGGAGCTGGCTGGACAGGGCCGCAGGGCTACATACCATAGAGTCGTATGTAGAGTAGAGTAGAGTAGAGTAGAGTACAATACATAGAGTACAAACACCGGGGGGCCGACAGGTCTCAGTCTTCAGACTCTCAGGGATGCATCCTTGGCCGTCAATGCTCAATGCTGGCCGCACAAACAGCGACTAGGTATGTACTTCCTAGGTAGTAGGTAGAGTACCTAGTAGGTAGTAGAGTACCGTAACGAACCATGCGGGAACACGAATATCGTCTCGAGTTTTGACGGCCTGAAGAATGTCTCGGGGCCTGAATGACGGCCTGAATGTTTTTACGGCCTCCCCCGGGATGGGCTACGGAGCTATACGCTAAATTACTAGCCACCGTACCGCCACATTCAGGAACCGATGGCAGAGAGAGAGAGAGAGAGAGCACAAAAACAGACGGATTCATCATTCGTCATTCAGCCTCCCCGGGGTCCGTGTGTATTGTGCGGGCCGGACACCAGAGAAGTGAGAAGTGAGCATGAATCGCTTCCTTTTCTATCTGCCATCCATTCGTAAAGCGGGAAATATTTCCAAGTATGTATGGCTGTTGCCCGTACCCACTACCAGCAACACCGCCACCACCACCGGTACCACTACTGCACCCTCGACTCTCGACTCTCAACTCTCGATAACTCCTTCAACCTCCAGCTTACCCCGAACCCTTGCTGCGCGTAGTTACTACAGAGTACATACTAGTCCTCTGCCTACCATCCTTCAGAGTCCAGACGAATAGCGAGCAGTGAGCACAACTCGTAATCCGAGCGCAGGTACTGGCAGCTGGGTCAGCAACGCATCGACTCATCAGCCACCGTACTACCGTAGAGTACTACCGTACTAGATCGTTGCATGGGTATTCGGACAGGCTGAAATGTGGCCCCAAGACGAGGCTGAAGAGGGTCTGAGCTCAGCGTGGATTGGCCACCAAATTCTCCAGATTTCAATCCCATAAAGCGTATATGGGCTATGTTAAAAAGGATGATTCTGAGAGGAGAGGCAGTGAGAAGATTATTATTCGTCTGATCATTTCTATTTAATGGTTGATGGTTGGAAGCTGCCGGAGCCGGAGACACCTCACAAGCAAAAGGTGCTGACAAGGCTGAACCCCTACTTCAATACCCATGCAACGATCTAGTAGTCATCGTCTTGCTCAGTGCTGACCTAGGTATTGTTGTTCCATCACGTTTCGGCAAGGGTGTGGATAGGAAGACGGATTTTTTGAATTGAGGGGTAACTACCATCATACCCAGTATAGTAGAAGGTAGGTGGAGTACTTGGTTATGTGATATGCTGCGTGTTGCCGGTGCTTTATCGTAGATACCGCAGTACTCTACTGGGACCAAGTTCTGGGGGACGTGGAACGGAGAACACCACAGGTCCACAGGTCCACAGGTCCACAGGAAAAGCCAGCTAGAGCACCTAGTTTGCGCATCAATCGATCCCCTCGCCTGGCTGTTTTCTACCTATGTGTGTATCTACCCCTGATCCTGATACTGGTATACAGGTGGGTAAGGGCGCAAACCAGTTCCTGGAGAAAAGAAATCCGCCGTTTCCCAGTCCCCGCGATCGTTACTCTCGAGGTCCGTACTCTACATGTGTACCATTTCCATGGTGAAGCTGAAATCGACAGATACGCCATGTTTGCGATATCGCAAAAAATCCTCAATCATGGAGTGGCAGGCAACCAGAAGGGAGTGAGAGCGAGGGGCGAATACCAACCCCCGCCGTTCCGAGCGGCGGGAGGCGTGTTCTCTGTTCGAGACTCCGAGACTCCGAGGTCGCGTTCGGAACACCGAGTCCGTAACGAGGACGACGGCGAGTACGAAAAGAACTCATACATAGATCCGAGAGCTGAAGGTTATCTTGGCATTCGGCATGTAGGTATCTGATGAACTCGACACAAACCCCTATTCCCCGCCTCAGAACGCCATGTCAGAAGCACGAGTAACTGAGGACGTGGGGTTTAGTCAAAGCGATCTCAGCTGCTCGAGTACATATGGACCTAGGATTTGGTTAATGCAATTTCGGCTCGTGGTATGGATTGCCATGATCTAGAAACCTAGGTCGCATGCGATCGATTAAACGAAAAAACAAACACATAAACATGTGCGTAGGTACCTCAATCGGCAGATTCTGTATGGCAACTCCTTTACTCGACGTTGGTCCTTCTCCCCGGGCCTGCCCATCTTCTCGGGCTCGTTCCCAACCCGTGATCAGATCCTGTTCTCCGCCACGTCGAAGGGTGAAGTCCATTCCCCTTCCTTCCTTTGAAGAATCTAGAGTCCTTAAGTACTAGAGCAGAACCGTAGAGCAGATCTTGCTTCCTTCGCATTCGCGTAGGGCATAACTAATCAAGCGATCCAACAGCCACCGTCTCGAACTAAAGAAGCACTATCAGCCGACAACGTTAACGACCAACCATGTCTGGACTTCAGGCCCCCCACAACCAGCCACGTAAAGCGGCGAGGTCGCCCGCGTCGTTTCGGGTGCTGGTTTTTTCTTCCTTTTCTTTTGGGGAGAGGGGGACACGGAAAACAAAGGATCCGGACGGGGAAGACCGAGTCCTGTTTTTTTTCCTGCCGGGTACTCACTTCATACCGGGACCAAGGATAGAAGCAGATCAAGCCGACAGTCACAGCAGTCGACAGTTCATTCGGGATGGCATCTTTCCCCAGAGACCAACCAGTCCCTACATACACAGGATGACGGCCGTGGCTGGCGAGTCGGGTGTGACTAGAGTCTAGACTAGGTGGTTAGCACTCTACACATTCCTGTTAATCACCCACCCTGTCAGCCCTAAGCAGCACGTCCACTGATTGGTGGCAGACGTGTCGGTTCGGCTCGGTAACCCACGTCCAAAACCGGCAGCCAGTCACCGGAAAGTCAAGTCAAGTCGGTGAGGTGGGTGGGTACATACATCCTGCTGTGCTGTGTTGTAGCCATCAACTCGCCGATGCCGCGTGCGAGGAGAACAGGTTCTTTATGTATTTTACACACGAGTGCGCGCGTGCGGGCGGCAAGAAGAAACTCGAGAGCGAGCTCTGGAAATCCGCACACACGCCAAGCGAGGCAATTTCGGTTCGCGATAGACTCGATACTTTGTATTCGGGCGTGCACCCTATCAGAAGGTCCACCGCATGAATCGGACTGGGATCTGATACCTGGCAGGCTGCAGCCGCCTGAAAAAACGTGTGGGACCGATAGACACCTGCTTGCCTGCCTAGGTGGAGTAAGTACTAGTGGAGTAGGTAGATCGAGCTGCCTGCCTGTATACTGGTAGGTAATCTCGAGTAGAGTAGAGTACCTGCTGCCCGCGCCGTGGGGAGAGGAAGGGAGGAGGAGAAGCAGGGGAAGGAGGGGGAAGAGGAGGATTACGGGGAGGAGGAGGAAGTGGAGGTGGAGAATGACGAGGAGGAGGAAGTGGAGGAGGAGGGGGTGACGGTTGTATGTAAGAGTAAGGGTGGCGAGGGGCGAAGCGCCCCGTCGAATAATAACAATAACATTCGGTGTGTGTGATACGGGATTGGATGGATAGAACGATGGATGGTGGATGGCTGGCCAATGTTGCGAAAAGAAAGAGAGCTGTACATACATGCATGCAAGCCACCTAGGGGCGCGGGAAGGCAGGCAGACGCTCTTCTTTCTTAAAACACAGCCTCCTCCCACACCCTTTTTCAATTCCCTTTTCTTTCCCTCCTTCCTTCCTTCCTTCCTCCCTCCGTGCAACACTATTTGCTCGCGAATTCCGCACTCGTTTTCCCCTCCTCCACAGACAACGATCTGGCTAGTCGATAACCCTCGTTCAATCCCAACACACCCCGGCCACCCCACAGAACGAACCAACCGAACGATCCGCGACTCGTGCTGTGTGTTGTAGTCGAAGATAAACAGAGGAACGACATCTTCATTTTTGGAGCGATAGGAAAAAGCGATCCGACGACTACTGAATTCTTCGCATCTTCGCGGGTGTGAATGATTTGGTGCGTGCGAGGCCGCTAGAATATTTGGACTTTTTCGAGGGACTCAATCGACACAAGACAAGACATCATGATGCTGCGTTATTTCACAATTCTAGCCGCGACGTCGGTCACCGTCGTCTTTGGCCAGTCGGAGACGCTTTCTATGACGCTTTCTACAGCGCCTACTGCGTCGGACACTGCGAGTGCCGCCGCTGCGACACACACCATTAAAGTCGGGTTCCCCGTCGGACAGCATGCGTTTTCGCCGGAGAATACAAAGGCGGAGATCGGTGATACCATCGGTACGTAGTTCTTTGTAGGAAGCGGGGTGATGGGGGTGATTGAGCGGGAAATGATGGATTGCTAATTCCATTCAATTCAGTCTTCGAGTTCCTCCCCAAAAATCACTCCGTTGTGCTCATGGACCAACTTTCTCCCTGTATTCCATATGATATGGCCGGACACCCGGCCAGCGATCTGTGGTGGTCTGGTTTCTGGCCGGTTGAGAAGGCGGAAGATGTAAGTTTGCCATTCGTCTGAAGAAAGAACCGATTGTGTATCACGAACACGAGGGGCTGACTTGTATCACCAGCCTAAATATTACACCAGGGTTGTAGAGAGCAAAGACCCAATGTGGTTTTATTGCTCGGCTCCGGATTCGTGTAAGACTTATGGAATGGTCGGCGCCGTCAACGCCAAAAACCCCGCCGTGGATCTCGCCGCGGCACAGAAGGCTGCCAAAGCCGTCGACTTCTCATTAACCCCCGGCGAGTCGATCCCTGACGAGCAGAGTACCGGCGCCAAATCCACATCGACCCCAGCAGCCTCATCCGGCAGCGGCGGCGACAGTGGTGGCGGCCTCTCCGGCGGTGCCATCGCCGGAATCGTAATCGGCGCGGTCGGTGCCTTTGCCCTCGTGGGACTCCTCTTCTTCTTCGTCGGCCGCAAGAAGAAGGCCGCCGAGCTCAAGAACAAGACCGCCGGCAGCGACGCCGAAGCCGCCGCCGCCGCCCCAACCGCCGGTGGAGAGCACCCGCCCATGTACCAGGACCCACGATACAGCATGATGCAGCAGCCGCAGTCGCCGGGTCCCGAGCAGTGGGGCGGCATGAAGGGTGGCCACCAGAGCTACGTCCCCGAAACTGTCGACCACTCCTACGAGGCCGGAAACCCCAACCGCATGAGCGAGCTCCCCAGCCAGAGCTACGATCCCGTCGAGATCTACACACCCGGCGTACAAGAGCAGATTGCGGGCACGCCGAGGACCCCGGTGGAGAATGCGAGGGTTTAAGACCCTGATGGAGGATTCGAGGCGAGACCCTGTGGATATTTCTGTTCGCCTCTTTTTTCTTACTTTTTTTGTTATGTGCGTACTTCTCACAACACAACCACAACACCCCCCATGCGGGGGAAAACCTTCAATTCTTATTTCTGTGTTAATTCCATGAATTTCTTGTTTGATTTCTTTTGTAAATACCAAACTTTATTTTGATATTTTGCGCGCGCGGGGGTCGGGTGGGGTGGGCGTGGGATGGTTGTTTGTTGCGATGTTTGGTTGGGGCCTGCTTGATGTTGGGACTTTGCTGCGAGTGTGCGAGGGAGCGAGTGAGATACGGGGATAGGGAGTTGAAAGTAAGATGTGAATTGACGTTTTTTTGTCGGTGCATACGCAGCAACGGGGGGCAGTAATAGATACACGTCCCACGGGATTCCGGACATGCTCTACACACATATTCAAAGTTCAGCCCGTGCGGACGTGTTCGTATGCATAACTGGAGGCTGGCGCTGAGGAGGGAAGCACACGCACTGGGGTGGAGGAGTGGGAAGTGCACTTGATCGCAAACCGGATCTGACCAAGCCCTTCCAGTACTCCACGGTTCCAACTTCCAGTCACCAAGCCCCTCCATGGTTCCAGCTTCCAGTCACATGTCATTTTCACATTCACTTTGAGGGGTAAGGCTTTTTGGTGGAAAATGCGATTCAACTTTCAAGGATCTCATAGAGCGGCGAGCCGGTTGGAGATGCGGGAAGCCGCGGTTTGTGGCCTGCGGACGCCGGGCGGTTGGACCACGGCGGCTAGATCACGGGTGACGGCGGGAGAGCCAGGGATGGATCGATGGGTGGATGAATGGATTGGATGGATGAATGGTCGTACTGGTCGTGCTGGGTGCTGGTCGTGGTAGTCGTGCTGGTCGTGGTAGTCATGCTGGTCGGGTCGTGCTGACTCCGTGTGATTCGTCCCGTTCAAGAATCACGAGGAGGCCGGGCCATCGACGGGGCCGAAATGTGGGGATCGTCGGGTCGGCGACCTACCGGTATGGTACTAGTAGTGTACGGTACCTATCCGTCCGGCTCTCGGGAATCCCAGCTTTCGGCCTACATACCTACACTCTGTTAAAGTTTGGACGCCCAGAGATGTTGGCGCGAATAAAGTTCCGCGGCGGACGGTCGACCGAGTGTTGCCTGGGTCGAGTAACCTTCGGACCAACAAGTCTGAAGTTTGTATATAAAGAGAAACCTCGCTGCTGATGTTGCTGTATCGAACTGATCATCTTTACCCTTCTACTTGAATATTCCAACACATACAAAATTCCGGAACGGCTACGTGATGGCAGCGGGATGTGTAAGTACTAATAGTGTTTCCGTTTTAAAACGGTGAACAAGAAGAAACTTGAGACTTGAGTGGACATTTGATTGACTCCCAACTCGAGTAAACCGACTTCGCCCAAAAAAGCACACTCCCCCCTGCCAACGGGCTGAAACCGTAAAACCCGCGCCTCCTCACCCGCAGGCCGCAGGCAGCAGCTGACCGATATACCGTACACACTATGCCACCTAAAAAGCTTACTACTACTGCTGTACAATGTACATGAAAATCAACGATACCTTAATATAACAACTACGAAAAGCACCCAAGTCCCAAACCACGACCAGTACGTGGTTTTGTACGCATACACTATTGCGCCGATGACTCCGCACACAACCGCAAGAACACAGAGCGCCAGCATGCACCAGAGGAAGATACTGCGGCCCCGAGACCATCTCTCGGCTCTGGCTCGCGATTTGTGCGCCGCTTCGAGCGTGGGGCCGGCGGCCCAGCTGATGCTGCTGATGGGGTTGTTGGGGCTGGGGTTGGGGGTGGGGGTGCGCCACCAGTGATACCACTTTGCGGGGCTGGGGGTCGGAGGCGGCGGTGCGGGAGTGGGCTTGTGGACGGGCTTGCGAACAGGCTGGGGAGCGGGCTTGGGGACGGTGGTGGGGGGGTTGCAGGAGAGTGTAGCCGCACATGAGGGCTCGGGTGCGAAGGTGCCGTAGAAGCTGGCGTTGGGGTTGCGAGAGAATGGAGTGCTGGCTGTATTCGTGAGATTATATGTGCTGCCGCCGGCGGTGGCGGCGTTGGTAGGACACTCTGGGCGTGTGGGCGGGACGGAGCCGTGGTTTTTTGTTGTTATTGTTGTCGGTCGGTCCCTCTGCCGCCATAAATTGGTGCGCATCCATTCCTCTGAATACGGACCAGAACGCGTCAGTTACTCTAAAGACCGTGCCGCCGCGGCCGTCCCAGCGCCCACCACGCCAGCCCAACTGTCGCTATCACCGTGACAGCTATCGCCGTCCCCGAAACCACGGTGCCAGTTAGGAACGCACCTAGCAAGCGCTCTGTGTAGGATGACTCCGCCGCTACTACTACCCCCTCCTCTTCCGAATTGCCCCAACCGTCCCCATACGCCTCCTCGTACTCCTTCATCCTCCGCACGGACCACAACCCGCTTGCTACCATTCTGCGCCCGTAATCCCTCGGATGTCCGTAATCCCTCGGATGCGCTGTAGCCGGTGCGGCCGGCGGCGTCGGCGGCGTCAACAGCGGCTGCTGTAACAGCGGCGGCGGCCTTCGCGACTTCGGCTCCTCCTCGGCATAGACGACGACGCCTGGAAACCTCTTCCTTAAGTGGGTGAGCACGATGCGAAACGCATCTGGCGACAATTTTGCCGTGCCGTTCGGAAAGCCGGCCAGGTTCTCGCGAGCAACCAGCATTGGCGGTTGCAGCCTGACATAGCTCTGTTTTATCTGCGTGGCGGTCGGCTTGCCGGTGATGCGCACTTCGAGGAGGATCCCGTTGTCCGGGTGCGGCTCCGGTGGGCTCCGCTTCAAAGGCAGGAAGCCTTTGCGCTTTTTTTGGCTGGTAAACTTTTTGGACAGCAGGGTGTTGCCCAGGCTTGTGATCTGCCGGCGGGGGAAATGTCAATTCGGCCCGTGGTTCTTCCCCGCCGGAAAGAGTTGTGTGCGGAGCGGACGGACGACTCACGATCAGGATCTGGATATTGACCCTCCCGGGCTGCGAGCTGTCCTGCTTTGCGTCCGGATTCGACAGGACCAGGATCGGGTGCCCGAGGGCTCCATGTTCAGCTTTCGCAATGACCGCACGCGTGTCCTTGTTGTCGGGCAGCCAAAGGATCGATGCCGGCGCGACTGCGACGTTCTTCATGTTCGAAATATTCCAATGCCCGTCAGGTCAGGTCAGCCGTGACACACCTTCACGACGGGAAGGAGGGGGGGTGACGAACTTCCTCTTCGTTTGTGCGGAATACGCATCCACTTAAATACTATCTATGCCCAACGCATCCGCCGCGGGCGGTGCTGCGCAACCCAACCCAACCCAGCCCAACCCAACATGCACGCACTGCCTACATATGCAGCATGCACTGCACTTGTGACGAGCCCTGCCTGAGTGCTCGGCCCACTGCCCGCGCGGGAAGCAGCGGGCGCCGGGAGCTGCGCATGATGATTGGCTAGTCTGAAACAGTCTGTGGGGCGGGTGGGCGGGGGGCTCAAATCTTGGGGGTGGGACCGTGGGCCACGACCACTGGGTTAATTCCCCTCCAGAGTATGGTTATTGTTTTGTTTTGTTGCTGCCATAAAACGGCGGAGCACAATATCCCCACATCGGTGGGGTGATGGTGATGGCGGGATCGGCTTCAAGCGCACATGCGTGTATGCGTGCGCACATCCGTCTGCACAGTGCGCTGGAATGCTGCTGCAGCGCTGCTTGCATCCCACCGTCCACGCGAAACACACTCCCAGAGTCCCAGGCAGCCATCTTTCCACGACCGCCAACCAGCCCCGCCTTGGCTCTAATCGCCGGGAAGGGCTCGAGCAAATCATTCATTCACAATTTCACAAGATATAATATTGTTGGAAGTGGGGTGCTAACTATGGGATCCGGCTCCGGAGCCTGGAAAAAAGCCCAGAGAAGCCTGCGCGCGATACATACCTACGGTGATATCTCACAGCTATGGTTTGAACTGGTACCAACTGATGCCGCCGCACCCGCCTTTCGCGGGGAGCTACAAATCCGTCCAGAGCTCGACTATTGATGGCTATCGTTCGGAATGCCAACTTGCCAATCGGATACCGGAATGTATTTAGCTGAACGAGTCACGAATTATCCTGATTGCGGATGCAACTTGCGTCCCGGCATATTCAGCCTTACCACCTGCCCTCCCCGTCGTCGGTCGAGCAAGGTTTTCCGCCGCTTGTATGGTATGGTATATAATCCCTCCTATCCCTCTCGTCAGGTCCATCTGACTCTATCCTGCCCCTTCAGACACCATTCACGATCCCAACTCACGTCTACTACAAACACCTCACTCCCACCTACCATTACATACCATATATACCAACAATGAAGCTCTCCCTCGTCCCCCTCCTCGCTCTCCTCGCCACCAGCGCCTCTGCGGGTCCCGCCGCCTACGGCGTATGCCAGGCCGGCTGTGCGTGCGTCGTCATGGCCTGCTACGCGGCCGGCGGAGCCACTTGGGGTATGTACATACCCTACATCCGCGATGCTGCTTGAAGCCTAATCGTTGTGTGTACCTATGTAGGCGCTACACTAGCACTTACCGCTCCCGCTACCATCATTGGCTGTAACGGGGCCTACGCTACTTGCCAGTCGGCTTGTGCGCTGGTCGTGTTCGCTCCGACTCTTTGAGGTGAGAATGGGCCTGGGTACATCTGTGTTTTTTGGTGCTGTGTTGAGGTTTATCACTACCACCGCTCACCGACTACTTGCGGATGGGTGCGCAAGGGGACGATGGTTAGCTGTATGTACATATGTGGGTGCCAGTGTTGTAGTTGTATGTACATATCTGCCAGTGTTTGCGGGATGTTTTGGGTTTGCTAGGTAGCATTTCTGTCTATGGATTTGTCAGGAATTGGAATGGCCAAGGGGTCGGCGGGAATCGATATTGTCTTTTTCAAAAGCATGAAGTAGAGTAAAGCTGGGACAGCATGTAATTACATGGCCTATGTGTGGGCAAAAACGGAGCTGGCGGTTCGATTCGAACCTGAATCCTCACTCGACACCGGTAGATCCAAGTGCTACTTGTATGTACCACCAAGCAGCAACTATTAGACATCCATCACCAGCCACGAGCAACCGACCTGACTACGGTGGGTATCACCATATCAAGCCCAGCCAGGCGCAGAAATCGGCCCGGGGCGGAGGCGTTCAAGCGGGGCATCAAGCGGGCCATCCAGCAGGCGCCGGAGGAAGACGCAGACCCTGCGCACATCTGAGACTCGATTATAGGTAGGTAGTTGGCAGCGAAGGAATGAGACAAAAATCCGGTGGGCATAGAAGGAACCCCCAAAGAAACAGCCGGGAGCGGGGGACGATGAGTCAAGCAAGAAGGTGGGTGGATGATTGGAACATGGAACTTGAAATGACGAGTCACGAACCGACCTGGCCTATCGCACGGCCGGGAATGGGATGGGTACCACCCCGCTCCCCGCATGTGGCTCCACCTAGGTAAAAAGGGAAAGAGAATGACGGTCGGTACCCCGAACCCGAGCCTGAGCCTGAGCCCGAGCCCGGCGGCGAAGCGCACAGTCGGCACGGGAGAACTTCAAGAAGTACCGGGACGGAGGATACCGGCAGAATGGCCACGGAGCTTGGGAGTCTGCAGCGGAGACCGCCCCGGAAAAGTCGGCTTGATTAGAGGCTTCCCCACACCACGCTGTGCTCCCATCCAAATCGCTAACCAATGAGCTGGTCGACTGCAGAACGGACTTAGAGGTGGGAAAGATGTGAAAATAGAGAGGAGAAGGCGAGAAAGAGAGCGAAAGAAGAGGAGGGAAGAGGCGGATATGGAAGCAACCCATCATCGCTGACGGCGATGTGCTCATGGCCTGCTACAACGGGAGCATACAACTATATACAGTTTTTTGACATTTGACCGGACCCCCGTAGACGCCGAGTGAGAAGAATGATAATATCAGTTGAAACCGACCCGGTGAGAGGATTTGCATCCACCATGTACTGAGTACGTACCTAACGATTGACCGCCTCCCTGCATTGGCGTTTTAGCTGCGTGCGGTATCCGACACTCCTTCCTGCACGGCCGCTGTCGCACGCCTTTCAGCATTCGCGTCTGCATCCCCATCACCACTGACTCACAGCTGAAATAACCGCCACGGCGGGGGCACGCATGGACCACAGCGTATGCAGAATCAACAGCGGACGAGCCGACGAGGGTAGGTACTAGGCACAGTGACAACCGGGTGGAAAAGGATATGCAATCTGTCATGATCCATCAAGGTCGAATGCAATGATGTAACGGGGGAAAAGGATAGGCAGTGAGACAAGCCGTCACGACATGATTGGTTCCAACTCCGGTGATACCTATCACTTCGATGCGAATGCTATCACATGCACTCCTAAGTTCCCAACGAGCCGTAACCCTCGGCTATCTGTTGCAATTGCTTGCTCAATTCTTCGCTCATAAGCGATTGATACGGTCATATTTACAATAATTGACATCACACACACGCGTACAAGAGCCGACAGCTCAACATCTTTCCTCGCCCTCTCGCATACAGCCAGAGCAACAATGAAAGACGCAGCCATAGCTTTATTCGCATCAACCGGAGGCAGTGTAATACCGGTGACACAGTGGGAGTCGACATGCGCAAGCACAGCGGCCAGCTCCCGAACTTCAAAAATAAGATTAATATTAGAACCGATATATTATCGGATTTCAGATATTAAACTGAAAAGAACAGATACTACACTTGATCTAAGCCAAAAGGCTGTAGAGGGAATATTATTAGTTGATATTCGGGAATGTTGATAGTTAGGGGTGGGGAAGACGTACCAAAGAGAGCTAAAGAGAAAAGAAGAAGAGGGGAGGGAGAAGAGATTTTATAGTTGTTGCAGCAGCACTAGTGAGGACGAAAATTTGGCCGATACGAGGGCCTAGGGCTTAGGGCTTGATGCCGGTGCAGCAAACCAGAGTGATATCTGTGATGGGTCCCCGTATCTCACCGCAGTCTGCAACACACTTCGCGACCTCTCATAATCTATAAACTAATGTACACATCAAAACGAAGCAACTATCAATGACGGGTTAGGGATATGACAGTCGGAAAACGTCTGGTTTTCGCCAACGGCGACGAAGTTAACGCGCGTGAAGTGTGTGCACTGTAAACCAAAGCTCACTCCGAGTGAAACCAGCGCCGTGCTCGATTCGGTATGTACTCGAAGCCCGCAATCCTGAGTCTCCTACGTAAACACTGTAGAATACACGCCGCCCGTCACGTATATACGCAGATATCACTCTTCAAGTCCATACCACACTGGCGGGTGGTACTTACCCTACCAGGACGCTACGCTACGTCACCCCGGCACCGCGTCGCCTGCAACCTCGGCAACCTCCGTCCTCCCGTCCCCGTCCACGTCCACGCCCGACACGACACACCATGTTTCCCACGGCCCGCTGTCTCGCGTCCCACCCGCGGAACACACTCCTCAAGAAGCCCTCTCTCGGTTCCTCTCTCTTCCCCCTCCGTGGCCCAATTCTACTCTACTAACCCACCCGCCGCCAGCGCTCCTCCCTCCGCTCCAGCTCTACCGCCGGCTCCTCCGAACGCACCGCAAAAAGCTCCCGGCGGACATGCGCGTGCTCGGCGACGAGTACGTGCGCGCCGAGTTCCGGCTGCACCGCGATGTCGAGAATCCAGTGCACATCGTCGGGTTCCTGACCGAGTGGCAGCTATACGCACAGGCGCTCGAGGGAGATACGTGGAGGGGCGTCAAGTTGGAGAAGGACAAGATCGAGAAGATGAGTGATGAGCAGGTGGGACAGCTCTATGAGCTCATGAGGAATATACGCGGGTTGGATGAGGGCAGTGGCGAGGGCGGAAAGGGGAGTAGTGGGTTGTAAGTAAGATGGCGGTACTGGGAGGTGCATGATAGCTTATTGGTGGTGGTGGTGGTGGTGGTGGTGGTGGATTGTTCTTGTAGATATAGAGTCCGTACGATGTCAGGTGTCTAATAGGCATCTACTTACAGCATATCCATAACCCATACTATCGCCTCCTGCCCACACCACCGCCGCCTCCGCCGCCAGACTTATCCGCCAGACTGACCACCTCTCCAATGCCAGCTTCTTCCTGCTCATCCTCCAGCGCCCGAATCTCTTCCCTGCAATCCCACCATTTCTCTTCGGCGATCGCGAACGCGTCCTTCTTCAACTCCTTGACCGTCTTCATCGTGTTTTTGCCTTCGGCCTCGGCCTGCTCGATGAGCAGCTGTTGCCACTCGTTCGATGTGCGGGCATAGAACTCGCGCAATGACTCGAAGGGTCGCGGGTGAGGTGCCGGGTCCTCAGCTGCTGGGTGCTCAGGCTCCTCTTGATCCTCTGCTGTAGGAGATTCTGCCGGTACTTCAATCGCCGGGGCGGTTCTGGCCTTCTTCTGTGTGGTGTCAGCGAGCTGAAATGGAAGGGAGAGATCTGAACCACGAGCCTTTGCCTTCTCGGCACGCCTCTCTTCCAGCTCTGCTTCACTGATCTTGGGCTTCTTCTCATTCACTTCCTCCTCTTCCTCCTCTTCTTCCTCGCTGTCCTCCTCGTCGTCCTCGTCGTCCTCGTCGTCTTCACTCTCCGAATCGACCCATTCGGTCTCTGTCTGCCTGCTGAAGACGGTCCTTACTCCGTCCAGCTTCCCCAGGTCAATCGCAAATAGCTCGTCGTAGGCGATCTCGCGGTCCTCCTTCTCGAATGTACCACCGTAGATGTACAATACGTCGTCCTGGACGGCGAGTGCACAGTGCATCCTTGGGGTTGGAAGATTTAGGGTCAGTTCGCTCTGTTGCAGGATCGCAAGCCTTTCCTTCTCCTCATCCGCCTTCTTCCGCTCTTCCTCCTCACGCATTTCTTCCGCCGACTTCCCCGCCTGCTCCGCCTCCAGTCGTGCAAGATTCTTGAACAGCTCCTCTTCCGCTTCCCTTCCACGGTCTCGCCGGCCGCCTCTTTGCTCCACCATTCTCTTCTGCTGTCTGGCTTTGCGGAGAGCTAGGGGGAAGAAGCGATTCCGCTCGACACTCCACGCGTACAGCTCGTTGAAGAATATACTATCCAAGCCCTCATCGGTCTCGGCCTTATCGTGGACACCACCAAACATTATCCCTCGGCCCTTGTGCGGGGCCATCGTGACACCGACTCTCTTGGGGTTCGGGGCATTCCCGGGCTTCTTCCTCCGTTCCCAGCGGATCTTTCCCATATCCTCCTGGTCCAGCCTCAGCAGCCAACTATCCTCATGGACATTCCCTATCTCGCTGACGGCCATCTTCCCGCCGCCCTTCTTCTGTGCACTCGCCACCTTCGTCTTCGAGTACCCACCGAACAGCACAGCGCCCTGCTCATGCGGCAGCAGCGAAAACGAGCTCCTCGCATCGGGGCGCTGCCCATGTGCCGGCAGCACCACCTGCGTCCACGTATACGACACGACGTTGAACACCCACAAGTCGCCGAGATACTTTGTGCTCGCACTAGTATCCTGGAAGCCGCCCCACAGTACGACCAGGTTCTTCCAGCCGACCATGCGGTGTCCGCTGCGCGCCGGCGGCGCCTTCCCTTTCACCTCCACTCGCGCCCACTCCCGCGTCTTGCACTCGAACGACCAGAAGTCGTTGTAGTGGTAGAACGTGTTCTGCTTCGGACTGCTGAACTCCCCGCCAAACAGCCACAGCGTTCCGCCCGCGTGCTGCGTCGCGCAGACCCAATGCCCGCTGCGCGGCAGCGGCGAGTTCGGGCTGGTGATACACCGCCACGAGCCCGTGGCCGTATTGTAGATGTTGAGATCGTTGAAGAACGCCGCGAGCGAGCCATTGAAAGTCTCGCCGCCGAAAAGGAACAGCTCGCTGGCGCTGGCGGGCGACGCGGTGAGCGTGGGCCCTGAGCGCAGCGGCGGCGGCCCGTCGAGGACAGTCTCGGTCACTTTCAGGAACTGCGCTTGCTTGCGCGCGTATTCCTCGAGCACCGCGTCGATGTCTTGGTCCGTCGCATCGATGATCACGTCTTTGCCGCCGGCCTTCTTCGAGGACTTCTTCTCCTTCGTCGCCGACTTACGCGCGGTCTTTTCTGCCACCCGCGCTTTCTTGTCGACGGTTTTCTTCTTGTCTTTTTTCGCCATTGTAGGTGGTGGTGGGTGGGTGGGTGGGTAGGTGGTGATGCGCGCTGGCCGTTCGTTGGTGGGGCGGCCCGCCGAAGTGGACTTTGGGGGGTAAAAAAATGTGGGGGTGGCAGACGCGGGTAGGCTAGAGCACGTTGGGGAAGGCGCTGTGATCCTTGTTGGCGAGGGGGATGCGTCTTCTCAGCTCGCACCCGTTCCGGTGCAGGCCTCGATGTCTTTGGGGACGTTCGTATGTAGGTACGGTAGGTATATCTCATCGGTTTATCTGGAGTACACTGCATCAAATCATCGTACACTCAAAACTAATTACATAACCGCCACTGCCAGACGAGCCCTGGTCGCTAAGAATACATGAGCTGTCAAGAACATTGTGTCCCCCAGCACCTACATAGCACCTTCCTACGCTCCCTTCCCCCCCCCCCCCCCCCCCTCCTTCCCAGTCGCCTAGACTTTCCCTGTGCCTGACCAGTCCCTATCCCATGTATCTACAATCCCGATTCCTGACGCTGAAGACGGTCGCGGAGTGCGAAATGGATGTGAAAGCCGGAGCCAAGGTCCAAGGTCCACAAAGTTGACACCCTCCTGTGCCCCTCCACCTCGCAGCGCCCAGCGGTGCACGAACGGCCCGCAGCCCGCTGGTTCGCCGAGTCGGTACCCTCGCTCATATCCGTAACCTCGTAAAAAGAAAACCCTAAGCCGGCCTCGCTCTTCACTGATGGTGGTGCAACTGGTGGTGGTGGTGTTCCGAAGGAGGACACAATCCGGTATCACTGCCGACCTCGAGCCCGATATCGTCCTCCCAGTAGCTCTCATCATCAGAGCCATACAGTGTCGGGGCACGCACGAGCGCGGGCTGCGGACTGCGCAGGTGACCGCCCTTATACTCCAGCGACGTGGCGCGGTACTGCTTCTTCTCCTTCTTCTCGCGGACGAAGACGCGCATGGCCGGGAGGCACGCGGCGATGAATGCGGTCGTCACCTCGATCTGCGACGCGAGATATAGGATCTCCTTGAACCGCTGGTCGTCCTGCGGGTTGCGGTCCTTGATCGCAGGCCGCAAAGCGAGGATCACGATTATTAGACGGAGGATCGCGGCGAGCACGGGGATTGCGCTGATGGTTAGGAAGATTACGACGCCGCAGCGCTCGCGCCGGCCGAGGTGGAGCGTGCGAAGGATCGCGAGGAATAGGCCGATTACTGGAGGTGTTAGCATTCGAGTGTAAAGGATCGAGATGGATAGGACTTACGGAAGAGATCGGTGGCTATGTTTGCGGCGGCGGTCTTGGAATGGTTCCATATCTTCTGCTGAGGCGAGCAGTAATCGGTACCCAAAGACCTGCTTTCAATCAGCACAGTTCATGGTTGCAATCGATTCAAGAGAGTCCCCTTACCATGCACGTTCAATAGGCAGACAGGTCACGAACATCATCAGAGTGATGACCAGGAACGTGACCACCACCAGCGCCGTCAGAACATAGAGCGCGATCTTGCAGGCGCGGGTCATCTTCTGGCGAAAGTGGAAATATATCGAGAGGAAAGCCGCCTTTATCAGCCACACGATGACGAAATACACAAAACTCTGCGCATAGAGGAACTATGATTATTGCCAGTCAGCAACCTGCATGCGGGCGGGGACTTATGCACATACAACATACCTTCAGCGTCATGATTTTTGCCTGTGCCTCTGGGGATGTATTAACGGCAGACGTAGACCGCAATCCCACCGTGTTCTTGAAACTCCTATCGCGGATGAGCTGGGAGTTTTTGACGGTATTCGCAATCACGGCGGCCGTCGCAGTGGCCAGCGCAAGACAGAGGAAGAACTCGGTATCGAAGTGGGAGCGAATCTTCTTGCGACTGCGGGTGCAAATGACTATCAAGCGCAGTCCGCACACCAGATATGTGAGAACCAGACACAGCCAGTCCACCACGATGGTGGTTTCTGGTGATACTGCCATTCCGCCGTGGTTCGTTGGGCTTCGGGGTGAATATATAGCTTGTTTTTGTTTGTTTTTTCGGAGGAGGAGGAGGAAGGGAACCAGTGGCGCCCGGGAAGGTTATATGTCCGAGAAGATGAGTGAAAGCGCCGGTGATACACTCGGGTACTCGACTGTCGTGCGAAGTCTGTCAGTTATTCGGCTCTTGACACTTCCACCTAATACCGGACGACGACAGGAAGTGTGTAGTACTATGCAAATGGATAACATACCTAAACGGCTGGGGGGAGCCAAACAAACAAATGAAGATGCGAACACAAAGAATAGACCGGAGAGCGCGAGCTGATCTTTAGTTAAGTAGAAGCGGGTGGGGGGAGGGGATAAGAGTCCGCGTAGATATCTGTCAGTCACGTCCGGCATCCTGCCGTTACCGATTCTGCATAGCCCCTCGCTGACACTATACAACCTCATCAGTACATACTATAGAATTCTTGCGTCCAGGTACAGATGTCCATGTACATACCCTCACTCAGACCTATGGGACCGTAGGAGCAGGGTTTTTTATTTCAGGACAGTGCAGTGGTGTACATTGGAGCAATGTACCGCCGAAGTAAGTGTGTATCTACGATGTCCAGCAGTTTTCGTAGCACACAGATGTCCACCATCCTGGTGGTACGGCGTACATCTGTGTGTGCGGAAAAGGTTGCGCAGGTCAGCTCTGAGTCTTGAGTCCTGACTGGTGCGTCGTGTAGCCCTCTTCCCAGGTGTCAGCTCAGCAGGGATCTCGAACAGCAAAACGATTGGATTGGAGGCTGTCTTCTTTTCTTTTTTCCCTTTTTGTTTGTTTGTTTTGCAAGAGGGGATAAATACAGTAGCAGCGAGACGAAGGGTGGCCCCGGAGTGGCGGTCTCGGTAGTTACCTATGATAGTTAATCGATATTAAGGACTAGGGCACCTGTATCTTGAATCTTCCGAATCCCACGGACGGACTGACTGACTGACTGACTGGACGGGGCGGTTGAGATTCATCCAACGAACCATACAATGTGCGAGGCGTGGAGGGGGGATGGTGGGTTATTGTTCTGGTTTGCCCAACATTGGCGCGCAAGGCGTTCTCTGCTTGCATGGCCTTGGGGATGTTCGGATGGTTATCCAGTCTCGTCCGAGTTCTCCAGGTTCTTCGCCTGGCCCATCGCAGCTTACCCGGGCACTCTAGGGAAGAACTCATGCAATGATGGATGTGTAGATAGATACTTACTTGCGCTGCCAGACTTACCGTACCGTAGCTCTCAAGTAAGTGGGGCTCGGTATATACTAGTAGTAACTAGTGTGCTGTGGGGAGAGGGCTTTACGGGGCCCACCTGTCAGCAGGTAGCGCAGCGCTCGTTCGCGGGCCATCGCAGGTGACGATGTGCAGCGATTGGATCTCAGCCCTAACCATAGGTGAAGACCGTGACCATACCGCCGGGAGTAGGCTAATACTTACCTGACTGTATACCTGGTCGGATCACTCTGGGGCCAGGTCGTCGATGCGCATCACTGGTCGGAAACATAGCCACCGATAACCCAGGGAAACCGCCGAGATTATGCCGATGCTGCAGTTTATTCCAGGTAGGGAGGTACTTAAGTAAGTAAGAATATGTAGCCTGTAGGTATGTAGTCGCTCAACGCCTGTCGAGTGTCGAGTGTCGATTCTCGAGCAAAGTTCTGTTAGGTCAGCCCGCACCTTCTCTTCCAACCGCAGTGTGATGGCCCCAGCATACCAGTAGTTAGTTGGTTAGGTGCAACAATCGTACAACGACAACACGTTGACGCAGGCGCCAAAGCACAGCCATCAACGGGCCCGACGTCACGATCGAGCAAATACCTCAATGTTGACCGAAGAATTTACTTGGTCAACCATCTGGCACCGCATCAGCCACAGAATTCGAATCGTACGAGCATTTTTGACTGCAGCGAAAACCCGCCTATGTACATACATAATATCAGCCCCGACTTTCTGGTGTTGATGGCTTCGGATTGCCCCGAGAGACCTGGTCGGTGCTGAGCAGCGACATGGTGGTTTCCAACGCCTCGTCTGCATAGCCGACCAGATATGTATCGGGGGAGAGATGCGGCCTTCGCTCAAGGGTTTCAGTGCCTATATAGAGAGTAAGTACTTGGTCAGGCCGATTGCAAAGGCTGAGAAGTTGAGTATGCGCAACACTACTTACATCTAGATACCATGTCGGTGATTAACTTTCCGGATTCACTGGTAATAATATCTATTGAAAATTTGAATTATCTTGGTGGTGTAGCCCGGGAAGGGAAACGGCGAAAATGAAGGATGATGGAGAAGTTGAGGTTCGATTCAACTTCGAAGAGCCAGGCTCTACTATACTCGAGGACTCCGCTGCCTGCAACGTTCGGTGCCACCCGATCTGGCTAGCGCAAAGTTCAAACGCTGCTGCGGTTCTTCAATATCGCTGACAAACTCCCAGAGTTTGTAGGAGAGGCTTGGAAAAGCTGACAGATCTGTCTGGGACTCTACTAGCTTGTACCGCGTGTCACCGTTAATTCTATGGTCCTGTGGGGTCGGTGCACCAGCGGAGCTTGTCACTCGGTACTGGGACTGCTGCTGCTGTGGTGCGTGCACTGATTGGCGTCTTCGCTCTGGACTCTGGAGGGGGTCCACGCCGGGTTGGACCTGTGCGTAGATCTTTGATGCTTACACTGTTCACGTTCACGTTCGTCTCCTACCCTCCATTACGTCGTGTCGGTCTTCCTCCGTGTGTTCGGCAAGTGTCTCTCCTCTCCTCCCTCCCGCCAGCGGCCAGACGGTCTCAATACGCTACCTACGGTGCGTTGCGGATGACATGATCGGCTATGATTCCGATGCGCTGCGGTATTACATCAGCTTGCCTCCCAACCGCGTGCTGGTGGCTATGAGAGCACGCCGCCACCACGAAGCGCTGTGACAGTTGGCAATCCTTACTTTACAAAACCATGGCAGATCTCACGACTTGTGTCCAGTGTCCACCCCAATGGCAATCTGATGGGGTTTGCCCATGTAGCAAGCCCGCTTCACAACCACACGTTCAGCCGCAACGGCGGAAGGAAATACAAAACCAAGAAAACGCATGTTACTGCTAGTATCCATGGTGATTGATTCTTTATCTACCTAGCAGAAGTTACATCAGCCGCTGCCAGCGAAACCGGAATGCGATAGGGATGAGGATGTGGTCCACCCGTCCCGTGTATATGATAGTAGAAGCCGGCGCCGACTGCAGCCAGATCCCGCTAGATCAACCTATGGGCCCGATGCTTGTATTTTCGTCAATTCGATCGGGAACCACCCGGGCCGGGAGGTATGGTACCTCTTGGTCAAGTACTCGCCCAAGTACTCACGCAAGTACTCACACAACCACAACCATTCCACCATCCACGGACGGCCTGCAGCCTAATTATACAGTATTCCACGAATGCACTTTACGCCGATCAGGTGCGTGCTGGAGGAGGAGGAGGAGGAGTGCATGCCAGCAGCCACATGGCCCTGCTCTGTATCCAACCACGCATCATCTGATTCCTAGTGCACAGTTTCATCCTTCCGAAGGGTTTCACGTTGCCCCTCAGCCCTGCCATAGGTAGGTAACTCACCGCCCCATCCATCCATCGTGGTCTACCTAGTTGTTCCCAAACACCATAGCAGCGGCGGAGACGCGGCACTGCCAATAGCCAAGCACCATATACATCGCCGTGACTCTGTTTTCTAACCCTTCGTCCAGCCGCGAATCGCGATGACCCTTCTGCCATCTGGGCGCCGTGTGCAGTCAATAGGTAGCTCCGTGACTCCGTGACTCCCGTCCGTCGCTGCGAACGCATCCGCTCGCGCGCACTCATCATGCATCGTTCGTTCTTTCAACACTGATGGATTGCTATCATACCCACGAGTAAAGTTTAAACTCGAGAGCATACATACTCTACATAGGAGTGAAGATCATTCCGAATGCCCTACATACATATTTAGGGACCCGGGGGAGGGGGATTCGTGGAAGGGCCGCTTGGCATCTGGACGATCGATCCACAGTTTCAAAGTTCCAAACATAAAGCTCCCGGGATTCTGAATCTCTGATAGTGAGTGATCCACGGCCTAAAAAAAGGCTCGGATAATGGTACATATCATTGGTATGGCCCCGACGCCCCGTATGGGGGCCGGAGAGGGGGCAGACTGTGGGGCACAACTTACAGGTTGCTAGTTACACAAGACCAGTCTGTCTGGAGTTACATATATGTGTGGAACCAAGAGCGTACGTGGCGTGGAGTTCGAGTTTGAAACTTTGTCGGCAGTGGGCGGTGGGCACACCGACCAGGAACGCAGACCTGAGACGACGAGTAGATACTCGATCCGGGTAACCATCCCGAGTAAGCACCCAATCCGAAGACGTGCACCGTGACTAACTTACTTGGTTAGTAGCAGGTGGACCGCAACAAGCCTCCATCGATCGCGGGGCGGGGAGGGAGGCGGGGACCCAGCAATGTGAGTACACGGCGACGACAACCAGTGGTCAACAGTCTGCAGACAGAGTGTACGTCCTCCATCCTATGAGTCCACATGCATACGGTATGATAGTAGTGAGTCCACATGCATATGGTATGATAGTAGTGAGTCCCTCGCTGCCTAGTATCATAACTAGCAGTTCGCCAGCTGGGCATGGCGAACAACAAGGCTCACACAGTCGCAACCAGCTGCCAGGATCGATCGTTCCGTGCGGACAAACGGCCGCCCGCTCTCGGTAGTCGCGCGGGGAGGGACCAATCCGAGCCCGACGCCGAGCACGGTTGGCTTCCGTCGATTGGGGATGCTGGCACCCATCAGGCAGCAGCCTGAGCGCAGATTCGGGGTTCCCCGATAGGTACACTGGTCTGTACTTGCTCTCCCTCTCTCTCTATCTCTCGCTCGCCCGCTCGCTCTCTGGTAACGCGGCGCAGAGCATACAGTGCAGATGCACAAGCGACTCATTGGTCTACGGGAGATGCATCATCCCATCCACCTAACCGTCGATCGGGACAGACGAGAAGTTTCGTTGAAGTATATTCTCCATGAAGCCTTTCGAACCGATCGAAACTGTACTCGAAGGTTGCCTGGTAGTGGTGATGGATGTGCACATATGAAGGGCACCGCGGGGTCCCGTGTCCAGTTACATACCGGTATGTACCTACCTGCATCGGATCCGCTTGCCAACCTTTGAGCGAAACGGGGGCTCCGCCCGACGATAGTGTATCTGGCCCAGAGAAGCCCATCGGGATTTGATTTCTGCAGGCACCGGTAGATTTTAGCGGACTTCCCCGGCCTCAGCCCTACGTATACGATGCATGCGGAGCCGCGTCCGATGCAGCGTGCTATGTGTGTACATAAGCACCTGTAATCGCTGAATTGGCAGGTGCCTTCTTGATCTGGGTTCCACTTTCGCCGTGTCGGCGGGTTTCTGCTCGGTCATGCTGTTCTACACTCTGCGGAACTGAAGCCTCCCGTTCTGAGCGGTCCGGGGTGAAGTGGACTGCTGTACCCTACTATTGGTATGTAGAAACGGACCTCAGAGAAGCTGCCAGAAAGGTTACATACCTTCTCCCGAAGAATGGCGTGAAGCGCCGTGAACAGGTGGTATTCGCTTTTAGTAACACTTTGTCGGGTAGCTGCACGACTTACAAGTACATGAGAAATGATTTATAACAAGGCAGCGAGTAGTACCAGGGGTCGGGTATGATGCCAATCTCGATCGATGCATAAGTAATCAGGGCATGCTACGGATAAGGGATGTCGTTGGAGAACGGATCGGACAGTCGGAGAGCCGAGGCTGGTCTGGCTGGGTTGAAATCACGCACGAGCGGGCAAAATAAGACTGATGGTCGTGAAAACGAGTGATAATAGTGACGGGGTCGAGTGAGATGTCGTGTCTCGTTGGAGGGGGAGAGGTATCTCAGAATGCATCGAACGAGCTGGGGATCCTGAGAGGTCCTCCGAATATCATCAGCGCTTTTCTCTGCGGGAAGATGGTGGTCACGGATTTTACTTTATCGGGTTGAGGGACTGATCGGGAGCTAACTAGAGCTAGACGGCCTACGCCAGGTAACAGCGCCAAGCTTCTCCTGCGAACCACCTCACGAACTACTGCTTCGCTGTCTCTCAATTGCTTCACGCGACAAACCCAACGACATCTCGAAGCGAAGCCAAACATCCCCTAGCTTCGAATCCCCCACACAACCGTCATAATGAAGTTGGTCAGGTAGGAGCCGGCATGCATAACCGTCGTGCTGGAACTTCTCGCTCACCACTCCCCCAGGTTTTTGATGAAATGTCAGAACGAGACTGTGACCGTCGAGCTCAAGAACGGTTAGTGCATCTCCGAGCCCATTCCGCGCTGCGATCCCCCATCGTCCCGCACCTTATCCCGGAGCATTGAAGGCTGATACGAGGTGTTCGTTTACGTTCCCCAGGCACCATCGTTCACGGCACTATCCTCAGCGTCGACGTCAAGATGAACACCGCCCTGCGCACCGTTAAGATGACGATCCGCAACCGCGACCCAATCGCCCTCGACACAATCAACATCCGTGGCTCCACCATCCGCTACTTCATCCTGCCGGACTCGCTGCCGCTCGATACCTTACTGATCGACGACGCACCCAAGCCCAAGAACAAGGCGCGCAAGGAGACCGACCGAGGACGCGGTGGGCGTGGTGGTGGTGGCGGTGACCGTGGTGGACGCGGTGGAAGAGGGCGGGGTGGTGGAGGTGGCGGCGGTGGTGGCCGGGGCGGTGGAAGAGGAAGGGGTGGTAGGTAGCTTCATACACGATACTGAGTTGTGGAGTGTATATCACCATTGCCGGAAGCGCTGTTTACTTGCATACCTTTTTTTTCTTCTTCGATGGTAGCGGATGGCTTTTACGAGATTGCAATAAATTAGAGATCTATGAGGTCCGATAGCTTCCGATAGTACTCGTACAATGACATTTTTTCCCCACCGTATTGTTTCAAACTAGAAACTTCAAAGTGAAACCCAAACACCGTTGCCGTTCTATTTTTGCTCATTATCGCCGGTCCCTTGAGGGTGCACGTACAATTTACATCCGTCCCCCATCGTCAAATATAGCCTCCCCCCTATTGCTCCTTCTTACTCCCCTCCTCCTCCTCCTCCTCCGCGGACTCTTCCGACGCCTCCGCACCCTCCTCACTAGCCTTCTTCAACTTCCGTAGCCGCTCTGCCTCCGCCTCCACCCTCTTAACCTCCTCGAGCTCACTGACGAACCATACGATGGCGCCCCAGAGACAGCCGCAGATGACATTGAGAAACACAAAGTGCCAGCTCAATGTCGCGATGAGCAGCGCTATGAGCGTGGCTTGTAGCGCCGCGAATGATGCATACGTCGCGATGATAACGGAGCGGTTGGTGCCCGGCTGGAAGACGGACTCCCAGATGTCGGTGATGAACTGGGACATTGCGGTGATGGTATTGCTTGCGCGTCGAATTGGAGGGAGGTGTGGAGTGCGATGGGTATAAGCTTCGTGGCCGGTGGTTGAATGGCAGTTTCAAGCTGGTATGATATGGTGTTGTTGGCGTCAAGGTTAGAAGGGCGTTGGAAGAAAGGAAAAACGCGCCGGGCGGCGATGATGTCAAGCCCCCCCTTCCGGACTCGGATGAAACCACGGTTCCCTTAAACCAACGACAAAGCATCCCGGCATGTTCCCTCGTTAAAGCTTAACACCAAGAAATAAAAATAAAAATAAAAAAGCCATGCACCAACACCGTCCCGCACCCACCACCACCGGCGCCCCACCTCCCCCACCTCACCCGCCCAGATGCTGCCCACGCCCGACACGGATCACATAGATCCCAACACGACGTACTCTCCAGCGGAGGACTCGTACCTGGTGCTAGACACACTCACGTCGGACGCTGGCTTCCTCCATTCACACTTCGCACCGCCCTCCTCGCCCCCCCTAATCCTCGAGCTCGGCACGGGCAGCGGCATAATCTCTGCCTTTATCTCCACCAATACCACCGCGCTCTTCGGTCGGGCGGACGTCCACCTCCTCGGCACCGACGCGAACTCCATCGCGTGCGCAGCGACGGCGCAAACCCTCTCTCTCACGCCCGCGCCATCGCACTTCCTTGGCGCGCTGGTGGCGGACCTCGCGGCGCCGCTGCGCGATCACGTCGTCGACATGCTCGTGTTCAATCCTCCGTACGTACCGACGCCAGAGCTGCCCAGCTTGCGTGCGGAGCACGGAGCGACAGAGTTTGAGGAGGAGTCCAGGCTCCTGGCGCTGACGTATGCGGGCGGCGAGGATGGGATGGAGGTCACGAGGCGTGTGCTGATGGGGCTGGGGAGCGTGCTGAGTCAACGTGGTGTGGCGTATATTCTGCTTTGTCGCAGTAATAGGCCTGGTGAGGTGGTTGAGGGGTTGAGAGGCCAGGGCTGGAGGTGTGAGAAGGCTGGTGGCAGTGGGAGGAGGGGCGGGATTGAGAGGTTGGAGATCTGGAGGATCTGGAGGTAACGAATGATCGAACGAAACAATCGTACCGTGAGGCCAATCGTCTGAGTAGGAAACAACCCGCAAAGGCACACGGACATGGCGCCGTACCAGTGCTGGTGATAGTTGGTGGAGCACTGTAATGGCATTGGTACACACAAGACGCCGGGGCTTATCCCCTATGCATGTGTAGAGCGCCCTTTCGTCTTCCGTCTACTGCTATGCGATTCCAGTATTCCAACGTAAGTTCCCTCTCGGGAAGCACGTAGGTACGGCAAGCCCCAAAAAACTCCAGATACCTAGTCTACGGTACGTTCCTAAGGGCCATCGGCCGCAGTCAATCGTCTGCATAATGTGGTCTCGCCAGATAGAACCGGGTCGATTCCATAAAAGCCGAAATAAAGTCCTGAGCTCCATAGGAAGTGGAAGTGGAAATGTTCCGTTTGCAGGAGGATACGTCACGTGATACATACTCTACGGGGAGGTGATCACTCGCGATCACTCGTGATTCCTCGCGAGGCGGAAATCATATATAGCCCCTCCGGTTCGGGGCCACCTCGTTGTGACCACGGTGTCGATGATTGCGGTGAAGCGGTGCAAGGAAACACACCAGACAGGACTGCTCGCAGGAAATTAGCCCAGTCGGTGTGGAGAAGTTAGAACATGGGTGAGCCAGTCTGGCATATATCATAAGTTCATAACTCGATATCGCGGCGCAGGAAGATCCCCCGGCAGATGAGCTATCCCGCACATCTATTGTGTTTCGGTGGACCTATAGTAGCCTCGAAGGTTCACAACATAACAAATAATAAATCAACACTTCGGCCAAGTCCCGATCACAGGTTATCACGCGAGAATATCCGACCACATCTGTTTTGATTCTCGTTCAAAAGTCACATCATCAAGCCATATCGTCACTCGTCAAAGATATTACACATTGGTCATATTGGTCATATTGTATTGGTAGTATTTGCATGCCTCGAGAATCCGGTTTATTTTTCACACTTGCTTATGCTTCTGTCTGGTAAAAGTATGTCTAGCTGGTCAGAATTAATTCGAAGAAATGAGCTCACCAACATTGCTCGTGCTTCTCAACAACATCGACTCGAACACTGCGTTTCCCGTTTCCCGCATCCATTTCTTGGCTTTCGCGAGTGAGCGGCGCTTTGTCGCAAGCCGCAGGCCGCACGGAGTTTGTCTGCGCGAAGGAACGCGCAGTACGAGTGACCGGTGGCGAGAATCGTATCCGTATCCGTAATCCACCTAGTGTACATAAGTCCGGATCATTTCACAGAGGATTAAGCCTTGTCTCCCACAAAACTCCCAAGCCCCTCAAGCCTCACTTTGTTAGCTGTTGGCACAGACACGACGATCATGATCCTGCTCAGCGCAACGAAAACCCCGAGGCTGAGCGACTCTACTCTACTCTAATAACGAGGCTGGCGGATTGAAGGCTAAGCGTTGCCTGAGGTCTCGCACCAGGCTCTCAAGCCCCCTCAAGCCCCTCACTTTGTTGGCTAACTATTGGCACAGACATGGCGATCATGATTCTGCGAAGTTCAAGCGCAATGAAAACCTCCGGGGCTGGAGGGTCGAGCGCTGTCTCTCGCATCAGGCTCTCAAGCCTCTTACTTTGATCGCATATGGCGACACCACTTATTTCGTGACGTCGACTGGTATGGGGAAAAAGTTGAATACTTGTAACTTGTTTACAGAAAACCGAGCACACGCCGGGCACAAACACCCAAGGCCCGGGGATGAAACAAAACCAAAGCCAAAACCAAACCAAAACCACGGTACGTACGTCGGTACCAGGGATTCCCGCCTGGTCACCTACCCACTGCAGTACTATCTCTAGAGTAACCTGACGATACATAGAGTACCTTGCTTGACTACTCCAGAAGTCTAGGGCTGAGCGGACGTGAAGCCGTGTATACCGGTAATATTCAAGGTCCGTAGTTGTTTCTCTGTCCGTCCGTCTGTCTGTCCCGAGTGATGATGCAGTGGCTGAATCGAGGCTGGATAGAGGAAGTACCTATGTAGGTAATCCGACTTGCCACTTGGCGGGGAGTGCGTTGTCTTTTGCATTACTTTTCTAGATAGGTACATATCGCTCTCACTGCGATTCAAGACATAGACCTCGGAGGAGAGGCCAGAAAAATGGGAATGGGAATGGGAATGGTCCACAGTGGGGTGGCCCGGCAGGAGAGGAGAGGAGAGGAGAGGAGCAACTGAAGGAAGGAATTTGAGGACAATCTCTGATTTCTGTAAAGTACTCACAGCGAATTTCATACGCATTCGGGGCACTTGAGACGGTTCCATCTCTCCATCTCAGCGGCGAGGAGTCCGTGAGTCTGTATGGGGTTTACTTCTGCGGAGCACCAACACAACAAAGCTCTCTCGACGGCGGTGATGCTGACTCCTGTCTCCTGACTCGTTGACTCGCTGACTCGCTGACTCGCTGACTCCCGAGAGTCTGAGACTGATGAGTGATGACTGGACGGAATCCCGGTCTATTTTTGGCAGAAAATGTATCTATCACCTTCAAGTTCTGTTATATGGTATTATAGTTACCCGGGAAATTGAGCGGCGTTCGTTTGCTGGATTGCTGGATTGGGGGGCTGGGAGCCGGTGCGGACGGGATTGCGATCGACGGTGCTAGCCGATAATACATACTGCTGTCTCGCATCACTCGTGGGGTGGTCGGGCAGCCTGCTACTACATACTTTTTAGAGTATATAGTACTGTAGCCTGTTCGGATAACGATGAATCACTCTCGTACTCTACATACCGTAGCTGACCGAGACAATAGTAGAGTAGAGCATGTAGAGTACATACCAGTACGAGGTCTTTTGTCTCGCGGCACAGGCTTCATCACCATCACTATCAGCGATATCGTCCTCACCGAAGCCGGAGGTCGTATTCAACAGTATGTACCTGTGTATAGTAGAGTAAAGTATTGCCTCCTAGGAATGGGCCTAATAATGGGCCAACTCAGTCTCGAACTTGGTTATTTGGCCATTCGCGAGACTAGAAGTGGCCAATTCGGGCTCCAACTTGGCCTTGTCGATGAGGCCCAACTATGATACCTCCTACGGTACTATAGGTACACATCACGAGGACCCGAATATACTTTTGCGAACCGCCTTCTTTCCCTGTCGGTACGGAGTCTGGACGCCGCTAACTACCAGGCATTCGGAATGGACTTACCTTGCATTGCTGCGGTTGGGAGAGAGAGGGAGATCATCAATTGGCCTTACTACTAGTATGGTGCCGGACGCTTTAACGGGCAAGCGAGGGACGAAAAATGACCCTCAGCGCCGACCGCTACTCCTCTCCACCACAACAAAAAGAATTTTTTTGGAACCGTAGAATGGTAGAGTAGTATGTGTAGAACAGTTCTACGGTTTCAAATTAAATTATTGGTGGTTGGTGGAGAGGAGTAGGACTTGAAAAGTCGGGTATTGAGTGACGGTGAGTAGAACAACAGGACGAATGAAGAATCAAGTCAATCGAACAAAAACGGGCTGAAATATTGGTTTACCACCATAGGTTTTTGCGTGGTCATACATTCGCACGCGATTTCTTGGCGGGCCCATCTCCATTGGACATGCCAAGACACTAGCCCGTTAGAGTGTCCGGCACCATATAGTACTATTGCTGCTGTTGGTGTCTTGCAAAGGAGGGATTTGGAGCTGAAGGACGCCGAATCGAGTGAGTCCCGAAGCTGCAGAACGAAGTTGCGATACTTACAAGTACTCTAGACAGCACGAAGCGAAGTTTTTTATGCATGTTGAACTCTCGGACTGGCGCTGGCGCTGTTGTTGTAGAGCAGTCGTCGTCGAGGAGGAGGAGGAGAGACACTTCGCTATGCAGCCTACTAGTAACTAACCTGTTCGATACTCATTCCCGTGCCAGCATCGCGAGCATTGGGAAGAAAGAAAAGATAGTCTGGTTTTTTGCATTGCGATTGTTAGGTACATTATACATACATACGGCACCGATGATCCGCGCTCGCCGACACAGCCTTCTCTAGCCGGCAAACTCTGTATTATATGTACATAAGTGAATCGGCATCGAGCAGTCATGGGCATTGGGCATTGGGCATTGGGATTCAGGTGATCCGGAGTGCAGGGCGTGCAGAGTAATCGTCAATGTCTCAAATGTGCCTCCCCCGGGAGGGGCGTCCTGCTTCACGCACTAGAAAAGGCAACATGAAGAAGGGAATTTAACGTTGGCACTGCACTGGAGCTGGCGATGCACCGTTAGCAGGTATCCCCTCTGGATGGCTGGGGGTTCTCGACGACCGAACACGTGCACACATCACAACTTCTCTCTCGTTGTCTCGGACAAGTACATACAGACTCAGTTATGTACGGATTCTGCAGGAACAGTTGTTCACGGATTGGCGACGTGTTAGCTGGCGGTACGGGGTGGGGGGCTGTCGACGACTCGACGGAGGAGGGGAAAGACATGCATGCATGCGAGGAGGGCGTACGGGATTAGGTGGGTTTGCGACGGATGCGACGGCGCACGTCACACGGAACTCTGGAGTCTGAACTCTGAACTCCTTGCTCACGGCCACGGCTTCTTTTTTTCTTTCGGAACATGGCTCCGCTTGTTCGGCACCGTCATCGATTCTGGCTCTCTGATGCTAAGTACTAACAAGTACTCCATACAGCGCCACGCCGAAGCGGAAATAAGTTACGGACGGCGGTGTGTAAATCGCGTACATACGAAGGAAGGGTGATCGGCTCAATGAATGTCGGCGCAATGAATATCGATCGGTTCGCACGTAGGGACTAGAGTATGCCAAAGTAGACTGGCCGCTGGCGGGGATTTCCTTTTTAGTCTCTCTCGCCAGTTCACACTTTGATGTTGTGACGTATTTTTTTTCTCCTTCTTTTCTTTTCTTCTGTAGGTATTCTATTCTTATTTTTCTCCTGACTCGGACGCTGCTACGGAATCGGGATAAGTTGATTTTGGTTTTTTCTTTCGCCATTGACTTTTCGGCGTGCCTTCGTAAGGCGCGTTCGAGACAACGCTGTCTCGGAATCGACACTATTCGGGCAACGATAACAACGACAAACTGCCACACGGATCAGGGGCCGAATGAGGATTGGGCTTGCAGCGGAAGGCTGTGGGCACTGGGCGGCTTGCTCAACGTTGAACTTGTTCTGCAAGCAGGCTGTGTGGGAGGCTCGCCCAGTGTCCTCTACGGAAGGCTGTGGGGGCTTGCTCGGCTTTCTGTCTATACCTTACTGCCCATGCAGAGGCCGCACAACGTTCTTGGCTTGCAAGTTGCCAGGTTGGCAGATTCTTGCGGTGCTTGTGTGGCTTCGGAATGATTGTCAGGGGATTTCGCAGAAGGCTGGATCATTCGATCGACAAGTGGAATACTAGGTATCTGCGAATACCACACTCGGCTCCCGCTACTCCTACCAAGTATATACCGACTATTTCACCTACGGCACCAGTACTCCGTCGCCTGTCCCCGCCGGCTGCGAATGAGAACATCGCGATTTGGGCGACTCAGCACCTTTCGCCTTCAATTCTGGAGAAGCATCGTACATACCGGTAACGTATGTACTCGGTTTGCGCGTTCGCAAGCCCATTGACGTTCAACTATGCCTCCCCGCATGTCCTACATGTAAGCCAACTCAACAGCGTTCGGGCCCTTTCACGTCCAGTTAGCCAGCGTGTTCCGTTCGGAGCTGAACATCTCTCTAGTTCAGGCACCAAAGCTAACTAAGCACTCGTTCCTAGTCCCTAGTCCTGTCGATCTCTTAAAGCCGGCAACGTTGGCAGCTAGGCAAACGAAAGTGACGTATATACAGATCAGGAAGTGCAGGCAAACGGGACAGCCATTCAGACCAGTCGATAGCCGACGAGGCCAATGGTCGTCGGTACATATCATAGCATATGATGTACCGCCGCACTCCAGGTGATCACCGGCGCCAATGCGGGTGATTTGTTGGGTGAATCAGTGCCGCTAAACCCATCGTGGGCTACCCTCCCGAGACATCACTAGCGCCGTTTGGCTGGTGACCGAGATCACCTGGGTGACGATTCGTGATGGAAGTCGGGAATGGGCGGAGGGAGTCTGGCTGGAAGCTTTTGGATGGTGGTGGTGGTGGTGACGAAGATGCTCCAGAAGATACTACCTGCAATTCAGTGACTGTCCCCGGAGGCTACAGATAGTGCCGGACACTTGTCTCCGTTCCCTCAGCTGGCTCGTGAGAAATGGAGGCGCGGAAAATTAACTATAGCTTCACTTCACGATACGTGGATGCCGATCACCTACCAACACCACAAGGGGGGAGTGAATCTACACGTCAGACATCCCATCGGCAGGGGAGGCATAATCGGCAGCACGCGGTGTGGGAATCGTTCTTGACCTCCTGAGACACTCCCCCGGTGCATCCTAGTCAATGTCCTCCCGGCCGTGCAGCGACTTTCAGCTCCGCCCAACACTCCCGGCGCCCTCCGATCGTAGTGTTCCCTCTAGGGGGATTCGATACTTGCTGTGATATCCAAAGACTGAAAATCAAGAGAGCCAGAAGTCCGATAAATACCCCCCCTCCGCCGCCGTCAATTACAATCTTCATCCCAACAGCATCTTCTCATCTCACACTCACAACCACATCCACTCTTCACTCTCCACTCTTCAAACAACTCCTTCTCTCTTCTACCATCCCCAAACAAACAATTCCAACTCTCAAAATGGTTTCCATCAAGTCCCTCATCGTCTTCACCTTCGCCGCCTTCGCTGTGGCCTCGCCCATCCTCAACGGCGGCGCCGCTGGTATCCAGTCCCGCGACATCATCGAGGACACGATCCAGAAATCCGGCAACAAGAACGACTTTGTCAGCCCCAAGTCCAAGCAGGATGACACCGTGAACGCGCCCACCAACGCCATGAACTGCGGCAATAACCACAAGATCTCCTGCTGCAACACCCAGGACATGTCCAAGTCCGATGTCACTAGCCTTCTCAACCTCGACCTTAAGCAGCTCATTGAGGTCTCCAAGTGCGCTCCTATCGCCAAGAACATTCCCATCGCTGGAACTGGCATCGGTGGAACCGTCAATGGTGAGTTTCCTCTTGTCCCCTTACTTTCAACGGACCAACTGACCGATCTGTTACCAGCCCTTAGCGGAAACTCTAAGGACACCATGTGCGAGACCGGCCCGGTCGTCTGCTGCCCTGTCGGAAGCGGCAACGTAAGTACCCCCCATTCTCGTCCCGCACCACGAGCAGATACTAACCTACCTAATAGAACCAGCAAAACGGCATCGTCAACATCGGCCAGACCAACGTCGCCAACTGCGTGGTCGTCCAGCGTGCGCTCTAGGTCTAAGCTCAACAGCCTCGACCACACTACGAGTAGTAGGGGATTGAACCGGGATTTAATGGGGGGATTGGGATTGGGATTGGGATTGGGATTTCTTAACTTTCCTTTGTCTCCGTTTGAGTGAAGGCTCGGGGAACGCTTAATGTTTAACGCTTGTGTTTGGATACATGCTTTACGAGAATGATAGTTGCTTATTTTAAACCCTACAAAAAACTTGAGTGCCTGCTGTGATCCTATCTGACAATCGTTCGGAGTTCCGCGCTTCGAACTTCGATGAAGAAGAAGGAGTAGAGTGGTTTGGCTGGAGATCCATCCATCCGAATCCGATCAAAGAGCTCGGCCATTCCTTTCCCTTCCGCCATCTATCTCATCTCCCCATTGACAAGCCATCCAGAGCTCGCCGAAAACCGCCGATCAGACCAACCACATCTTCGGCCAGACCTCGAAACCCTAGCCATCCCATCTCGTTCGGACCCGCATAGTAATAATAGACGGAGCGAGTATTCTAGCACATCACAGAGTATACCTTTGGCGGCCAGCCGCCAAACGTAGAGGTATGAATCATGATAGGTACACAGACCTGCCAACAGTGCACAGTACAAACTGTTTCGAAAATTTGTTAAAACTGCAGTGAACCGGTTATGGAAGGGGGGGCCCAAACCGAACTGCGTACCGAATTAGAACTGGTTTGAATATCCAGTTTGATCTGGTGACCGGTCAAACTGAATAACTGAATATGTAATGGTACATCGTGTAAAGGCGTCTATCGCGAGCAGGGTTACTTACAAGCCCATATTAGTCCCGATCATGAAAAGCACTCGGACACGATCGAACTGAGTACCGCCGGTATCGCAAGAATTCGTTTCGACTCCGACCGCTTTCCGCAGTGGGACCATTCTTTCCAGAGAGGTATTTGATGGAGCATGGAGTATTGGGGGCCACGATGCTCCATAGCCGCCGCCGTGGTTGACAACTATATATGAACTATGGACACGGGAAGCAGCCGTGGATTGACTCGTCACGCACGCATCCTAATATTCCGTACGGGCACCTTTAGAGGCCATTACCATCGTGTTTTTTCGTGTATTTCGTGTATTTAAGGAACACTAGATTGACCACAGCAACGACTGGGTCGGATCAACGATGGATTTGCCTACCTATAGTGCGATACATCTGCCGTGATACCGCGATGTGTATTACGAATGGTTTCTCCACAGAGCTTTCTTGAATACTGTCCACCAATCGTATTATGCATCTACGGAAAGTGGTAGACTATCGGCCAAAATTTAAGTTACGTGCCTATTTGGGCGACATACGTGCACGTGGACGTGCTCTTCAGCCTTGGAGTTGTGATTGAGTCTGTCACCCAAACCCCTGTAGAGGGGAGAGCACGGTAATTTAGCAACATCAGGATTGATCGACACGGTATATATAGGTAGGTCACCGCAGTCGAGTAAGAAGCCGATGTCGTTCTCTCGTACAGCGGCTAGAGCAACAACATTTGGCCAATGGCGCATGCATCTCACTCATGCATGGCTAGGAGGAAAGACCTTTGCTCTGAAAGGAAGAAGACCTCCGCGTATAAAGTGGGGGGATAGTAAACCACGTTATACGCGTATAACTTGGGGCGGTAGACCAAGTTATACCTTCTTTGGTTTTTTATTTGCTCGTCCGAAACCGTCTGTAGCCGGGTTTCGGAGGCATGGGCCTTGGCCATCATGCGTGCCTCTCACACACGCATGGCCAGGAGGAAAGACCTTTGCCCTCTCACAGCAAAAGGAAGAAAGCCTCCGCGTATAACCTGGGTGGGTAGTAGACCAAGTTATACTTTCTTTGTTTTTTTCTTCCTCATCCACACGAAACCGTCTGTCACCCGGTTTCGGAGAGGCCATCCCCCGGGAGCAAGTCGGCTCTCACCCGACTTGGACTCCCGGAGGAAGGGGGAAAGAACTTTGCCGGCAGCAGAAGAGAGAACGCCGTCCTTAGACCTTTTCTGCTCAGCCTCGAGGGTTGGATCCGTCTATTGTCGCTGCAACCGTCTACTTTGTAGACCGGCGGTCGCACAGATCCCTCAGTTCCTCGCTGCTACGGCTGAGCAAGATTGCTCTGTAGGGTTATCCTGGAAGTGAAAAGTAGGGGAGAGAGAGAAGGACTTACCTCGAGGTTTGATCTTGAGATCAGGTGAAAGGAAGGAAGGAAGGGGGAGGGAATAGTTGACGAAGAAAGGAAGCTGAGATAGTTGTAAAGAGAAGGAGAGAAGGAGGAGCAGAAAGGGGGGGTTTTATAGGTGATTTAGGAGCCGCCAGGTTCCAAGCTGGTTTTCGCCGCCGCCAGACGGCTAGTCCCCACCAAAACTTGCTCATCACTTGGAACGAGCGAGCAAACGTGACGCCAATCGTCGCAGACGGGGTGGAAGTGCCGCGATACCGCTAGACCCCACAAAAACGTACTCATCCGATGTAGCGAATGAGCAAAAGTGAGGAGCCACGGGGTCGAAGTCCCCTCGCACGCCGAATTAGAGTTTAGTAGTCACTATCACAGGCTGGTATTGCTACCGCCGGCACGCCTTGTCCTCCTATGCCGTCCTACAGAATTGTCAGGCCTTCATGGCTGGAATTGACAATGACTCGTCCTAAAAGTTGGCGTTAGTTGCTAGCTGCGGTTCGATCCGCCGTTGCAACGTTTGCCGAGGTGGGTCATCGTTCCGAGTTCCGCGCTGGTCCTCGGCCAGCTCCCCCACCGGTTCTAGGACGGGTGGTCTTGATTGCTCGACCGATCTGGTCCCACTGTGTCCCCAACGTGGCCGCATAGAAACTGAGTCTCGGCATTCCGAGTCCAGCGGCGAAGCAACAGTTTTGCAATCATGAGTTATCACTCTCTAAAAACCGAGGGATGCATAAGTATTGTCTGCTGGAGCGAAATTAATATACCTAGTACCGGCTGATCCCAATCCGGACACGAGCTTGGGCCAGCAACGCCATCTCACGCGGCGAGTGATAACTCAACCCGGCAATAGACTGGGAGAGGGTGAGAGCCAGGGCGAGAAACAGAAAGAAAATACGAGACGATCGAGGAGACGGATCGGAGGACGTAGAGAATGGTAACTACGGGTGTCGAATAGGTAGACTGTCAACCCCCCATCTCAGGTCTTTCTTCTGTGTGTGCTCCCTTCCTCGTCCCACGCCTGTCGGCCTGGAGTTGGCAAAGAGCCCTCGTAAAAGTTAAAACCACCACCACTCAAACACCCGTTTACTCGCCAATGCCTCTCCAGACAGGGAAGCGGGTTGACAGAAGGGGAGCACAAAAGGAGAGAGGGGATTTAGAAGTTAATTATCTCTGTCGTTCTATCCATATATTTCAACACACCCCATCGACCCAAACCCCCCCCCCGAAGGCTGAACAAGATTAGAAACGAGTGACGCAATATGCGTCAACACAGCCGAGCGGCGAGCGAACAAGTATCGCAACAACCCCAAGGCATGATGAGTAAGATATATAGAGCGACATAGGCTAAGGATGGAAGGCAGATGTCAATAAATGTTATGCCTCTGAATATTCTGTTTCTTCTACATAAACCACCCATGTTGCCTGTTCTACTCCTCATTTTTCCGCTTCTTATCCTTCTTCCAATCCTTCTCCTGCTTCTAGTTCTTCAACTTCTTCAGCTTTTTCAACTTCTCCTTCTCCTCCTCGCACGTTCCTCCTTCCTCCTTCCGCACCGCCCGCGGCCCAACAGTAGCGCTAAATCTCCAACAGAAACCAACAGAAGCCACCGTCACAGCGAATAATAACCCCGCTCGCACGGCAGCGCCCGCAGGCACCGCTGGTGCGTTGCCGCGAGCGGCAACGGCAGAAACATTCTGCGATTAGTTTCCGCCCTCCACGGGCGCAATGTGTGAGCGGAGCTCTTGATGATCGGCTGCAGACCCGTGGATAGGTCCAAAAAAAAAGCTGCTAGACTCCGGGTCTGTAGAGGAAGTTAGTTAGTGTCTAGCTCTCGAGCTGGCAGCCTGGCAGCAGCCTGCCCGCGCCACAGGGGTAAGACTGAGGCAAGAGAAGATGGGAACGTACCTGAGTCCAGCGGAAGGTCTCCATTGTTTCTTTGTTCCACCATTAGGGTCGCTGTGGTTGACGGTAGTGACTGGCGTCGCAACCGCCTATCGGTGCCGCACGAGGCGGCGAATCATCACTTATGCCAATCTATGCAGCTTTAGAAATGGTTCGTCAACGGGAAGGAATCAAGACGGAAACAATTACGTGGCATACTATCTGAGTAGTTCCGAAAGCCGCCAAGGAAGGGAAAGTGAAGGTGCCTCGAGGCTTATGTGGTGGATTAACACCACTAGGCCATCGAATGTGGGCGTAGAAAGTAAGGTGAGTAATAAGACTTTCGCACCGAGGCGTGATGTGGATGATGAAGTTGTTGTTGCGAAGGAGAGAGGAAGAAGATGAAGGAGATGAAGGAGAGGGAGGAGAGGAGGGAGTGGTTACGGTGGGTTTTGTGGGGTCGGCAGAAGTTCAATCCCATTCTAGGTCTAGGGCACGCAGTCGCTAGCGGGGTTGCACGAGGCTCACGTGCCGCTTGATTGTATCACACGGGTTGCCAGGAGCTCCGTGGCTAAGGCTGGCGCATACCACTGTATATGCAGCGGTATGCTGTAACCTGAATCTATAAATTCTAGCATATTTCTACGAATTGAAATTTGAAACCCTGCTGCCCGCCGCCACCAATGATGATCAGACTGTCGATACAATCGCCGCCAACATGGAACGACGCCCAACGAACACCGCCACAGATTACTGTCGAACTGTCGAAAATACCTTACCTACCCCCCGCCAGCACAACTCCAAATTTCGATCGACTACTGGTGATTGAGGATCCTGACTGATTACCGGCTGACCGACTACTGGCTGATCGACTCTGACCGATTACCAGTGTTTGGGGAATTCTGGCCCTGGGCTATTGCGGTGCAAGTTGTACTGGCTTGCGGGTCTGGATGGATGTCAACGGATTGTGACTGGTGAGGGAGAGGAAAAAAGAAAAGATGTAGTGGGTGAGGTAGTGGTGGTAGTGGTGCTTGCTGCATCCCCCTCCCCCGGCGCTCGCAAGCCTGTCTACTCGCCAACGCCTCCCCAGAGTCCAGACTGGGAAGCGGGTCGACAGAAGGAGAGCACACAAGGAGAGAGAGAATGTAGAGGCTGGTGGTCTATTCTGTAGATTATGAGAGAGAAAGAAGACGAAGACGAAGAAGAAGTAGACGACGGAGAGAGCAGGCGACTCGCTGGCCTGCCAACGTTGATGCCCACTATATACTAACTACATCCGGTGCCTCCCGCTGACAAATCCTCTAGGCTCCCTCTCCCTCCTCTCGCCGACAGGTTCTACATCGCTCGCCACAGTGGGTTTGCGTGGTGGCGGGTTTGCTTGGCGGTGGGGTTGAAACGTCGAACAATACTATGGCATTATAGACGTTTGCCGTCCTTTAATCTTCCATGCTCCACTGCCGTCTCATGCAACGATGCTTAACCAAAAAAATCGCCGAACCGGGGCTCGAACCGCAGTCCCCAAACAAAAACCAAAAACCTTAACCACCCCCGGTGGCCCGTGGGGCGGCTTAGAAATCCCGATAGCTGGACCGATGTCCATGCTAACTCCGCCGGGTGCGTGACTACTCGGCCACGCAGGGGTTTTTTCCGTGCTGGAAATATGAATTCAAAAATCATAAAGTGGTGGGTGCCCCGCGCCTGACACGCCCGCCCGCCGTGATGGACAGGAACAACGACGAAGTGTCACGGCCAGGTGCTTAACTTTACTTGCACGTTTTACGATGTATTCACTAAGAGATGCGCTTTTACTAACCTGACCGGCGCACATGCCTCTATGAAACGTCTCCACCGCATTCATTGGCTCTATAGTAGCACATTTTCACTTATCTACCAACACGACTATGTACTCTATGTGTAAGTCTATGCTCGGATGCACGACACAGAGGTACTCGGCTACGGTATACACGTGCCCGTCGTGTGGCAGTATCGGGATTCCACACAAACAACAGGATGAATATTGCGAGTGATGCGGTATGCATATGCTGAGAGATTCTGCGAATGGCCGTCCGCAGCTCCAGCTACTACGATCGGGGAATGGCCGAGCGGGATTCTAACCTCCCTTGTGGCTACACGGTCAACAGTATGTGCGCCCAGAACCGCGGGAGAAAACAATAAAAGGTTTACTACAGTCGACATCTTCTCACGGCTGATGTCCACTTATGACTCGTGAGGAGTAGTTAAGTATGTGGGTACATACTGGCCCTGTCAACCACGGGTGGACACATACCTATGCCCTGTCTCTGTTAAACGAAACATGATGCATCGAGCTACAGTTCTCGTGAATAGTCATGGTCTGTCGATATCCGAGATCCCCGAGTATGTAGAGATAGGGGGCATACCTAGAGGCTAGATACCAGTTGACTCTGGCTCTGGCTAGCTACCTAGAGCTATCTCAGAGCTCGCGGGAGAACGTAGAAGAAGCCCATTACCCACCTACCGGGTCTCGTGATGCTCATACCTCGCCTTTCGTCCAAAGAGGTTTCGGACTCCGGAGTATGCCGGGCATAGGTAATACCGGGCATAGTTAATGCGGGCAGGTCTTCGATGTACCTACTCTATAACTAGCAGGTGACAATGACCGATCTCGAAAAGCGCGAGCGTCCGGGCCCCGGCTGTAATCCATAGCGCAGCGGCGCGAATCTGGGGAAGTCACAGCTGCAGGGGAGCTTCACTCCGATTCGAAAGGGCAACTGAATGGAGAAGTTAGAACTGATCGCCTAGCAATGCCGACGCGCGGGGCGGTTGTACCCGACTGTACGTACTAGCCGCCGATATGGTAGGCCGCTGATAGGTAGCCGGTAGCTCAGCGGCTGCACTCATGTGAGCGTATTCCAAGGGGGAGGAGGAGAGGGGAATGGTATCATGCGCCTAAAAATGGTCTCCGGGGTCCTGATAGGACTGAGTTGCGCTAGGTATCCTGCGGTATGATCCTGCGGTATGATCCTGCGGTATCCTGCGGTATCCTGCGGTATCCTGCGGTATCCTGCGGGAGCGCCCGGACTCGCACTGCAACGGCCATGCAGGCCGGTGGGTTCCTGCTTTAGGGGGTTCGCGGAACTCGGCCATGCTGCTGAAGAGTCAAGACAGCTAGGTAGGAGAATATCAACCTTATTCTTGGTGGGGGGCACATGTCCAACTGCAACTGCTCAGCTGCAGGCACCGGCCGCCGACCAACGGCCTTGCATAGTGCGGGGGGTGGGGCAGCGATGTCTCCTAGCATGTACTAGGTGTCTATCCGTCGAGCAGCAGCTACGGGGCCAGTGACATGTGCCATTCCTCCGGCCTCGGACAGCAGTTGGCGCCAGCGATGCAATGACATCGTCTTGCCGGATAATATCAAGCTGCCGGCTAGCTGTGGATACCACAATGGATAGATAGGCTAGAATGTCGGCGCCTCCCAGCGCACAACGCAAATGACCGACCCGCGTGTCACCTGGAAACACGAGCAGTGCATCTCCACATGTGCATGTCCCTTCCCCCTGGCCTTAGGTGATCACCGAGAACCCCTATCAAGTCCATCCAGTCCATCCATCCGTCGCCTCGAAGTTCGAATGCGAGATTGCCGGTTCACCAGGTACGTCGGGCTCGTTCATTACCGCTCATCCAGTCATCTGGACGAAGCCGCCGGTTACACGAAGAATGTCGCCGCCGGGTGGAAGAACGTTCGCATCAGCTGGGAAAGGCGGCCGGATCATTCGAGCCAATCTGCACGTTGACACCTCCCTATTCCAGGGGTTGCCGCCGGATGCACGCAAGGATTGGCACGATTGGCCCTCAAGGAACTTCCCGCCGATCTGCCCCTGCCACATGCTCGCGGGGGTGGATTGCGGCGATATGTCTATGCGGATAGACAGTCTATTCCCATGCACTCTGTTCCTATCCACTCCATTCCCATGCACTCTGTCCCTATCCACTCCATTCCCCTGCACTCTGTTCCTATCCACTCCATTCCCCTGCACTCTGTTCCCATGCACTGTGTTCCTACGTCTGCACTCTGCAGGTATGTGCTCTACAGGAGATACGCCCTACTGCGCTGCGGGGAGTCGCCTAACTTTCCTCTTGTGTATCCGACTTCGATGATCCTGGGATTTGCGCTGGAGCGGGTAGCTGCCTGGAGGCGTCCTGCCCTTCGGAGCCGCGCCTTCACCTCCACCACTCTCCCCCTCTCTCCCCGCAAAGAAATTATGCCGATACAGGTAGCCAAACGTTTTCCTCCGCTTCATGATGTCTCCTAACTCGGGATTAGATCTGTATCATATGCATCTTTACGGCCTAGTTCGGGGCCGGCGGGCGCGGCATCGATTGGAGCTTCCTCCTCGTCGGCTGCTGGTCCATCCGCATAACGGATGCTGTCGAGCATAACGTTGAACCCCCGAAATTCGGTATAGTCTGCTCGTGTAGTGCACGGGAAAACGATATCCTCCTGTCAGCGAGCTGTGCCTTCCCCGATTGGGGACCCTTTCGATCCCTCCCCCGCTGTCATTCTGTTAGGGACCCTTTCGATCCCTCCCCCGCTATCATTCTATTAGGGACTCGCGCCCGTGAGCCTGCCTCGCCATCGAGAAACGAGTTGAATCTGCCATTTAAACATCAGAAGCCCCGCTCATCCATGGGCACCACTCCTCACCCAAACCCACCCCAGGGCCTCCACTCTCGTTCAAGATGCGCTTCTCCACCGCATTCTCTCTCGTTTGCCTCGCCGTCAGCGTCTCTGCCCATGCCGAGCGCAAGTCGTACGCCATTCCCGAGACGCAACATGGTGTCTACCTCAACTCGCAGCAGCACGAGCGAGCACGCCGGCTGCGTCCTCGTGCCGACGGCGACGCAGCTTCCGGCCCAGAGGAGATCGCGCTGCAACACCTCAAGGAGATTGCTCCCGGTGCTGAGGTCCGCCTCCGGCCGGATCAGTACACCGACGAGGACACCGGAGTCTGGCACGGCTACTACACGCAGACCCTAAACGGCCTCGACATAGAGAACGCCCAGGCTAACGTCAACGTCAATAAGGACGGGACTATCCTCTCCAGTGGCTCCAGTCTGCTGAAGGGCAAGGTGGACGCTCCGCCAATCGTCAAGAGGGCGGACCTCATCGATCCTATCGAGGCGTTGAAAGGTGCCATCGCCAAGTTGGGATACCCGCTCAACGTTGAGAATGCCGAGGCTGTTCCTGAGCAGTCCTTGACTGGCAATGGACAGGCGTACGTGCTCGTCGGTGTCGAGGGAGTTCAAGAAGTAAGTTGCAACTTCCGCGGTCTGCATCACACCCGATACTGATGGACGTCAATCTGCAGGAGCCTAGGGCGGACCTGGTCTACTACGCAACCGGTACCGGTGTCAAGATTGCATGGCGCCTGGAGACCGATCTCGACGAGAGCTATATGATCACCTATATCAACGCTAAGGATGCTGCCGATGTCGTTGGTGCAATCGATTATGTCTCCGACGCCCAATACAATGTCTAGTGAGTGCCGGCGACTTGTCACCCGAAATTCGCATGATGGTGGTGGCTAACCGATGATGAAAGTCCGTTCGGTTTCAACGATCCCACGGATGGCGAGCGAGTGCTCGTCACGGATCCCGCCAACAGCAAGACCTCACCGAACGGCTGGCACACAGCCGGCGACGTCACGTACACCGACACACGCGGAAACAACGGCTGGGCGCAGGAGAACTGGGATGGAGGCAGCGACTTTGAGAACAACACCCGTCCCGACGGGGGCAAAGGGTTGGACTTTGACTTCCCTTGCAACATTTCCTCGCAGGATTCAAGATCCTACACCGACGCCGCCATCACCCAGCTGTTCTACACCTCAAACATGTTTCATGATCTCCTCGAGCTCCTGGGCTTCACCGAGGCTGCCGGTAACTTCGAAGAGGTCAACACTGGCTCCGGGGGAATCGGAGGGGACGCTGTCCAGCTCAACGCCCAGGATGGCTCCGGATTCAATAACGCAAACTTCCTGACTCGCCCCGACGGCATCAGGCCACGCATGAGGATGTACCTCTGGAACACCGCTGGAAGCATCCTCCGCGACGGAGATTTCGATGCCTGTAAGAACCCCTCCCCATCATCCGGAGATTGCGCAACACACTAACTCGGTCCGCCCACAGTGATCGTTATCCACGAATACACCCACGGACTTTCAAACCGTCTCACGGGCGGCCCATCCACGACCAGCTGTCTGACCACGCTCGAAGCCGGGGGCATGGGCGAAGGCTGGGGGGACTTCTTCGGCAACGCGATCCGGGTCAAGCCCAACGACACGCGCAGCACGGACTACGTTCTGGCGGGGTGGACGAACGGCAAAGGGATCCGGACGTACCCATACTCGACCTCGCTGCTGACCAACCCAACGCTGTACTCAACCGTCGGCACAACGGGGTTCACAGCCGTGCACTCGATCGGCAGCATCTGGGCAACCATGCTCAACGAGATCATGTGGAACCTCGAGGAGAAGCATGGGTACCAGCGCGACGCTATGCCAACGTTCAAACAGGGCTCGTCGATTCCTGTTGGCGGAAGACAGCTCGCTATGAAACTCGTCCTGGAGGGCATGAAGTTGCAGCCTTGCAGGCCTACGTTCTTGTCTGCGCGTGATGCAATCGTAGATGCGGATAAGGCCCTCACCGGCGGAGAGAATGAGTGCGAGATCTGGGCGGGCTTCGCCAAGCGCGGGCTCGGGATCAATGCCGCCGCTGAGGGGGTCACTGGGCTTCGTATCGACGACTTTACGGTGCCGGAGCAGTGCAAGAGCAACAGGAAGAGGGGAGTGCTGTTTAGAGCTTGAGAGACCGTAGTGTGCTGTTGTTTTTCGGGGTTAGGCATTCGGGCGTTTTGTTTTTTGCTTTCTTTCTTTCGCGGTAGGGATATTGCATGCATGTCTGTATGGGATTTACTTAATTTGCTACCTTGTTGGGGTTCGAAGATCAAAAGTCACCGGTCTCCTAGATCTCGGTGATCAGTGCATCGTGCCTCGTGCCAACCGCCATCCTCGGCCTCATCCTCATCCTCATCCTCATCCTCATCCCCATCCCCATCCCCATCCTCCGCGCCCCTGGCACCGCCTTTGCGCCAAAGCCTCGGTCAGGCTTCCTCCTTCTTCCCTTCTGCTTTTGGAAGTCCACGAGTCTGCTACTCGCTGATCGGAGTCCTAGGTACTACCGGTAGTATACTGACCCTCTCGCAGTCCCAATGTCCCATTCATGATTCCGCTCCAAAGATCTGCTCCACTACTTGTCATAATAGTAGGTGGTAGCAGCCTGTGGTCATGGGTGCCAACAGCCGAAGATAGCGCGGCCAAGGGCAAAAGCGCACGCTCGTATGTAGAGATTGTAAGCTTGTATGATGTAGGTATGTATGATTTAAGCTGGTCTGGAGATATTGATCATTGAAGAATCGGGGTTGGAGAAGCGCAGGCGCGGAAGTGGGGCTTGGAAGTGCGAGCTTGGAAGTGCGGGCTTGAAAGCGGGGCGACGTAGTTAGGGCGGGGTTGAGACAATATGACGGCAGGAAACTTGATACTTCGACAGAATTTGGAACTTCTGGAAGCTGGAGACTGTGGAAGCGATGGTCTCTTACACCCAGCGAGCTGGCAACACGCCTCATACACATGGGGGATATAGATCGGTAGGTACAGATAGAGTACAGTTGACCTTGGAATACCTATTGGCAGTCATCCGGAATGCGTTGCAAGAGTCAATCAACTCGCACAGTTAAAGTCATTGAACGAATGACTCTAGTCAATGAAGGAATGACTACAGTCACCGAGCAGGAATGACTCCGGTTACCCGAGCAGGAATGACTCTAGTCACCAAGCAGGAATGACTCCAGCCACCGAGCAGGAATGAATCAAGTCAATCAGCAGGAACGACTCCACTCACCGAGCAGGAATGGCTGAGTAAATCTACGAGACTCCCAGACTCCCAGTCGCCTTGGCCGCCTCCCCGTGCTCCTCGCCACTAACCGTCTAACCAATCCACCTGGCAACCCGCCCGCCATAATTCCACCCGGGTCCTCAAACGCCGCCATACAAATGTACTCGCGGAACCCATTCCATTCTGTCATTCCATTCGAAGGTTTGAGGACCCGTATTTTGACACCTTTAAATGTCTGAGTATAGTACATGTAGGTACTCTGGAGTCTAGGTACTCTAGGCACAGTACTGGCAGCCCCAGCTATTACCTACCCTTGTAAAAAAAAAGGGAGGTTTTTTTAAACGTGAGCGGTGGGTTGGGAAATGGTTGCGCGATCATTGGATTTCACAAACGGCCCCGCGGTATTGCCCAACTATTTCGCAACTATTGCATCTAGAATAACGTGAGCCACGTAAAACGATGCGGAAATAAAATGATGATAGACAGTACACCCATTTTAAATTGTAAACTCGGTAAAAAGCCAGACACTGTGTGAATTTGTCATACGTTGATTTAACGCTTAAGTAAACAGGAACTGGTGGAAATATAAAAACACAAGTTCGAGATATATCGTTGGTGCTCACTTAAGCGTTTTCTTGGCATTTTTCTACCGTTGTCGTCACGTTTCGACAATTTAAACGTTGTCTTGGCATTCTTCTACTGTTTTCCGGTGTGGGGAGCGATGAGCGAGCTGCCACGGGAGGGAGTAATAACAGGAATGACTGGGTCAATCCGCGAGATGACTCTAGGAATGACTTAGTCAGTCCGTGAAATGACAATAGTCATCGAACAGGAATGACTGAGTCAGTCCGCGAGATGACTCTAGGAGTGACTGAGTCAATCCGTGAAATGGCCCTAGGAATTACTTAGTCAATTCGTGAAATGGCTCAGGAGCTGTGGGAGGAGGTGTCGGCAACAGGAGGAGGTGAAGGACTCCTGTCGGTGGGTGAAGACCAATGTGGTTAGTAGACGGCACCAACGTTGGCGGGCATGGTGGGCATGGCGGGGTCGTATGCTCTCTTAGCCATCCGCCTCTTCTTCTTTTTCTTCTTCTTCTCCCACAACTCCTCCTCCCCCCACGTCTCCTCCTCCCCCCGCAACTCCTCCCCCCCGCAACTGCTATTCCCACCCCCAGCTATTCCCACTCCCACCTATTCCCCCCCACTGCAACTGCTATTACCCCCCTTGCCGCAACTACTTTCGCTAATAGCACTTCTCTCATATAGCTCCTACTACTGCTGCTGCTGATGGCACTTCTCTCAAGGCTCTACTCCCGCCACAGCTGCTATTCTCCCTTCTGCCGCAACTACTACTCTCGCTAATCTTCCTCTGTATTGTAGCTCCTACTCGCGCCGCAACTACTACTGCTACTCCCACTGATAGCTCATTTCTCATAGCTCCTACCCCCGCCGCAACTGCTACTCTCGTCGCAACTGCTACTCTCGGCGCAACTCTATTCTGGCCGTATATCTACCCTCGCTGATAGCTTCTCTCTCTCATAGCTTTTCTCGCCGCAAGTCTACTTTCGGCGCAACTCTATTCTCCTCTCCTACACGCACAACCCCTCCTCTCGGCGCAATACATAGTGATTACCCTTCCCTCTCCTCACTACTACATGCCCTGCTGGACCCGCCGCTGATACAGCACTGGAATCGCCTAAGAAATGCACTCTCGCTAGAAATGCCCCCTCGCTACCGTTGTTACAGTACTGGATTTGCCCTGGCATTTGCCCTCGAATTTGCCCTCGTGCTAACGTGTATACAGTACTGGCTGCGCTGTGAATATCCCCCACTCACTACTGCTGCTCGCCCGGCTGCTCACCCGGCTGGCCCCTCTGTGATCCCCCCCCACCCTCCACCTTACTGCTACTGCTACTCCAGCTGATATCTCATTACTCATATAGCTACTTCTCCCGCTGCCATTCTACTCCTGCTGATAGTTTCTCTCTTTTATAGCTAGCTTTGCTGCATCTCTACCCTCGCCGCAACTGCTATGTACTCTCCGCGCAACTCTATTCTGGCCGCAACTAGAGTCCACCCTCGCTGATAGCTTCTCTCCCAAACAGCTTTTCTAGCAACAACTTTATTCTCCATTCCCCTCGGCGCAATACATCATCTCGGCACAACACATCCACTTGGCACAACACATCCACTCAGCACAACTCATCCTCTCGGCGCAACTCCTCCTCCCACCGTAGCTCCTACTCTCGCCAATAGCTTCTCTCTCTTATAGCTTTTCTGGCCGCAACTGTATCCTCGCCGCAACCTTCCTCTCGGCGCAACCATTCGTCCCGCCGACAGCTCCTCCATCTCTCTACCACAATGGATCTAGCAAGTCGAGGGTCAGTGGCAGCAGGGCTAGCAGCAGTATGTGCCAGCCTGCTGGCCCGCTCTGGATACTGCCTGTTGGCCCCGTAGGTAGTACTATATAGTAGAATATAAATCCATATGTGCTTAGTGCTTCAAGACCAATGTGAAAATGCTGCATAAGCGAGGAAACCCGAGCCTAGTTTCAAGGCTAAGCGTCCCGATTCATCTCTGATATTCACACGTTGCACTTCCTGCTCCCAAGTTTCAACAGTTCAAATGGTTCAACAATGGTTCAATAATTCTAAGAAAACGATGCTGCAACGTTTTAATGCACTTAAACGCTTTATTTTGACTACATAGGAGAGATTTGCAACATATCGAAAAAAACTCGAAGTAATTCTTTAAATATGTCTAATTGCCGACCATTTAACTCTCTATAATCGGGATCACTTGTACTACGGCTTCCAATTTTCACCAGAAAAGCCTGTGAACTGTATGTCCACTCTCTCCGTTAAAAACTTGCAACACGTCTGTGAATCCAACACGGGATGTACAATGTTTTGAGTGGCTTCTATAGGTCAATAATTTGACATGTGTATAATTCTCAACTATCACGATGTGGTATTTACTTTTCCTACGGGTTTGAAAGAAGAAAAAAAATAGCACAACAGTCGCTCCACTATTTAAAAAAAACCCCTTTTTTTACAAGGGTAACTAAGTAGGCTCCGATTGACTGCCTCCAACAGCCATGTAGTTAGCGAATTTCTTTTCACCGTGCACGCATAGAACTCTATCGGTACAGCATCGATCGAAGCATGTATGATAGTACTTTCATTCATCAACCACCCGTTTTTAACTCTGACGATCGCAACCATCTAGGTACCCAGGTCCTAGCTACCATATCGAAGTACATACACACTTTCATTCTCGAAACACCCATTTTTTACTCTGACAACCACAATGATCCAGCTATCTATCGAACCAGTCCCGAAGCACCGTCCACAGTCACGGAGAGATAGGAAACCGAGTGCGAGGCGTCTAACGACCCGAGCCGTTGTACAGCAGGCGGTTTGGCGACCCCGTGCCCGGGCCGGTGACATACCCAGTGGACGCAAGAGCAGTCAGTCTCGCAGCGACCGCGGCAGGTGAAGCAAGCGCTTCCTTCCCGAGGAGGTACGCGACGACGCCAGCGACATGCGGGGAAGCCATGCTCGTCCCCGAGAGTGAGGCAGTGGCGGAGTTCGAGCCGATGTACGAGGAGAGGATGTTAGAGCCGGGGGCGAAGATGTCGAGTACCGTGCCGTAGTTCGAGAACACCGAGCGCGCGTCGGTGCTGGTCGTTGCGCCCACGGTGATCGCCGAGGCGACCGACGCCGGAGAGTAGTTCGCTGCGTTGGCGTTGTCGTTGCCCGCCGCGACCACGAAGGTGAGCCCCGAGCTGATCGCGGAGCTGACCGCCGAGTTCAAAGCGGCGGAGTATGTGCCCCCCAGGGACATGTTCGCTACCGCCTTCTTGCCGGATGCGTTGCTGGCTGCCCACTGGATTCCGGCGATCACGCCGGAGTTGGTGCCAGAGCCGTCGTCGCCGAGGACCTTGACCGCGATGAGGGAGACTTTCTTGGATACTCCGTAGGTGCTTCCTCCGATCGTGCCGGCGACGTGGGTTCCGTGTCCATTGGCCTGGGACGAGGAGGAGGACTGTCAGTGCATGTGGGGGATATATCGGGATGCGGGGAGGGGGGTAGACGAACATCGGTGTTGGAAGAGCCCGAGACAGCGTTGTAGCCCCAGGTGGCACGGCCACCGAACTGGGTGTGCGTGGTCAGGATACCCTAGGTGCGCACCCGGGTTAGTGGATTGATGTTAGGGAATCGTTAATCCGGAGAGACATACGGTGTCGATAACGTAGGCAGTGACACCCGCTCCAGCAGTATCGTCGTAGTAGTAGCTGCTGACACCCTTTGCACGGCTAGAGATACGGCCTAGACCCCAGGGAGCGCCTGCTTGGGAGACCTGCGGGCAGGATCATCAGTTGCTGCAAAACATACACGGGTATAACTCGGACTCACGATAGCGTCGAGTTCGACAACACGGTCAGGCTCGACGTAAGCAACGTCGGCGCGGGACTTGATCTGGGCGATGGTCTCCTTATCGAAAGTTCCGGAGTAGCCCTTCAGCTTCTTCATATTGTAGGTATGCTTGAGGCCCTGATGGCCGCGGTCGCCCCTCTTGGCGAGGGACGAAGCCTGGACATCGTTTGCCCAGGCACGGTGGGCGGCAAAGTCGTTGGCCGTCACCTCCTCCTTGAGAACGACAATGTAGGCGTCGGGGACGACGTCGCCAACCCGCGCGGAAACGAAGATGGGGAGGACCGCGACGGCTACCAGGATGAGGTTCTGGAATATTTGCATGATTGGCAGGTGGGCAGTGCGCTGCTGTGGGGAAGACCGGGAGAGGAGACGGGAGGAGACGAGGCTGGATGAAGCTCGAGATGATCTGGATGGAGAACTGGACGAGAGGGTACATTGGTTGCATATTTATACATACCGGAAGATGCTCAGTATCTACGGAACAGCTATGGCGGAGCTGGCGAGTCGTTCACACATCAATATCCACACAGCTATCATGACACCGCCGATGGAGATAGCGAACCTTCGGAGCTCGTCCATGAGATCCACAAGGTGTGGGGAGCTCGATAGTAGGTCCACACCACCCAGGTATCTTCAACGACGACATCGTCGCTTACAGCGGAGGAGAAATCATGGTGTTGCATCTCCACCTCCTTCCCCTCCTCTTCTCCACGGCCAAGTAGAGGTTATGCATGTATACACCCCCCTGTGGACGGCTGGAGGTGATGGGAAGATTGGCATAGAGATCAAAGGACGAGTATGCATATGGCTATCACCCCCCCCAAAAATAATAATAATAATAATAATACAGGGCTAGAGCCACGACCTTCCCGAACCAGGATAAAGATAGAGAGGAGAATCATCAAGACCGTGGGGAAGGGGAATCTCAAGTGATGAGGGTAGAAATGACCAGTGGGATATCTGCAAGGCAATTAGGGCCAACACGACGAGCCACTGAAGCTCACCCGCCGTTGGTTGTTTCTACGCAGGTCCGATTCAATAGCCCCTCCCTAACTATGTTTGTAATCACGTCGTCCAGGGATTGCCCACGTTGAGTATAGATTTCCTACCATGAGGAGACGAGAGCTCGCTTCACCCCCAATCCAGCTGGCCTTGGAGGCTGGGACACCAGCGACAAAGTTTTGAGCGCGTGGCTTCCGTTCAACCATCATATGTTGGATCCTACATATTTTATATGGCCGGTATGGATGTAATGGCTCGTGCTCTGTCCCGCCAAGGTAAATATTCTGGATTCATGATGTCCACACGTGTCCACTGACAAAATACCTTCCCCAAGCCCTTAATCCAGCCCTTTCACCCCATCCACTATATCCTAGGTATCCTTGCAGGCCGTATGTAGATCTGATCCACACCAGCCGGCCTACGGAACACATTCAGTAGGCAGTCCACCGAGCGGTGGTTGATCGATCACTGCTCGAAGATTATCTATAGCACCGCTGCTTATCGCCGTGTGCACGATATCTGCTACCGTTATGCACCCGCCTGACAGCCAGCCATCCGGGGTATATGCCTATGCCAGACACCCATGCGGATTTACGTGCTCGATGATGGTCCCTACCTAATTCACGGTACCTGCCTGCTCGATGTTTTGCTCGTGTTCGCTCCATAGTCAAAGATGTCAACGGACCGCCAACTACGCTATCAGCCGCCGTCCACACCACATGGGGCCCCCAGGTACCCGCCCCAAGTACTTGCCGAGGTCTATCCACCCCTCTCCTCCTCCCACCGGAAAACGGAACCAGCCGAAAAAGCGGCTCCGGACGATGGGCGACGAGTCGACGACTCGAGAAGCTGGATAACTGTGTACTCTGAGACTTGCCCGAGTTGTCCAACCGGAGGAGTCCATTGCTTTACATAACTAGGGTAGGGCCACTAGTAATATAGAGTACTTACAACGGCGACTAGGTTCCGCAACCCTAGCTAAGTAGAGTTCTTACTTTATTATCCGACGCCCCACCCACCCACCCACTGTCTCGCCCGTTCCGTCCGGTTTGGCTCCGCTCATGCGCCGTGCAGTAGGATGGAAGCACGGGGGATCTGGGAATCTTAACGTGCTGATGGTGGTGCTGGTGCTGGTGCTGGTGGCGGAGATGTATATCTTACCATCCATCCCATCCATCCCATCCATCCCATCCATCCCATCCATCGCTGTTGCTTCAATCTTGCAGTCCTGGCCAATCGCAACCGGCCGGAGAAAGAGAAAAGAAAAAGGAGCATGCAAAGCCATCGAAGACCCACCTACCTAGTGCATCCACAGCGTTTATTCCGTCCGAGGCGTTGTTTGGGGGCTCCCGCTTCGCTATTGGACGGGCGTCGGCGCTGGCCGGTACCTACTAACCAGTACCTAAGCAGGTATATGTGAACCGAACTGTCGGAATTTTGGAGATTGCCACTCTGAGTTGAGCCTGAGTGCTACATACTTTATCTACCGTATATAGCAATGAAACCTTGGAACTCTATAGCACTGTTTATTCCATCGGGCTTCGGCATCACCGTGCTTTGAGACGCGGTTGACGACGGATAGATGGACGAATAGAACGGCAGAAGTCGCGCGGGGAAATGCTTCAGTACCTGCAGTACAGTGGCGGAGGGGGCAGAAGAAGCAAAGAAGGGAGGAGGGTGTCAACCACTATCTGCCTACCCTACGGCACCCCTGCAGGATATGCATCGAACGTCGGGAGAACGTTGGACTTCGGAGCTTACGACCGACCGCGGTGGGGGGAGGGAGGGGAGGGCTTACGTTCAGTTAAGGTAAGGCAATGGGGATGCAAGTTTGTGGACGGTCGCGTGAGATTGCTACCGTACGTTCTGCTTGTATCACGCAGCCTTGGATAGGTAGACTCTGGAGTCCGCAGAAGGGGAAATACGTTATTTGCCTTCCACCTTCCCTCCGAAGCACTCTGGAGTCTGAGGGGTGCCACTGCTTCTGCGCAGCCCGACCAGTGATCACCGCAATCCGCCGAACTGCGTGGTGATGCTCAGCTCTTCCGCTGCGCAATCGATATTCCCGAGAGCTAGTTGGAGGAATGCATGGTAGGGGCTAGGTAGGTACCGATCATGGTAAATGGCCCTGACGATCTTTTGGCATTGCGGGGCACCTATCATGGTCTAAATTTGATACTACGCCGTCCAGGTCTACGCGTTGCCTCTGTATGTACATACGGTGGCAAAGAGAAGAGGAACTGAAAGGGGAGGAGGCAGAGGAGAGTAGTAGAGGAGGAGGAGGAGGAGGAGAAGAAGAAATGGATTACAAAGAGGCACTAAGAATGCAGGAACGCCAGCACTATCTATCCTTTCTCTCGAGTATCGGTAATTAGGCGTATGGGATTCCCAGAACATCTACTCTACCGAATACGAATAGGTATTTCCACATCACGGCTTCAGCTTCAGTTTCTTCGCCACTGTCAGGGAAAAAGCGGCCACCCTACGCAGTGCATACCAGTACCCATACATACATCTTAGCTATGCGAGAGCGCAACTCTAGCAGAGCGACGCCAGACGCTCCGTGCTCTGATTGGTCGAGCGCCACGATGCCCGACGCATACCATCTACTCTAGAATAGGTAGCTCCTCGGAGATCACGCCCGTTCTCTTTGAACCACACGACAAGTGGTACGAAAAGGGGTAGGATAGAACTTCTCTACTATAGAGTAGAAACGAAAGACGAAAGAGGCGAGGTAATGGAAGAATACACACCGACATTTCGAATCATTAAGCATCACTCGCCAGCGGGTGATCTCCGGCGCGGATCTCCAGGCAAACCCGATTTTTTACGGTAGGTGGTACGGTGTGGGGGATCGACCTGGCAGAAATAAAAACCTTCACCATCCCCCCAATGGGTGGTTTGAAAACCCTGAGGAGTTCAACCGGTATAGTATAGACTAACTTTACATCCACGATGTCTGTGGCGAGTGCTAGTATGTACTTCCTCTCTTCCCCCGGATTCAGTCTTTGTCCGGTGGTTCCTGTGTACCTAGCTTAGGTACCTAGGCGCATTGTGACCGTTCACTACCGGTGCTACCGGTGGATGTGGACGGTCATGAGTGACGATTATAAAGTGACATCCGGTATCGGTACCAGTAGGGAGGGAATCGGTTTATTATCGCATATCGCAATATGTCGATATGGTACTCGCTTTTTGATACGTATCGGATACGTATCCCTGAGAGACAAGCGTATTGAGATGCGGAATATGTCTTGCAGCCATATCGATACGTTGTGAACTGTATCGATACGATGTGAGCCGATCGATACGTAGTGCCCGCGTAGTATGTAGTCTGTCAAGAATATGCACCAGTGCTGGCTACGAGTTGCACTACTGTATTTGCTTAGCGGTACGTCAAGTATATACGTAAAACCGTATGCCCACTGGCACAACGTTTCGACTTTCAGAGTGTAATAATTCACTACGTCACGTCTAAGCAAAACTATGCTAACGTTATTACATTTAGCTAAAAATGTGGTAGTGCTAACGTATCGGTACGGTCAAAATGCGTGTTTTTTTGTGCCCTGATACGATATCAACATGCGTCCTGCGGGAAACAACGTATTTTTTACCCCCCCCCCCCCTCCTTGACTATACAGTATACAGTATCGATAGGGGGGAATCAATTTATTGTCGCATACCGCCTTACTACCTACCTCATACCCACATTCGAACACAGTAGTTCTCTGGTAGTTCTCTGGTATTCCGAACAGTGCGTAAAATTTTGCACTCAGAATAAGCGATCACAAACCCAACGCTTCCTGCAGACTGCCAGCTCCACGGGGGAGTGGAGAGAAAGCACTACTGCCTACATACAAAATCAAATAATGGAAAGAAAGATGGAATATCCGATATCGATTGTCCCGACGGCGCAATCTGGGGAAAATACCGAGTGACGGTCCATGATTTCTTCCATGTCTCATCACTCGTTCGAACTTGAAAACTTTCATTTTGTATGGCTCGGACACCACTTTGTAGGGCAACGGGGAACCCACATCGAGCTGGCGATCAATGGTCGCGGGCAGTGGCGGTGGAAAAAGATATGTAGCTGCCATGATCCAATAAGGTCGAATGCAAAGATGATTAAACGACACTTCGTCCCATGTGCATCGATTACCACCAAAGGTATGTACATACAGCAAAGTGTATCAATAAGTAACAACTTTTCCCCAAAGATCTAAAACAAGCAATAGAACACACCCTAAACTCCGAAACAGATTGCTACAAGATAAGAAAAGTCGAAACCGAACCGAATAATGACATAACACGCTCTCATCCCTTCGCGCAGATATGTACGTATTACTCTTCCATCGCCTCGGGCTCATCGCTGCCGGTCTCGCTCTCGATCGATCCCTCGCGATCAGCCTTCTCGGCCTCCTGCTGCAGCATTCGCTGGGTGTGGCGCTTGAGACGCTCACACTTGGCCTGGAGGATACCGACGGCCTCCAGGAAGATCTCATCCGAGTCCCATTGACCGGCACTCTCGACGAAGTCTACCACCGTTAGCGATTGGGTCTTCACGATTCACCGGGAGAAAGGGACCCACAGATGAAATGATCCCTGATCCTCCCTAACGCCACCTTGCCCTTAAACTCCTCATGCCTAAGCACCTCCCTGCTGACGGTATCATTCCTCGCATTGACCACTTTCGCCTCGCCATCCTCGATCTCCACGACGCCCTTAGGGAAGCACCCCTGGAACCTCTCCGCCGACTTCCCCCTGATCGGCTCCAGGATAGTGATCTGCGGCATGAGGCGGTATCCACACGTAGCGACCGGCGAGAACTTCGCATGATCCTTCCCAAGACCCTTCACCGCATGACTAGTGACGATGATTTCCTGACCGGGGCGGAGCTTTGCGATGACAATGTCCGGATTTCCCGCGCGCACAGGATCGTCGCCGAACCTCTGCTGCTGCGCGTTGTTCGCGGGCCGCCACTCCAGATCCCGCGCGTACACCGTGTGCCCCGTATACAGCTTGTCCGGATCGGTCTCGCCCTTCGGCACGTTCGGGATGCGCTCGCACTGCGCCTGCAGCTGCAGGATCAGCGTGTCGTGCACCGTGGGCTGGTACGGTAGGTTGTTCTCCGGGTTCTTGCCCTGGCGCGGCCACTTCATGGATTTCATTGCGTCGTGGTTGCCAACGATCGGGATGAAGCCGAGGCGGTGCGCGAGGACTTCGTCCTGGATCACTGAGGTGTTGTTGAGGAAGTAGCACTGCTCAATGGCGAAGGAGTGGACCTCCGCCATCATGATCCGGCGAAAGGCATTGGCGATCGACGCGTCAATGTGCACAATGTCGAATTCAGCGTGGTGGCGGTCGTTGCGGAAGAAGTCGACGCGGAAGCTGTCACGGAATTTGGAAAGGTCCCATGAGTTGTCTTCGCCTGGCCAGTGCCCCGGGAAATCGTTGCTGGTGACGTTGGATATCGTCTCGGCGTTGATGCCGACAATCTGCAGTTAATACTGGTCAGAATAGGTCGCAATAAAGTGGCCATCATTGGGACCTCGGTGACATACATCTCTGCGGTCTGTGTCTGCTGAGGGCATGGTGAGAAACGTAGAGGTGAGTGCTGTGGCTCGCGATGCGAAGGTTCAAATTTATTGGGTAGGAAAGGTATTGAGATCAAAGTTAGTCAGTCTTGGCCTGAAAATTTACAGAGCCTCAGTCATCGCTTAACACCTAATAAGATTAAGGTCTTATCCTAAAACTGTTAGCGGGGATCACGATGCATCCTTCGGATCCTTCCCTAAGGCGGAATTCAAGACTTCAAACACTAACCCGCAGTGTTATTTCTCGTCTATGGAATCTATCTATCTCAGAGTAACAGTACGGGTGCCACATCTCCCAACGCCCAATGGTTCTCTAATCTTCTTCGCTATCGTCATCATCGTCAGACTCATCATCATCATCATCATCACTGTCACCTTCCTCGTCGTCTTCCTCCTCTTCCTCCTCTTTACCGTCCTTCAACCCATACTTCACTCCGTAGTCATCCTCGAAGTCTTTCAGTGTCTTGAGCTGGGCGTTGAACCCATCCTTCGCGAACTGATCCACGATTTCCTTCAGAGCCAGTCAGCATCACCATCTTCTTTATACGGGACGCGAAGAACCTACCTGTGCTTTCAAGGGCGTGGAGACGACAGCCACATTGCTCGTCTTGGGGTCGAAGCAGGGTAAAACGAGACTCTTGAGCACAGCCTTAAGATCATCCACCGTAACTTCCTTGATCTTTCGCAGCAATATGGTGTTGAAATCCTTGGGAATACCGTGAACAACTTGTCGAACGAAACTAACGGTTCCAGCCCCGCTCATGTTAGGCTCGGAGTCGGCAAAGAATACAACAACACTCGAAACGGCCCCTTCAAGCGAGTTTTCGTCGAATGGTGTGGTTCCATCAGCCAGGTCTGTAATGACCTTCTTCACAGCAGCGAATGCTTTGTATGCGTCGGGAGAACGATAAACGTCGAAAGAGATCTTGCCGGAATCGTGATCTCTCGTCATTGAGACACCGTACGCAAGACCACTCCCTCGGGCGGCAACCCAGAGCGGTCCTTCAGTAACTCCGAGGTATGAAAGAGCAAGCATGAGAGCAGGCAGCTGTAGATCATCGTAAGTAGATGGGCCCTTGCAAGTGTGCGTCGAGTAGGTGTTGTCGATGGTGGGCATTTGAACGACATTACAATTGCCTCCGGGATTCTTTCCGGCGTCTGTAAGACGATCTGTTCGCTTATCCAGGGGTGCAAGCACTCCACCGAAGGGCCGGTTCTCGACAAAAGTCTTCCAGGAAGAAACGGGATTCTTCAGCTTTTCTAAATCGGCGATGACCAGAATACGGAAATTCTCCAGCTTGCAGAATGCCGATCTAAATTGCTCAAATTGCTTGATGACTGCTTCAGGATCCTCCTTCAAGAGAGCCTCGATGCGCTTGAGGTACTTGGTCTTGACCAGCGTGTCTACGGCCCGGCCGATTGATTCACGAGAGAACTCAACCATGTTTCGAACAGAGCCAATCATCTATATCTGTTAGCATCATCGTACCACCAAGAGCCAATCCAACACACTTTACCGCCCTGCCTCTTCTCATCAGGGATGTCGCTCTTCATTTTCGAGTTGGTTATGCCAATCCTCTGATAATCCGGTTAGTGATAAGAAACCACCTTCTTTGGATGGCACATACCTTCAGATCAAAGATGCTGTCCCAAAGCAGCGTCTTGAGCCATTTGATAGCTGCCTCATATTTCTCGGGCTCTACTTGAAGCCGGATCCTAACCGATTCAGGCATAGAGACGTAGCTGCCGGACGAGATGCCGTAGTATATGGTGTCCTTCTCCAACAGCGAGACGACTTTCTCGTACTCCACACGGACACCGTCAATCATCACCGGAGAGTCGAAGAACAGGTCCCAGTATAGTGGTATCAGTGGCCTCAGCTCAACCGGGATAGACTCTGTCGATACAAACAAGTTCAGATGGACGAACTTTGACGGAACACTCTCGAAGTGGAGGTACAATGGCATGTCTTTGTCGTCCTGGTCGATAATATTTTGCAAAGGGCTATCGCTGCAAGCACAACCCATCCATCAGCAACAGTCCGATGTCGGAAGACCCCGCATAACTTACTGCTTGCCATCCTTCGCTAGCCCAGCCTTGACAGTCGTCGTCTTGATGAAGCGGATTGAATCCACATCCGGAACCTTGAACTGACCCACAACCTCTGCTGGAATCTCCCTATCATTCTCGGCCTTCGCAGCATCTAGCTTTTTCTGGAGATCCTCCAATCCATTAGGACCTAGCTCCTTGATGCGAGCAGCAATCCGCGCTTGCTCGTCCTCCTCCATCTTCTTGAGCAGCTTCGCAGATGGACGGCCCAATACCGAAACGTGGTGGTTGTCGACCAAGTACTTTCGCATGAAGTCCCTCCAGTCCTTGTCAGTCCACTGCTCCAAAATCTCATACTCCTTGAGGGTCTGTAAAGTTTGTAGATCTCTTCCATCCCGGTTTCCGAACAAGTGATCGATGATGATGGGAGTCGAAAATGAATACCCAGTGGACTCGCCGGAGAAAATTACCTGGCGTTTGTCGCGGTGAATCAGGTCGGTGAGGTATTCCATATTCAGAGGCTCATCCACAGTCTTTCTCAAGATCTCGAAAAGCTTCTTCTCAGCAGCCTCGAGCTTCTCGGTATTGACAGCTGTCAATTGCAACCAAAGAACGGTGTCTGGACGATCCTCGCTGTAGAAATGGACGGCAGAGCACCACGGATCCTCAATCTCGACCATTTCCTTCTCCAGCACTGAAACCGATGATCCGGCTAGGTACATGCTCATGGCTTCGATTGCGGTCGACATCACTGGTTCCATGCAGTTCGGTCCGAAGAATCCCACCATGACCTCACCCGTCGATTCATCCTTCTCGGGAAACTCGACGGTGGCAATAGAGGACTTGGTGAGTGGTGGAACGGGAGTAGAATCTACCCAAGGTCTTGACACTCACATGATCAGCTATTCATGTTCAACCAACTATCAGCAATGTTCCAGTAACTCACCTCCTCCACGGGGCATCCACAGCCGGAACATCTGCAATAATCCCATCCTCAAACTTATCCAATATTTCGAGTAGGTTATCATGATCAACCTCTCCGATGATGATAACGCACAAGTTCTTGGGCTGATACATCTCCTTGTGGAACTGCCTAATTCTCTCAGCCGTAAGGACACGGAGAGCCTCCATCATACCCCCAGTCTCATATCTGAAGCCTACGCCCTCAGGATACAGCATCTTCACTGCTTTCTCATTCATCAGGGTCTCCTGGGTATTCTGAATGCCCTGCATCTCCGAGTACACCACGCCGGCATCCTGTCCTGCGCCGTCGATGTGGTGGACTTCCGTCAGGCATCCAGCATCCGTGAGTGTGGGGAACAGGGTGTGCTCCAGGTATACTGGTAGGATCTGTGCAAAACCAGCCCACCCGGCCGTGTTGAGGGTGTAGGCAGTGTGATCTGTGGCAGTCCACGCATTCGTATCGGAATATGCCCTGCCATCGTCGACTCAAATCAGCACTGGAAAATACACCGCTAAACGCCCTACGAACCTGGTAGCTAATCGATCCAAGATACCCTTGTAGGGATAGCTCTTGGAGCCCATAAAGCACAAATGCTCTAGGGTATGTGGGGAGCCGGAATCGTCGAAGATCTCGGTTGCGAAGGTAAAGAAACCGTTGACCTTGGGGCCTTCCTTATCGACTACCACAACGGTCATCCCGGTTCGTTTCGACTCATACTTCGTGATCTTCGAAGGCGAGTAGTCAATCTCGAACTCGACTATCTTGCGGAAGTGTTCTTTGGCCATGTTGGCACGTGATTCGACGAGGGTAGCGTTGTCGGAGAGGATGAGGTTGTTCGGCTGCAGAAGGAAATCTTGGTCCTGATCCTGAGAATAAGCGGGTGGGTCAGCGGGATGGGCGTCAAGGTGGGTTTTTATACTGGGGCAGTCTGCAGCGGATGGTGAGGTGAAGAGAAGCAATGCCAAGATGACGACTGCGGAGTAGAGGGGGACCATTGAAAGCATGGCCAGTGCAGCCGAGGGAGACGAGGGGAGAGGGAGGATTAAGGACGGGGGGCAGAACATAAATAGAAGGGAGGTATAATCCACACCTGTAGAGCTGTTGCTGCGGGTGTGTAGTAAATTGAAGGTACGACCAGGCCTAGGTGCTTGGTGAGACAAAGAGGTCGTGACAGCACGTCCGTTCGATTCGCTATTCGGCTTGTAGAATTGAGTGCTGAGCTCGGTATATATTGCGGGACTTCTAGATTCTATCCAGTCGGCTTTCCTGATGATGCTCTCCCCTTCTTGATGAGGATGTGGTTGAATGGTTATTGCACAAAACTACCCCGCTAGCTGGCGCCCGGTCATCAAGGGAGCAGAAAAGAGCCGCTATGTACCCAGCTAGCGCAGCTGCAGGTTTCCCCACAGTCATCCTGCAGATGATCATGAGAGTGTGTAATCATCCTCGTATTTACCAAAGATTTCCTGCTCCCGGCTCCAAAGGATGCTTTGCATAAATCCAAAGCTTCACTCTCACAGCTCGGCGATCCCATTCCGAAGCTCGAAGCTCCTCGGGTGTGATGCTTGCGGCCAGGGGGTTTTCCATTTCCCGGCCTAGTTACCCCCTTCATGCTGTCCAGGTCGAGCTCGCCTGTCCAAGCGATCCGGTGATACTCGTTCCATAACTTCAAGCGACATACACGTCTACCGAAAAGCAGAGGTGTAGAGAGTACAGAATGACTTCATACCACTTGCGTATTGGCATCCCGACACATGAACGGTGATCACCCGCCAGGATCACACCTGAGCACCCGCCATCCAGCCAATCCTCCAGCCCGTCCAACAGCTTATAGAGCTTCGCCGTGGACAAGAACGGGGAAGAAGTGTATACCGCCATAGTCTAGACGGGTTACAAGCAACCAATAACGAAACAACGATAAGTTTGCAGTACTTCAACAAGCAAACGTGTTGTGCACAGGAATTTTGCATCACATATCGTCAACCATATCCATTGTACGTACGTCATTAAGGCCATGGCCCACCCACCCACCCCACCCACCCATCCTTATGACTCCAGCGGCGACAAAGCAGGAGGTTCTTAAGTATAACGGCGGCGTCAAAAGCACGCAGAAAAGGGAACAAGGAAGAAAAGAAAGAAAAAAGTAAAACACCGTGGAAGATTGCTTATAACAGTAACAGGGAAGACGTGAAGACATGACGTAAACCGGGGGAAAAAAATTATGAATGATTCGGAAAGAAGAAAGCCCTTATCCCTCCTCATCATATCCTTTCTTTCTCTCTTTCCTTCTCCAGCATTAACAGCATTTACCCTCCTTGGAAGGTGTATCGGCAGGCTTCGTCACATCGATGCGGTGACCGCCTTCTTGACTGAAGGTGGTAGCCTCGCCGGCGTCCAGTGATTTGCTCGAGACAATCCTATATATCTCTGCGAAGAGTGTCAGCTGCAGTAACCGGAGGAGGAGGGGGCGGCATAGCGGTAGTACTTACCAGTGAGTATGTTCTGGAACGCGAGCTCAACGTTGCTGGCGTCGAGCGCAGAGGTCTCGATGAAAGAAAGGTGGTTCTCCGCTATATCCACATCCAGTTAGCTATAAATAGTTCGTTGTACCATCTGCAATCCCGCCCCAAAGCCACGTACCCGCAAAGTTCTTCGCGTCGTCAGTGGGCACGGCCCTCAAGTGTCTCAAATCGCTCTTGTTCCCCACCAGCATAATGACGATATTCGAGTCGGCATGGTCTCTTAGCTCCTTCAGCCAACGCGTGACATTCTCGTAGGTGATGTGCTTGGAGATGTCGTAGACAAGGAGAGCGCCGACGGCACCGCGGTAATAAGCCGAGGTGATGGCGCGGTATCGCTCCTGGCCGGCGGTATCCCAGATCTGTGCCTTGATGGTCTTGGAATCAACCTGAATTGATCGCGTGGCGAACTCGACACCAATTGTCGATTTGCTGTCGAGGTTGAACTCGTTGCGAGTGAATCGACTGAGAAGGTTGGACTTTCCGACGCCGGAATCTCCAATCAGGACAACTAGACAGATAGCGCACAGACTGTTAGCGGCAACTCGGTTTGTTTGTCGTTGATGAAGCAAGTTGTCTGCCCGTCGTCGCAAGGAGTTTGTTTCATCTCGGGCGGGGAGGGGTCAAGTTGTGACGCTGTTGTCAGGATGCAGTTGATGACGCTCCGTGAGCCGCCACCGAGAGCTCTCGCTACCCGATTACCGGTGAATAGGACGATAGCGATAACAGGAGGGGTAATAGAAGCCGTGGTGGATTGGCGGAGGTGGCGGAAGCTGAGGGAGGATGACGAGGGCGGGATAGGGGGTTAATACCTTTGAACAGGAACTGTCACGAGGGGAAATTAGCATCATCGAGAGGTAACGGGGAGATAAGCCACATGCGGGGGAGAGCGATGGGGAGTAACGTACATCGTACTCGTCGTTAGCCATGGCTGTTGTTGTGCTGGATGGGATGTAAATGCGATGGGTGTTTTTGAGACGAATGAGAGAGCTTTTCGATGAAGTGGCTGGGCTTGAGAATGTTGGTTAGGGAGGTTTCGAAGGGGAAAGGGCTGGGTTGGTTTGAGATGGTTGAATCGGGGAAGGGAAGGTAGAGTAGGTACAGCGGAGTGGAAGTTGATGATCCCTCTCCTAAACAATTTGGGTTAGCGGCCCCTTGTCTTGGCTGGTTGCCAAGGGCGAGTGATCTCCAATGAATACGTGTGATGAAACGCCTTTCGCAACATAGTACAAAAAGTGCGAAGAATGAAGTTTAAGGGACAGTACGGATAGATTTCTCTTCCGCTTCCAGCCCAACTACCAGTTAACCAGGGCTGAAATTTTATCGGTGAAAAATATCTTGTGATACATCCCTTACTGACTATGACTCCTCAAGTTTCCCTTAGGCTTGCGTGGTCTTACGTGGACCTTCAGTAGACCCTTCGAATGGATAACCCCATGATCAACCCACTCCATAGTCCTCTCATCCGTTTCAAACAGCTCCATTTCAAACCTGCCAAACAATGTAGCAAGCACCAGAAACAACTCAGCGTACGCCAAACTGCCCAGAGGTTAGCCTTACTCAAAACGGCCTCAAGATGAAGAAAGAGCTCACTTGGTTCCCAGACAGGCTCTAGCACCCTTCGAGAAGCAAACGAGAAACTTGTCATGCCCCTTAGCGTCCCCGAGCCACCGCTCCGGAAGGAACTCCTTCGGCCGGGGGAAGATCGTGGCGTCGTGAAGAACCGTGTAGTGGCTTACGCCGACGATCGTTCCAGGGGGAATGTATTGCCCCGTAGAGAGGATGTAGCCATATTCTTTCGGTGCCACCCGTGGGAGCTTTCCGGGGATGATGGTTGCGAGCCGGAGGGACTCCTTTATCACGCCGGACTAAACATATCATATCAACCAGCCGCAACCCTGATTAATAGAATGAATGAAACATACGAAATACGGTAGATTTTCTAGCATAGCAAGTTTCATCTGACCGTTCCCATCTACATTTAGCACAACGGTATCAAGCTCATCCAGCAGTTTTTTGTGCACCAAGGGATCCCGCAGGACATAATACGTCGCATAAGTAAGCGCCATAGCTGTGGTTTCCGTCCCAGCAAAGAATATAAACATCCCCTCGGCGATAATCTGATCTCGCGGGACAGGAGGTGCACCGTTGGGAGGATTCATAAGCGCATCGAACACGGTAGCTGACTTCGCCTTCACGTCCCTTCCGGCGAGGCCATCGACAACTGATGTCATCATCTATCCTCACATCAGCCCAAGACTTCCAGTCAGAGGTGGGCGGAGAGGCAAACTGCCAAAACTTCTCCCAAGCTCGAATCCCATCCCCACCCCGCCAGTAGTGGGAAATGTTTATTCAGCGCCTGCGCCTTCGCGCTGCGTCTGATCATATCCACATACCTCGACCGAAAATCCTTCACATCTAGCAGCCCGAGACTTGCACCAAAGGCATACTCGCAGATAAAGTCCGCAGTAAGGCAATGAAACGCGTCTTGTAACGGTACTGGCTTGCCAGAGGCCGCATAACCGTTCAGCAGTGTCGAGAACTTTTCAATCGTCGTTGACATCTGTGGTCCGAGGGAGGCGATAGTGCGTTTTGAAAAGAACGGGTTTAACAGCTCGCGCCGCTGACGGGACGAGTACTGATCTATGATGGTCACTGAAGAGTGTGTGATCCCTAGCCCGCCGTAGAAGGCTGGATCCTTTCGGTACTTTGTGTTTTGCTTGTAGACCCTGGGACATGAGGTATCAGTCGGGCCAGCTCGGCATTGGCGTGTGGGTAAGTTTGTACTCGTGGTAAAAGCTTAAGTCAGAGATATGAAGCTCGCGAGGACTTATTCGGACCACAGGCCCTGTATAATAGGAAGATTCATAAACAAGTATGTAATGGGGCAAATATGATAGGGCATCGTACCATATTTGATGTGCATCTCCGGAAGTCGCAGAACGTACTGTCCGTCTTTGATGAGCTCGAAGTAGCATTCGTACCACGATGTTGCAGCTGCCAATCGCGGGCCAGGAAATCCGGACAATGGATGGAAGTACAGGCGGTAAACCACCAGCAGGATCCACCAGAGGATAACGGCGGTACATATCATCAAAAGCATCCGCAAAGAAGAGCCAGTAGCGCCCTGGAGGATAGGATGAAGGAGAGTTGGATTTGCCATAGCTGCAGCTGTAGCAATACGGAAGGCAAGGAGTGTGAAGCATGGGACATTGAGGTTATAAACTGCCAGCTGTGAGCCTGTGACAGTGAGGGGATGCAAATCTCGAGGCTGCAAACGCCACGCAGGTTGCATGCAAAGTGTCAACCGGCGATGAATGAGTATCTCCCACAGAGAATCATGATCTATTTTAGACTCTTGCTGGAGAGCATAAAGGAAAGCGTAGCACAAAAGATTTACGCTGCAGGTGCCCTCCTTTCGCCCTATCAAAAGCTTTGGTGGCGTACTTCCCTTTCCAAGAAGAGAAGATTGCTGCAACTACTGGACTCGGAAAATAAATAACTCTACTGTGTGCCTCGAATCCGTTTCCCTAGCAGTAGCCGTCAGAACTGAACGTTTCAGGAAGCGGCTTGGATGAATCGCATACCTAAATCGATATACCTGCCTTTCCTCATTGGATCGAGCGACTCCAATGACTCTAGCCATTCCAGTATTTGCTGGTTTTCTGCCGCCTCGTCTACTTCCTCCTCATTCTCGTCGTCATCTTCATCACGGGGTTCTTTCCTCAGCCCCTGAAGTAGTTGTACATATAGCACCAGAGCTTTCAAGATATATCTGGCTATTAAAGCGTTAGCTCTACGGTCCTCAAACAGCGCTACGGAAGAACTTGCAGTCAGAGTGCTCTCCCAATAGATCCTTCAACCACTCGAGTTCATGCTCCACCAAGGCTATCCTCGTTCCCCGGGGCATCTTTGGTGCGATCGAAGTTTCGTCCCTCGCCGACACCAGCCATCGATGATAATACCACAGACTTTGATCCTCCGGATCCGTTGTAATAGCGCTCTGCAGCAATTCAAGCTCTGTCACCTCGTCAGCGCCAGTCAATACTGATTCGTAAACCAGACCCACCATCCTCCAGGACGTCCATCCTCTCCTGCTCATCCTTGTTTTCCTCTGCAAGAAGCCGGGGGTACAGAGCCCCCCTCTGATGCCATGCCGAGTAGTTCGTCATTCCACCCACACCACGAACCATCCTCTTCGTGTACTCGAATTCCTCCTTCACCATGCTCTTATACCCGCCCTCGGCCGGATTCTCGATATTCGCAACTACAATCCGGCGGTAAAACCAGCCATGGAAGTTCCGCATATCCCTCGTCAACATGACACCTACGAGGTCCATCTCCTTGGCCCAGAACCTCGTAGCATCCGCCGGCTTCAGGAGTGTACCCGCTTGCTGTAGAGTCCACAGTCGGTGGTTCCAGATCCAATAGCATTTCGGGTATGCCATTAGCAGCGGTATGAGGAACCCTAGCTCCTCCTTCAGCTGAGCTACCAGTCGAGCTGTGTCCTGTGGATCCGCATCATCGGTGTTTACGCTCTGCGCAAGGTGCGTGTGGAGGAGGATTTGCCGGCGGTAGTTCCATATCGTGTAGAACTCAGGGTTTATTTTTAAGACTTTCGAGGTGAGCTCGAGAGCGGCTGGGGTGTAGTCGTTAGAGGATCTCTAGAGCTGTCGTCAGCTCGGATTTTAGTTGCGGGACAATAGCCAGGCGAACTACCTTCTGCTGTGTCTCTTCGACGAGAGCCCGATAGTCTTTGAGCTTCTTGCGTTCTTTCTCTTTTACCTCCTCATTCCGTGACTTGTGATACTCCGTACGACTAATTCCGTGCTGTAAGCGAGTCAGTTGAGGGTTGATGGTGGTAGATTTGACGACGTACACTGGCCATGGCGGGTGGTGGGGTTGGTGATGGTGATGGGGTTGGTGGGGTTGGAGAGGCAACGCGGTGGTGATTAACGCTATTTCTATCGCGAACATCACCTCCATATCTAGAACCATAGCTCACCCACAACACAACACCCACCCACAACAACAACAATGTCGACAACCACACCCATCGCCCCCTCCTCTGCCAACCACCAGCGCTCTACCTCGCGTCCGGGATCGCGGCCAACCACACCCCTCCGCCGCTCTGCCTCTCGCAATTCGGTCCGCCAAGTCTCCGGCGAAGCCTTCCCACTCAACGCCCTTGAACCACAGTTTCAAGAGCTATCGGACTCGCTGGTGACGCTGGAAGCAAACTTCAGGGACTTCCAGGTCATGCACGAGAGTATATCGCGATTCAACGAGAGTTTTGCGGGTTTCCTGTACGGTCTCAACGTCAACGCCTACTGTGTCGAGTTTCCGGAGGCACCCGAGGGCCCGGAGAGTTTTGCGAGGATCGCGAGGAAGGATGCTGAGGAGGGTTTGTTGCACCATACTACATGGGGAGGGAGGTAACACTGATGTGCTGTTTGTATAAAGGACCGGGCCCATCGCAATATTCGAGAAGGAAAAGTGACTGCGGGGATGTTGGGGATATGACTTTTATGTGGGATACTGCGCCGACGAGATTGCAATTATCTGGTCTGGCGGCTGACGAGAGTACAGGACGACGGATTCGTTTGTTGCAGAGCCACAGGCTCCCCCGCCTACTCAGCCGACTCCAGTGCGCCGAGCGCCGGCGGTGAGGGGTGGTGGCCGTGGTCGTGGGCAGCCACCACGGGGTGGAGGCGGCATTCCGAGGGGGCGGGGCAGTGGGTTTTCTTACCGCTAATGGGTCACTTGCGGTACACGATGCGAATAGATATTGGGACTCTGCAACCCCACTACGATGGACTACGATCGCGCTGAAAGCTTTGTTATTCGCAATATGCCGGGGTTGGAGCTCTGACCACCTTCCCGTGAATGACCAGTATCCTATCCTACTTCCCCTCCACCTCCTTCCTCCAAACGAAAACCTCAACTGTACTGTTGGTCCTCACATGCATATCGGCCACCTCCTCATCCTCCCCGTTTTTCTCCCCCTCGCCTACCGCCTCCTTCCCATTCACCACTTCTTCTAGCGCATCCACAACATCGTCCACAATCTTGATACTCCCAGTAGTAACCCTCACCTCACAGCCCATATCCATAAACTTCGTCCCCAGGATAACCGCATTCGTAATCCCCTTTCCGGTCGCCTTTAGTGTAACTCCTTCCTGGGGTTTCTTCCCAAGCTTTTGCCGCTTGTTACTATTTCCGCGGCGGGAGGTGCCGGCGTTGGCGGCGAACGCGTTCAGCTGCTTGTTGACGCGCTTGATGATCGCTGCGTGCGAGGAACTGGCGGATATGTAGAATACTTTTGGTTCTGCGGATGAGGCGGAGGAGATCGGTGGGTGGAGGAGGGGACGCTTTTGGAGGGTTTTTGCTATGAAGAGTGGGGGTTAGTTGAGGTGGATGGAGACGGACGGGAGAGGGTTTACTCGAAGGAAGCGCGGGCCGTGGGGCGCGCGGAACTCGGGTGTAGATTAGCGGCATGGATTCGGTGGAGGTGGACATTTTGCCAGCAGGTGTAAGTATGTGTAAATGAAAGAAGTTATGGAGGAGAGAAAAGGCGGAAATAACGCCCCATCGATTGCGAGCAAAGGTTGTGGATGGGGTTAGTTTAACGTTATGGCTTGGTGGGGGATTCTACGCGTACATAGCTGTAACGACATCACCTCACCTTACTCTACAAGGGTCCATTCTGGTCCGCAGGTCACCTGGATCTGTCACCTCCGTGCCTCAAGAGTCAACACCGTCCCTCACCTCCACGATCACAACCAAAATCATCGTGATGTCCGTCCTGCCCACTCACAACCCTCCTGTCGCGTCCTCATCATCCAGCGCAGCATCCGCTGTACTGACCCTAACCATCCGCTTCACGACCGGCGACGGCGACTTGATCCTCCCCCTCCCGGCCCCACAGTCGAGCACAACCCACACAATAAAGCAGCACATCCGGCAATCACGACCGACGCTCTCGAGCCGCAAGCTCCGCCTAATCCACGCCGGCAAAGTTCTCCCCGATGGTCCAGCGCTGTCCACGCTCCTCCCCCATAACAACCCCAGCATCTTCATCCACTGCTCTGTTGGCGAACCTCTATCACCCGATGAGCTGGCAACCGAAGAGTCTCCTCTGATCCCTCCTGAGGGGCTGGGGGCAGAAGCGTCCTACACTCAACAGCAGCAGCAACAGCAGCAGCAGCAATCTACACTTCCCGCGCAGCTCGGCTTCGACCGTCTGTTGACGCAGGGGTTTAGTGAAGGCGAGGTCGCTGCGCTGCGGGCGCAGTTCGCAAGGTTGAACCCAGATGTGGATGTTAACGGTGCCGAGGATGTCAGAGCGCTTGAGGATCGGTGGATCGATGAGAGCGTGGGGCAGGGACAGGAGGTGGTAGGGGGAGCAGGAGGCGGCGCCGGGACGTACGAGGATATGCTTCTCGGCACGGCTATTGGGTTCTTTTGGCCCGCTACGATTTGGTTGGCTAGGGAAGAGGGTGTGTTTACGCAGAGAAGGAGGTATGCTGTCTTTGCAGGGCTGTGTGTTAATCTGTTCTTTGGAGTAGTGAGAGTATTTGGATAGGGAGGATTGATATATTGGCGTACGGAGTTGTGCTTTGTTAGATTTTACAATGATATCCTTTGAGAGCGTACAGGATGAAACGATAGGTATGGGAAATTATGGACAGCCAATTGTCGGATATCGACGTAGTATACTAGACCGTATCCTCACTTCAAGGCCGTACACGTCCGCCGTGCTAGAAACTATTGACAGTCTATAATGACATCACCCCCTGATCCGATCCATCCGTCCCGCTGCGACAAAACCGCCGATTGACTACCTCCCATCGCACAAAAAGAAATCGGGCAACGAGGTTGAGCATTTACAAAGCGTCGGTCAACATCTTATTGAGTTTGGCGACCTTGGAGGAGATGGACAGATCGATGGTCCGGTCACCAACCTCGACAACAAGGCCTCCGATGATGGAGGGATCAACCTGAGGTTTGGTTAATCCGAGTTTCTTAAAGGATGACTGCAGAGTGAAGAACAAACCTTGTTGGTGGTCTTCAGCTTCTTGCCAGCTCCGATGAGCGGCGATTTGGAGATGGCGGCCTCCAACTTGCTCACGGTCTTCGCATCCAATTGCTGTTGTCCCGTCAGTCACTCATGACGTCTAAAACATACAGCACCATCACTTACAGTAGCGGAAGTGATGATGGCCTCGATCTCACCGCGGTGAGCACCCATCAGGACATCGAACTTCTCGACGATACCGCCAACGAGTCCGAGACGGTTGTTCTCGGCCAGAACCTCGAGGAGGTTCTTGATCGACTTGTCCTGACCAGCAGCCTTCATGACCTCGGCGATGACCAGCTTCTTATCGTCGGTCTTGAGGGTAGGCGAGGCGAGGATGCGGACGAGCTTGGGGTCCTTGGCGAGGACACCCTTAAGGGACGTGAGCGCCTTGTGGGTAGCATCGAGGCTCGAGGTCTTAGCGGAGGCAGTGTACTGGTGGCTCGGTCAATTGCTGTCGGTTTGTTTTTTGTTTTGTGGGGATGGCCGGGCTTACAAGGGCCGATGCGTAGGTTCCGTCAACGCCGAAGAGGGCGACCGGAGGCTTCATCGACTTACCCGGGGCGGCGGCAGCGAAGGTGCGGGCACCGGTGCGGGCAACGGAGGCGACGGAGCGGGCAGAGAACATGGCGGCGGCGGCTATGTGTACGGAGGGGAGAGTGCGTGGGGGGTGCGGGTTGATGATGTAGAACTGGGCCTTGATGGATGGGGGGGGGGTCGATCTCGGGAGAAAAGTGATGGGGGACAACCGAAACAACGAATCGTCAAAGCCGCAGCCAATCAGAAGCGAGGAAAACACGTGACTAGACCCAACATGAGGAGTCGCGATGGAGACGAAGGGACTTTATAACTCTCTGTTTGCATTCGTCCCTATTCTATCTGAGAATGTAGAGGCAACCAATCTGATTATTCTTTTGAGGAATTGAGGATTAATAGTCGGTTGGTGGGGTCGCGCGGTGAGGGGGAGAGGAATGTCTCAAGCATTGGCCTTGAGAACGTCACTCGTATAAATGACTTGTGTTTCTTTACAATATTCTCGATGGGAACCAGAAGTTCTTTTGTATATAAATGACCATGAAGATGAAGCCGTAGATACAAACTGGTGCATAGGGCTTCATCGCTTGTGAGGATCCTCTCCGGTGGTCCTCGCCCAGTTCTCAGTTCTTCGCACAGCCGCAACACCCCCTAGCACGTCCTTGGCAAATCATCACGACCGCACCCTTGAACCTCAACTCTGGCCTCAAACTTATCTACCTAGCAGCCCATCAGCTCCGAGCAATCCCCGCAGATACCCCCCACCACGACTATCCACCGTATCCAGCTGTTCCACCGCCTTCTCGGAACCCTCGAAGCTCGTTTCCTTAGTCTTGCGGTTTCACAGCCTTAGAAACGAAGCTCTACGACCCCACCATCCATCCCACCACCACCATCACTACCATCACTACCCCTTAAGCACCCCCGAGTAAACACACCCGGATTGAGTGCAGGACAAGATGCGGTTGGACGTCAAGGTACTCAGAATAGCCTATGAGCAGTAGCTTGGCCAGCAAGCCAGAGAGCTACTTTTGGAGTTCATCCCCAGCTGATGAGTGTAACACCGCCAGAGACAACTATTCGCCCGCTCGGACCGAGTCAAGGGAATTGATTTCCATCCTACGGAGCCATGGGTTCTCACGACCTTATATAGCGGTAAGCGGATTAATTATGTTCCGCGTTTTGTTGCTTGACGGAGAGGGGATTAGAGCGAGAGCTTCCAGCTGATGCCACCACCCACTCGCCGCAGGTCATGTCTACATCTGGTCCTACGAAACCCAGGCAATCATCAAGACCTTCGAGGTGACGGATGTGCCCGTACGCGCCGGTCGCTTCATCGCACGTAAGAACTGGTTTGTTGTCGGATCGGACGATTTCCATCTGCGGGTATTCAACTACAACACCTCCGAGAAGATCACGGCGTTCGAGGCCCACCCGGACTACATCCGTGCTATCATTGTTCACCCGACACAACCGTTCGTGTTGACCGCCAGCGATGACATGACAATCAAGCTGTGGGATTGGGACAAAGGCTGGAAGTGTGTGCAAACATTCGAGGGACATAGCCATTATGTGATGAGCTTGGCGATAAACCCTAAGGATACGAACACGTTTGCGTCGGCATGTCTGGATCGGACAGTGAAGATCTGGAGTTTGGGAGGCAGTGGAGCTGCAAACTTCACATTGGAGGCACACGAGACCAAGGGTACGGGTTATTGCGGTCTGGATTCAACTGGGATTTGTGCTGACGGAGCGGGCAGGTGTCAACCATGTGGACTACTACCCCGCCGCCGACAAACCCTACATTCTGACCACCTCCGACGATCGCACCATCAAGGTGTGGGACTACACAACCAAGTCGCTGATCGCTACCCTCGAAGGCCATACATCAAATGTCTCGTTCGCATGCTTTCACCCTGAGCTCCCGGTTATCATCTCTGGTTCGGAGGACGGAACGGTCAAGATATGGCACGCCAACACTTACAGACTGGAGCAGACTCTGACCTACGGGCTAGAGCGAGCGTGGTGTGTTTCGTACCAACGGGGGAAGAATGCGCTGGCAATCGGTTTCGATGAGGGATGTGTGGTGGTTAAGATGGGACGGGAAGAGCCCGCGGTGTCGATGGATCCTAGCGGAAAGATCATTTGGGCAAGACACAACGAGGTTCTGTCGGCCGCTATCAAGCCGAGTGGTAAGTCCTCTGGGTTCCACTGAAGGTGTCCAGGTGTTGACCTGTTCACAGACACCGGTATCAAGGACAACGAGCCGCTATCCCTCCCGACGAAAGACCTGGGATCGTGCGAAATCTATCCACAGTCTCTCACACATTCACCAAACGGTCGTTTCGTATCGGTGTGCGGTGACGGTGAATACATCATCTACACCGCTCTGGCCTGGAGAAACAAGGCATTCGGATCAGCACTGGACTTTGTGTGGGCCGGCAAAGATAACAGCAATGACTACGCCATCCGGGAAAGCCCAGCCAGTGTCAGGCTATTCCGCAATTTCAAGGAGAAGAGCGGTGGTCTCGATGTCGGTTTCGCTGCGGAGGGTTTGATGGGTGGTGTGCTTCTGGGTGTGCGTGGCGCAGGTGGCGTCGGACTTTTCGACTGGGAGACTGGCAGTTTGGTGCGAAGGATCGATGTGGTGCCCAACGACGTGAGTTGTTCATTTACGGCTGCTGGATATGGACCTAACGGGTGCATTTAGATCTACTGGTCTGAAAGCGGAGAGCTGGTCACTTTGGCTTGCGATGATACATTCTATGTTCTGCGGTTCTCACGGGAAGCCTACATCGAAGCCCTCCAGAACGGAACAGTTGAGGATGACGGCGTGGAGGCAGCGTTCGAGGTTGTCGTCGACATCAACGAGAGGTATGTTCCCCTGAGCATTACCGTAGTAACCGTCCGTTACTGACATCCATCTTCAGCGTTCGCACCGGAGAATGGGTCGGCGATTGCTTCATTTACACAAACTCCACCAACCGTTTGAACTACCTCGTAGGAGACCAGACCTACACCATCTCGCACTTCGACTCCCCCATGTACCTGCTCGGATACATCCCGCGAGATGGCCGCATCTACCTCGCTGACAAAGATGTAAACGTGATTTCCTACGGACTGTCCCTGTCGGTAGTCGAGTACCAAACCGTCGTACTACGTGGGGACATGGACGCCGCCGCCGAGCTCCTCGAATCCGTGCCCGAGGACCAGAAGAACAAGATTGCGCGCTTCCTCGAAGGCCAAGGCTACAAAGAGCTCGCGCTCGAAGTGGCCACGGATCCGGAGCATCGCTTCGACCTGGCGCTGGCGCTCGGCAACCTCGAGATCGCCCTCCAACTCGCGCGCGAAGTCGACGCCGAGCACAAATGGAAAACCGTCGGCGACGCCGCTCTGACCGCCTGGAACCTGGTGCTGGCTGAGGAATGCTTCACGAACGCTAAAGACATCGGCTCGCTACTGCTGCTCCACACCGCCACGGGAAACAGCGCGGGCCTCAAATCCCTCGCCGCGACGACAGCCCAGTCCGGCGCTCACAACGTCGCCTTCAGCTGTCTCTGGCAGCTCGGCGATGTCGATGCCTGCGCCGCGCTGCTCGTCAAGACTAACCGCCACGCTGAGGCCGCGCTGTTCGCGCAGACGTACAAGCCCAGCATTGCCAGCGGCGTTGCCCGCGAGTGGAAAAAGGCCCTGGTCGCGAATAAGAAGCCGAAGATTGCGGAGGCGGTTGCGGTGCCCGATGATGATGCCGAGCTGTTCCCGAACTGGGAGGAGTACCTCAAGATCGAGAGTCAGGAGGACCTCATCGATGTCAATGACGATGAGGATGTGGAGGTGGAGGAGGATGTGGTGAAGGTCGAGGCTGAGGAGTAGTATGTAATGAAATGGAATGGGAAACTTACGGGGTTTAATGTGCTTTTTTTTCTATATTTGTTTACGATGGCTGGCTGGGGGTTGTGGTCTTTTGTGTTGCTGTTGTTGCTGCTGTAGTTGCGTGTGGATTCAAAAGCGTTTAGAATTCGAATTGCGTCTATCCAAGTATTCATCCATCATCCAGCCGAATCTCAATCTCAATCTCAATCTACATAGGACTTTTTACACCCTCCCTCCCTCCCCCCTCCCCCCCCCCCCACTGCCCCTGGCAGCTTAGCTACTCATCATCATCATCACTACTATCCCCCATATCAATCCCAGGAACAGAAAACATCTCTGCATCTTCATCATCTTTCTCCTCCTCCTCGGTGAAACTCATTTTTATCGGCGAACCCTCGGCCGCTGTGGCGGTGGTCACCTGCAGGAGCGTGGGGTACTCGCTCCTTACCGCCGTTGCGGGCGGCGCGGGCTGCGAGCTCGGTAGTGCCGCAGGCTTGTCGGGTGAGATACCTACAGCCGCCACGGAATGGGGCGGGAGCGAGATCGGGTTGGTGAAGAATGACTGCTGCTGTTGTAATGGTGGTGCGGCGGCGGCAGCGGTGGTGGTGGGGTAAAGAGTAGCAGCAGCAGCAGCAGCAGTGGGCGGCGAAACCCGCGGCCGTTTATGCACCCTACTTTCCTCCTGCTCCTCCCGCTCCCTCTCCTCCTCCTCCTCCCTCCCATCCAGCTCCTCCATCTCCAGCTCCCTCGCCTCCTTCTCCTCCTCCAACGCCCTCCTGACCTCCTCCCTACTCGGCCCCGTCCATACCACGGGCATTCTCGGCCTCACCAGTGCCTCTGCAGCGGCATCAACCCCCGCGCCAACCAGGAACGGCACTGTACCCGGCCTCTCCGCCGCCGCGCGCGGGAACAGTACTGCAGCGAGCAGCGCCGCCCGATTGCCCGTCAGGATCGCGGTGCGCTCGAGTTGCACGCGCAGCTCGGCGCGGATGTGTTGCGATGGCAGCTTGGACAGCGCGGTGGTCAGGAGGACGCCCGCGGCGGTGGGGAGGCCGGGGGGCGTGAACTTTGGTGCGGCGGGGGTCGTCGAGAGGAGAGAGTCCGCGTGCGTCGTGGAGTTGGTTTTTTGCTTCTTGTGTGCGGGAGCGGTGGTGGGTGCGGTGCGAGCGGCGGCGCGGGGCGCGAGCAGGTCCGTGCAGCAGGTTTGCAGAAGTGGGGTCAGGTACAGTGTCGACTCCTTGTCCAGGGCGGGCCCCGCGAGCGTGAGCAGCGTGCTGGTCACGTTGTAGATGGACACTTTGAGGTCGGCGTTGTAGCCCTCCTTGCCGCACAGGGCGACGGCGTGGCCGAGCAGCGAGGGGACGAACGGGATCACCACGGACTGCAGCCGGTTGACGACGGTATCGACCATGTCGAACGTCTGCGCGTGGATTGCGGGGAAAAGCGAGAACAGCAGCTCGCGCTGGGACTTCTCGATCGCCGGGTTGTGTTCGGTCGATGCCGGGTCCGTGGATACGCTCAGGATCCGGGAGACGGCGTTCATCAGGCTTCCCAGGGGAATCTGCGGCTGCTGCCCGGTCGACACCGTGAAGAAGCTGCCCACTGATCGCAGCAGCAGCCCAACCCTATCCGCCAGAACCGGAATCTCCCTCTCCGCCTCCTCGCCTCCGCTCTGGCGGTCGCCTTCACGGTACTCCTCGAGCACGGGTTCAAACAGCACATCCAGAGCCGAATGCAACCGTGCCACAGCAGCATTAAACAGCGCCGTCCACTCCATCGCGGGGGCATTAACCTTCCTTCCGCCCTCCTGATGCCCACCACTGCCGGGCGCAGGGCCACACAGATGCAGTGCGACCACCAGCTCCCTGACCACCCTCTCCATTTCCTGCTCCACACACCTTCCATCCAGGAGCGCTTTCACCGCGACTTTAGTCTTGCCCACGAACGGCCTAAACGTGACCGGGTGCGCCTGGACCGAATCCCTGAGCGCCTCCCACGCACACGCGGTAACACTGTCGTCGCCCCGCGGCGTGGTAACCGCGACCACCAGCGCCCCAAAGAAAGCGGGAAGATGCGGCGTCACCAGCTCCCGCGTCAGCGTCGGCCGGTCGAGCGTAAGCTTCGTGAACACCCGCGCAAGGGTACGGATGAGCATAACGGTGGTGACAGTTGGCTCCGGCCTCTATCCTCCCTCACACATATTAACGCCCACCCCACCCCCCCCCCCCCCCCCCCCATCCCCGAGAAGTGTACTTACATTAACCAACCCAACCAACCTCCTAACCCAGCCCTCCCCCCAAGCAGCAAGTGCCTCAAACGAGCTCTCAAGGACACATTTCGCCAGCACGACACCGGCCCACCGCGCCTGCGGGGACTTACTCCCGATGAGCGCGGCAACGCGGGACTTGGTCTTTGCGCACAGCACCTGCGCCTCCTCGCTCGGCGAGGTGAGCGCGCAGTCGAATATGCTCGGCGAGGTGGTCGTGTATAGGATCCGTGCGAGCGATGGGATCTCGGCTGCGAGGGAGGCGTCCGGTGTGGATAGCAGCGCCGACACGAAGGTGCGCAGCAGTGGGAGGTGCTGGTCCGCGGGGCGCGGCATGGTAACTGGTTGGTGGGGTGCGGAAATATGCTAAGTGGTGAGTGCGTTGGATTGAAGGTTTGGGATGCAACTTTTCCACTTGGTTAGTTAGTTAGAGTACACGGATGAGACCCTGCGGGTTTAAGCGAGCGTGGCGGTTGCACTAAGGGACTAACGTGGGATTGAGCGCTTCTGGATCTGTGAAGCGCGGGTCTTTGCAGCGCATCGTGAAGGACAGTCAATGGGGCAGCAGAAATCAACGGCACCGAAGCGTAAGTATCACATTGCAAATGTATTCTAGTATCATACCTACGCCTATCGGCAGGTTCAAACCAGAAAGCGACACGACTATGTACAGCTACCCTCCCATGCCCATCCCCATCCCATGCAAAAACAAGAACTCCGGTTGAAAAAACCTCAATTCAAAAACGCCGTTGATGGTTGGTTGGTTTGTGGTACTCGTATGTATGTAAGCCTAGTCGTCCATGACATTTACATGGTTTCTCTCGTCCTCTGCGACTCCCTCTTCCTTCCACGTTGGCTGGCATTCGTCAGTATCGTACAGGCTTTCTCGAGATGAGGGGTGTGGTTTAAAGTCATACCAAAGTATCAAGCGCGGCCTTAAAAATCTGAATCGACTGATCGATCTGCTCCTCGGTAATGACCAGCGGCGGGGCGAGGCGGATGATATTCTGATGGGTCGGCTTCGCGAGCAGACCCTTCTCCTTCAGGATGAGGCAGAGATTCCACGCCGAGTGGCCATGGGTCTTTGACTCGTCGATCACGACCGCATTCAGCAGACCCTTTCCACGAATGGTCTTGATGGCGGGGCTATTCAGAGCCTCGAGACCCTTGCGGAACCGTTCTCCAAGGACTTCGGCACGCTCCGTGAGCTTCTCGTCGCGGACGACTTCGAGCGCAGCGAGGGCAACGGCACAGCCGAGGGGGTTGCCGCCGTAGGTCGAGCCGTGCGTTCCCGGCTCGATCACGAGCATCACCGCCTTGTCGGCGAGGACGGCAGAGACTGGGTAGACACCGCCGGAAATCGCCTTGCCCAAGAGGACAATGTCGGGCTTGATGCCGAAGTGCTCGAAGCAAAGGAGACGACCAGTCCGTGCGATACCTACGATCGACGGTCAGCAATGAGTTGGATGGGTGACATCGATTGTGGGCTTGCCGGTTTGAATCTCATCGCAGATCAGGAGGACCTTGTATTCAGTGCACAGCTCCCTCACCCTCTTCAGATAATCATCATCGGGCACGATGATTCCGGCCTCACCCTGGATCGGCTCGACCAAAAACGCCGCGATCTTATCTCCATGCGATTTCAGCGCCTCCTCGAGGTCCTCGGCGTGGTTGAACCGAATTGGCTTTCCGGTGGCAGGGCTGATGGGTCCAACATTTGGCAGATAGGGGCCGTAATTGGCGCGACACTCCGGGTCGGTCGAAAGCGATACGGCGCTGAACGTGCGGCCGTGGAAGTTCTCTGCCACTCCGAGGATGAGCGCTTCGTCCTCCGGAATCCCCTTAACTTTGTAGCCCCACTTGCGCGCGAGTTTGATGCCCGTCTCGACCGCCTCGGCGCCGGTGTTCATGGGGAGAACCATATCGAAGCCGAAGAACTTGGAAAGAAATCAACAAAAAACTACGTCTCGATCTGGAGAGACTGGGAACATACCTCTGTAACAAACTTCGAAAATACAGGGAAGACGTCATTGTAGAACGCCCTTGACGAGAGCGTAAGCCTTTGCGCCTGCTCGACGAGTGCTCCGACAATCTTGGGGTGGCAATGACCCTGGTTGACGGCCGAGTATGCGCTCAGGAAGTCGAGGTATTGCTTTCCCTACATGAGCATCCACCACATGCGTTAGCCGATGCAGTCCAAATAAACAAGGTGCCACCCAGCCCAACAAACAGACAATGCAGGTCCCTAAGCACAACAAAAGCACGGCCCACGCACGTTGTGGCAAGCAGAGAATCACCAACCTCAGGGTCCCAGACGTGCACGCCCTTGCCTTTGGCGAAGACCACGGGCAGCGGATGGTAGTTGTGCGCTGCGTGCTCGTGCTCCAGATCCAGAGCTTGCTTCGACGAAGTAGTATGGTAACTGTCGACGGTGGCGGTGCCAGTTTTCGCAACGGGGGTGTTCGCCTTCGCTGCCATTGAAGCTGAAGGTGCCATGTCTGTCGGTGGTGATTGTGTGTCGGTGGTGATTGTGTGTCGGTGGTGATTGTGTAGTTGGTGCGGCGGTGTACGAGATGGGTCCGACAGGTATCCACGGAGTTCTGGGTGACGGAGGATGATCTCGAGGAGGGGTGCGGTAGATCAAAGAATCGGTACAAGGCAGTAGCTAAGAGGCAAGAATTCAATGGAGGGAGCGAGGACAAGCCGCACGGGCTCGATCTCGGGGGCAAGTCCAATGGGTTTATATAACAAAGGCCCGTTCACTAGCTGGCCCAAGCTGGGCGGAAAGCTGACTTGTGATGGCCCATCGGGAGTGCACCCCGCCTCCCAGAGCAGCTGCTGCACCATCGACAAGATCCAGTTACTCGCTTTCGCTGCTCTTCGCTCTCCTTCCGTGCCCTTCCTTCCTTCCTGCTTGCCCGCTCTCCCGCCTTTGATCCAGGGATGGAACCCAGTGGAGAGCAACCGCTGCTCAACCCCACCACTGCCTGCCTGCGCACCCTTTGCAACACCCCGCGCGCGATGCTCACTGCCTGCCAGGGGTCCCTGACGGTGCAGAGGCCAATCGGACAGATCGAAAATGCGGGTGTCAGCTCTTGTGGCCAGGTCATTCGGCAATGGCTAGGAGCGGCACAGAGACGATAGGCAAGTGAGATGTATTTAGTCTGTGCTTGCCTGGGTAGCTATCGCAATCCCCCACTCGTATGCACTTCGGCTCGGTTCGCGATTCGCGACGTCGACAACTGCTAGAGCTATTCCCAAGCACCGGCAGCAAGCAAACAGCGGGTAAAGAGAGAGAGACAGAGAGAACCGATGTATTCACTATTGATGCCCAAGAGATGAGAAGAACGACTGCATCCGCCGCTCCGCCGCATTCTCTCAACAAGATGGGTCAGATGGCTGCGATTGGTGGTGTCCCCAACCCGGTTGCCGCCTACAGCCCTTCTCGGCCTCCGCCGGCATGGCAGCACGTCACATCCATCGGCATGCAAACCACCATCGACCTACCTCTAAGTGTTAGACCGAGACACACAGGTGCACACCGGCCCGCGACGAACTACCTCTAAGTGTTAGATCCGAAACACAAATCCGGTCCAAACGGATTGGAATCCCCCGACATCCCCGTCGCAACCGCTGCTTCCGCTATCATGTGCTCCACTGGCCACAAGAGCTGACGCACGACGGAGGATCGATGCGCCTGGCCTCCAGTGGAGGATAATTCTTCATGAGGCGTTCACCTTCGTTCGCTAATTCCGTCGCCGTTACGGTATTTCCTTCGCGAGGCGTTCTGCTCGGTCGCTCTTCCGGGCAAATGACTCGCCGTGAGGCAGGACTGCCGCTATTAATTGGGATCACCTTACCTCTGCATTTCCTGTTTTCTCCGTGTTAAAATTCGGTACACAGCATTTCCAGCCGAGCTCCGAGTGATTTTGCGTGAATGCTTGCATGCTACTCAGCGGAAGAAGCCGATGCCATGCAGGGGACTGTCTTTGTCCGCACAGGACATTGTGAGCTCATGTCTGAGCTCTAGAGGCCAATAAACAGTGAAAACTTTTCCCGCCTAGTCGGGTCCACCACGCTTAACGTTAAGACAATAAGAATCGTATCTCGCTCGAATGGATTTCTAACTTTCTGGATGCTTGGGTTAACGTTTGACTTCACTGCGTAAGTAAAGACGAGTCGATCGACAGCCAAGCTCCTGGCTGAGCTAGGTGCTTCTATGTAGGGGAGCGTCGAGCGAACGGCGACGTAAGTTACTCAACTTTTTGCAGAATTACGCGGCATCGTGGGGGCTTCGATCGAACAGCTATGGAAGTTACTCAACTTGATTCGCAATTACACGGCATCGTGAGGACGTCAATCACGTCGATTTGTTTCACTCGGTTTAGAACCGGTGCACGTGCTCATCACTGGTGGAGTTTACGAGGAAACATGGAGTCGCGGCAAAGTTTTAGTGGCCATAGATTTATAGTAGACTTCGAAACTGTATCGGGCCCGAGCTGTGATCTTGCCATTCGTACTGTGTTTGTTGAGTTTTAGATTCAGATTGACTCTTGCAAGCGCTCATACATAATCACTCGTGTGGCACGTGAGGCTTGGCGTTGATGCAGGGAATGCAACACGGCCGATCGAAAAAATTACACTTTGCCGCCGACACCCCCCCTACGACGCTCAACCCACCAACCAAATTCAACTTGACACCACTATTCAACTGCGCATCCCCCCCACCTTCCACTCCCCACATTCCACCGAGTTCACCACCGACGAGCAGCTCCAATACTCCAATCGAACAGCTAGAGCAAGGCGCGACGGAGACCGCTCGCTACCTTACTGCTACTGACGTACACGAGACACGCTCGATGGTTTCCCTCGCCCCACTCAAAATCCCCTTCCCGAACACCATGCCTCCAGCTGCCGGCACAAAACATGAGCGCGAAGACAAGGCCTCGCCTATCATCGCCTCAATTTCGAAGAAACGTGTGCGGTTCGCGAACACCGCTGTTGCACAGCAAGACTTCGAACGGCTACGGCAGGAGAGCGAGGACGAGAAGATCAGTGACAGCGATGCTAGCACCACGACGTCTACTACGACCACCACGACTACGACTACTACTGCTACCAACGCGAAAAAGCCTCGGATAAAGGGCGCGTCGGCATCGAACATGTTCAAGAAGTTTGTTGCCAACGCACTGGATGAACGCGCTGCTGTATGTTCCCCCACGCCCTTGCTTCTTGCCGGAAGAAGATGGGACTCGGGGCTGACATCGCATCGTGGTCTCTAGGGAAAACCAGCACGCTACGAAGAAATCCGGCACAAGTTCCAGGCGGACCCTGCGGATGTGGACGGAGACACAAAGCCGCCGTCCTCGCAGGAGCTGCAGATGACGCTGAAGGCGCTGTCCAACGTGGTTTCGAGACTCGACAACAGCTGTGCTACTCTCGTTAAGGACATCGTTGCGACCAGCTGGGTGGGTAGGGATGGCCTCTTTGTGTCAGCGTTTGTGCGCTTGTTGGGGAATCTAGTCAGTGCCCACGCGAATTACATGGGTCTTGTGACAAAGATGTTGGTCCGCAACCTGAGCTTCCTACCGACCTCGACCGGAAACCTCCCCGGCTACGTCTTTGTCGACCGGAACACCATCTATGACCGCGTCCACTACGCCCTCCAATATATTATCGCTCTTGTCCCGACCGCTGCTAGTTCTACCCTGTTTCCGCTCTTAGTCGCGGAATTCCCCCACAAGAGTGAGAGGAAACTGGAGCACACGTGCTACTTGGCGAATATGCTGAGAGTCGTGGAATACGTTCCGGCTTTGAGGCATAAAGTCCTCTCGGTTATCACGGACCGCGTCATTAAGATAGACATTGAGATCCAGGTGGACCTCGAAGAGCTGGAGGATGATGAAGGAGAGGAGCTGGAAGCCGAGCTCAAGGGTGCGCTGAAGGAGAAGGAGAAGAAGGATGTTGGTGCTAATGATGATGAAGAAGAGGAGGAGGAGGAAGTAGAGGATGATGGAAATAAAACCGACGAGGATAGTGACGAAGAAGAGGATAAAGACACGGTCAAGGCCATCAGGGAGACTGTGGATAAACTTGATTGCATGCTCGATCTACTGTTCAAGTACTACTCGCAATTCCTCCCAGACGGCACCGAGAAGGATCCCAACAGCTGTTCATCTACGGCAGTTAATACCTTCGAGATGATTCACAACACCTTCAACACCACAATCCTGCCGACCTACCGCTCGCGCTACACGCAGTTCCTACTCTTCTGGGCTGCGCAGAAAGCACCACGTTTCTCGGACCATTTCTGTGTTTCGATGGTGGAGAAAGCGCTCGACAACATCAGCCCGGTCGGCACACGGCAAGCCGCGACGGCGTACATCGCCTCGTACGTAGCGCGCGCCAAGCTCATGCCGGCGAAGGACGTCCGTGCCGTCGTCCGGATCCTGTGTCGATGGCTCAGCGAATTTGTCGACGTGCGGTCGGTCGACTGCAACGGCCCCGATGTCCGGAAGTTCCGTCCGTTCTACTGCGTCGTCCAGGCGATCATGTACATCTTCTGCTTCCGGTGGCGAGAGCTCCGTGAGGAGGTCGAGGACGAGTGGGGCGTCGTCGAGACTTCGTGGACTGCCGGACTGGACGTCATGCAGAAGGTCATCACCAGCCGGTTCAATCCTCTCAAGGTATGCTTCCCCTTGCGGATCCCTTTTCGCATGTGACGCCTCGTGCTAATAGGGGGAATAGGTGTGCTCGCCCGCCGTCGTCGACATGTTCGCTAAGATCGCCAACCACCTGCAGTTCGTCTTCTGCTACACCATCATCGAGCAGAACAAGCGGAAGGGGCGAGGACGCGAGGACGACATGCTCGACTCGTACTTCCCGTTCGATCCGTTCCTGCTCAAGAAGAGCAAGCGCTGGATCGACGAGTGCTACGTCGAGTGGAAGCCCGTGCCTGGCCTCGAAGACGAGGAGGAGGAGGACAGCGATAGCAACGCCGACGAGGACGAGGATGAGACGGAAGCTGACGAGCTCGATTCCGGGGATGAGGGGAGTGAGACCAGTTAGGCGGCGGTGGTGGTCGACGATGGATGGACGCACGGACGGATGGATGGCGGAAGGCATTTACAGTTGCGGCATTTTCTTTTTTTTTTCCTTTCCTTTTCACTGTTTCCCGGGGTTCTATAAAAGTCTGGAATGTGGTTTTTTGCTTTGCTCTGGTTTTCTTTACTTTGCTTTGCGTACCGTTGCGCTGCGTTTGCGGGGGGTAAAGGCGTTTGTATCTTTATCGTGTTCCACTTGCTAGCTTTCCTTTCCTTTCCCTTCCTTTATTGTCTTCTCTTCTTCGTTCGGTTCGGTATAGCTTTGTGGGGGGTTTCTTTCGTTTTGTTTCGGAGTTGGGTTTTCGAATTTGATGATGTATCGTGCGTAGGTATGTGCCTACATAATGTACTTATTGTTAAGTAATGTACTTACTTGCCGTGCTGCTACAGAGGTATAAGCTCCTGTGGATAATTGTGATTACTTGTCCGGTGTCAGTCTACTCTACTCTGGTGGGTATCCGTTGTGGGTTCTTCGGAGTGGATTGCTGGAAATGGAACGCGATGGTGTATAGAAAATTCATTCATAGACTATGACTCGGAATATAAAGCGTTTGTTAGGTACTCAAGTTGCCAATGGTTGAGCAGTTTATTGTTCTGGAGGGGATGCAAATACCCAAGCGACAATTGTAGCCTGTAGGGCCCTGATACGATATATGAGAGGAAAACGAGGCGCAAACAAGAATTACATACTTCCTACCTACGCAGGCCGTCACATCCGTCTACCTATACGAGCAACGACACCCTCAAATCCGCCTAGGTAGCACTGCTCTGCTCGCAAGATGCTTCAAGTCTTGAAAATGTGCTGCCCTGCCCTGCTTCAAATGAATGGACGCCGTACAACGGGTGGATACTATACCGGTAGGCATAGGACACATAGTATGGCCGAGATTGCTTCCCTTCCCACGAACGAGGGGATGGTGTGGATTGAGAGGGCAGTTCCCGGGTGCCCGGATGCGCGACATTACCTACCTACTCTGTCTCTGGGCAGTTGGCCATGTGCTAGGTATGAGGAGGGGGGGCGGGGGAACGGGGGAACGGATACCGGTATTCCCGACTTGGTCCTGTCAGCTGCCAGCCTGCTAGCGGCGCTGGTGCGATCAGATGACAGATGATCCGCTGGAGTGGTAGAGTGGTAGAGTGGCCGTCTTCTACTGTACTATAATGGTGGCTCTTATCTGGATTCTGACATAGCTGTGGATATAGCTCACCCGGATCTGCTTTTGCGATTGCGGCGGCGTGTGATCTTTCATATTCAACGGTGGTGTCGGCGCTGTGGGAAATCGTGTGCAAGTTCGAAATGGCTGCTTCGCGGCGGATTGTTGATATAGCCTACTTACAGCCCCCAGTACTACCTGGAACTCAAGTCGTATCCTTCCATTCCGACAGAGTGCTGGTTCACAAGCGATCACCCGATCACCCAGTCCAGCAGCGGTTATCGAACAAGCCCCATCTGCGGGGGTTCACTCCGGTGGATTTGCGATCCGTCACTCAGGCGTCGAAGCCGAAGGTCGATGGGCGATCGGCGGGGGGTAGGGCAGATAAAAAGTGAACCTCGGCGAACACCATGTACGCCTACGGGCTTGGGTGCTCTTTCCGAAACAACGGATCCGATGGCCCGTGCACGTACATAACTGTAAATTAATATCGAAGTTACCGGACGGACGGATGGGATGGGATGGGATGGGTGCTAATGATCTGCCAATCGCTCGGAATGACGGTGCACGTGGAAGACTTGGTATACACCGGTTCGTAGACGGCGGGGTAGATATTGCTTGTTGTTGGCACGAATGCATCCGGGCCGCGACGTTTTACCTTCCGGTGCCGTATTGGAAGTTCATAGCCGGAAGACGGGACGGGGAAATCGGAGCGAACATGCTAGAGTTGCGCTTGTAACTAGTGGCTTTACTGGCCGGCGTTGAGACTCGAAGCTCGAAGCTCCAGCTGTGATATGTAGTCGGGCTTCCATACTGTCCGTACAATATACTTAGGATCATCGAAATACGTTTCCCGACATCTGCAATGGTCACACCGACGTGCATACTCTATGCATGCATGCACCCCACACGCCCGTGCACCATCCAGAAAGCTTGTCTATGTACCACATATATCAACTAGCTGGTAATCAATCTGCACCCAGTCCCGAGTCCCGAGTCCCGACTCCCGGCCCTGCGGATTACGATTCACTAGGGGCTGATTTCTCAGCCTCCTCGGCCTGCAGGGTTGCGCCAGAGTACTTACTTAGATATAGTATATGCCGAGGAAGCTGGGAGCCTTGGTGCGTCCTCATCTATCTGGCGCGAGGGTTGATGGTGTCGTGTTTTATGAACCTCCCTCCGGACTGGCTGCTGATAGTCACGAGAAAATCGATTCGCCATGGTTTGGATATCCGGTGGCCCGCAGTTCGGCAGCGCAACAGGTAAACGATGCGGCTTGCATGTTTGCACCATATGCAGACACGTGCATCTCGGCTTCAGAGTTACAGGGCTTTGCTGATGATGCTGGGAATGAAGAAGGCGATCGTATTTCGGCCATGGTACGAGTCTTTAACCTCCAGTCCCGACGATGACGATGTCTGAGTTTGACATGCGTTGTATACACCTACCTAGCACGAACATAACATAACGGCCCACGATATGGGCCTACAAAAGGAGCATTGACGTCCTCTCTACTCTGCTCATCCAGCAGTACATACACACACGTTCATTTCTCGTCAATTGGCCGGCTCCTCGACGCTACATCCTCACGATGCGCGTGATTTCACTCCTTTTCCTATCTCTGTCCTTAGCCACCACCGGCCTGGCCGCATGCGGTGGTGCCAGTACCGGTACTGCGGTGTCGACTGCGCCGATGTCGATGTCAATGTCTACCGGTGACGGCCACGACCATGAACATACACCGGTTGCTACCTTGGCTTCGTCGATGCCTACGGGCGATGGCCACGAGCACGAACATACGCCTGTTGCCTCCTCTGCTGCTGCGCCTACAAGCTCCGCGGCTGACCACGACCACGGTGCTATGCCCTCGGCCGGCGTATTCCCGCCCGGCTTCGTCACCGAGCCCAGGATTGGGACTACGGCGAAGACTGCGGGCGGGAAGGTTACCAAGCAGCGGCTTGGACCGTGGACATTGGCGGTATGTATGAATGACGAGGAGTGTGTGTGTGTGTGTGTGTGTGTGTGTGTGTGTGTGTGTGTGTGTGTGTGTGTGTGTGTGTGGCGTACGGTTGGTTGACAGTTGTGCTGTCTAGGCTGGTGCTGAGCTCCCAAACCGCTACGTTTCGGTTCCGCAGCCGTGCTCGAACTGCTACCTTGTGGCTATGGAAGCTGGGCTCGAGTACGAAGACGGGACTGAGGCGAATATTGGTACGTGCTATGCAGCCTGGTGCACCAAATACACCACTGACAGCGCTCCCAGACACCGGCGCCTGGCTGCACCACATGGTGATGTACTCGCGGTCGACAGGAAAGGCGGACGTCGTCTGTGGCGGCAGCTTGGGCCTGATGCCACGACGAATCTTTGCCTCTGGCAACGAGCGCACCGTCAAGCGTCTGAACAGCAAGTCGAAGAACGGCGTCTTCATCGGCGCGGCAGATCGCATGTCCCTGATCGTCGAACTCATGAACGAGGCTGCCGAGTCGAAGACGCTGTACCTCACCATGACCTACGAATACGTGACCGATCTGGGATACAAGGATTCGCCGTTGATCTGGTGAGCAGTGCAGCGCCGCCCACCCCTCCTCCCCATCGGTAGCTACACACTAACCGTCCCTCCAGGCTCGACGCAACCGGCTGCGGCACTAGTGACGTAGCGGCAAAAGAAGGGTATTACGAGCTGCGCTCTCCCGCGTGGAAGTCTACCGTTTCCGGCACGCTGCTGCTAGCAGACGGACACGTTCACGACGGCGGCGTGCGCGTAACCTTCTACAAGAACGGGCAGCAGATCTGCAATTCTGAGCAGCTGTACGGGATGACGTCTGCGTACCAGGAGGCTGAGGGCAGCGGACACGCCGGCCATGGCGCCGCCGCCGGAGGCGCAACGATGCAGCATATCTCGAACTCGGGGCTGTGCGCGGATTTTGGAACGGTTGCCGTGGGTGATGAGCTTGTTGCTGTTTCTGCGTATAATACTACCAGGTATCCCCTGCAGATTCATAATGGAGAGGCGCATCCGGTTATGGTAGGTTCTTGAATTCCTGGGTAGAGGTGGGCGGAAGTAGGTGGATGTACAGAAAACTGACGGGTACCCGATAGGGTATTGGCAATATCTATGTCGGTTGAGCACCACGAGGCCGGATGAAGCCGGAGTACTGTATTCAGTTAAGGGGATTGGGTGGTGGCGGGAGTGGTGGAAGGTGGTTGTATGTACACTACATACAGTATATATGCGGAGTACTTATCGCACCGTGCTCCTCCCGTCGTGCTCTGTTCTTTATATTTCGCATGTCTAGTCGAGACCCTCGGAATGTGATGCATCCATCCACTGAGCGTAGCTGCGTAGTTTCTGCCAAATATCGAAACCACAAACAATCGAGATCCACGCGAGTGAACGACCATGAAGATCGCTCAACGTAGCTTTGTGACGATTCATCTGTGTGTTAAATAGAGTGCCGTAGTGGTTGAAGTCAAGTGAAGGTCTCTCTCCACCGTAATGGGCAGTTAGGTAGGTAGTATGCACTGAACATGTCAGCCACAGCACACCTCTCAGTGACCTCTGACTTGACCATCTTCCTTCATCCCTCGCAAATAGCCAGGGCGACAACGAAAGACGTAGACCGTAGACGTAGTTTTTGTTCGCATCAACTGGAGGCAGTGCAATACCAGTGGCACAGTGGGAGTCGACATGCGCAAGCACAGCGGCCAGCTCCCGGACTTCAAAAATAAGATTAATATTAGAACCGATATATAATCGGATTTCAGATATTAAACTGAAAAGAACAGATACTACACTTGATCTAAGCCAAAAGGCTGTAGAAGGGGGACTGTTAGCAAGATATTCGATGCTGAATGTTGGGGGATGGGGGAGACGTACCAAAGAGAGCTAAAGAGAAAAGAAGAGGAGAGGGGGAAACGGGGCGTTATATAGTTGTTGGAGGGGCACTAGCCTCGTCGGTGTGTGGCTGCTGCTTCATAGGTCTTAGGGCTAAGGGCTGTGCTTTGGTTTCGCCGTTCGGTATTTGGCTGTTCGCGATCGTAATGTGATCTTCTGGCTGTCTTTCGGTCCCGCCGATCTCGCCTCGTGCACTGTCAAAGGGGTCCTTTGGTTTTTCTGTTTCTGTTTCAACATGATGCGTTCGACCTATGCGCTATACATACCTTACTTCCTCTGTAGATCACTGCATACAGTACGCATTTTGTTCACTCTGGACCTGAGTTCGGCATAGTACAACTAGCTGCCCTAGGTACCCTACCGTAGTGGCTGAAGTCATTCAGACCACTATTTGATGTAGTAATGTCGAGATAGTGTGAACTCGGCGGGAATTATGAATGTAAATAGCACGGTATTGTTTGGTCTGTATATAACCGAAGCAGAAACTGATATGTATTCGCCACTCTGGCGCCGCCACCATTCGGCAAGTTTATTCCAACCTCTTAGCGCCTGTCCTTATCAACCAGTAGATACGGTACCTATCATACCACCACCACAACTTTCGTGATGACAATGTACGACTGACTCACTGGAAAGCGTGAAGGAAGGGTAGTGATGTCAATCAACTAACTACTGGACAATCGTGTAGAATTCGAAGAAACAGATGAAATTCACTCGTGAGGCTGCACCCCTGCCTGAACCAAGACCTCCGCCTGTCCGTATACTTCCTAGCCCACCGCTTTCTCCGTGCAACAATAATAGAGAGTTTGCGCTTTGCGTCTAGACGCAAATTTAGCCTGGGTTTCACTTAATCGTTGTGAGTTCGTCTAGAGAGTTTGCGCAGTTGCTCAAAAGATCGACAGATCAACGGTGTGCCAACTAAGGCAGCAACACGTCTCGTTGGGGTTCTTCAATTCGATTTTCTGCGTATACTTCTTATAGTAAATCCAGCCGTATCGCGAGTTCATTGATTTCACGTCTTTTTGGCTTTCCAATTTTCATCTGGAAGCGTGCCTATCCAACCTTATCCTTTCGGTCTTTGGGTGGCATCCGACTCTTTTTTTCTGGGTTCCAAGCAATATCCTATGCACAATTTGAGCATGACGGCATTCTAATTCTCGTTGACGGTGAATATGGGACGCGACGACGGTTCATGGTGGTTATTGGTGGTTATTGGTGGAAGGCTGGATTTGCGTCTGGACAAAACGCAAATTTCCGGGTCCAGAGCGCCAAGAAAACTGGGTCACAGCCTGGTTTTTGCGTCTAGATGCAAAGCGCAAACTCTCTATTATTCAAATATTCTGGCAATGCCCTTTCATCGAATGTCGGTGGGTGTCGGTCCTCTCCCTTGTCTCCCTCGACTCTCTACTTTAGAGCAGACACCCGGGTTCTGCCAAGGGAACGACTCACGGGATGACTCCGGGTGTACCTTGCGGCTTGCGGCCTGCATCGGCTGGCGGCGGATGTCATGACGTACGACAACAGCTCCCCAATGGCTCCCGAACACAGCATTTACATTCATACCGTATCTTGATAAATATCTTCCACTTACCCTCACCGCTCTGCAAAGCCGGGATATCTTGCCAACGCCGCAATGACCGACTTCTTGATTCCAGATCCACACACCTACCATCACGGCCTCAGCTCGCACTTCGAGTCCGAATCGATCCCGCACTCCCTTCCCACCGCGCGGAACAGCCCGCAGAAGCCACCCTACGGCCTTTACGCCGAAAAGCTCTCTGGCAGTGCCTTCACCGCGCCTCGCCATCTCAACAAGCAAACCTGGCTGTACCGAATCCTTCCATCGGCCTCGCACATCCCCTTCACCATCTGCGAGTCCCCCAACGCCCTCGAAGCAGAATGCCGGCAAATCCCCAATCAGCTCCGCTGGGACCCTTTCGACGTCGATGATTCCGCCACGTTTATCAGCGGCCTGCGACTCCTCGGGTCCGCAGGCGACATCCCAACAAAGAACGGCTTGGGCATCTACGTCTACACCTGCGGCCGCAGCATGCCCGACACCGAGGCGTTCTACAGCGCCGACGGGGACATGTTGATAGTCCCGCAGGCGGGAACTCTAGACGTGCGCACGGAGCTCGGGCGACTGTTGGTACGGCCGATGGAGATTCTCGTCGTGCCGCGGGGAATCCGGTACAATGTTGCGCTGCACGAGCCGCGCGAGAGCGAGGGGGCGAGGGGGTACATCCTCGAGACATGGACGACGGGACACTTTGAGCTCCCCGAGCTGGGGCCGATCGGTAGCAATGGCCTGGCCAATGCGAGGGACTTCCAGATCCCGACTGCAGCGTACATCGACTCCACCGCGACGCACACCATCATGGCGAAGTTCAACGGGAAGCTGTTCCGTGCTTCGCAGAACCACAGTCCGTTCGATGTGGTGGCGTGGCATGGAAACTACTACCCGTTCAAGTACGACCTGGGAAGGTTCAACACCATCGGCAGTATTTCCTACGACCATCCGGACCCGAGCATCTTCACCGTGTTGACGGTGCAGTCGGCGGTTCCCGGGACCGCGGTAGCGGATTTTGTCATTTTCCCGCCGAGGTGGTTGGTCGGCGAGGATACGTTCCGCCCGCCATGGTTCCATAGGAATTGTATGAGCGAGTTTATGGGGTTGATCGACGGCGACTACGATGCTAAAACATCCGGTGGATTCGTACCAGGTGGGGCGAGTTTGCATAACGTGATGGCCGGACATGGGCCAGATGCTGGCACGGCGGAGAGGGCGAGTGAGTGCGAACTGAAGCCGCAAAAGGTCGGCGCCGGGAGTATGGCGTTCATGTTCGAGAGCTCGTTTATGATTGGCGTCAGCGAGTGGGCGTTGGCAGGGTGTAGGAAGGTCCAGGAGGAGTATAACGTAGAGAGTTGGACGGGGGTGAAGAGGAGGTTCAAGGCTCCTGGGGCAGGGACATAGTATCACGTGCACTATAAATAGATGTTGCTGAACAATGTATCGTCAAACTATGCACCTAGCAGCGCATCACAGCAATACGATGGTGAAGCCGAGAGTGTTCTCGAGTCTCCGGCAACAGCACTATCTAGTATTCGATCTTGAAGGAATGAGATGATCACGAAGTTTAAGATGTATGTTGTCGTCGTTGGGATCAGTGGGATCACTGGCTCGGTGTGGCATCCCATCTCCCATGATTCCGCCTAGGCCTGGGTACACCTTTCACCTTTTTTTTTTCATTCATTGATTGCATGCGACCTATCTAGATCATGCCAATATCGTCTACCCGTGCATCCCCCCGTTTCCACGCCACTGGCCAACCCAACTTTCATCAGGCGGCCCGATGTGGCTTCCCCTGCCCTCCGCTCTGACCATTCCCGACAATATGTGAGCGCACCAAACAGAGGCAGAGCTAGGAAAACGATCGTTCCCCCGCCACGTCCGCCCCCACCGCTCGCTCCGCCCCCTCACCCGTACACCTTTCACCATTTCCCCAACCAATCCACGAACAGCTCTTTAACGAGTGATATATAATGTACCCCAGGTGTGGAGAGAGGAGAGGAGAGGGCGCTGGTTGCAGTGTGCCGAACTCGGGTCCGGAGTGAACGAGATGCGTACTGTATGACATGACCTACATACAAGGTAGGTCGGATGGATTATGTCGAAGCAGCTGTTAGTGAGCAAAGGACCCCTCCCGGCTCCGATGGTGCACAAGGCGTGATCGGCGGGATCGAAAGACAGACGTTACGATCGGGAGCAGCGGCGAAACAAAAGCCCAGACCTCAGCCCTGCGCCCTAGCAGCGGCGAAAGCTCGAACGGCGAAAGCTCGACGAGGCTAGTGCCTCTCCAACAACTATATAATGACCCGTTCCCCCCCGCTCCTCTTCTTTTCTCTTTAGCTCTCTTTGGTACGTCTTCCTCGCCCCCAACATTCAGCATCACCGAATATCCTACTAACAATTTTCCTTCTACAGCCTTTTGGCTTAGATCAAGTGTAGTATCTGTTCTTTTCAGTTTAATATCTGGAAGCCGATTACATATCGGTTCTTATATTAATCTTATTTTTGAAGTTAGGGAGCTGGCCGCTGTGCTTGTGCATGTCGGCTCCCACTGTGTCACTGGTATTACACTGCCTCCAGTTGATGCGAACAAAATTCCGTCTTTCATTGTTGCTCTGGCTGTATGCGAGAGGACGAGGAAAGATGATCGTTTTCTGTTTGTGATTGGCGTTGTCAGCGAGTGGGCATTGGATGAGTGTAGGTTGGTCTAGGAGGTGTATAACGTAGAGAGTTGGATGGGGGTGAAGAGGAGGTTCTAGGCTCCTGGGGCGGGGTCGTAGTATCATACGTACAGTAAATAAATGTTGCTGAACATTATATGATAACATCAATGGAAGTGGAGAGTACTCTCCCGTCTCCGGCAGTAGCACCATCTAGATTCTAGTATTCGATCTTGAACAAATGAGATGATCACGGGTGTTCAGTATGTCGATATTTTGTCGTCGTTAGCAGGAGTGGAGGATGATGCCGCATCGAAGAGGAGGAGAACCAATTCAGCTAGCTAGACACATGTTACCGGTATTGGAGTGAATATCCTTGTTGAGGTTACACAGCCGCTCTTCTTTTTCCTCTCCTTCAGCAAAGTTCATAGTGCTAACCCAAAGGCGCACATTTTATCCTCTTCTCTATCCATGGCCCAGATCACTGGCTCGGTGTGGAGTCTCCGTCTCCGCTCAGCACTGCGATCAGTACAGAAAAATGGTGCAAAAAAATGACGTGTTGACAACCTCGCACACCACATCACTATCAGTCACTCGGGTGCGTGAACCAGTTCGTGGCCATCACTATCCGGGTTCCGGAATGCATTTTAGCTCATCGCCTATCGCTTTCCGGCAGTACTCTGAGATTCACTCTCACTAACTGATATCTACGGGAGAGCAAGACTGAGAGAGCTCGCTCGAGCTAGCTCAAAAACTCAAGTACTCCCCGCACCCGCCGCATGTTCCTCGGCCTCCTAATCGAAGATGAGACGATCCAGCAACGGCGTCGAGAACGTCGCCTTCAAGTCCTCCAACTTCCACCCCTGCTTGTCTCCGATCTCCGCGAGCGACCGCTTGAACTCGACGATCTCGTCTTTGTACGAGACCTCCTTCATATGGTCGACCCAGTCCTTTCCATCGACCTTCGTAGTCTCCCTGCGCACGCAGTGAGTGTTCAGCAAAGCAACGCGACTCCGCCAGTTACAGTAGACCATCGGTCAAAAGCCAAAAGAAGTGCACGCTGCAAACGTACCATTCCTTCGCCCAATGCGGGCGAACATTCAGCTTCTCACCGTCGGGGCCCTTATAGCCCGTCCACACATTTGCCACGGTCTGTTTGAAGCCGTCCCAGATCTTCTTCTTATCCTCGACGGCGGGCATATTGGTGATGACCTCGATCGACGCTGTGCCGAGGGTGTTCCCGCGCTGCGGCGCCATCACGACCGAAGAGTCCGCCATCACCCGCATCTCGAGCGCGATCCGCGCAGATACGTTCGTGGAGTCAACGTACATCGCGCAGATCCCGTCCCACCATGCCCGCTGCACAGCCGTCCAGTCGCGCTTGGTGTGCGTGGCGTCCCCCGCCACCGATGGAATCGGGATCTCGACTTCGAAGTCGCCCACTCGCATGTTTTGGATCTTTTGTGCGCGCAGGCGAACCCAACATGTCAGTATGTTGCTGCGGAGGAATGGAGGGGGAAATGGTGAAGCGCTGGCTTACTCCGCGCCGGAAGTGCAGGGCGTTGATTAGTTGCGTTTTGACATTCTTGCGCGGCAGCGTCGCCATGGCCATCGTTCCTTGAGAGCATCGATTAGCTTGCTATGTAAACTAATACCAGGAATGTCTTTCTTCCTGGGCTCAATCGGGCCTCTGGAGTCTTCTTACCCATGATGAAAGCCTGTTTTCTGGGCGAAAGCCAGCGGAACACACGGCTTTGGTTCATGACTTCGCCGGCCCAAGAGGATGACCACTGGATAAAGGTTTCGACAGAGCCGGGGTAGTCCACGCAGCCAGAAGAGTCGGAGGTGTTATTCCTGGAGAATATCAAGAGAAAAAAGTAAGTACAAGCTAATTGCCTAGATCTTATGGAGGCTACTCCTACCAGATGTTCAAAAAGGCTTCCTTTTGGTATGGAAACCAAAACCACTAAGGCAGCACGATAAGTAAGTTATTGCGCCGGTGGCTTCAAATGTTTTGCATACCTCGCAGTAATAGTTATCCTCGGCATCACGGATGAACTGCTCGCGGGCAGCGGATAGTTGTTCCGGCTTATACTTGGCAAGCCTTTTCTGAAGCTCTTCGCAGCCTTTTGGGGGGAACACGTATTTGTCCGGAGGGGGAATGGCCAGTATCAAATCCCGTCGCGCTGGCTTGATCATCGCATAGGTCAACTTGTCGACCTCTAGGGTGACATACGTTACGATGCCTACGGTGGTCTTGGTCAGCACTGTATGACTACTACCCAGTACGATGGCACGGCGGGGTGTAGTTACCCAGAAGCCCGAAACAGCCAGAAGCAACCTTCAAGAGCTCCGGGTCGGAGAGGACCTGTTTCTCGCCGTTCGCGTCGATGTACTCTATCTGGCGCACGAGGTCGCTCAACGTCTTGTTCTGGATACCCGCGCCGTGGCAGATGGGGGCGTTGGATCCTCCGAATGTGATTCTGCCGCGTCATAGTAAGTACTAAGTAATAACAAAAAACATGAAGAGCTTTTCAAAGGGAACGGAATCACTAACTCGACCATGATGACATTGAGTGCAAGAGTCCACTCGCCCCACTGCACCACCCAACGCCTAAAGTCCTCATTAGTGACGGCGGCGCCGAGTCTTACCAGAGCCTTATTAGGGTCCGTCGGGTTGACCGCCAGCTCGATTGTCTTGAATTCGTTGTCGCCATAATTCGGGGTTGCCTGGATTGACTCGGGATTGGGGAGCGTGTTGACGAGGCCCAGATTCAGCATCGAGATGAGGACCTGGTCGTTCTCGGAATACATGTTTGACCACGTGTGGCGATAGCCCGCCGCGCGCACCCTCTTCCCTTGAGCTTTGGCGGCGCGGACGATGGACTGCACCTCGGACACCTTTTTGGGCACGTAGGTGTCTTTCGGCGTGTTGGAAACCGTTTTTTCCCCAATTGGCAAATGCGACGTCCTCAGCAGCCTGAAGGAGATATCAGAATCACTATCCAGGAGGGGGTGGGTAGGTTTAAACGTGACGAACACTGATAGCAACGGCATCCCCACGAAGCTTCTTCGACACTGTCATCATGCTGGCGTGTTCGAGGTGTTCGAAATGGCTGCGAGAAACCCCACTAACGGGAATTTCGAAAGTTTCCGTCGTTTTGGAACCCACGAGCTCCGACAGCGGTGTTCCGTACACAAATTGGTCCAACTGGTCCCGCAAGGGGTCGCTGAGCTCCTCCCGGGCCTTCTGGTATTCCGGCTGGTCTTGCAGCGATCGCAAAACATCGCGCATGAACTCCTCGGGGGTTTTTGGCTCAGGGATATAATAGGATGGCGGCGCTATATGGTCGTACCCATCGTGGGGACCAGGAGGCGGCGGTGCGGACCACTTGGGAGGGGGAGGAGTCACACTAATCGGGGCGTGTGCGAGGGCGAATCCGAGTCCTGGGAACTCCTTTTCGATGTCGTCGTCGTTGCGGATGTCATCTAAAATGCTTTTGTTGAGGCCGGACATGGTGGGGGTGGTGGTGCGGGCGGATCGATCTGTAGACTTGTGGAGAGATCAAAAAGTTGGACTTGCGAGATGGAGATGAGAGCTGCTATGGACGGGTGCTTTTGGGGATGGTTTTATATACGGCAAGCTGCGGAGTTCATGAGCGGTGTTCGCTCCTCCCTCTCATCGATCTTCAACCACCGTACCAAGTAATCCCCAGTCGCCAACATGCACTGGAGAAAGTAACTACCGTAGTTAGTTGCAATGCCGGATTGCCGCAGCTCAGCTCGACAGGCTGAGCTCGTAGCAGCTATGTATGTTTCAGCGGTGCAGGTTCCAGCGGTTTAGGTTCTAGCTGCATGCATTGCTGTTTATGTACGGTCCACAGCTGAAGCCTACAGATAAAAGCTGTTTATTTACAGTCCACAGCTGAATCCTACAGACGATAGCTTACGTGCCTCACCGCTAGCAATCTCCATGTGATCCTACGCTGTGTTTTTTTAAGCGAAGGGGATACATAATGCCGCGATGAACGGACCATGAAACGTGGTTGGTCAATGGCTGTCTATCTAACCGGGTCTGCATACCCGCTAACGGGATATGCCCTGCATTGCATCAACTCCGCACTTAAGCGATCCTCACACCCGTCGATTACATCGCCGCAGGTCATCTGGCCCGCTCCCTTTCAGCTCCAGATTCATGTCTCAGTATATATCCGCGCACGCTTCCTCGGTTAGATCAACTTGGATGAGTGCTTTTTTTCCCCCGCGGTGGATCACTATGGATGGCTCATCACAACTATCTCGTTTCCATGAGCTAGGTTTCTTGCCGCGTACCTTCTAGATAGGCTGCATGCGAAATAAAACAGGAAGATCTCTCTCTTGCTGCGTACCGTGCAATACGACTCTTTCAGCTGAGAATCAGCTCCTCGCCCCCGTTCACCTACTACTCTGGGTAGTTCGGTGACAAACGGAGGATGAAGAAGATGCCGCCAACCCACTGCAAGAGCACGAAGAGCAGGGCGGAAACGAGGGGGATGTGGTTCTTTTTTGTTTAATCATTAATTGCATGCGACCTTTCGAGATCATGGTAATATCAACCCGTACACACCCCCCGTTTCCACGCCACTGTCCAACCCAACTGTCACCGAGCGACCCGGCCCGATGTAGCTTTCCCTGCCCTCCACCCCGGCCTGTCCCAGAAATGTAGATACCTACACGGTAAAGACTGAAATGGGCCTGCATGTCCGCCACTTTCCACCTCTCCTCTCTTCCCTACAGGCTGACTCACCCGCTCTTCCCACCTGCCCTCTCTCCCTTCGTTTGAAGGTTTTCTGAATCCTTTCTGTGGGGTTTGCGTGCCTTAAACCTTTTACGGCCTGAAGTCCCTATTCCCGCCAATCAAGACGGTTACCCAGAGTTCAGACACCGCCCCTACCGCGAGCTTTATCAGCCCGCGACGGGACGCTTCCCTCTCTTCCAAACCCCGCCCCTCTCTTCTCCGCTTTCCCTTTCCTCTTCCTTCCTCTCAACCTTCTTCCATCCCTCATCCCTCATCCGTCTCAGTGTCACGAGGTGTGGGTGGTTCAGCCCGTAGTTAGGCTACGGAGTCGGTCTCCAATTCCCTATGCTCAGATTGCTCAGATTGCTCAAAGAGGGGGATGTCGTGCGGTTACCGGTAACATACGGATGAAGATCAAACACTTGTGACTGACACACAGCGAACCGCAGGCCTTCCCTCTCGGCCCTCGGGTGTCTCCGAAATATGTTTCCACCGGCGATGCTATCGGTTGGGCAGCCTCATCGGCGGATAAGACGTATCAACGCCGCTCGCTCCATCATCGACAGTTCGATCAGTTGCAAATACCTCAGCTGCAGTGCCTGCACAGATTGGACTTAAGACAGAAGCAATCCTCTTCCAGAAGCATGATGCTTTGATCACTGATGATGTGCGAAAGTCATGCCGATAGTTATAAGTTATCATTCACGCGTTCCCCTGCAGTGTGCCCTTTTGATGGTAAAAGGCCAATCTTGAGGAAGCGGCAGGGATGAGTTACAGCTAGCAAGATAGATCATAGCATCGCAATTATGTACAGACGGGAAAACGGGAATCGGAGGGGTTTAACACTCACTAATACCATGTTCTCCGATCTCCCGACCTAGTCGGCATTGTTTCACTCCTGAGTCCTGACACCTACATACGCAGCGAGAAGCCTCTTTCCTCGAGCGGCATGACTCATGAGGCAAGGCTGAGTATAAGAATGGTTGATTCGGTTGAGGCCTTTCTGTCCGCTCAGCCGTGTGTTCATCGTTCTATGACCGTACCTGCTTGTCCCGAACCCGAAGTGCCACATAAATGTTTACCAAATGAGTGAGAACTTGTGATTTGGGTTCTGAAGCTCTATGTAGGTTGGCCCATCGCTGTCCCCTCGTGCACCAGACTTTTCGCAGGTCGCTACCTATCTCTCGTTCACTCACAGCTTAGTGCACGAGCTACATAGGTACATACCCGAGCTTCGGACGACGAAGGGTCCATTGAACATTCATGGCAAAAAGTCTGCTTCACGAGCGCTCACTCGGGAAACGTCCGAAGTCCGTACATATCGCCATCAAATTAGCTCGCGTTGAGAAGGGTATGAAAATTGACAGTAAAGACCGGTATGGACCTGCATGCCCGCTCCTCCTGCTTCCCCCTCGCCTCTCTCCCCCGTATTCCGCCTTTTCTGGGGTTCGCACGTCCGGTACGGCCTGGCATCCCCGTCCCCGCCAACGAAGACGGTCACGTAGAAGCCCTTGCCCCGAGCTCTCTCAGTCCAGGCCGGAGCGCACCCCACATCTTTTTGCCTAACTAAGTACACAAGTACTTCGGGATTTTCTGGTTCTAGGTACGTCGAGTGACAAGTTGTGACATTCGTCGGGGCGACACCCAAAAACCAACCCCCAAACTTGGGTGAACAATACACCAAACGCTCACTATTAGTGGCTTAGCGGCTAGCTTACGAGAGGAGATTCTCCAAGCCTATGTCGTTTTGCAAGAAAGAGTGATAGTTGTGGGATCATCTCGGCCACTTTTCGCGCTTGCTTGATCCTCTCAGGATTCTCCGAGGGCACTTATACGAGCCCAGGCGGTTTGAGTATCCCGGATTATCTCTACTGGCGGACGCCTGTTGTGTTTTACCCCTCAATTTTGAACGCCATCTCCTCTATATCGCTTCGCTAGCTATCTTCAATCGATCTAAAAGGATCTTCGATTTCTCTCTCAAACAAAGTACAGGAGCTAATGATACAATACTGCTCGCCATACGCAAGCCACGCTGCCTTCCTCACGCCACCTTCTCATCAAGAAATGACACAATGCAGCTCGCCATACACAAACCACGCTGCCTTCCTCACGCCACCTTCTTCAAGTTGAGAAATAATTCCTCGGCATCAGCTCGTTTCCTGAACAACAACCGGGCCTTGAGGTCCGGCAGACACGAGAATGAGAAATTCTCGCTCTGGGGTCGACCCTCTCCAGGAGATGTTCTAAACTCATAATTGCAGATCATGTACGCCAGCAGCACCTTCAGTTGCGCAGCTGCAAAAGCACGGCCGGGACTAGGGGTCTCGTCAGCTAGGATGCAATCATGGGGAAGGTGGTGCGGTTACCATGCGTGCTTTCCCCTCCCAAAAGACAGATAACCTTTCTCGGGACAAGTCAATTGATGCTTTGCTTCGTGGCCAGGCTCCTCGCCCTCCCTCATCCTTGAAAAGCGAAACGCGTCATATTCGTCCGGATTGGCATAGTGCTGAGTTGAGCGGTTGATTGCGCAAGCCGGTGCAACGACCCACTGACCTTTGGGAAGATACGTCCCGTCGGATAGTGTCATCGGCTTGAGAGCTTTACGCATCATAGTTGCTGAGTGGGAGAATCTGTCAGGTAGGGGACAGACGGGTCAAAGACAAGACTGACCTGTAGTAACTGGTTCGAGTCTCTGGGTCTCCTTGAGAGCGCTGTCTAATTTCTTCATTTTGATCAACGCTTCTTTAGTGAAACCTCCACATTCGACAAGCACACTCTCAATCTCATCTCGGATCGGATCTTGGAACTCTGGTCGCGCACCCAGATCGTACAGAGCTTGGATGATGCTAACGGTTGTCGTGTGGATTGCCGAAAAATCGACATACAAGATCCGTGCACAGAGTTCGTACACCGAAGTTCCAGGAGGAGAAGCCTCGAGAACCCATTGGATGCCGTCGTTCTGCAGAGAATGTTAGAATGGACTGCGAAAAGCCTGGCGCTCGAGAGGAACATGCACATACCGGTTTATCCTTCCACTCTTCCCCGGCCAATTCCTTGATCATCCTCTGACGCTCCTCAAACGCGGGTCCAAGCTTTGCGAGGAAGATACGAAGAGCCGAACTTCTCGCCACAAGGAAGTAGGCGAGAATAGCCTTGAGCATGCGCGGCGCGAGGTCAATTACGAGGCCTGCGCGTGATACGGCCTCTGATAGTTCCACCTGGCACTTGAGGTACTCTGGATCCCGGGACAGCAGCGGTCCGACTAAAACTCGGTTCGTCGTCGCGGAGATGCAGCTCAACATCGCGTGGTAGATATCGATACGTGCCCACTCGTCGCCGATGTCGAGATTCTCGCGAGAAAGGGCCCAACATATCTTCTCCACGATATCGGGCACGACCTTGGCCAGGTGCTGAGAGAGACCTTTCCGGACTATGTCGACATGGTATGGGTTGGTGTGAATGCTGCTACTAAGAGTGTATCCTATGGAGTTGCGTTCGTTTGCCGCCGCTTGCATCGATAGTACGCTTGGATCGGCATTCTTCAACTCGTCAAGGACGGAATCGCTTGTAGCCACCACAACCCACCGTCCTGGTGTGGATATCTTGAAAGATTTACCAGACGGTCCGTACTGTTACCATATCAGCTTAGACGATGATTCCTTGATGAATGCCAGAGTGGACGAGATACCTTGCGGACGCCACCATGAATCAATTCTCCGGAGCTTCTAACAAATTTGAGGGCTGCTATCCACGACCCTAAAGGAACTGAAGGTACTCCGAAAGACGGAGCCGTAGCCTAAGGATAAGATGAGCAACTATACTTTCCTGCTTCGGGAAGGGAGCATGAACAACTTTACATAGCTCAACACGATAGGAGTGATAGAACAGATATAGCATCAGCAAGACGGCGGGAACGGCGAAGGCATAGTTCCATGTCCCATCCATAGCTTCAGGGAAGTATTCTGGAATAGTACTATAGTGAAGCATTCGATTGTATTTGATAGAAGAAAATCGACAATGAAAGAAAAGAGGGTCCAGCTGTGCGAGTTTATGGCGAGATGAGGATGAACAATGATGAAAAGAAATGATGGGAAGCAATGACGATAATAAAGAAAAAAAATCAGTCAACTAAACAGAAAGAGCCTCCAACGTTTGGCCCATTGAACCTGGTCTAGCCAGGTCGGCGAAATTTGGCCGCTCGTGCATCTTCTATGCCCGCTCCCAGCTCGGACTGAACCCGCTCTCAATCTGCTCTCAACCCGCTCTCAACTTGAATTATAACACCCCTGTCTGTCTGCGGTCACATCCCTGACCGAGCTGGTCTCACTGAGTCCCAGACGATTCATAACTTCTTGGCGATTGGTCTCTCTCAGGTCCGCAGCTCCAGGTATGTAGAAACGACCGCTTCAAGGCGTCGTTTCCGCTGGGTCCCACAATAGCTAGTGAACATGAAACCAAGTAAGGTACTTTCACCATGGAGCTGGAGGGCAGGAGAGTACCGCTTCAGAGCCATCGATTCCGGGCCGCACCGCTTCCTCCAAGCCTTGCCCCTCCGGCCACAGGCACGCCAACCCCAACCCCAACCGCCACCTAGGGCCGACTAATAGACTGGGACGCGGTGTGAGCCAGAGCGGAGGAAAGGGTACAGGCCGAACGGCCGGAGATCCCGGTATGCGGGGGAAGAGATGAGGCGTTAGACTGGCTAGAGGAGTTGGTTGGGGGAAGGAGCTTTGATGTGGGTTTTTGAAAGATTGATGAGCATGTCGCGCGTGCTTTCCTTTTCCTTTTGTCATATTATTTTCTTCCTTCTTACTGTCTCTCTTTCTAGGTGCGGATGGACTGGGCGGAGAGCAATAGGGAACCTATATCGAGCTCGCGGCCAGCGGTCGGAGACAGTGGGGTTGAACCGCAGTGTAGACAGCCATGATCTGATAAGGTCGAATGCTATGATGATGAAATAAACCCCTTCCCCAACTAACCAATCCGCTCACGGTCCGTTGGCGAGTGATAAACGATGTACTCAAGACGTGCAGAGAGAAGAGGACATCTAGTTTCACTGTGTCGAACTCCAGGTCCGGAGTGAAGAAGATGCGTATTGTATGTCGTGATTTACATAGGAAGTATATAAGGTACGTACATAGGTCGAGTGCATTATGTTGAAGCAAAAATGGAAATCCCCAAAGGACCCCTCCGGCAATGCAGGAGGCGAGATCAGCAGAACCGAAAACCAGCCAGAAGATCACGCTACGATCGGGAGCAGCCAAACAGCTACCAGGACACGACAAAAGCACAGACCTTAGTTAGCCCTAAGCCCTAGCAGAGGCGAGAGTTCGCCGAGGCTAGTGCCCCACCGACAACTATATAATGTCCCGTTTCCCCCCCTTCTTCTTCTTTTCTCTTTAGCTCTCTTTGGTACGTCTTCCTCGCCCCCAACATTCAGCATTACCGAATATCCTACTAACAATTTTCCCTCTACAGCCTTTTGGCTTAGATCAAGTGTAGTATCTGTTCTTTTCAGTTTAATATCTGAAATCCGATTATATATCGATTCTAATATTAATCTTATTTTTGAAGTCCGGGAGCTGGCCGCTGTGCTTGCGCATGTCGACTCCCACTGTGTCACTGGTATTGCACTGTCTCCAGTTGATGCGAACAAACTGTGTCTGCGTCTTTCATTGTCGCTCTGGCTGTATGCGAGGGGATGAGGAAAGATGTTTGAGTCGGAGAGGGTGTGGCGCGGTGCTGTGGCTGTCGTGTCCATTACCCACCGTCCCGTTGCAGTAGACAGAGACCTTCACATCGGCCAAACGCCGTCGAGATTGCCGGGCAGGGGGCTCCGTGCAGAGAGGTTTGCATTGAATCGGCTTGTGTGTGCTGAAGTTGAGCCATGGTGGTCCGGCTGTTCTCTCTTGAATATGTTGGTATTGCGGGCACAGTCCTCACCCATCACTCGTGCTTCCGTCTGGAAAAACGTCTGGAATCATAATTCTCACTACCATAGCTAGCTGACTACACCGACGGACACAGACTCCCACAGTACCTACCGCAACCCAATCCAAACGTTACAATACTCTTATACATACATTCCCCAACTTGATAACAGCTCCCTACTACCTAGGTAGCCCAGTCTCAATACCCCCTCGAACTAAACAGCTCCCTCAATATCCACCTCAACGCACCCTTTCCCTTCTTCGGCTTCAGAAAAACCTTAAGATGGTTGGTCGAATAATTCGACAGCGCCTGAACGGTCGGAAATATCTTCAGCTCGATCGGCTGTCCAAGCACGAGACGCCTATCGTAATGCTCAAGGTCGTAGAGGTTGACATGGATCCTCTGGAGCACCTACGCACACACACCCGTCAGTCCTTCATCCAACCACCAACCCCACACACGTCCCACGGAAGAGATATTTACACACCTTCTTCGCCTGCGTCTTACTCATTGGCACATTCTTCACCTCGAGTATTTCGCAGAGCCTCTGCCAATCCCAGTCCTGAACGCTTCCGCCAAAGCGAGAATTGAACTCCTCCTCAAACGCGAGGCTGAACTGGCGGCGGACGGCGGGTTTCCCCGCCTGTTTCTGGCGGTTGCAGAGGCGCCGGTACTCGCTGGCCGCGTTGGCGCTGGTGTTGTACGTGAAGCCTGGGAAGCGCGCGAAGAAGGTGGACAGTGGGCTGAGTGAGAGCCCCGCGAGACCCGAGACGAGGTCGTCGACAGAGGAGGAGGTGGTGGTGGTGGTGGTGGACATGGTGGAAGTGGGATGGTGGGTTGTGGGTTGGGATGGGACGTGCGGCTTTGGAGGCGGGGCAAGTTTGACGGAGTATCACTGGACGGACGGACGGGTGGGTCATTATGTAGAGAACTGGAATTGGGCAACAGGCGAGCAGTGGATTTTTGGCCATGGCGGTGGCCTCCCGTCCCCCGCCCGTGTATGGGGTAGTCACTGTCCGCGTGCAGACCCTGAGACAGAAAACTTGCACGCGAACGGGAGGCAGGGGTTCGACGACCTGGATGGTATATAATTGCTGCGGACTTTGGAATGAAGCCGATGCTCAGCCTTGCGTGCACGACGAGGACCCTGGAGATATGTAGTAGCGTGGCAAAGAACGAGAAATAGAGAACCATGCCCTCACGAGACCCCGAGAGGCGGTGGAATTTTCGGAAACCGTCTGGAATTATAATTCTCACCATCATAGCTGACGATAACTAGGTACCGATAGACGCAGACCCCCCCGTAATAAAAACATCCAATCCAGGCGCGGTAGTAATCTCATACATTCCTGACTCGATACTGACCTCATATCTCAGCCCGGTGGGCACGAAACAGCCCCTTAACATAAACCTCAACGCACCCTTAGCCTTCGCCTTATCCCTCGGATAAATCTTCCCTTTCTTCGAATATTTCGCCAGCTCTTTAACAGTCGCAAACCTCCTTAGGGCCGCCCTGTCGGCGTGACCAATTTCATGGAGTCTATCGTAATGCTCGAGGTCATAGATGTTGACATGGATATCTTTCACCGCCTACGCCATTCATTAGCTCTCCCTCGCTACTCCATTTGCGCGACGAGATAAGGATACGCGCCTTCCTTGCCTGCGTTATACTCGCTGGCATGGGGTCAATGTCAAGGCGTTCACACAGCCGAGTCGGATCCCAGACTTCGCCACCGCCGCCGCCGCCGAAACGGGCATTGAATTCGGCCTCGAAGGCTTCGTTGAAAGCATCATGGGAGGCATTTTTATGCCTCTTGCACAGGCGCTTGGACTCGGTGGCAGCGTTGGCAGTGGGTTTGTAGGTAAAGTTTGGAAAGCTGGCGAAGAATTTCTCCAGGGGACTGAGTAAGAGGTCGGCGAAGCCTGGTACTAAGTTATCGACGGACGATGAGGAAGAGCTGGTCATCGTGGAGTATCGATGTAGGGGCTGTGAGATGGGACGGTGGGATTTTGGAGCGGGAGAATGGGTGGAATGACAGAGGACTGATGGAGCTGTGGGCGATCATGCAGAAATCGGAGTCGCGATCAGCAGGCGAGCGGTGATTTGTTGACCGTGGCGGTGGCCTCCCAGTCCTCCGCCCATGTATGAGGTAGTCACTGCCTGCGTGCAGACTCTGAGACAGAAACTGGAACCAACGGGAGGAGAGGGGTCAGAGGACCTGGGCGGCATATGGTTGGCCAGAATCGCTGTTGACCTGCGAATGAAGTCGGTGCCCAGCCTTGCGTGCATGCCGAGAACCCTGGAGATATAACAGCGTGGCAAAAGATCAAGGAATAGATAGTCCCGCTCTCGCAAAGAGGTGGGGGAAGAGGTTGAGTGTTACACCACTTCCAGCAACAATACTTGCCACTTGACGGATACATGATGGGCATGAGTTGGCTTGATTGCAGCCTCTGTAGGAGCTCGAGGCGGCCTGGCATATGGGTCCTGAGACTCACAAAAGCTCAAGCAAAAGGCACAATTCGAAGTCAGGCTCGAGCTTTGTGGTAAGATGGCGATGGCAGACACACCGCAATGTTTGAGAGCACAGCCGGGCGTCTCATCTGAGCTGCCACAGGTCTGCCAACGAAGCCCAAGATTATCTAGTCACCGTCTGTTAGTCGCTCCAATGAGTTTTTCTTTCCCCGCACCAACAAATCCAGTCATAGTACTCACGTTGGTTGCCAATCGGCGAATACCGTGCTTCAAGCTGCCTCAATTCCGTCGCCGGTTGACTTCTTCTACAATCTGCGGCCTTGTTTGTGCATGTATGTACTCTACCCATATTCCTAGTCCAAGTCTTGTGTCACAGCCTGCAGCGCCGTTAATCTAGCCACAAGCATCACCTTGCAGACGCGCGCTTGCGCATTAGCCACAGCCACACATTCTCCCGCCCACTAGAGTACCCCCACTCCGCAGGAATGAAAATAGAGGCTGAGCCATATGCTAAGTACTCTAGTATGTCGAGTGAAACCAATAGCATTCATTTCGGGAGCTCCACAAGTTCGTGCGAACGTGAGCTCCATAAGCTGGAATGTTGCGATAACGGGCTGTCCTTAATCTTGTGGCTGGCCCGACATAGAGGCCGTGTCTTCCTTCGGGCATGCACCCGCATTCCATTGCTCAAGCGATACCAAAGTCTGCCAGCACCCGGCGATCGCGGTAAGCGTCACCGTACAAGCGCTTCTGCACGGATCACAGCCATACATTCTCCACCGTATCTTCCACTCCAAAGGAATGAAAATAGAGGCTGAACTGAGTGCACCAATAAGCCGAGCGGAAAGAGGTAATATCATGCATTCAACGCGCTCCCAAGGTATTCCGCGACATCAACACACACACTCCATCAATTAATCAATGCCTCTCCCACCAGCTCCTCACCAAACTCCCCCACGTACTCATCATCGTCCGCATCATTGATGTACGAGGGGTACTACCGTCTCGACATGGAGGTGATCATCTCCTGATGCACAGCTCTGTCCTTAATAGTTTGGCTGAGCGTGGCGACGCTCCGCAAGTCCGCAACGACGTCTTTGGCTTTGCCAAAATAGACCTCCTCTGCGCACACGTTAGAATTGAGACTCATGTTTTGCGGAGAATTGACAGGGCATACGCAAGAGATTCCGCATCTTGAGCTCCATCTCTTCCACCAGCTTGCCAATGTTGCTGATGTGGTCGCGGTCAGCGTTGTCGACTGTCATGTCACTCTCCACCTGTCGCGTCATGTTCCCCGACAGGTCCATCTCTCCCAGGTCCTCGCCGCCGGAGACCATGTTCAAGATGACTGTGGAGGTGAGCTTGTAGTGGCATGTGCGAGAGCCATCGATGGCCTCAAACACATGGATCGAGTCCCAGGAGCCGGTACTCTTCGGCCCGGAGGCAACCGCTGAAAAACATCCGTCAGAACCATCTTCGACTCTCGGGTCCAAGCAGGATTACATTTCTTGAGCAACACAACCCCCGCAAATCCGTCATCCAAATTCCAAAAGTAAACACTGCTCACACCACCCTCGTAGTACAGTTCACGGTAAACATCGAACGCCTGGTTTGCAGCAACCTCCATCTTCCGCAGCTTCTCGCTCGGGTAGGTGGCATCGGAAAGTGCGGGCGTGTACTCGTTGCTCCACGGAGAGCGGTAGCTATCGCCGTCGCGGTTGTAGTCGCAGAGGAGGTACTCGCGTTTTGTCTTGGCACATCGCGCCAGTTGCAGCGGTTGGTCGACGGACGAGAGGAGATCTTCAGTTAGGTCAGGGACGAGGTTGATCAGTGCTGAAAGATTGGTCGAGGTGTGTTTTGGGTTGAGACGGCGGAGGAGGTCGCTGGATTGCTGGCGTTAGCTAGCGTTTGGGCGTGCGTAAAGGCGGAGGTGCATACAGGGAGGAGTCGAAAGGATCTTGAGCGGTGGCGGACATTGTGGTAATGATGATTGATTGGAGTGTTGGTGGAGGGCGGTTGATGAATAGGGATGAACGTATGTTGGCCGATTTGGAGCTCTAGGGAGAGCTGCAGGAGGTGTTGGTGGGGTTGGCGGAGCTAATACGGCGGAGGGTAACACGGTGGGATGGTCACCCTTGCGAGGTGGGACAAAAAAGTTTGGAACTAGAGTAGGTCTGACCTCAACTCGAATTCACCCCACCATCCTCCATTGCCTTTCGATCGGCCAGACATTCCCGACTTCTAGCCGGCCATGGCTTTACGGCCACCTTCGACGCTGCGCTTTACTCTGACGCCATTTCTCTACCCTCGCCTAATCAGTCACCATGTGCCTCCTGTGCGATTCGTCGCCCAGCGGATCCAACGCTTCTCGCAGACCTGCCTCCACTACGACGAATCCGTCATCGATGACCCTGCACTCGCCTCAACCACAAATCCCGATCATCCGCAACATCACTTCACCTCAGCGCCGTTTAGCGACTTGCGACCAGTAGCTATTGCTGCCGGCGACGGTGGCCACGGCTGCATCTCTTTCCTCCGCGAGCTTTTCATTCCGGAGGGACCGCCAAACGGCGGCTCTGGCGGTGCTGGTGGCAGTATCTACATCCAGGCGGTCTATGGCGAGACCTCGTTGCATAAGTTGGGTCGGCAAGGGGTTATTAAAGCTGGCAATGGGTCCAACGGGCGGGGCAGCAATCTTGGTGGAAGGCGGGGGGATGACGTGGTGATCCGGGTGCCGGTCGGGACGATAGTTCGGGAGATATCGAGATGGGACCCCGATGACAAGGAGGAGATGGAGGAAGGAACGCACGGAGAAAATGATAAATGGACGCACTACCCACAAGCTGTCGAACACAACTTAAGGGATCCTCACTTCGTTTCGGCGGAATACCCAATAAACCACCACAAGAGCGCGAGTCAGTTGCTCAAGCAAACGCACCCTACACGAGTGTTCTTGGATCTGGATAAACCATCGCCGCAACCAATATTGCTTATTCCCGGATCCCCCGGCGGTCTCGGAAACCCTCACTTCATCACACCCACCGTGCGCCGGCCCAAGTTCGCAACAAAGGGAAATAAGGGCGCAAAGATGAAGCTCTTACTGGAACTGAAAGTGCTCGCAGACGTAGGGCTAGTCGGCCTTCCCAACGCTGGAAAATCCTCCTTTCTCCGAGCCGTATCTGGTCGCAAAGCGCGGGTGGGCGAATGGGCATTTACCACGCTCACGCCAAACATTGGAACGATCGTGATGGCAGATAAGGACCTTCCAGCGCACGTCACAGAAGGCGAAGACCAGCTTCAACCCCGCTTCACAATCGCCGACATTCCAGGTCTGATCGCGGACGCGCACATGAACAAGGGTCTCGGCCACGGGTTCCTCCGACATGTGGAGCGTGCCCGCGTCCTCGCTTTCGTGCTGGATTTGAATCGGCCTGATCCTGTTGCGGACCTCGAGTCGCTGTGGGCGGAGGTCATCGCCTACGAAGAGGGCGCGGATAACCTCGAGGGTACGGGAATGATGGCGGAGATGGGCGGCGACTACGTCAGTGAAGAGAATAGGCAGAATCTTCATCCCGAGCTCAAAAGCAAACTAGCCCCAGAGGAGGAGGAAGAGTTGGTGACATTCACCGGCATTGTGCCTGGATGGGGCTCGCTCGCAGCGCAAGAGCAGGCGCCGGCCGGTGAAGTAGCGCGCAAGAGGGAAAAGATGAGCACCAAGCCGTGGTTCGTGATCGCCAATAAGGCGGATCTCGAGGGAACAGAGGAGAAATATTGGGCGCTAAAACAGCATCTGGAGGCGAAGGCAGCTCGCGGAGATGGAGAGGAGATAGGGTTGATACCGATGAGTGCGCTGCGGGAGGAAGGAGTGGATGGGGCTGTTGAGTGGATGAAGGGCATGTTAGGCTTCTAGATAGTAAGCAGTGGAGCAATTGAGTCAAGAAAAGACTTTGGCAGGTGGATAGCCGGATTACTAGGCAAGAATGAATGAGCAAAGTACAGAGTGCCCGCCGTGGTGCTAAAAAGTGATCTGGTACCCTTTACGTTATGCAATACTCTCACCAGCCACAACAATGCTGCAGAAAAAATAGTGCATCAACGCAATGATGTCTATGTAACATGAAAGAAAGTGGGGTGGAAAAAGAATGTACCCGAGATATTCAATGCACCTAGTATTGCAGAATTGTTGAATGACCAATTTATTTCCAGTTGCGCGGAGTGAATAGCACAGACCAGATAAGTGGAAGCTTGAGGTATGAAAGCTACTAACTCGCTATGGACACACCTTCAAATTGATTGACTCGAGTCGTCAGGTTTTTGTTTGTTTTTCACGTGGCCTTAGTGTGGCTAGTGAGGGCATCGCGTAACGTGGAGGGAGGGAACCGGATAACTTTTTAGGCCAAGCCTCCAGCTAGTAAAAGTTCTTGCATTAGCGCAGCAACCTTGTGTCGACCTCGCCCTTGAATATCAGTCAGAACGTAACCAGATCCATCCTTCTTTTTCAACACATCCTCATCACCACCAACCACCAACACCAGCGCCGCCAACGCCACCCTACGACACCGCGAAAACCGTCACCGTCGCACCCCACCCCGCACACCCTTCACAAACCCGACCGTCGCGCTCCACCACGAAAAAATGTCCGATCCCGACCGTGAAGCTTCGCGCGTCTGGCGCGCCTGGAGGACCATCCACGAGATGGTTGCCGACCGCGTACGCCACCTTCCCGCGCGCCGCTCAGCACGGTTCCCCCAGTCGTCCTATGCGCTGACACGCTATGCGTCAATCTAGGGCTACCAAATCTCTGAGGAGGAATACAGTCTGCCATTGACGGACTTCCAAGGGCGGTACTGCGACTCCGAAGGTCGCCCGCAGCGCAAAGCACTCAGTTTCTCCGCGAACCCGTCCGACCGGATGATGGAGGTGCACGCGGCGCTCAAGACGGGCGTGCCGCCGGACTGCGGGCCCATCTGGGTCGAGTTCCTCTCTGACCCGTCGATTGGTGTCAAGCAGGCGAAGGCGTTTGTTCACCGCGTCAAGGACGGAAACTACCACACCGGAATCATGGTCTGCATCAATGCCCCCACCGCTGCCTCGCTCAAGAGTTTTGCCGCCGTCGAGAAGGAGTGCACCGTCGAGATCTTCCTTGAGGAGAACTTGCTCGTCAACATCACCAAGCATGAGCTCGTGCCGAAACACGTGCTGCTCAGTAAGCCCGAGAAGAAGGCCCTGCTCCAAAGGTACAGGCTCAAGGAGAGCCAGCTGCCTAGGATCCAGAAGGATGATCCCGTCGCTAGGTATTTCGGACTGAAGAAGGGAAATGTCGTCAAGATCATCCGCCGGAGTGAGACCAGTGGACGGTACGCGAGTTATCGGCTTTGCTTGGGTTAGAGGAATGGTGTGGGTGGGCAATGGGAGCATAGTAGTGTAATTAGAGAGGTGTTCGTCCCTGCTGGTGGTGGTGACCGGCGGTGGCGATTGTTGGCTTGTCTACGATTTGCAGAATTGGAGTTTGGATGCTTTACGGCTGGCTGCTGATGTCACGGTTCCTTTTTTTTCTCGCATCTTATTCTTGACGAGGGATAATGGTGCAAGAGGAGGAAGACAATAGCATTTTCATTTGTATTCAACTGCGAGCGAACAAGTAAAACACAATTGGATATATCCTTCTTAACGCCGGTCAAAAGTAGAGAAAAATATGGGATGTACACCACACATCCACAGTTGGAGTCAACATACAAATCCCCACCACTAATTATCCATTGCGACCTTCATCCACTTAGCCTCCCAGCTTGTGTCCCTGTCCGCGATGCGACCAGCCTGAGCTGCCCCCGAAGAAGCTGCTGCCAGTAGCCCCCGGCGCAGCCCCAACGCCCACCGATCCACCAGCAGCCGCAGCCCTGGGCGCAACCCTCGGCGCAACCCTCGGCGGCGGCGGTGCCGGCGTCGCCATAGCCCGTTCTGCCTTCTCGTACCATCCCTCGACCACATCGGCCGGGGCCTGAAGCCAGTTGCTTCCACCGCCGTGCTCCGGCCAGATCTCGGTAAGGAAGATGTAGGCATGGCTAGCGACGATTCCGGTCAGATCAAGGAACACATTTCCGCCTTGGACGAGCGTCATCAAGAGCATTATCCAGGGCAGGAACTTCACGGGGAACTGCGCGATGAAGAAGTTGACGCGCGTTCCTGGCGGTGAGAATGAGGACCAGTAGTAGGCTAGCGCTAGGATCAGTGGCGAGCAGAACGTCATCCCGTGCACGATGAAGGTGTTGAGGAGCTGTGGCAGCAGGTGTTAGCGGTAGATCCGAATGGAGTGTGGGGTAGCGTGCATACGAGGATGATGCTGCCCACGAACACGAGGAAAACCGTGAAGTCGCCTTTGCGAGAGAGCTTCATTCGCTCGCAGTCACTGGCATATTTGAAGACTATCATCAAACTTATTAGCCCTCTACTGCCACCAGCAAACATCTGCGTCGAGGGGAAACGTACGGAAAAATGGATCCATCAACACACTCTGTCCGACGATCATAAATTAGCATTTCCCACTCCATCCCACGGCGTTGCGCAACAGAGATCCTCACCAGTCCTGGTCCAGTGAGCAGGAACGACGTGACCAACCGCCACACTTGCAGACCGCTTATGCCATGCAAGCCCCTTATGCTAAAGACAACCTCAGGGATGTACACGAAGTGCATCGGGTCAAGTATCCGTAGGACGAGGGAGCTGAAGGATATGAGGACCGTTGCGCCGGCTAGAGTTCTATTATGATCTATTAGTTGGCGGAAGTTAAGGACAGGCTTGAGCAATAGTTGCCTCGCGACCGGCGGCGCGTCACGGATGAGTTGCCCGATATCGGCCATTTTGTTTCAAATTCTCGTTGTCGCGATGGGAGGTGTGTGGTGTGTGGATATGATCGAAGTGTTCTTTATGAGTGAGGTGGCCACTGGGCAGATCAGGCTGGTTGCGTCAGAGGGGTGGCGTGCCAAGCCACACGCGGCGGCAGATGTCAATGCCGGATTCGCGTCTCCTTCGCTTCGGGCCCTCGTCCTCGACACACACAAAACACGATGTCGTCCTCCCTCGCTGAATACCTCGCAAAAAACTACCTCACCGCCGACCCACCGAAGAAGAAGGGCGGCCTCAAAAAGCGCAAACGAAAGGAAAAAGATGCCGCCACCACGTCCTCGAGCTCCGGGCTGATCATCGCCGACGACGATGCAGCAGGCTGGGAAAATACCGCCGCCAACTCGGACGACGACGACGGACCGACCATCAGCGGCATGACCAAGTCCTTCAAGAAATCTACCACATCGAACTGGAAAACTATCGGGGGAGCATCGGAGGCGGCGGAAACCGCAGCGGCCGACGCGATCCTCGCTGCCAACACCGACGGGAGAACGGAGGATGATGCGCCGACTGTGGCCGATGATTCCCTAGCCGTGAAGATGAGCTCTGGTGCGCATGCCGGACTACAGACTGCTGCACAGATCGCTGTGCAGATGGCCAGAGCGAAAGAGGAGGAACGGAGACGGTTCGAGGCTACGGATCCGGCGGAGAGTGGGAAGGGGCAGGAAACCATTTATCGTGATGCTTCCGGACGGATCATCAACATTGCGATGCAGCGTGCTGAGGCGAGGAAGAAGATCCGCGAGGAGGAGGAAAAGAAGGAAAGAGAGAAGGAGATGGTGAAGGGCGATGTGCAGAAGTTGCAATCGGAGGAGCGGGCGAAGCGGTTGGAGGACGCAAAGTACATGACGTTGGCGAGGTACGCAGATGATACGGAGTTGAATGATGAGCTGAAAGACCGCGAGCGGTGGGCCGACCCTGCGGCTGCCTTTCTAACCAAGAAGAAGGGCGGAGGCACGAGCAAGACGGGGAAGCCGTTGTTTGCAGGAGCGGCGCAACCAAATAGGTTCAGCATCAGGCCTGGCCACAGGTGGGATGGTGTGGATAGGGCAAACGGGTTTGAGGCGAAGTGGTTCCAGGCACAGAACAGGAAGAACGAGAAGAGCCGGCGGGCTTATGAGACTCAGATGGACCTTGATTAGATCAGAAGTTGGATGTTTGGGCACGGAGTTTTTCTGCATAATGGCGTTTATCATTTTGAGTGTTAGTACGTAGCATGTCAGATAATACTTGCTGTAGTTTTTTTTGGGTTGTGGCTACCAACTACAAGACCTACGGCTCCGATCCGCCCTCATAACGCCATCACGCTGAGTGACTTGTCAAAAGATAAACGGTCATCTTCTACAGTTCTCACTGACTGCCTCGCATGAAATTTGAGCTCGCCGTGGCATCACGATAATGATCCAAACTGAATATTCACAGCACCACCTTACAAAAGCTATATATAAACAAACACCACGTCTTCTCGCTTAGAGTCACAACAGAGAAGGACAAAGCTTCGCATGAACCGGATGCAACGCGACACCATCGGCACAGTAGGAGCTGACACGCGCAAGCACAGCGTCAGGTATATATCAGCGAGAATCATGGCTCCAACACCTCCCATGAGAAGTAGAGTACTGGTATGGACGATGGATAAGAGGTTTGTTCATAGCATAGACAGAGGAATAAGCGGACCACACTACCAGTCGAAGCAGCGCATGAAGCGTCAATTTCTCCCGACAAAGCTGAGAATCCCCACGGTCGGCATGCCTATGAACGTTGACGAAGAGCATTTTGCGCCACTCCGTCGTGACAAACTAACACAATCTTTCCTCATCCTCTCGCATAGCAGCCAGAGCGACAATGAAAGACAAATTTGTGTTCGCATCAACCGGAGGCAGTGTAATACCGGTGACACAGTGGGAGTCGACATGCGCAAGCACAGCGGCCAGCTCCCGGACTTCAAAAATAAGATTAATATTAGAACCGATATATTATCGGATTTCAGATATTAAACTGAAAAGAACAGATACTACACTTGATCTAAGCCAAAAGGCTGTAGAGGGAAAATTATTAGTTGATATTCGGGAATGTTGACAGTTAGGGGTAGGGAAGACGTACCAAAGAGAGCTAAAGAGAAAAGAAGAGTAGGGAGGGAAGCGGGCATTATATAGGTTGTGGAAGCGCGCTAGTGTGAGCCCGTCACCGCTCTTAGGGCTTAGGGCTAAGGGTTTGTTTCTGGCAAAGCAGCAGTAGCGTGCGGTAGGACCCATCAGTTACCATCTTCTCGGACATGCCCTAGCTCTTGCGGATATGCACTGGCCTTCCCCTCCGGATTTATCGTTCTATATCCGAGACTCTTCGATCATGGCAGTATCTAGTGTATTCAAATCCCGTGTCCTAAGTCCTAGTCATCGTCTTGAAGTTGGCTGCAATTCAGCTGCTCTCGATATTCTGCGAGTGCTGGCGGCCGCTATGGCAATGAGCTCCATTAGAGTATTTGCTCCGAACCCATTCGCCGATAGCCAAAGACACTTTCCCCGGACTTCCCAAAAGCGACCGTAAGGGATTTGGATTATGCGAAAGCCTAATGTCATGAGGGACACCCGTGATCCACGTGGTATGTATCCCTTCCAGGCCCTTCCAGGCACGCCGAAAACGTGAGATCCCATCTGCCGATAATACATATGAACATACGTGATAAAGAACCATGAATCGATCTCCAACTTTCTACAAACCTCCGAGTGATAATACATATGGCCACCATCAAAGGCTACAAAGCTCACCACAAGCTCGGCTCATGCTTGATCATCTTCGGTTGCTCCTTACGCTACTCCTGGCATCGCAACATGGCCAACGTTAAGTTCTCCAGCTGGCCGGCAGTGAGCTTGTGAATCGGACGAACGTAGGTATTTTAACAACAGGCGTACAGAGCAGCACTCTTCGTGAAGAATGCAAGAGAGAGAATATCGAGTTATTGTCACATAGGGCCTGTCCAGACTATGGCGGCCACATTGGGCAGAATGCATATTTTGATCTTGCTCGTCTTGGTGCATCCACGAGTGATAAGTAGTGCTTTCCACACGCGTCTGGCATTTCGCGCTAACCTTTGTCCGCGTCTTCCAGGGATCAGCTCTCCATTCTGTTGATTCCCCACCATCACCATCGTCATCGCCATCCACCACCGCACGCCGCCACATCCGGCGACGAACATCGCCGAGCTAGAATGCTCACGACCGCCGGGCGGACAGCATGTCCTTCCTGGACCCGTCTAATGCGAGAACTCGAGGGTAAGAGCGTCAAACTCCGGCCTCCACTGCTCCACGAGCTGGAGCGCTGCAGAGCCGACGACCTTGACCCTACTCTCCGGATGCGTCACTACACCGTACTCCCACATCCCCTCTTCTCTCCCCAGCGCACCAAGCGCATCTAATCGTGCCCTGGTCACTACAGATCCTCGGAGTGCAGTCCACGTACCCATACCACCTCATTACCATGCGCAAACGTTCGTTCGCAGATGCCCTCGCTTCTGACCAGGCCCCTCCTGCTGGGATAACGTACTGGGCGTTCGATCGAGAGGAAAAGAGTTTGAAGATTTCGCATTCGACTAACCACACGGCACCCGCGGATGTGTTCAATCTACATGTGGTATACACGGCATGGAAGGTGTCGACCGGCCAGCCAATTCAAGTTCTCCTGTGGATGCTGCCACGGTGGTCGTACCGGATCCCCAGCGACTTTCCCTCCGAATCGGCGACCACGCTCGAGTTCCGCTGCGGGCCGCAGAGCGTGCAGCTGGAGCCGCTGCTCCCGCTCGGTGGTGGGGTCCACGTCTGCTTCGGCGATGTCACCGACACGGACGGCTCGACGATCAAGATCCTGCACGAAGGGAAACTGTACCTCTACGAGCCGGCGGCCGGCGTGCTCCCCGCAATCCCGAACACTGCCGCCTGGACCACGCTCCAGCTCGGCCATGACATGACGGTCTTCCACGACCACACCGACGAGTCGTCGGCGCCGATCTCCAGTCCGCGAGTGCGCACGCTGTCGCTCGCCGCGCTGGCCACACAGTTCCTAAGCTCGTGTTCCAAGGTGCCGCAACTAGCTAACCGCACGCCGGACTTCACGCACATCCTGAACACGCTCCTGCCGACTAAACGGGTGCGCAGGACCAAGCCGGGCGCTATATCGGCGCACTCCAAGACCGTCGTCGCGTTCGGCGGCGCCGAGCGGATCACGGGGATGTTTCACCTGCTGGTGTTCTCGCTGTCGCTGCCGTCGCCGGAGAGCCACCCGCGCGTCAAAGTGATCGCTGCCAAAGCCTTCCAAATGCGCCCCATGGAGGGAAAGGACTCTAGCTACTTCTCGCACGAGGCCGCAACAGCTACGTTCGAGATGGCCCTCCAGAAATGCGGCATCAAGAGCAGCTCCTCTGGCACTCGTAAACATGACTGCGAGAGGGAGTGTGTCGGCACTGAAGAGGTCAACGTCAGGAAGATGTTCGAGTTTGGCGCGCAAGGGTTAAATGAGATTGCCTGCCCAGAACTGGGCATCGTGTTGGTCGGCTGGGCGAAGCAGGATGAGCTTGAGCAAAACGGAGAAAACGACGATGAGATCGCGAATGAGACTGCTACGGACGATTGATTCGCTGTTCCTGCTCGCTGTAGAGACTCCGGCGTGATCCGTGTACGGGCGACCAGGCCGCTGTTCTCGTGCCGTGCTCGTGCATTCAGGTACGAAGGAAGATGCACTGTTAGTGTCGCCGAAGCTCCGGACATTCGCGGCTCTGTCTTCGGTGCCGTAGTCGTAGTTGTAGCCTCCAGTCCAATCCATAGACTAGATAGTTTCCATCTCTCTCGCACAGGCACCATCCATCCACAGCACTCAACTCTTACCCCCCCCCCCCATCCCCCCCCCATCCCCAGTCCCAGTCCATGAAACTGCCCCATTACCACCCCATTACCGGCTCATCTACTCATTGCGTTTGGTTATCGAATCGGTAGATGCTCTATCAACAGAGCCACCCCACCATCCGGATTCCCAACGCTTCCCGACGCTCGCCTGGCCCGGCCTCGTCTCCGCTCCGCTCCTAGCGCCATTAGCCTTATCTGTCTGGACTCTGCGCACGCGACCGATGGGCTGGTTGGGCTGGTTTGCATGGTTGACATGGTACCTATATCCGGAGGAGCCGTCGCCCGTCGTGCCTGGTCTCTGGTCTCTGGTCTCGAAGCACATGCTGCCCCACTCCCCTCCCGCCCCCCCAGCACGATACATGGTGCCTCGGAGCACTTGGGTAGATAATGGGTGCGTGGAAAGGCGGCTCTGAGATACAGCCAAGTACCGGGCGTACACTTACAGGACATAGGCGGGCTCCGTCCCCGGTCGCCTCTAGCAGCTCGAGCTGAAAGCAACCCACCCAACCACATATCTACCCCGCCTACAAGCACAGGCACTTGTCTCTAGTCTAGCTCTGTGTAGCTCCCCCTTCACCCCCCGGCATCAGCCAATCGAAACATCGCTCAGCGACCAGCCTCGGCCCTGCATAACTACTCCTAAAAAAACCAACACCGCCAATGGAATGTCAGCTGCTCCGGAAATAGGATATACTCTCCACCTATGATGTCGTGGTTATTGTTGTTTCTTTTTGTTGTTGCGTGGGAGCGCGTAGAGTATGATAGGAAGCCGGATCTAGTCGGGTTGGGCGATGAGAGGGGGAAGGAGGGGCGATGAGAGGGGGGGGGCGAGGGGCAGAGGGAGGGGCAGCGTATAGAACATCTAGTATAGGTAGGTGGTATGTACGAGTGTGTATGTAGAAGCACAGCTGGTATGTGTGTATGTAACTTGTCAGCATGGGTCGCGGCATCGAATGGGTCGCTTCATCGAATCGACGGGTAGCATCCACTACATCCATTGCACCCATTGCATCCATCCAGTTGAGGCGCTTTGCTTTTGCCTTTGCTTTTTCTTTTTCGACCAGGTCGACCGACCGGCCGACAAACGGAACGGAGCCGATCTTCGCAGGGGACACAGACAGGTGGAGATTGGGGACGGGCGGAACGACGTCGCCGGGCGGGGATGGGTGTGGATCTGGGTAGAATACAGAGCAAGTCTCGAAACAGCGGGCCCGACGCGAGCTCGCGCGACCAGCTCCAGTGCTCCACCAGCTCCACCCGCGACGTCGTGGTAGTTGTCCAGTTGTTGGTTTCGTTCTGCCCGTCTAGCTGTGGGAAACCCACAGCGGAACCGAAGCGGCCGCTCTGTATGTAGTGCAGGCTGAATCTCCCCCTGCCAGGTGACTTTTTTCGTTTCGTACGGTACTCTACTCTACGTCAGCGTGCCTTGCCCCCCTCGCCAGGGGGAGGGGAGGGGGGAGGGGGGAGGGGGTTTCGTATGACGCAATTGACCAGGTGTTGGGCCAACGGAGGGGAATATTCCGTCTGGTCCAGTGGTTACTGGTGGGGATTGGAGTGTGGATTGTCGCTGGTTGCAGCTTTGCAGCTTTACGGCAGCAGCTGTGCAGAGTGCGTGGATGTAAGGGAGATCGCCACATATGGTGATACAATACACGAGAGAGTCTCAGTGTCGGTCTCAGTCTCAGGCCCAGTTGATATTCGACAGCAGCGTGGCAGGCAGTCCGCAATCCGCCCCGGCCCTAACCAAACTAGAGTGGATGCCTCCTCCCCCAAGCTCATCCCAACCAAAACGCCCTGTCTGACCGTCTGACGGACGATGGCCGGACCAGGCGCGTATGTACTCGACATGCTAGGTAGAGTACTAGATATAATTTATACCCTGCCCTGTCGCCCACCTCATCGCATACCTACTACCTAGATGGTTATTTCTCTACCCCGTTGCATTGCCTACTTTTACCTGCCCTGACTGCCCGTGCTTCTTTTTTTTTACGACGACGGCGACAGAGATTCCATGTTCCCACGGCTTGCGTTCTCGATGCTGAGTTACTTCAATAATTGTACGGAGACGGGTGCGGGTGCGGCGACAGGTGGGGGCGCGGCGGGTGCGGTGACGGGTGCGAGTGAGGTACGGTGTTCTGTTTGTTTCGCAGGTGCATGGGCAAAGAGCTGACCGTTGCACCACAGGAGGAAACGTATCGCCAGATATTCCGGGCGTCCTTCCTGGAGTCGACAGCAGTTACCAAACACCCCACTCCCAGCGGGGCCGCAGTGCCAGTGCTAGTCCCTATGGTAGTGGCGGCGATAGTACGCAGCGACCGTCCTCAGCGTTCCTCATCACGGCCCAAGCCCAAGCCTTTGTCCACCTACCCCGCCCCCCCACAGCGCAGCTTCGACCTCGGCGCCGTAACGCCCGAGATCCTCCTGCAGATCGCGGACCACCTGGCGGCATCGGACATCCTCCGCCTTCTTTTGACCTGCCGCGACATCCACACGCTCCTAACCCCGCACCTCCTGCGCCTAGCCCTCACCACGCGGCTCCCGCACACAGGCAACACAATCCTGCACTGGGCCTGCACGCACGGGCACCTAACCTTGGCGCGCACACTCCTTTCCCGCGGGCTCCCGTCGTCCGTCCGCAACGCCGCCGGCTGGACACCTCTGCACCTATCACTCCGCCACCGCCACCCACTGATCACATCGCTGCTCCTGTCCTCCGGCGCCTCCGTCACCGCGACCTGCAGCGGCAACGCGGACGACGCGGGCGCGACCCCGCTGCACCTAGCGGCGGACGGCGCGGCCGCACTACAGCTGCTTACGCACGGCGCCTGCGTCTCCGCGCGCACCAAGGTGGGGCTGACGCCGCTGCACCGCGCGTGTCGTCGTGGCGCCGGGGATGTTGTCGATGTGCTCCTCGCGCATGGCGCCAGAGAGGGCGCGAGAGGGAGGGATGGCTTTGGACAGTCGCCGCTGGAGTATGCCATCGCTTCTGGCAGGGTGGAATTAGTGAGGAGGTTGATAAACGAGGGGCTGCATTTGAGGGGACAAGGGGGGATGGGGGAGGCGGGGGAGGTGGAGATGGGCGATTCGCCGGTTAGGTTTGCGGTCAAAGTGGGCGAGAGGGGGATCGCGAGGTGTTTACTCGAGCATGGCGCGCAGGTGAATTGGCGTGAGGGGGGGAGAGGGGAAGGGGAAGGGGACGGGGGGCAGTGGGGGGAGTGGGGCGGGGAGTGGGAGGGGTGGGGGGATTGTGTTGAGTTGTTGTGAGCGTGAGTGACTCGAGAGGATGTGATGTGATGTGATGTGGGTGGTAAGGTGTTCGGATTGGGTTGGGTCTAGGAGTAATAGGCGTTCGGCGCAATATGTATGACTTGTGCTTGTGCTTGTGGGGGTTTCACGATGGGGATAATGATTCGCGGTGCTGCTTGCTTTTTTTTTGTGGGGGGAAGGGGGGTATGGATGCTCACTGATGGATGGTTTCGTGGTTTCAAATTCACAAATTCACAAATAATGCTCTTTCCTGCTCCTCCTCTATTGTTCTGCCGCTGTTGTAAATGCCTGGAACTGTTTGGATGGAATCTATAGGAATGAAGTCTTAGGCCGGGGTCGGTTCTTGCAATGGTCCTTCCACCTCTAACTTGCTATTGTGTCTCGATTTTATTTCCTGACAGTTATAATCTACAAATGGCGCACGACAGAGTCCGAGTGATGTTCATGCGAAACCAAGGGTTGCTGTTACTAATACCGAGTGAGCGGAAGTGAGAGTGAATGGCAACTCAGAGACATTTGGTGAGTGAGTGTGACAGTACACACGGCGTCATTGTTACTAATACAGAATGACCGGAAGTGAGAGTGAATGGCAACTCAGAGACGTTTTGCAAGTGAGCGCGAGAGCATACACAGCGTTGCTGTTACCAATACCTTGTGACCGGAGGTGAGAGTCAAAGGCAACTTAGAGACGTTTGGCAAGTCAGTTTGACAGTACACACAGCGTTGCTGTTACCATTGACCAATACCGAGTGACTGGAGGTCCGGAGATGAGAGTGGATGGCAACTCGGAGACGTTTAGCAAGTGAGTACGGTACCTCCAGATTCCAAACCGCGTATGTATATAGTAGAGTAGTACCTCACGAACCAACCCCCCCTCCCCCCTCCTCCAAAATTCTTACATCTTACCAACTCAAGTACCTAGGTACATCAAGCCTTTGTGTATGTACTATTTAGTAGACAACCCCCAGGCCATAAGCCAATATTGATAGCGATAGCGGACCACAGCACTTGGGACTTCTAGAGGTAACTTCTTCAGTGGGAATAATGGATGTATGTACCTGCTATATCGAGGTTGATTTCCTCGTCCCGCTGTGTGATAGTCCCTGCCACATAGTTGACACAAGAGATCTAGCCAGCCAGCCAGCCAGCCAGTCGCAGACGCTATGTAGGCTCATGTTGATCATTGATGGCCGCAAGCGCACAACTGAACTGAACTGAACATGCCGAGAAGGGTGATTCCAACTTCCAAGCACAGAACTACCGGACATCCTATATTCAGGCGGTGTTTGTGGCTGGCGAATATAACACTTGGAAAATATCATGAGTGATCACTCGATGCGAAGGATCAAAAAAAACCGGCTAGTCCCGTTGCGACCCTCAACATTGATGATTGAACAAGACCACATGAGAGAAGAGCCGACATGGCGCCTCGAGTAGAGCACATAGCGAGCCGGTCATGCCCCACTACCGTATGCTTCATCCCATGCACCGAACCACTACCGATAGTACCCAGGGAACTTTCTGTCCGCGTGGAGGGTTGGTTGCGATCACTGAGTGCAAGGACCATCCACGCGATATCGAAGTATAGGTTCAGCTCATAGCCACCAGAAATTTCTTCAGCAGAGCATCTCGGCTACTCCGCCCGTCATTGTTCATCACGAAGTTGCACTCGTACTATGTCACCTGACATCACCCAACATCACCCATCTCACCACTGACCATTCGCCATATAGATGGGCTACATGCGAAATAAATTGAAGATCTCTCTCTCTCTCTCCCATTTACCAATTCACCAATTCACCATACATCACGCTCTTCTCAAGTTTCAAGTCTCAAGTCTTAAATCTCAAGTCTCAACAACCAAATCACCGGTCAGCCCACAGCGCCGTTGAGGGGCCATGAACCGTCCCAGACCGAGTGACTGGCCACATCTATTCCCTCTCCGTGTTCCCTTCCCCCTCCCTTCCCCCTCCCCCTCCCACTCCCACTCCCCTTCTCATACAGTATAAAAACAAGAAAAAACCCAAAGAAAGAAACGAAAAAACACCGTATTTTCAAGTATAACGCCAAACATGTTGAAGTTTGCTCCGAACCCGACCCTATCCGACCTGACCGATGACCCCCTGTGTTGAAACACCGCGCAACGAAACCATGCAAAAAAAAAGCAAAGGAAATCAAAAGGAAACCGTGATGAAAAGAAGAAGTACGCAAGGAAAAAAAATAAAAGGACAAAAAAAAATACGGAGGCGTTGAGGCTCCCGATCAAAAACGAAAGGGTACTACCTTGCAATTAAGCAGTGATGCTATTGGTGCCGCCGTTGACACCGTTCACGCCATTGACCTTGCCGGCGGCGGCGGCCGGGAGACCGTTCTCCTTACCGTCGAGGCCGAGATCCTTCATGAGTTCCGACACCTCGAACGTCTCGTCCAGGTCCTTGACTTCAAGGTTCTCAAACAGGTCGAAGATCTTGCCCTCGCGGTGGAAGTCGTTGTCGACTAAGGCAGTCAGTTATTAATCGTCCAAATTACAGCTCATGAGAAAGACATACCGATGTTGACCAGCCACCAGGTGTCCATGACGCCTTGAAGCAGATGCCTGCTCACACTGCCGTGACTGTAGCAGTGAGCCCAGTCCTCGCCAAGTCTGAACGCCTCATCCTTCCACGCCAAGAAACTGATAGTCTCAACGATGGTGGGCTGGATGATCTCCTTGCCCGGGTAGACACCCCAGGTGACAGCGTTGGGGCCTTCAGGGCTATTGGTCTTGAGCGATCCGCTCTTGTCGACGGCGTAGTAAGTCATGTCGGGATCGCGCTCAATGTTGGTGATCAGGTCTGCAAGGACCTCAGGGGAGACAAAGAGCTCAAGGTACGACTTCTGGTAGACGTATCCGTTGCGGGGACCCCAACCATAAACCGGATCGGACGACTTGACACCGTTGACTGCGGGCTGGGAGTTGATGGTCAGGAAACCGCGGCGGTTGAGGTCGATCAGCCTATCCTTGATCACGTCGACTTCGGCGGTTATGGATGACTCGGACCACGGAAGGGTGGCCAATTTTCCACTCATGTAGCGAGCAAAAGTGTCGGCAATCTCTCTGATCGTCTTGGGTTCTCCGTAGCGCTTGATGTTGGACTCATTGGAGCCACGAAGGCCAATGCCGTATGAATCCACCTCTCCGAAGGCGGGAGACCGTGAATCACCCCAACGTCCATTAGGAAACTCGTCCCAGTCTTGGGTGCGCTGGACATAGGATGCCTTGCGGTTCTTCCAGAAGATAGGACGGACGTTCTCGCTCTTGCGGTTGAAGCCAAGCGATGGGCGGAAGGGCAGAGGCGGGTGAGCCTGGTCCAAAGTGGGAATCAAGTTCAGGCCCTCCAAGACCATGCGTGTAGCAGTAGCCAGGTTCATGGTGTAACTGCAGAACCGTTAGCAGATGCTCACACGTGCGAGGGTGCAGGATGTGAGGCATACAAATGCAAGTGGTGGATTCCCGAATCAATGATCTTCTGGCACATCTCCACTACCAGGTCCCGCCCAATCTCACGAACCGCAACGTCGTCGTTCTTAACCGGCTCCAGCAGTTCGAGCCACCGGGGTGGGACATGGCATTTGGTCCAAGTCGCACGCCTCATGAATGCCGCATACGTGTGGATGGGCATGATACCGGGGATGATGGGGACGGTAATGCCGATGTCCCTGCACTTCTGTACCCAGTCCAGGAAGATTTCGACATCGTAGAACATCTGAGTGATGATGAAGGTGGCACCAGCATCAACTTTCTCCTTCAGATGCTGCAGCAACAAATCCGGTGGGGTGTCTTCCTCGCAGCCCTCAGGGTATCCGGCAACACAGATATCAAAGTAATCGCCGTAGTTGGCGCGAATGTGCTTCACGAGATCCTTGGCGTAATGGAATCCATCTGGGTCGGCCTCCCACTTCTCGTTCTCCCTCGGGGGATCACCACGCAGGGCCAGAATATTCGTGCAGCCCGCCTTGTACGCCTCCTTCAATGCTTCGTCGACTTTCTCCTTGGGCATGCCCGTGCAGGTCAAATGCATCATGGTTTCCAGTCCGTAAACCGACTGGGCGACATTGACCATCTCGCAGGTCAACTTCGAGAGGCGGCCACCGGCGTTCCATGTGATGTCGATGAACTGGGGACCAAGGGAGTGCATACGATCCATACCTGTCATGCCGTCAGCAACCGGGAATGCGATCGTCCCAAAAGTGACCGGGGATCATACGGTCATAGAGGTTTTGGACACCCTGCAAACGCCGTTAGCGTCACGCGACTTAAAGGAAGAGAATTGTAGCGACGTAGCAACATACCTGGCCCGTCTTCGGGGGGTAGAACTCGAACGAGAAGATGGTCTTCTTCGACTGCTCGCTGTCGGCGAGCTTCTCGCTGATGTGAACCATGTCGGGGCGATTGACGAAAGGCGAAGAAGTGCAATAAAACTAGTCTGAGGGAGCGAAAGTCTAGCGAGGGCGGCGAAAGAGTTGTGAACGGCGAGAGTAGCAGCGACAGCGACGGTCGAAGAGCAGTTTGGACAGGAAGCGAGAGCTGATGGCCGGGTGAAAGAGAACAACTGCAGCGGAATGTCAGTCAGGGCCACTGAACCGGATAGCGACAGCCAAAAGGGCCAATCTGAAGCGAGAGCGGTGAGGGCGGTGAAGGAGGTGAGGGAGTGGTCTGGACGCCCGATGCTCGCGTAGGAGGTGGCTTGAGGACAATGGCGAGCGGATGCGGAAGAACAATTGCAATTGAATGACAGCGGAACCACTGACCTCTCTTTCTGTCTGTGTCGTTTGAGGAGAAGAAAACGAACAGCCTGATTCTGGTTGACACCTTAAGAGATTCCTTCACAGCACAAACCAGCAGGCCTCGTAGCAGAGTGCATACAAAGGCGAACCGGTAGTGAAAATTGGGTTGGACGCGGGCGAGGTTGGAGGTTGAAGGTTGAAGGTTGGATGGCACACAGATGACGGTGAGGGGGAGAGCGAACGCGGGTGCCCGGTCTCTTTCTTTTCTCTGTTTTCTCCCAGTCAGCGGCGCCGTCCTGACTTTTTTTTTTTCGTCGGCTGCGCTATTGCCCGAGTAGGGATGGCGTAAGGAGACGCTACGGTGCTTTTCCCCCACGCTACTCAAGATTCTCCCCCTTGCCCGCCGATGGCAGGATCGATTCGACGATGCGGAACCTCCATGCACGAAACCGAACACCGTCACCAGAACATTCCACCGGTGCCCGCGTGCTGGTAGGATACAAGTCTTCCGAAGCAACTAATCGCTCACGATCTCCACAGGATCAGCCGCGACAGAGAAGCGGTCCGACTGAGGCGCGGACACTCGTAAGCCCGTCTCTCATATCGTTTTCCACATGGCCTCCGCGCTTCCCCGCAACAAAGACAAAGACACATCGGTCCGACCCCACACTCTCGCCGCGCGCAAACGAGAGACAAACCCAGAGCCTTTCGAAGAGCCGACACCACCGAACCGCAAGGTTCCCCTGCAACGTTGACCGTTTCAGGTGGCCTCGGCTGTGGATTCCCAATGCGTAATCACCTGCTGCGATGCAGTAGATAAGATCATCTATCGATAGGTCCGTTACCCGCCTGCCAGATTTCAACAATGTCGACCTGTGCGGTATGTAAACTTGTCGGACAACATGCAGGGGGATGACCGTTGCTGAGTATGGTATGTACGAGGTGATAGGGTTGATGGTGGAGGCTCTGGCTCTGGAATGAATGCGGTTCAATGGTCATTTGCTCGCCAAATAGACACCTAATGAATTCAATCGCCGCGAGCACTCAAATACGGCAGGGAAGAAGCCAAACAGAAATCTATAGCTCTGCCCGCTATTTCATCATCTAAGGGCCCGTTTGAATGGCCTCAGTTTTCAGTTCCAGTTTTAGAGCGAAATTCAGTTCCCCGCTTTTTTCTCTTCCCCGTAAAGGGAGTCCATGGTTGAAGTTAAAATGCGATACTGAGTGCCGGTGAAGAAACTGACCTCCAGAGGTCAGTACCAGTTTCGTCGCTGGAGCCGCACAGTTTCAGGGTTTTTTTTTTAAGTTTTTGTGCCATCCAAACGGGGTCTTAGTTCCATTTGCTCAGTTCCTCGAAAAGCTGACAGTTTTAGCTAAAACTGAGGCTGTCCAAACTGGCCTTAAATCCTTCTAACAGGCCAAATCAAACCTAGTCCATATACTTGCTTTTACCCCAAACAGAAAAACCTAAACCCAAGGATATAGTCCGTAAAACAAAACTCCCGCTGGCCAGCCAACCATCATCAACCCGTGGATACCTATGCGTCGTCCTCACTGTATAGAAATAATCTCGTATGCAGAATCGTCATCGCCTTGAGGGCATCGTGCTCCTTGACTATGCACGAGATGTTGATTTCGTTCGCACCTGTCACCGTGTGTTAGGACCACCACCACTACAACCACAACCACCACCACCATCGTCGTCGGAAACGGAGAGAAACTCACCCTGCGAGATCATCTCAATATTGACACCCGACTGCGCCAGAGTCTGAAACATCTTTCCGGCAACTCCAACCATTTTCTTCATGTGCTTCCCGACCACCGCCAGAATCGTCAATCCTCTAGAAATATCGACGGTGCCCCAGTTCTCCAATTCCTTTGCCGCAACCATGACCGCCACTTGCCGTGCCGGCGTGTCTGTATGCAGCGCCATGGACACGTGCACCTCGCTCGTCGAGATCATGTCCACCGTAAGCCGTCTCGAATCGAGGATCCTAAAGATACCCGCCAAGAATCCATGCGACAAGTTCTTTCTATTGCTGCGGACGTTGAGGATAGTGATGTCGGTCTTCGTAGTGACAGCAGTGGGGCGTTTAAACCTCGGCTTGAGCACCGCAGCGGGAGAAGGCATCCCCTCCATGAGGTCGTCCGGGAAGATGACGGTTCCATGACCCGCAGGATTCATCACGTTCTTGACGCGGATGGGGATTTTCGCACCGATGACCTGTTCCATCGTGAAGGGGTGGATGACCTCCGAGCCCCAGTAGGTGAGCTCCGCCGTCTCCTCGGGTGTGATCACCGGGATAAGCTGTGCCTGCGGAACCTTGCGCGGGTCCGCGGTGAAGATCCCGTCCACCTCTTTCCACACCTGTAGTTCTTCCGCGCCTATGCCCACAGCCAGCAGCGCCGCACACAGGTCCGTGTACCCGCGCCCGATGCTCGCCAGCAGCGAGCCGGGCACGGTGCCGAAGAAGCCTGTGACAACTGGGATGCGGTCTCCGCACGCACGCACCCTCTCCGCAATCGAAAGGCCCACATCGGTATAGAATTCCTGCGTGAGGGCTGCGCCGGTAGAGGCGGGGTGGATTATGTTCTCCAGGTTGACGTATTCAGCGTCCACTCCGCGGTCCCGTAATAGCGCCGTCATGAAGAGACAGCTTAGCTTCTCGCCGGCGCCGATGATGATGTCCTTCGTCTTCGGCGAAATCTCGTCGAGGACTTGGGCAGCCGAGAGGAATGAGAGCAGGCGGGTGCATTCGGCTTCCACTGAGGCGGCGTATTCGGCCTGCAGCTCGGCAGAGGAGATCAACTCTTTCGCGGCGGCCAGGTGGTCCGAAGCGATCGCGGCGACGATCTCATTATGTTCCTTAGAACGTGGGTGGAGCGCTGCGGCGGCCGCCCGGAGGAGGCGCGAGGTTGTGCCCTCCGCTTTGGTTCCGGTGCTAAGGGCCGAGCAGACGATCGCGATACGATGGTTGTCAGTGCTGGGCCTGGGGACTGTCAGTTACATCGCTCGCACTCCCTTCACCAGCAGCTGGGTGGAATACTTGACGATATCCTCGGCAATCCCCTCTGCAAACTTCCCGAGCGAAGTACCTCCGAACTTCTGAATGATCCACTGAGCGCTGACCGGATTTCTCCGTAGAAGTGTTTCGTCGTCGCTGTACCCATTCGAAAGGATCGCATCGTCTGCGACAGCTGAAGGAGGAGGTGCCATAGTTGAAATTGTCGAGTTGTATAGAACCGGAAAGGATTTCGATCTCAATTGTCAAGTTGTATAGATAGAATCGGAAAAAGATTTCGATCTCAATTGCAGTAGGAATGGAGGAAGGAGAATGTTGAAGTTGAAGTTAAAGCCGCAGCTCATAGAGCAAACCAGACCATTGAAGGTATAGAAGCTCCAAAGGTATTGAAGGGCTAAAGGTGAGGTGAGTCAACGTCCTTCTATGTCTTACATACATGCTGTATCCACTCTGGCGCCGGGAAAATTCACAACTTTTTTTTTTCCTAACGGCGATCGACAAGGCCAGTCAAAGCTCAACCAGCTTTACCGGTCCGCGCCAGCGGACGCGGGAAATCTGCGGAGGTTAGGGTTCCTGCTAACTATGGCCAATCATCATCTCGGAGAAGCGAAGCAATCGAGATTCAGGAACAGTTGCATGTGTCAGACCGGTAGAGTACTTATCCTCATCTCGTTGCGATTTATTCAGTGATGAGGATGTAGAGTATTGAGCCCCCCAGATGCCGAGGTGGGCACTGTTTTGAGGTTTTGCGGGGTAAGCAAGATGAACCGTACTTTCCGCCTCATCCGCCGCCGTATCGGGTCCGATATATCCCTCATTTTAATTGCGGTCGCCTGGGTGTATGGGCTGGAGACGAGGGGCCTTGGTCTGCTTGGGACGAGAACGAAAACAGAACGTTCGAGAGTCGAAACCCCCCACCCTCAAATAATAAAACGAAAAATACATAAAAAAAACGGACGAGAGGTGGGGTAGCAAAGTCGATAGAGTACCTGCATTTGCAGATGGTATAGATCCCCTAATAAACAAACTCCAACTTTTGGTCACAATTATCTACATGACAGCGGGTACTCCCATCCCCAGATCTTGGCCTCGACTGCATCTGCATCTGCATCTACTTTCCGGAGGACTCTCTACCGGAACAGTCTCAGACCATCATCGGGAACCACATCCTCCATATCCTCGTCCTCATCCTCGTCCTCGTCGACCCTGACACGTTGGCCGAGCAAGCTCGAGAACAACTCCGTAATCTGCGTTTCCTGCCATCCATTATTCGGATCAGGCGCCATAAAGTTCTGCAGCTTCTCGTGCACATGGTATCGGAGCTTGCGTCCCTTGCTGGCTTTGGTATCCACCTTCTTCTTTTTCTTGGCGTCACGCATGGCCGCCGTCCACTGCAGCGCACCTCCGGCTGAGGAGTCGACCATACGTTGGTCCACAAGCGCCTTGAGCAGCTGCTGGTAGAGATCCGTGTCGTCGAAGATCTCGGGATCTTGCTCGATATCGTCATTTGCTGCCTGGATGGGCGCACAAGAGCGGGGCGTGCGGGTACGAGATATCAGGCGCTCGTGATCGGTGGAGAGGGATTCCCGAATTGACGCAGTGAGCGAGCGTGGTGTTGCGTTGTTGAGCTTCTTTCCGACACCAACAGTAGATACTGTTTGTGTCTTGTTGGACCACTTCTCCAGAACGCCCTCTCGCCAGGGCGTAACCTCGGTCTCCAACCTGGCCATCTTCTTCCAGATTTCGGCTATTGGGGTATCCTCATCGATCTCATCCGCCTTCCGCTTCTTGAGGTTCGGCGTGCGGGAAGAGGTGATATCGACGCGGAGCGAGTGAAGGGTATTCCACAGCTTGATAGCCGACGCCTCCGCCGCTTTCCATGTCTCTTGCGCTTCGGGTGTAGCTGGAAGCGCTGCTTGGAGGTTTGTGGGAGGAAGAGAGTTGACCGCGGTCAGGGCTTTCTGTAGCTTGATTCGGGCACCAAGGAAAGAGTCGAAGGTCTTTTGTTGCTGTCGCACAGCGATACCTTTTTCGGCGTCGCTTTGGGCGGCTTTCGTGATGTTCTCGGAGATGGCCCTGTGAGGTTAGACAACAGAATACAACATAGAGGGAGGGGCAGTACTTCTTCTCGTCGGCCATCATCTTCGACAGAGCCTGTCGCTTCTCCTCTTCCTCCTCGTCCTCATCTTCATCTTCCTCCTCGCTTCCGTCCTCTTCGTCACCACTTTGACTCTCGTTGTCGCTTTCCTCATCGTCCCCTGTAGATTCGCCTTCCTCTCCACTCTCCTCCTCCTCATCTCCACTCTCCTCCTCCTCACTGTCGCTACCAGCAACCTGATCTCCCCTCTTCGGCACCTTGCCCCCCTTCGTCGTCGCACTACCACTGAACTTCCACCCCGCAAACCGTCCCTCATCACCGCCATCACTCCCCAGCGCATCATCGCTATCAATCTCATCGTCATCACTGCCAACTCCAAAATTAATATCCCCCTCCATCACGTCCTCGATAGCCACGCCCTCCTCACCACTATCATCCTCATCATCCTCCTCATCCTCATCCTCCTCCTCCTCATCAGAATCGTAGAGTTTATCCCTACTAACCCTCGCACCCTCATACTTCTTCCCTAGCGGCGCGAGCGCGAGCGCACCCTTCTTCCTCAGAGCGCTCTTTCCGACGGCGACGTAGTGTTCGCGGGCACGGTCTACGCCCTCGTCGTCGTCCTCATCCTCACTGCCGCTACCATCATCGCTAGGCGCCTCCTCGCCGTCGGCAGAGAACTCATCGTCGAGGCCTTCGGGATCGAAATCTAGACAGACAGCGCACTTACATTAGCATCTGGAGAGCGCGGGGGAGGTGGGGGGAAGGGGGGGAAGGCGAGCATACCGCGCGGCGCAGGATCGTCAAGCAGCGCGAGCTGCTCGTTCAGCGTGAGAGTCTTTTTGGGGGCCATTGTGGCGGTTGGAGGAGTGTGGTGGATGCGGTTGCGATGCTGTGCTGTGCGCGGCGGCGGCGGGATGAAGGTTGGTTGGTTGGCCAATGCAGGAAAAAAATGTTAAGCCGCACGCACTAGCAGGGGTACTGGCTGTCGCGGGCGGGACCTAGAGTTTGGGAGGAAGTCATAGGGTAGCACTCGGTGTGGAAGGAGTGCTCGAGGGAGGGTTTGAGATATAGAGACGTGAGAAAGAGCAGTAGGATATGGATATGGGTGCTGGAGATAATGCTGCTGTGAATGCGGCGGAAATCACAACACGCGGAGGTCGAGTCATCACTTGTGACTCTGGGCTCGACAGTCCTACGCAGCCATGACTGACCGCCCACCGCCCACCGCAAACCGCAAACCGGTCGATCTTATCCTTCACCTTCATCTTAGATAGCCATACAAGCCGTCCGTCCAAGTCCTGTTGCATACACTACATACCGGTACCTCCATGTAAAATTCCCGGGTTCCCGCATATTCAGACCGGCCGTTTGCGTCCCCCCGGCCTCCCCAACCCCCCATGTCAGCACCTTCTTTCATCGCCCGGATGCAACCTCCGGCAAACCTCAATCTCAACCCTCAACCTCAATGCGTGCCGCTTGTGGTATGGCGCCACCGGAAATTTTAGTTAATCCGTCGTCTTGGAGGAAATGTTGCTCGCAACGGCTGTGTCTTTTTATCAGACCCCCGGCATAGGATGCAGCTTCGCGGATGGCCGGTTGGACTGGTTGAGAAGGATTTGTCGTTGCCATAGTTGGGTCACTTGGGTGGGGAGTGACGTGGCTTAGGTATGGCGGCGATTCGTGGGCTTGAAGTACCAGTATCTAGGCACATTTCGAGTTGATTTCATTCACAGTTCTAGGTCTATCCATTTGATGAAGAAACGTAAGGTATTATTCTCATGAACATGAGTAAACAGCAAAGAAAAGAAAACAAGAGCGGACACCAATGATCAATTACACCACATTAACTCCGTCTCAAGTACAATCATCAGATGATCCGCGCAGATCGTTCAGTCATTACGAATCAGTCCAGTTTTTAGACCACACCCTCCACCTTGTGAGTGTTGTGAGTAGCACCATTGTGGTTTCCGCCGTTCAGGATCCCTCTAAGACCGCCACCGGCACCACCCATGGCTCCGTGAGCAGCGTCGAAAGGAGCGCCCGTGGCCATTCCCTCGCCCTCGCCCCAGCCCGCCTTCCTAGTGGCAACAGCCTCGCCCCATCCATCCTCGCCGCTGAATCCGTAGTGGAAGCCTCTCATGTTGCCCCTGGGAAGGGGAACGTGGTTGAAGCGGAAGTCCCAAATGCTGGCGTACATCATCCTGTAGGCGCTCAGAGCGAACATGGTACCGATGATGGCGCCGGCGACAACGTCGTACCAGTGATGGTACTCGTCAATAGTGAGGGAACCGGCGATCAAGGTGGCACCGAGGATGGGGGCGTAGAGTGCGGTGAGCTTCCACATGTGCGGCGCATAGTTGGAGAAGACCTTGAGCTTGGCGTTGAGGTACAGGTACAGGAAGACGAGACCCGCAACTTGTGAAGTGTTAGTATCGGGGGCTATCCGAGGTTGAAGGGAGGGGACGCCGTGTGTACTTACAGGCAGCAGTAGAGTGGCCGGACGGGAACGATTCGAGAGAATCGTTGATCTCCTTCGTATCTCCGGAGCAGATGGTACGGGTGTACATGATCTGTCTCAGGCCGTTTCCGGTGTTGAGAAGGCCAGTGACACCATCAACGCCGACTTCGGGAATGCGAGGTTTGCAAACCTAGCATCACAATCCATCAGTACGGCACAAAGAAGTAGAAGGACATGGACAACTAACCGCCAAAAAGTGAGGCCTCAGACCACCGATCAACCACTTCAGGAAGACCTGGAACACGGCAGCATTGATGAGAGCGTAAAGCAATCCCATGACAGCGTTGTTGAAGTCCCAGAAGCTGCGGATGCGGATCTGCATGCAGGCCATGATGAAGATGGGGATGATGCTGGCCAGGAACGCAGCGAGCCAGATGGGGATGATGTTCTTGCGCAGGGGGTAGGCGAACTGCGGGTACACGATTTCGCCATCCTGGAAGTAGACGGGGAAAGAGCGAGTCGGGGCGGGAGGGGCGTAGTAAACCTGTGTTTTCCATTCAGCGGTTGTTGTCTGACAGCGAGAGGGCCACTTACACCAAGACCGACAGCTCCGAGAACGACCATAGTCAGGAGGTCGAGCCAGACCGTGCGGAACCACTGTCCCATGGGCGGACGGCGATTCGTGTGATACTCGGTGTACTGGTGAGCAGGCGCAGTGCCAGTGCCAGCAGCCGCGGTGTTACCGCGACGGTTGAAGAGGCCCATTTTTTACTGGAGATCGTTGAACGATCGAGGAGGGATGAGAGGGGGGTGGTGGTTGTGGTGGTTGTGGGGTACGGGGTTGTCGTTGTTTTTCGCTGGCCCTGTTGATTGAGGGGGATGGAGAGGAGAGAGGGATGGACGGGGTGAAGAGGGTAATAAAGGAAAGGAAACGGGTGAGCTGCAAGTAACGAAACCGGACTTGCCTCTCTTTTTTTTTGCTCTTGTGGCGTTTGTGTTGTGTTGCTGCCGTATGCGTCGTGCCGGCAATGACGTCATTCTCTAAGACTACCGATTGATCGCCAGTGGTGGGATGCTTCTTCACGTGGACTCCACTCTAGCGCCAGCCAGTTGCTGGATGTGGCGTAGCGACCGTTGACAAGCTTTCTTGGCCAGCGGGCCAGCGGTAGGCGGAAGCTTGTTTGATGAGGCGCACCGGCTGAGTCGGCACAATCCGCCCCTTGCCCCCCCAGCCACCAATCGAATCTCGCTGCAACACGCGTACTCCAACTACCGTTCGCCTGGTACTCCCCTCCCCATTGAAAAACAAGGAAACCAAGAAATCAGGTACTCTACATCATCGGGTTTGGGGAAGCGAAATTGTCCTAAGCATCTTGTCGCTCATATGTACTAACCAGTCGTAACTGGCTATACTCTATCTGTGAGGAGAATCGAGTGCCCAAAATAACTCTTGTCGCGAGTGGACGACGGCCGTCGATTGTATGTACCGGTATGTAGGAGTTTTCTTCGTGTCGAAAGAACCCGGGAACAGTGACATCCTGCAGCAATTTCGAAACCTTGGTGCGTGCCTCGCAGAAACTACTACTAGGTAGTAGATAGCCTTGTCACCGCCGAGTACACGTAGGTCAGTACAATGTACTTCTGGGTGCAGACTAGTTTTGCCCATATCCAACCCGCCTCTCCCCCCGTCATACATTCCGTCATGTCGGCTACGCAGCAGGGGCCTACCGGTATGGTAGGATGCCATGGTTACCAAGAAGTGGCCGAGGATGATGGGGGTGACGGATGACGGATGATGTAGCACTCGGTGTTGAGTTGTTGTGCTGTACGTACATTGCGAAGATACGCCGTTCGGTCGTCTAGTGTGGGAGGAGGGAATAGGTAGAGTTCGGTGGGTTATTTGGACGATGGCTTTTGATGGAAAACACTGACTGTCTGTCGTCCCAAAATGCTGGAGATATCGGCCCAAAAAAGGGCGATGTGGATATTTATATTGCCGAACCAACGAAACGGGCCTCAAGTTCGATGTGGCGGCAGACGGTCACGGCCAATGAGTGCCTCCGGTTCGCTCGCCTGCCTCCATCCAGTGCAAATCGATCCTCATATCACAGCCCCAAGGTAAACCACAGTGTGAGCGACTGACAGGTACTGTGCAGTAGAGCGCGTCACGATTCCAGATACGCCGTAGGTGGTCCTTTGTGGAACAGGCGATGTAGTAGGTGCATGTTGTGGGATTCGGGGGCCAGACCGACTCGGTCGCCTCAACGTTGAAATGTCCTCTGTTGCTACTTTTATGTTCGTCTGTTCTGTTGTTCAAAACACAAGACACGCGACATCAGACATTATCATCACCACAGACATTATTTTTTAACATCGCGGAGATACTTCGAAATTGTTCGGCCTGAAGAACATAGGCTGCTTTCTTTTCTTGTTGCTTTCTAGGTAGTCAATCCAATCAGTCTCACCAGTTTCCCGTACCGGTCGGAGGTCTCCCAATATCAATACTCGTGTGTACACGAGCCCCCCTGCTGTACATACCAAAAAGGACGATAATATTAACACCGTACTATAAAATCGAGCAGATCCGTCGATACGGTGTTGATCAGGTATGAAAAAAGAAAAGAAAACCAAACGTTTGATGTATTGTCAATCCGAGGGTGCTATGTACATACAAAAAAAAAGGAAGAAACCCCCATTTTTGCTACTGTATCAATGAAGTTCCGTCCTCGCAACGGCGGTAGCAACCCCTCGCCTCACACGAAAGTCGTCACTCTCGGCGCAAAGCTGCGCCATCGCAACACCCGGTGTGGTGGAGAGAGAGGAGGAGCTGTTGGTGAGAGGAGGAGCTGTTGGTGAGAGGAGGGAGTGAGAGGAGGACCTGTCGGCGGGAGAAAACGATTGCGATTAGTAGTGGGCATCAACGTTTGGTATTGTGGGACGCAGCTGGAACTGGCGTCTTGGCATCATTTTTGGACCCTTGGCTGAGGACCTTGGGCGGACTTGTTGTCAAGATGTTGGGACCGGCTGTCGATCCTGGGGCTGCAGGGGAGGACCTGTTTTGTTTTGCTCGTTGATTCTGTTTGTTTTGTTCGCTTTTGTTCTCGGCGGTGGTGCGACGATGCAGTGTCGGTGAAAGTTGATGTTGCGCCCGACATGGTCTAGCGCAGTCGGCCAAAGTTGGACGATCTGTTTTATTTATTCCGAGAGGGGCCGCACTTTTCTGGAAGTGTGTATCGTTCATCATCTGATTTCTTTGCTTGTTGCTTTCTTCGGTCTAGAGCCGTCTTGCTTTCTTCTAGTGTGCCCTTTTATACATATCATCGGCTCTGCGGACGCGCTTCTACTTTCTCATACAATTTCTCTATTCGTGACTTATGACCTGCCCCGGCGGGATCGTCTTCTTCTTCTTTCTCGATCATCCTCTATCGAATAGACGATTAATTTCTATATCTCCTCTTTCTTCTGTGTGTGCTCTCCTCTCGATCTAGCCTCCGGCTCGGAGGGGTGGTGGCAAAAGAGCCGTCTGCAAAACCGGGCGGCATGTTGCTTCTCCGGAAGTCATCTTTTCACGAGCGCCGAACTTTCATCTGCATCAATGGTTCATGACTCTACTTCAAACTCAACCGTCCTTCAAACTCAACCGTCCTTCGAACTCGACCTTCATTCGAACTCAACGGTCATTCGAACTTAGCCGTATATCGACTTCGACGAGGGCGAGAGTAATGGCGATTGCAAAAGCTCATCCTCCGTTCAAAAGCTCCTACCTAGAATCTTGGAGAGTCTATGGTAGACTCGCAGAGGGCCGCGAAAGATTCTCGCACATCAGCAACGTCTGATGCGAGTGAATGAAAATTCTAGCGTCACAATGAATCACTCGTGGCGAGGGTTAAGTTTGAAGTTTGTTGAAGACTGATGTTCGGGTGGAAAAAGCTCTCGAATGATTCGTCATATGGCCGATGAGCTGGACGAGACAGGTCGTATGGATAGTCATTTGACTGATGAGCTGGGCGAGACAGGTCGCATGGAGAAAGCCAAATTTGGCCGAAGCCATGATAATTGACTTGAATTATTTCTATAAATGTTGCCCGCGAGCACCCCCTGTCCCCACTCTCTTCGATTCTACCTTCAACCTATTCGATATTCCTCGGTTTGGAGACTTGAAACCCAGAAGCATTCAGATATTCGTGGTACTTGAGCAATCGTTCGATTTTGAGTCTTGGTGGCTGTGCTAATCATATGGCGAATAGATGTCCGTCAATATCTTCACCATCACCGCCACTATGAATAATAGTACGGTGATGGGCAGTTACGGTGCTACTACCAACGTACCCACCGACTTCGCCTTGTTATACCTACCCGAAGGGTTGGGAACTGAAGGTGCGGTGGCGCCGGCATACACCGGCCAGCCTCCCATGACGCACCATCGAGATCGATGCCATCTTGAAGCAAGGACTCACCGGTTCCAACAACTCAACAGCGGTCGATATCGACCTTAGCCTCCTGCCGCCTGTCCTTTTGAGGAAGGAATTACCGTCTGCCACCACCACCAGCACCGATGCCGACATTGAAGACAACGGCACAGAGTACGACGAAAATGAGGAGGAATACGCTGGAATGGAGGACGATAGCGCGTCCTTCCTCCACCGTCCCCTCACGGCGGAGGCCATAGACACAATCTGCGCCTCACCTTCTTTCGAGTTGACGTCTGGGAATTTCGTGGCCTCGGGAACTGGCGAGTTCCTGAAGGAGTATGCGCTGCAGCAGCAGTCCACGCCGGTCTTCCGATCCAGTGGAATCCTGAGCTCACTGGCCGCCACACACCTCGGCGATCCGAATCTCCACTACGGAATCTCCACGCCTCACCGCTGCGCCCCGTCCTGTTCCTCTGTCGTCCGCAAGCTGCAGGACAACATCGATGAGGCCCGCGCCGTGTATTTCACCTTCCTCTCCGCGCAACACCTAGCAGAGACGCTCAAGTCTCTCAGTAACGGACTGCTCGCGGCACAGGGGAACGTAGCAGAGATTTCGGCGGCGATGGCCGAGCACCTTTCCAAAGCTGGAGACACTCGGAGCAGTCCATAGATTAAGTACGCCCTAAAACTTTCGAATTTTGCGCTTCGACAGGTGGCCGGATTCATTCCCCCCCTTCTCAGTTTGGATTCCATCGAGGAAGCCTTGGGCTGTAGACTCAATGCCGACAAGGCGAGGATCACCTACTTTAGAAAGGCGATGAAGGAGTTCCAAACTGGGGTACGCGCCAATATGCTGGATGTTGCCTACAGCAATGTCGGACGTGAAAAGGTCAAGATGGAAAGCATTGAGACGGGCCTGAAGGCGGCTAGCCAGCGTGTGGAGCTGATGGAGAAGACCATTCTGACGGTGCTGAGTACTGCGTAACTCATGGAAGGAGGCATCCGCAATGTCAAGAAAAAGGAATACGTGTCGATGGGTCTCGGGGCATTGCTGAGTCATTGAAGTGTTAAGATACAGATGGGGTTATTGTCCAAGGGGAGCCTTGCATCTGTGAGCCAAAATAAAGTTTGGCTTCAGAGCTGGACTATGCAGACTGTCGAAGTCTCGCGGAACTCTCTCGCGGAGGCAGCCGATAAAATATTCTTGGGCTATGGACTCCGAGACGATGGTTCCAGCTTGCTGACGGATATCATCTACTTGGGCACATTCTTGCCAGCCGGTCGAGATGGCGAAGTTGGCTATTACCATTCCGGACAGATGGAAGCGTTAGTTTCCTTTCCGCAAACTTTGGAGCTCCACTGACACCCTCGCAGTAAGATCAAGCGTGCCGTAATGCTCAAGGCTCTCAACCACGCTTTTCGGTTGCAGTCCATCTACATCATGTGAACCGCCGACTATCGAAAGACCACGAAGCCGCATCGGCCTACGTCCGAGCGGCCGATGAATGCGCAGAATTGCCGCCGAGACAACACGGGTTCGATGGACTTCAAGGCGTGTATCGACGATCAGGTTTGCTACATGTACCGATTCAACGACGCGGGAACTAGCTTTGACTGGCACAACGAGCGGGTCCCCGGAAAGGAAATGTAGGAAGAGGAGCCATGGAATATTAACACCTCGGATGTTATCGAGTCTTTGGTTCGAGGGTATTACGACGATTCTCGCGATGCCAATGATGTCAACTCGCTTTCGCGGCTCAACACCGTCGAGAGTATAAGCCAGGACAGCTTCGAGGCGTCAATCGATGCACGCACTCCAGGCGTCTTCACCATCCCTGTTTGTTTCTCCGAGCACAGCTGGTCTACCGTCGTCGATGGCCACTACCCACCGCACAAGCTCATGCATAACCTGGACGCCCGCAACTCGATCAAAGCCGTGCCCTGCAACTGCGGGCCATGGGGTATCGATAGGGAGCAGTTCTGGCAGGAGGTCGGCTTTGGCGGCGACGACCTCGGGCGGTCCAAGACCATAGCACGCAAGAACTGCGGTAATCACATCGGTTACAAGATCAAGGATCCACTGGAAAAGTTCGTGGCTTTGTGTCGGATGGATCTTAGACGGACCCCCTCCAAAATGCCTAATGCCATTGACTCCGGCAAGCATCCGAGCTGCGATACCATCACCAGTCTGATCGACCAGAGTGGGCTCACTCTTGAAAAGCTGAAGAGTGGTCGCCCGGAGAGCTACGTGGCTATCCAGTGCTTTGCGGGGATCTTCAAAGACAAACACCACAAAGATGTCTGCGAGAGGTATAAGGCGATGGACTTGGGAAGTCTGCTGAGGGTGGTGGGGGAGGAGGAGGTCAGCAGGAGGCTACCCAAGAATTTAACGCCTCCGGCGTCAGAATGGGTTTTGCTGTGGACACTGAGGTGGGTTTATTATGTTTCGGGAAGGGCAGGAGTTATTTTGTTTCGAGAAGGGCTGGTGTTATTTTGTTTTCGGGAAGGGCAGGCGTTATTTTGTTTTCGAGAAAAGGGAAAAGCGACTCCGCCCACGGTTATGGGCTTGTTACTTGAGATAGCCGTGCTCCTCGAGGACACGGTAATACATTTCGCTGCTTTTTTTTCCAGACTAGAGTATATAAAGCAAAATATATGGGTTTTGTTTTTGGTTTAATCATTAATTGCATGCGACCCGTGTAGATCATGACAATGTCTACCCGTACACCACCCGTTTCCACGCCACTGTCCGACTCGACTGTCACCGAGCGGCCCGATGTGGCTTTCCCTACTCTCCGCCCTGGCCTTTCCCGACAATACATGAATGCACCAAATAAATAGCACTAGGAGAAGGCAACGGCCGCGCCGACGACTCGTAGCCTGTTCCCTCAACTCGTCCGCTCCCTCAACTCTTCCGCGCCCTCACCACACTCCGCATCGCTGCCTCCTGCCTCTTCTAAAGCAAAGAGTATATAAAGCAAAATATATGGTACCTATTGAACATAATCCCACCAAGATGATTTGAGTGTTGCGTGATGATGCGAGGCCAGCATTGCTTCGACGGCTAGGTACTATAGACCCTCGTATACACAGCAGCGACGACAAACCAGTAGATAACGTAGCAGTAGCTAAATCCAGGCTCTATTCTGTCCAAGTCATCTACTGTATTACGCGGAAAGTTGTATGTAGGGTTCTACAGCGGCCAGTTACACATCTACAGTGAACTGCCTCATATGTTTTCACTGCTGAATGTCGAAATAGAGAACGGGACTGAGATTCGACCTGATCCGATATGATTATTGACCAGACCGTCCGTTCCAAGCCTCCACGGTTCCACCTCATTTTCGCCATTGATCCTCAGCCTTGCTGATGGTTGTTCTGTTCTCTCTTCCTTCCTTTCTTCCTTTCTTCACACTGCAGCACAACACCATCGGGTATCCTCTCGGTAGGGAATCAATTCCTGAAAGCCCGGGTCTGTCTATCAATCGCGCGATAAGAATCACATATCAGCTTAGTCAGGTCTGGTCTATGGAACGGTATATACCGCGACCGTTGAAGCACCATTATGCCTCAAGTACTCTACTCACGACGACAACGACAACGACAACGATAACGGCAGCCACTCGCCCGCCACTCGCCCGCCGCCCGCGCGCACAGTCCACGCCCATAGTATGATACTTCCCATTCTGCGCCATAACACCACAACACCACAACACCACAACACCACAACACCACAACACCACAACACCACAACGCCTCGCTCTCTGAGCTCTCCGAGTCCGAGGCGGCTTGTTCCTGTAGGCTGCATATGTACGCAAGTTTGTATAAAACATCCGGACTCTTGTCTTCCGCGAATCTATAAAGGGTAATCGGCTAAAGTGCAAGCGCCTGTCGTCGATAGATACCTACTCAGAACTCTACTCTACTCTAATCTAGATAGTAGAGGCTGGCATCGGCTAACATAGGTAGGTAGGCTGTAAGGAAGGACGGCGGGTTTCCTTGCGCACATCAATTGTCTTGGGATCGGGTTCTAATATACCGGCACTACTATTATTCCGAAGGTCGTATGTTATATAGTACCTACCTACCTAGATCAATAGACTCTCGCTGCCACGGCGAACGTGTTCGAATATCTACTTCCTACATAAATAGCTTCGCGCTTAACTCCGCGCAGCATGAGCAGCACAAGATCAGGCCGTGCCGATCTCACGACCATGGAGTACCGTACATATCCCAACCAACTCGTACGAAGCACGGGGTATAAAATCATCGTCAATCTTGCCGATTGGTGTTTGTCGAGGATAGCCGAGTTGAGTGAGAACTGATGAACTGGATTGGCCCACGGGGGAGAGGGAATGGAATGGAATGTTCTTTATCCGGTTCGTAGTGTTCCAACGTACGAGTACTCTACATATAGGTAGTACAAGAACAACGGAGCATCACGTTGTAACTTATCTCCGGTCCTGTGGATGGAGTAGGTATGGACTCGGAGTCTTTTTCCACGGAGGAGCCTCTTCTTCTTCGACTTCACTACGAGAAGCTACAGATTGGCATTGGGATTGACACGGGGTGGCCAGACCAACCGGTTCTCCACATCTTATCCGCCGAGAGAGACTGAGACATTGGCGGGCGGGCGAGTGGAACGTACGAGATTTGAGGCGTGCAGACATGCGATTTTCGAGGCGTGCGGATCGCCTCCTGCTTTCCCCGTGTATAGTAAAGCTGTGTGCATGTGCCAATCACTCGAGCACTCGAACTCGCCCCACCATCACCACCAGCACCACCACCCGCATCGCCCCCCCTCCCCCAGTCCGCATCCGACACTGGCACTGACGAATCATCAGCGTCTCGCACATGTCTCTCCCCCCATCCTTCTTCCTCAGTGCACTGCGCACCTGCACGCACCACTGCACACTTCCCCACCCCCCGCCCCACCGGGTGAATGTGCACATTCATCCAGCATCCATCCATCCATCCATCCATCCATCCACCATCCATCCATCCATCCTCTCAAGCTCCCAGGCTCTCAAGCTCTCACATGTCCTTCTCGCGCCACCTCGTACGTCGTCGTCGTTCCGGCGCTCCCCCGGACGCGTCGTACACCTTAAACCGCACACTACACGGTACTACCCGAAAAGTGCCGATGTGCAGATAGAGTATGCTCAGCATTGTGCGGTAGCTACTCTAGATAGAGTGGGGATATGGGTAGATATCACCCCGATAGCTCATACTTTGTAGCTGTAGGAGGTAGTGTGCTCGAGGGTGTGTGAGAGGGGGTGTGAGAGATCTAAAACAGCGACTGACACACTGACACCTTCCATACTATGATGCTATGTATGGGGATATAGCCGAGTTATGAACCGAGGGTCCGGGGGCGCAAGCCCGCTTGGCTGGAGCTTGGCTGCAGTCCTACGGTGTGGGCGCCAATGGGATCGCACGGTTTTTGAACGTGCACGAGGATCTCACAATACCGAGGAGCAAGAGGATCTCACAATACCGAGGAGCAGGAGCGGGAGCAGGAGCAGGAGGAGTTGGAGGAGGAGGAATCATTCCTTCATTCGCGATGACAATAGTGTAGCATCGCACCCATCCACCCAGCTTGGGCGTAAATCTCCAAAAAGCCCAAAAACCATACAGAACAAAACACGATTAGAAAAACAAGTAATACACGCTACAGATCGCGAACCCAAAAGAAAAGAAAAAAGCCAATCGTAACCACGTTATTTTACGCTACGTCACGTCCTGGACCAAGCCCACTTGACGCTCTCTTCTGCCGCGCGCAGAGCCTCACGCTCGGCATCAGACTCGTAACCACGCCATTTGTCCATCGACTCCTGTTGCGAACGTTTTTTTAGCCATGTTCATCTTATATCCCCATATCGTAGTAATCGTAGAGTAAAGTAAAACATACCTTCTGTTCCTTCGAACTCGCGGTACTCTGCGCGGCCTCCACGGCGGCGGCAGCAGCGCCTTGTGATGTCGCCGCAGGAGTTGTAGCGACGGACATGGGCCGGGCGAGGAGTTTTGGGCCGGTGCACAAGAGTTTTGGGCCAGTGCGGAGGAGCTTTGGGCCGGACGAGAGCGGGCGCGCCAGAAGTTTGGGGCCGGCGGCGGTGCGGAGGAGGCGCGGACCGCTGCAGAGAAGCTTGGGACCGGAAGTGCTGCGGAAGATGGACGACATTTCTTGTGGGGTTTGGTGGGTGGGTTTTTTGGTGGAGGTGGGTGTGTGTGGGTTTGTGAGGTGGATTCGAGTGGGCAGTGTGTATGTGTGTGTGTGTGAGGAAGTAAACTGGAGTGGAACTGGAGATGGAAGATTCGATTGAGGGAGTGGAAAGGGGGATATATACTCTACACACGCCCGAGATTTTTACATCACGCTATTATACGCTCACGCATATACGCGTCCTGTCGGGAGAGCAAGTTAGACGCAGAAGCAGAGGTCATAGCGATTGTTGAATTGTTGATGGCCACGGTGGCCGGCAACGGTGCCGCATTAGGCTAGGGATATCTAGGGGATGGAGGTGTGTTGAGGTTCGGAGATCGACCGCTAAACCATCTGCCGTATTGCTTTTGTGGGGTTGGTTTGAGCTGGGATCGATGCTGGTTGGCTGGCTTCCAAAGTTGGGGGCCGGGACTGGGGTCGGACGAATGATGGCCGGTGGGATGGGAGCGATGGCGGCGAACATGAGATCTCACTCATCTGGCATATCAGTCTTATCGGAGGACGGCGTTTCGGAAACTGGAACCTGCCCAGCCAAAGGCCTTCCCTTTCGGAAAAAATATAATGCGATGGTTACGCTTCATTTCCAAAGGCATATGTAGAAAAGCCAAATTCATGTCTCTCCTCGGCTCGCTACATGCTCAAAAACCCGCGCTCAGTGAAGTTGCCGGCAGCCCCTTGCACCCGGTCCCACTCCAGCACGGCACCCAGCAACACCTGAGCTCCGAGAGCCCTGTTCGATCTGTCAGCATCTGTTCTCTTTCCCCGTACGTACGCGAACGGGGCACGGGGGGCGGGAAGACTCACCACTCCTCGGGACCATTATCCTCCGGGACCATGACAACACCGGTCGGCACGCCTCTGCGCGCAGTATTGACAGCGTCCATTGGGCTTTCCACAAAATTCTCGACGACAGTACCCTCGCCGAGCTCACCCACGCTGACTCCGGGACCCAACAGCCCCGTCTCGTGATCACCCAGCAAGCCACCGCCACTCACATCTTCCAAACTCTCCCTGATGGCCGCGATACAGTGCTCATCAAACCTGAGTTCGGGCTCATCCATGACGACCTCAACCTTCTCAACAACGCCGCCCTCCTCAAACGCAATTTTCGCGAACATCCTCAACGCCTCCTCCTGAATCTCATCCACATTCTTCCCCATAATATACAGCGAAAACTTCGCCTCCCTCGGCGTGCCCGCAAAGCCCGCATTCGCCGCCTCGAACACGCCGGTGCTCACCCTGCCATTAAGCATATTGCCCACCTCTCTCCCAGCGAGGACACACCTGCCGGCAGCAGCGAGCGCATCGCCTCCCTTGACAGACACCTCAATCCACCTCCACGCCTTCGCGCCAGTCCCGATCTCAATCTCGTCGATCCACTTCGTGGGGAGCGCCTCGAAGTACGCGCCGAGCTGCACGCTGGCGTCGAGCGAGCCCAGCCACCCGGACTCGCGCAGACACGCCTTCACCGTGCGCCGCCCCGCGTGGTCGCTGCCTACCTCGCGGATGCCCCACGCCTCGTCGACGCCCACGTGGCCCGCCCATACGCCGCTGCCCAGGAGCGCCCGTGGAAATCGGCTCCCGCTGGAACATGACCAGCCGATCAGGGTTATTGGGTGCGTGGTCTCAACGGCGTAGTCCTGCAGCGTGCGGACTACTTCGAGCGCGGCGAGGAGCGGGAGCGGAGAGGAGTCGAGGGGCCCGCCGAGCGCGATGGAGGGCGCCGACGGCCGCGGGGATGAGGCTAGAGGGAGGAAGAGAGAGCCGAGGTCATCGATTAGCGGGGTGACACCCAGCGTTGTGGTAAGGTAGTGGCGGAGGGAGGTTGTGGGCGGGAGAAGAGAGGTGCCCGTTGGCAGTGGATAGCTGCGAGGATCAGTGCTGCCCGGCGATCTGGAGGGGGGATTAGGCATGTACGAGTGATTGAGGGGCTTCGCGACCGAGAGATTGGCCAGCTCCTCGACGGTGGACTGCAGGCGAGCGGCATTGATACGGATCTGTGGCGGCGAGCTCGAAGCCGAACTGTAGCGTCGGCTGTACGTGAGGGCGAGTCTTGTGGTACTCGAAGTCCGTGACGAAATGGATCGAAGAGCGCGGGTCACAAGCATTTTTGATCGGGTGAATGCCTAAAGTATAAAACTGGAGATAATGAAGCGAGTGTGGTTATCGTCCGTAGTGCAGAGTAGATGTCGAGGTTGTTTGTCGTGACGTCTCAGAAAGCGGGGAGCCGCAGATAGGTCGCATGCCCAGATAGCATGCCGCTGACATAGATACGGTGCCGATCACCAACTGGGGGGCCAAGTACAGCCCTATCGGGTAGAGCACATTCACTCCCTCTTCTTCGCGGATTTTCCGCTTCTCCTCACAATCAAAGCGAAGAGCAGACGACAATTTCGCTGATGAAGTCAAATGTAAACCTGTATTGCAGTTGAGACGATACAATGCGGAAAGCCAAAGAAAATAGGGCATGACAAACACACGTCTCGAAAAAAAAAATGTACAGAACCCCAACGTACCCCCCAAAAACACCCTATCTGCATTCTAGCAAACATCTCGGAACAGAATAACCCCCCACCTATCTACCTCCTGTACCACATCCGGGTGATCTTGGTGTTCCTCATCTTCTTTTGCAACTGCAAGATACCATAGCACAGCGCCTCACTAGTGGGCGGGCAGCCAGGCACGTAGACGTCAACGGGCACGATACGATCGCAGCCTCGAGTGACCGAGTAACTGTAATGATAGTATCCACCTCCGTTGGCGCACGAACCCATGGAGACGACCCAGCGGGGCTCAGGCATCTGGTCATAGACTTGTCGCAGAGCAGGGGCCATCTTGTTGGTGAGCGTACCCGCGACGATCATGACATCGGACTGACGAGGCGAGGCACGGAAAATAATTCCCATGCGATCCTGGTCGTAGCGGGGCGTCGACAAGTGCATCATCTCGACGGCACAGCACGCGAGTCCGAAGGTCATGGGCCAAAGCGATCCTTGACGGGCCCAGTTCGCCATCGTATCGAGGGTGGTCCTGATATCACTCCGTTAGCCATCATCGCACTCGGGGTGTGGGGCGGCACCGCCGGTATCGCGGGTGATGGGTGACGTACAACGCATAGTCGACCACGTTCTTGGGGCGCTCCTGCGACGGAAGCAGAACCTCACGACGCGCGGGACGGTCGGTGAGACCGGTCTCCTGTCCGACATGTGTGATGCCGCCGGCGGAGGCGAGCGCTGTAGGCTTCGAGGTGGAGATGGCTCGGATGGCGATGTTCCTGGATGGCAATGCCGCTACCTCAATGTCAGCGCTTGAACTGCGGGGGGGCGCGGGCGCGGACGCGGGGGCGACCGGAACATCGAAATTGGGGGACACAAACATCGCAGGGTCAGGGCGGTGGACGCGCGAGTAGTAGAAAGCATCGTGTACCTGGTGTATCGAGCTGTTGAGTGGAGATGGCGGGGAAGCAGGCGCGGCCGGGGGAGTTTGGTTCTTGATAAAGTGTTAGTGGCGGTGATGACAATTGCTGCAACACCAGTGGTGATAGCGCCAAGCCGCGCCACGGCCAATCGGGTTGTCGGCAACCGTGAAAATCAAAGCATAATCCAGCACTCCAGAATTGCATCTGCTTAAGAACTGTGCTTTGCTCGCTCCAGCCTTTTCACGTGCACTCGGTTTTTTGCATGATTACAATCTCATATGACGACATGGTGGTCACTGGCCACTGGTGAAGGGGTTTTTAGAGAGATACGAGCGGGTAACCCGGAACGCCACGATTGAAGGGATTGATGAGACAAGCTATGCTCTAGAGTCTGGATTGAGGATCGTGAATGAGAATTAAGAATGTGGCTGTGGTTGCTTCTATTCGCGGATATGACTTCGAGTAGCGGCTGTTATTCTAGAAGGCGATAATTTGGTGCGTGGCGGTTGTGGCTTTTTGCCCCCTCAGTACCTAACTCGCCACCGGATCCGCTCGGGAAAGCTGAATCTAGAGTACAGCCGCAAGCAGCACAGATCTCAAGAAATCGGCATCGTGACTTGGTCTATTCGAGCGACATGTGAATTAAGCTCGCGAAACCCTATGTACACTACTACTTTACCGTCTGTTATGTACCGTACCAGTTGCGATACATCACAGCAAGACACAAATCCACCCTTTCCGTCCCATTTTCCGCTTTCCGGCATCACCAAAAGCCGCCGACCCAAGTGGTCGTCGCAAAAACCACAGCCCATGCCACTGGTACGAGCCGGCCAATATCCGGAGCACTGCTGGAACTCCTCCCGGCGCCGCTACGCTGAGCATCAGTGCCATTACCACCCACACCCTCCCCTGCTTGAGGGGTTCCGTACCCATTCGCCATGCCCACTGGCGGGTGCCGCCTATCCGGGATGACAAGGCTTCCATTGTACGGAGTCATGCCCTGCTTGTCGCGGACTTCATTCTTGATGCTCTGGGCCACCTCCCGCCCATTTACGACCAGGCTGATGTTGGGTAGCGGCTCGGGCGCCCACCGTGTCTTGTGGAAGGGACCCGGATACGAGTCGTTGAGATAGACGTTTGAGAGGTCGGGGTGTGGGAGAACGGTGTCGTTGGTCCGCGCTGCAACCAGGGAGAAGACGTTTGCGCCGACATCGTAGCGACCGAGAGTGGAAAGGTTCCAGTTCGCGCACACAGTGGAAATCTCAGAGTAATGGTCTGCGGCAAAAGAGCGTAAGTTAGCCTTCCACATGACAGCTTTTCGAGAAGCAGGTGACCTGCAGCGCCGCACCATAATAGCTGTCGTCGATGGTCCCGTGCGATTCCTTCGGAACGGCTCCTCCCATGAGGATGGTGAACACACGGTTTTGCTTGGTGTACGAGTGGTTCTCGTCGAACGTAACCAGAATAAGTGTATTCTGCGCGGAAACGTCAGTACCGTCGCCATGAGATAGTCAACTTTTTCTTTTCTTTTTACCCACATTCATAAAGTACTCATTGTCCAATAAGGGCTCCAAGAAAGACCTCGTCCAGTTCCCGGCGAACGTGACCGAAGTATCATGGCCATTATTCCTCATGTCCGGAGTGAAAAAGACCCACTGGGGCAGTTTCCGGGCATCCAGATCATCATGGAAGAGTGTGTCATTCTTGATCAAACCCAGGCGCTTCTCATTCTTAGCCACGGAGTCGTAGCTGACCAGCCCACTATGTTTGCGCTTGTACTCGTTTGCCTTTGTTTGTGGGTTGTTGAACTCGTGTCCGGTGAAGCCCGTGTACGGCATGCCCTCCTGATACGAAGCCCAGCTTATTCCGGCGGGCTCGAGCAGATCCACGATCGTGGAGGTGTTGGAGGCGATGGAGATGTCGCCGTTGTGGTTGAGGCCGAAGTAGTCGCCACCCACTGCGGCGACATAATTTGGCTGCGAAGGATGCGTGAGCGCAAAGTAGTTGGTGAGTGTTATCCCGCGCTCGGCGAGCCATTTCAGATTTGCTGTGGGGAGAATCAGCGGTGAAGATATGTAGTTTGGGAACGGGCAACAAACGGTCTCCCGCAGCCTTGGCATAATCAGTGTTTTCCAACCATATGGTGATGAAGCGATCGAACGCCTTGCCAGTGACGGAGCTGGTTGGTGAAAGTGATGGGATTTCGGCGGCGTCTGCTGCTGCTGCAGTCGTCGCTGCCCAGAGAAAAGTTGCAGCGATAGAAGGTAGTAAGTGTAACATGTTGGTTGATCTCTCTACCTTTTGTCTCGGTAGCGACGGTGAAGAGATAACCTTAGAGTATAGTACTTTGAGGTTCGAAGCTCTCGGGCGAAGTAGGGGGTTGGACCTTAATAAGCGTTGGCGTCGTTGATCAGCTGCAAGGCCAATCGTACAGACAAGCCCCGCCATGTGCACATTATTGCTCCCCATCCATCTTGGGTTCTTCGGGGGCTGAAACGACTTGTCACTTGAGACTGGAGTCGTCAGCTGGACCGGGGGGTCGGGCTATATCGATATCACTCCTACCGTTTCCAGCGGCACGGGTTGGTTTTGCCAGAAAAGCTTGTCTCATTTAACAGGGCGAAGCGAAAGCTTGTCTTCTTCGCATCGTTCGGACCAGAAGGACCCAACACACATCACCCCTGCATGAGTCGATCGTTGATGTCCTGATGAATTTCGGTCCCGCAACAAAAACCCGTGGCCTGGGTCACCTTCACGCGGGACACCGGCAATTCTTGCTGGCCAATGAATGAATTGGTAAATGGCATTTTCAGCTAACTACCTAATAGGTACATACCCAAATCGGTGGGACCGGAAAGGGGGAAGGCCTTAGGCATCAGGAAGGAGAGCTGCAAGTCGTGAGGCTGGACAACACCGCGAACAACAAACCGCCAGCAGAGGGAGATTACGCGTACGTGTCCTCGATCTGTAAGAGCGAACGGTGATGACCGCAACACCTGAAATAGATACCAGCCAGTGTGGAAATGAATGTTGTCTGCTGTTGGATAGCCGGAGATCCATCAACATGCCAGGGACTGCAGCGCTTTCTTGACGCCAGGCGGGTTTTGACTTCGCGATGCAAGAAGGCGAGATATTATTACCTTTCTAGGTATCTACACTGGATCCACAGCTCGTAACACAATGGTCCATGATCCACTTCCACAGGCACCTCAAGTGCAAAGGGAATGTAGCCAGGCGAGTGAGCAGAGAAAAGCGAAATGGACATCAAAACGAGCGACCACGCTCCACAGTCCTCGCCTTCCTTCGACGAACATACACAAGGGCCTGAAGAGTAGCGGCATGGACTTGCACTCGCGCCGGGAAGGATGAAGATACCTGTATCAGTAGTGTGATCGACCAAATGCAGAAAGGCTGAAGCTCACGATACATGTGGATTGGAAAACTCTGCAACGCTAATCCAGGGGCCTGTGTCCAATGCCCATACAAAACAAGCAATTAAGCGAGTGATGAGTGGATTCCATGCTCGGTTTCAGTTGCCGGGAGTACACGTACACTGTGCGCTTCTGGAATGAAAATCATTTACGCTCAGTGAGCTGTGAGCAGCCATCGGGAGGGAAAGCACAGGAACTCCGAGTCCCACGGTCATCATCCGGGGGGCAAATACGGACTGGTCGCCATCTCATCCTTCTTCTTCTGCTCCGTGACTGAGCCTTGAGGTCGTCCTTGTTCATACTCCGCAGCGGAGGCTTTCCTCTCCACATAGCATCCCCAATACCTCCACCGTCTTGACCACATCACATCAGAAGACTTCCTCTTAAGTTCTCCATATGCACGCCGTGCACCGTCTTGATCCCACGCCACACCTTTCGCACACGCCAGTTATTGCATCCTCCACCACTAATACGGTATGCAGCACTCGTCACGCTGAGTCACGGGGGAGATACTCATTCACCGCCACGCACGCACGTTCGTCGAAACAAAACGGACTGATCAGTCGTGAGTCCGGCAACAACCAACGTATGCCATACTAGTACAGCACTGCTGTTCAAGAGAACGGTTTCCGGAGCGGATTATGTAACAGACAGCTTCGTTTTCAGAAGTCAAGTCGGGGGTTGATCGACCCCCCCCCCCCCCCCCCCCCCCCCCCGAATCCCCGATACGTTGCGTGGGTGCGTGTATCCGCTTTGAATGCTGACCAGCAGGAAGACTACCTATGCCGTCGAGATCCGAGGAGCTCGATGCCACGACGGGCCCTACGGCCACCGATACCCTTGCGCCTGCCGATTCTATTGCGACCAGAGTGCGGTGGTGAAGGTTGGCGGTATGTAGTCAGTGTTCGACATAGTCCATTCCGTCCGTCCTGAGCCTCGGACTGGACAGGACTGCATCTTGGCAGTCTGTCTAGGAGCGGTGTTCGGACGGACTAGTCCAAAAAAATCGAGGGCAGGGCGGACTGCAGTCGACTATAGTCCGCACCCAGTTCACGAAATCCATGGACTGGACGGACTACTTGTACGCAGTCCGTCCAGTTCAGACTGCAGTCCGGACCGGACTATGTCGAACACTGGCTGCATTTCCCCGCACCTGAGGATGAGGATTCTTCGAGCCACGGAGCAAGGATGCGGATCGGGTAGTGGTAGATATAATACAACAACATCTCTAGTAGTTGCTAGGGATTTGTTACGGATTGTTTTGAAGACCGGTCACCAAAAGATAACTGCGCCCGGGTTTCAGAGGTGATGCTGCGCCCTTCCCAACAATACAGAACTGAAACAGCTTTTTGAATCTTGATGTTCTCGAGTCGTTGATTTCGATGCTGGGGTTGCGAACCTGTGCCTAAGTAGCAACATCGTCAGGTCCGTCTCTCCCGAGAAGCGTGCGAAATCTCTCCAGACTCCAGTGCACAGGTACGGCGGTAGAGTACCGCCGGTGGATCGCTTCATTGCCGCTCGAAGTTGCCATGGGAGTCGCCTGGTACCCCGCAATATATGATACAACATATCCAAACTCCGAACCTCTTCTATATCACGGCCCAGTCAACTTACCTTCATAGTTCACCCAAGAGTTAGCACCAAATACATTATGTCAGTGTTCGATATAGTCCGGTCCGGACTGGACGGACTGCGTAAAAGTATTCCGTCCAGTCCATGGATTTCGCGGATTGGGTGCGGACTGCAATCCGTCCTGCCCTTGATATTTTTTGGACTAGTCCGTCCAAACATCTCTCCCAGACGGACTGTCAAGATACAGTCCAGTCCGAGGCTCAGGACGGACGGACTGGACTATTATGTCGAACACTGAATGCAGCACCGATTGATGGCTTGTGCATGCGGAACTCGTTGTTGGTGGAATAGGAAATTGTTTCTGGGCTACCCATCCGTACTCTCCATAGCACCTAGAATATCCACGTGAGCATACCTCCAGAAGTACTATCGACAAGGGTGGCTGGTTGAGCTGTTGGAATAGTACCGTTTACCGATATTCCGCTAGAGAGGTGGTATGCCTGTGGAATTGGCCTGCCTGTCGAACCCGCTCAGACTTTAGGAGAGGAGTTTATGGATGATTGGTTAGCGTCTGAGCGGGTTCGACAGGTAGGCCAATTCCACAGGCATACCACCTCTCTAATCAGGCAACTTGACGGTGTGCGTAAGGGCAGCTACCCAGTGGAAAGCTTCTGTAAGTGCCCACAACATGTGGCGCCGCGCCGCCGTCAGCCACTGGTGCGTGAGTGTTGGTAGACTTCCTGTAGAGTAATGGTACCCGTATTGTGCCTCTGGTTTCAGAGCCGGATCCCTGGTAGCGAGTATACGAGAAAACATTCCGGTCTGACCACAGAGAAGGTGGCGAAGAAGAAGAAGAAGAAAAAGAAGAAGAAAAAGAAGAAGAAAAAGAAGAAGAAGAAGAAGCGTCTCTTGAGTCTTGAGTACGACTGGTAGGGTTGCCAAGATCGTATCTGCATGGACGGGAGGTTCGGTGTCCCCGTAAGAAGGGCGGGAATCTTCAAGAAAGAGCAAAGTAGAGTACTCTACTAGAGTACCTACCCTGTTGTGTAGCCTGAAAGTCTCATGTAGCGAACAAATCACAGCCTTCAAATCCTGTGTGACGGTTCCGAAGGCTGCGTTTATACATGAACTGGCAGCTACACGAACCCGAACGAGGAACCAGAGGCGCCTACATAATAACTAACAGACAGTCTAAGTAGACTTTGGTCCCCGTGCGCCTCATATTCTGGTCCTTGGCCATGGCGATCATTCCAGGCCTGGAAATGGGGGCTGGGATTCGTGTCGACAGTGAAAATATATGTTGAGAGGAGACCCGTCTCCTACCGTACACCGCAGTGTCGCCCCGGCTCATCCCCTAGTAAACGGCAGTCCCTTATTGATGCGTTTGTCCGTTCCATTCAGCAACATTTCGGACTGTACTTGATACGAGCGATACTGGATGTCGAACAGCCCCGCCACCGTGGTGTTCTCGCTCGTAGCACTTTGCCAGATGTCGAAAATACCCGCGGGAATTTCTGCGGTCACATCTAGATTTGGCCCACGGGTATTCGTTCCATTTGCGGTCCTTCCCGGCGGCCACGACTGTCCCGGGCACGGCATCGAAAACGCGCCACACAGCCGCGTGAAGCCGTACTCATCCCTCTCGGGAATGCCGACACCGAACGGGCCATCGTCGCGCACATACTCGAAGGGGCGGACCCTCGAGTGCTTCCCCGCAATCTGCTCTGAGAGGCCGAGAGGCGTGACTACTCCGGCAATAGCCAGGAAAACTAGCCCGAGTGCACTGAATATCCGCAGCGCGGTCACCCGTCCGTTCACGTTGTGGAAGTTGGTCGAGTCCGCGGACAGGATCGTCGGCCAGAACGTGGCGTGCACGAAGCGGCAGACGACGGACCTAAGGAGCTTAGAGGTTGATCGACATCGGGCTGCCGCCGGATGCAAGCACGTACCATGTTGCGGCCGTGTTGCCTTTGTTGAGCACTCCGGCTAGGACAAATACCAGCAGCAGTGGAAACGTGATTTGAGCTTCGGATTCGGTCGGGTCAGTCCTGGGTACATAGTCGTCGGGGATGGTGAGATGGAGCGAGTACAGACCGATGAGGATTGCAAAGTTGATGGCACCGGACACTTGACCAACCGTGATGTCGGTCATCTTGCTGCAGAGAGGCTCCTTCCGCATGTTCGATTCGCTGGCTTTGAATAACAGATACGGTATCATCGAGGGCCTAGTTGTTGACACCATAAATGGCGGCATCGCATTCCGTAATCATACCATCCCCACAGGACTCTCGCAGGGCGGCACATGGAAGGAAGACCTGCTTTGGGTCACGCCGGACACCGAGTGCGTCAACATGAACTTAACGCTCGAGTTCGTGATGCGAGGAGAGCTCGGCGGGCCGGGGCACTACGTCACCCTGCGGGATAACGGGGGGTTCAAGAACTT